CAACGGGTTCGGCGTCGGCGTCTTGACGGGTATCGTCCCGAGCTTTGTCGCCGAGATCTCCAAGCCTCGAACGCGAGGCCTCATGATGTCGCTCGAGCTCGTCTTCGCGGCCACGGTGCGTCCTCTCTTCCGGTCCCTCGCGCACTCCTCGTCTACAGTTCCTGACAGGTTCTCTTCCCCTGCAGGGCCTCATGACCGCCTTCTGGTGCGCCTCGACTCGTTTCCCTTACTCTCACTTGGCGGCGCGAGCGAGCGTCGAGCTGACCCTGTCTTCTTCCGCAGGTGCGCCTACGGCTTCGCCAAGCACACCGACGCCATCGGGTGGCGCATTCCAGTTGCCCTGCAGGGCCTCCTCCTCATCCCGGCCCTCGTCTCGCTCCAGTTCACGCCCGAGTCGCCCCGGTGGCTCATGGAGAAGGGTCGGGTCGAGGAAGGTCGACGCGTCCTCGAACGCCTACACGGCTCCGCGTACGCCGCAGCGGCGACGCTCGAGATTCAGGAGGCGATCGCGATGGAGCATGCGGCCCAGGCGGGCAAGGGATACTCGGCCTGCTTCTCCAAGTGCGTCCCCTCCCCCTCTCGAGCCGTGCCTCGTCCTCGCCCGGCCGCCCTGACCGACCGCCTTTTCTCTCTTTCCTCTCTCCGCACGTGCAGCAACGACCAATGCTTCCGGTACCGCACGCTCCTCGCCGTCGGCGTCAACGTGGCGCAGCAAGCAACCGGCATTATTGAGTCTCACCCTCTCGCTCGGACCTTCTCAAATCCGGATCTGCGAGTGAGGCAGCCAGCTAACCCGTCCCTCTCTGCGCACAGACATGGCGACGTACTACAGCGGCAACATCCTGATCGAGTCGGTCGGCCTCGCTCCCGACCGCGCCACCCTCGTGCTCGGAGGACTCGGAATCGCCGGTGCGCCCCCCTCTCTCTCTCTCTCTCTCTCTCTCTCTCTCTCTCCCTCGCCAACTCCCACGAGCTCTCCCCCCCGATCCCTCCCTATCTATCCCCTCACTCCGCCCTTCCCTGAGCACTCGATGCTGAATCGCACCCGTCCTTCTCGTCCTCGCAGGCCTCGGCTTCACCATCTTCGGCTGTTTCTACCTCATGGAGCACGCCGGTCGCGTGAGGACCATGTTGATCGGGGCGTTCGGCTGCATGGTGAGCCAGATCCTCCTCGCCGCCGGCGTCGCGAACCAGTCGGTCAAGGCCGGCGGCTACGTCGCCGCGACGGGCCTGTACCTCTTCCTGTGCATCTTCTCGGCGACGCACCTCCCCACCGCGTTCGTCTACTCTGCCGAGGTCACCCCTCTCGCTATTCGGACCCGTGCGGCAACCCTCGGCGTCGCCGTGCAGTACCTCGTCAAGTGAGTCGGCCTGTCCCTCTCTCTCTCGCTCTCTCGAGAATGGCGCACTCGAGCAGTACTGACAACCTTTGTCGTCTTCCCCCTCTCGTGCGCCTCCTCGCTTGCCTCCCGTCCCGCGTCCTTCCCCTGTCTGTCCACCTCGCGGCCGTCGCCAGCTTCGCCGTCGTCATGGTCACGCCGACAGCGATTGCCAACATCGGGTGGAAGTACTACATGACGTTCGCCATCATCAACGGCGCAATGCTGCCGCTCATCTTCTGGTTCTGCCCCGAGACGGCGGGCCTCTCGCTCGAGGGCATCGACGAGCTCTTCGCCGGCGGGCGCGTGCACGTGCGCCGCACGGTCAAGGTCGACGGCTCGGGCCGGCTCCCCGTCGCGTCGCTCGAGGCCAACAAGCCGCAAGGGTCGTTCGAGCACGTCGAGAAGATCGAGACGGCCGACCACTACTGAGGGCTCGAGCGGCGTCTCGAGCCTCTTCTTTCCTCCTCTCTCGCTCTTGCGGTCTCTCTCTCACTCTCTTCTTGTCGTAGTGTCACATGTGTCGCGAAACAAAGGTCTTTCATCTGGACTAGCAGCGAAAACAGGGCTCGATGCTCGAGCAAAGAGACTGCGAGGCTCGGGTTCCCTCCCAACGCTCGCTCTGTCTCTCTCGCTCGTGAACTCGAAACTGCTCATGCGTGCTTCGTTGCAGTCACCCTCGTGGGCCACACGCTCTTGTGCGACGTGCTTTACGAGAGCGAGCGCCTCACGCTCGAGGTCCAGCTCCCGCTCCGCCTTGTCCTCGCGCGAGCGATGGAGGCGAGCCCGCTCTGCTCGGCGGGTTGCTGCCGATGGGCACCGAGCTATCGCCCTCGTCGTCGCGTGCGAGTGGAGGTGCTGATGACGGGGCCGGTGGAGGGATGGGTGGAGGAGCGCGGGCGGACGACGGCGAGGTAGGAGCGGAGGAGGACGGCGAGGCAGCCGTGCGGGCGACGACGGCGGCGACCGAGGTTTCTCTGCAGCACCGAGAAAAGAAAAAGAGTCAGACCTGCCGACTCAAGCGGCGAGAGCTGCAGAGGAGAACGAGGCGACGCACCGTCCTGCCCGCTCGGCGTCCTCGTCCTCGAGCTCCCATGCCGGTCGCCAGCCTCCGAGCGGATGCGGATAGTCGCCGGCGGCCGCGCTCGTCGAGTCGGACGTCGGTGGTGGTGCGCGCAGGAGCGGGTTGGGGAACGTGTTGTGGGTCGAGCCGAGCGAGGTGTAGCTGCGAGGTCGGGAAGGTCGGGTCGGGGTGGTCGAGCGGGAGGAGCGTCGTGGCACACGGTAGATGACGAGTGATGGATAGGGCGACGAGGACGACGAGGGCAGAGGGACAGGTCGGACGGCAGGGAAAGGGAAGGGGAGGAAGGAGAGGTCAGGTCCCGGCTCGCGGAACTCAAGACTCGGACGAGGGTGGAAGTGGGACGGACCCGTAGTCGTAGAGCTCGCACCACTCGAGTCCTCCACCGTGCTCGACCTCGCCCGGCCCGCCGGCGCCGAGGCTCAGGTCGTCGGAGCGCAGGAAGGCCCAGATGTCGGCGTACGACCAGTCGAGGACGGGGTGGACGCGGCAAAAGTCGGGCCAGCCCTTGTCGGTCTGCTGGAGCGGTTCGAGGAGGGCGCCGTGTGGGTCGTTGCGGCGGGTGCCGACGAGGATGGCCTTTGGTGGCGAGGGCTGCTTGAGGTCGAGGTAGGTCTGGAGGCCGGCGCGCATGCTGTCGTCGACGGCGACGAGGGCGAGGTGGTACCAGTGGGTCGACAGGGCGACAAAGGCCTCGACTTGCGGGAAAGGGGACGGGCACCGGACGTAGACGGTCTCGATCGGGGGCAAAGTGGGCGCTGGCGACGAGGACGACGAGGGTGCATCGTCGGCAAAGGCGTGGCGGTGGAGGTGACGGAGGACGGCGGTGGCCAAGAGGTGGATGAGGACGGTGCAGTCCTTGCCGCCGTTGAAGCTGAGGGCGATCGAGTCGATGCTGGGTGGGGCCGGGCAACGGTGAGCCGGAGGTCGACGAGGGGGAGAGGGGGAGAGAGACGAGGGACGGACCCGAACTTTGCGATGGCTCGGTCGATGATGTCGAGGGCCTCGCGGGTCTTGAGTGCGAGCCTGGTGCGCTGTTGTGCGAGGCGGTGGACGGCGAGAGCGTCCTGGAGCGAGAAGCGGCGGTGAGGGTGCTCCGAGGCGAGTGCGGCTGCGGCTGGCAGGTGGTGGGCCGGTCTCGTCATGGCAAGGTGCTTCAAGCTGTCCAGGGCCTGGCTGAGCCGGGCGCGGTGGTGAGAAGGAGTCGAGAGGTTGTGCTCCTCCTCGAGACGACGGTCGTCGCCGTCGCCTCGATCCGATTCGCCCTCCTCACGCAAGCTCGTTCCTCTCGAGCCTGACTGCACCAGGCACCCTCCTCGAGCCTACAGCCGCGACCGTCTACCTCGTCCACGTGAGTCTCGTCGTTCCTCTTCGCGTCGACCTCCCCTCGCTTTCGACGCGCTCTGGGCTGCCCGCACCCGCCGTCGAGCGGCCGAGCTGCGAGCTCCCAGGGTGCAGTCGAGCACCTGTGAACCTCTGGCCCCACTCGCTGACCTGTTCGCCCCCGTCGTCGTACAGAGCCGGCACCCTCCTTCGTCCGAGGTCCTTTCATCGCCAACTCTCCTTGTCCGCTCCAACCAGCGTCACAGGCCACCATGCAGGGTCTCCCGCCCAACGCGCAGTATGCCGTCGACGAGGTGCGTCCCCCCTTTCGCCTTCTCGTCGCCCTCTCCCCCTCCCGCTCGACCTTGCTCACCTCGCTCTCCTTCCCGCTCCGCCTCGACTCTCCTCCCCGCACGACACATCCTGCAGTATGGCCGACCGTTCATCGTCATCCGCGACCAGCAGAAGAAGACGCGCATGCACGGCCTCGAGGCCCTCAAGTCGCACATCCTCGCCGCCCGCACCGTCAGCAACATCGTCAAGACGTCGCTCGGCCCGCGCGGCCTCGACAAGATCATGATCTCGCCCGACGGCGACATCACCGTCACCAACGACGGCGCCACCATCATGGGCCAGATGCAGGTCGAGCACCAGATCGCCAAGCTCCTCGTCGAGCTGTCAAAGTCGCAGGACGACGAGATTGGCGACGGCACGACGGGCGTCGTTGGTGCGTCCGCTGTCCCTCCACTCGTACCCTGTGTCTCCATCGTTTCGTCCCGACGCCGTGCTCACCCGCTCCCACGTCGCCCGTACAGTCCTCGCCGGCGCGCTCCTCGAGTCGGCGTCGTCCCTCCTCGACCGCGGCATCCACCCGATCAAGATCGCCGACGGCTTCGACAAGGCGTGCAGCATCGCCGTCAACGAGCTCGACCGCATCGCCGACACGATCGCGTACACCCCGGGCGAGACGGGCGAGCTCCTCAAGGTCGCGCAGACCAGCATGGGCAGCAAGATGTGCGTCGTTCCTCCTCTTCTCCTCCCTCGCGCCCCTCGATCACGATAACTGATTCGTGACTCGGTTGCCCACACAGCGTCAGCAAGGCGCACAGCCTGTTTGCCCAGATCGCCGTCGACGCCGTGCTCGCCGTCGCCGACCTCGACCGCAAGGACGTGCCGTTCGACCTGATCAAGGTCACGGGCAAGGTCGGCGGCTCGCTCGAGGACACGACCTTGATCCGCGGCGTCCTCCTCGACAAGGACATGAGCCACCCGCAGATGCCGCGCACCGTCACCGACGCCAAGCTCGCCATCCTCACGTGCCCGTTCGAGCCGCCCCGGCCCAAGACCAAGCACAAGCTCGACATCACGAGCGTCGACGAGTTCAAGAAGCTCCAGCAGTACGAGAAGGACACGTTCGTCAACATGGTCAAGCAGGTCAAGGACACGGGCGCCAACCTCGTCATCTGCCAGTGGGGCTTCGACGACGAGGCCAACCACCTGCTCATGCAGAACGACCTCCCCGCCGTCCGCTGGGTCGGCGGCCCCGAGATCGAGGTGCGCACCCTCTCGCTCGTCTGCGTCTAGCGGCCCATCGCCTGACCCTCTTTCGGCCCCTCCCCTTCCTTCCTCCTCCTCCTCCCCTTCCTTCCGCTCGCCGCGCCCGTCCTCCGCCCTGCAGCTCATCGCCATCGCGACCAACGGCCGCATCGTGCCCCGGTTCGAGGACCTGTCGGCGGCCAAGCTCGGTCGGGCGGGCACCGTCCGCGAGGTGTCGTTCGGCACGACCCGCGACAAGATGCTCGTCATCGAGGACTGCGCCAACTCGAAGGCCGTCACCGTCTTTGTCCGTGGCAGCAACAAGATGGTGCGTCCTCGCTCTCTCTCTCTCTCTCTCTGTCGGCGCCGTCGTGCCGCAGCATCGTACCTGACCCCGCTCGTCCCCTCGCAGATCATCGACGAGGCCAAGCGCGCCCTGCACGATGCCCTGTGCGTCGTGCGCAACCTCGTGCGCGACTCGCGCGTCGTGTACGGCGGCGGTGCGGCCGAGATCGCGTGCTCGCTCGCCGTCGCCGCCGCGGCCGACCAGACGGCGACGATCGAGCAGTACGCCATGCGCGCGTTCGCGACCGCGCTCGACGCCATCCCGCTCGCGCTTGCCGAGAACTCGGGCCTGGCGCCGATCGAGACCCTCGCCGAGGTCAAGAGTCGTCAGGCCGTCGAGGGCAACTCGCGCCTCGGTGTCGACTGCGCCGGTCGGGGCGAGAACGGTCCGTCCCCTCCTCTTTTCTGCAGCCTTGGTGACACCCTCCTGACTCTCGAGACGTCCTTACGCAGACATGAAGAAGCAGTTCGTCGTCGACCCGCTCATCAGCAAGAAGCAGCAACTTCTCCTCGCTTGCCAACTCGTTCGGCAGATCCTCAAAATTGACGATGTCGGAAGTTTCTCCTCCCCTTTCCGTACTCCTGTGGTGTTCCGAGGCGTCGACGGCCCGGCGCCGCCGTCGCCGCCGTGACGAAGTTCCCGGGCACCCGAACTGACTCTCCTCTCTCTCTCTCGTACACAGATTGTCAACGGCGGTGGCGACGAGTACTAGTCGCACTAGGCGATGTGTCGACGACGTCTGTAACTCGAGATGTACAGTACGCAGCACTCGCCGAGTTTTGAGAAGGTCCTCGAGAGAAACCGCCTCGCGCTCGGTCCCGCACGATGAGCTTCGAGTCTGGTTCTGCTCTCACATCTCTCGAGAGGCTGCAAGCGGACGACAATGCTGCCGAGAGGTCTTCATTGCGGCAGGACCGAGAGAAGCGCACGGCCCTCGCCCGGCCTCGTGGCCGCCGACCTCGCCTCCTTCTCAACAGCGCGAGCCCCGCCTCGACCCGCCATGCCGCTCAAAGACGCTCCTCGTCCTGGACCTCAACGTCTCGCACTCGAGGCATGCCCTCGCCGACGCCGTCGACGCCGCACGCCTCGCACGCCTGCTCGACGGCGCCCTGCACCTGCTCGACCTCGTCGCGGGTCCAGCCGCGCCTGATCGCGCCGCGCAGGTGCCAGTGGAGCTCGCGAGCCGATCGCTGCGGGACGAGGCACGCGAGGGTGACGAGCGAGAGGAGGCGAGGGTCGTGGGCGAGCGGATCCGGCGAGGGGGGTGTTGACGCGTCGCGGCGAGGTACGGGAGCGGCGTGCGGCGTGAGGAAGGTGCCGTATGTAGTCGTTTCGGAAAGATAGCCTGTCGCGCGCGAGATAAGGTCAGAAGAACGCGAGACGCGGCCGGAAGGAGAAGAGGAGGAGGCGACGCACGCAAGTCGTCGAGCCCTCGCTCGTGCATAAGGTCGAAGATGCCGTCCAGCTCGCTCCGATACACGCTCCGCAGCCCTCGCCGACCCGCCTGACGCCGCTCAGCAACCGTGCCCTCCTCAAGTCCTCGCCGCACAAACGCCTTGCTCAGGTCGCGCGGGTCCTCGAGGGCGCCCTCGAGGTCGATGAGGGCGCAGATGACGCGTGGGACGCCGATGAGCGAGGCCGACTTGACGAGGGCCTCCTTGAGCTGCGCGACGAGGAACCGCCGAGGGTGAAGGTCGAGGTCGAGGAGCGGGTGGTCGACAGGTTCTGGAGGGACGGCGACGCCGGGTGCGAGTCTCGGGTGGGGGTCGAGGGCGAGCTTGAGGCAGTGTGGCAGCCACGTCTGACCGTGACCAAGGCTGGTGGCGGCGAGGAGCGAGACAAGGGCCGTTGCGGATTGTGGGGAGGACGAGGGAAGCGAGGAGGAGAGGGACCGCAAGAAGGTCGGGATGGCCTGGGGCGGTACGAGGGGCATGCCCTGAGTAGCCTGCGTCGCTTGCAGTGGCTCTGGACGAGGTGCCGAGCCGAGACGAGCTCCTCCCCGACAGCTTCATCGCTTCGCGTCGAGCGTCCTCGTCGCTAGCTCCGCCCGCGCCTCTTGCGCCTACCAGGAGCTGCTATGGGCCCTCCACCTCTGCACCTCGACTACACCGCCAACACCTACCTCGTCCTGTCGTCCTCGTCCTCGTCCTCGCCCCCGCCGCCTCTCCCCGCCTCGGACGCTGCCACCCTCTCGTCCCGCCTCAGCTACGCCGGCCCGCTCGGCCCCGGCAACCTCGACATGGAGCACGTCTTTGTCCTTGGCGGCGTCCCGAGCGGCAGCAGTGGTGCGGCCCCGTCGGACGACCAGCGGCAACTCGTCGAGCACGCGGCCGAGGTCTTGCGGCGGACGGGCGAGGGCAAGGTCGAGGTCATGGCGCCGCACATGCGCTCCAAGCGCTGATCTCGAGCTGGACGAGCCGGCGACAGAGGCGTGCGGCGCGGGAGACGGCCGGAACGCGTGGTCGCCGGTCGACGCCTGGGGCTGCTCGTGCAGCTCATCCGCCAGCGCAACAGGCGCGTCCCTCCTTTCCTCTCGCTCCCGACAAGTCCCTGGCGCATCGCCTGACGCACCCGCCGGCCCGCAGCATCGGAACCAGCCCCGCTAGCCGTGCGTTCTGGAGCGCGTCCGGCTCGAGCGGCGACAACGAGCGCCATGACCTCGACCTCGCAAGGCGGGATGCGCATCCTCAAGCGCCCACATCGACGCCTGCAGGTCGTTGGCGAGGGCGAGGTGGAAAAGGAGGGGCCACATGTAGCCAAGCGCGCTGCATCTTCGTCGATCTCTCCTTCTCGGACAGCTCGCCCGGTTTCCGACCTTCTCTCTCGCTCGCCCGTCGAGAGAAGGACCGTGAAAGAGAGTTCCCATAGCGAGGATTGCAGAGCGTGATAGGGCGGCGAGAGAGACGGGCGGCACGTCGGCCAAAAGGTTCTCGCGGGCCTTCCGAGCAGAGAGCTTCGCGAAGAGACAGAGAAGAACGCGACCGTCTTTTCCAGCGACGACGCCTGTCCTCCGGTCTACAGCTCACTCGCCACCGCCGACTCGCTCATCGTCCACCCAGGGAGAAGCACAGAACAGAACAGGGGAGGAGAGGGAGCGCTCAGGGGAAGAGGCCCTGCGACTGGCCCTTCTTGGTGTTGCGCAGGTGGTTGTTGTCGATCGACCAGGAGATGAGGGCGTAGCCTGTGCGACGAGCGAGTGTCAGTGAGCGTCTTGGCGGAAGGCGAAGGAGAGGGAGGACGGACCGGCACCGATCGGGATGGCAAAGTACATGGCCTGCTGGGCGAGGCGCTTGTAGCCACGGGTGACCCAGTGCTGGACGGCGCCGCGCATCGGCGCCTGGCGGTACGGCGAGACGACTGTGTGCGCGAGGACCGTGGTCAGCGACGAGTGCGGGTCGAGCGAGAGGCGACGTCGAGGGCGGGAGAGGACGGGGAGAGGACGCACCGTACGACGAGATGCCGACCTGCTTGGGGCCGCCGAGCTGTTGGGTGGGCGAGGTGGGTGAGCCTTGTGCGCGGGGGAGAGCAGAGACTCGCGGTCGACGAGGGAGGGAGAGAGGAAGAGGGACGCACGTCGCCCCACCAGCCCATCCAGGTCTTGCCCGTGGGCATGCCCGAGTGCACAGAAGCCGAAGGACGCATGCTAGAGAGGGTGTCGAGCTGTCGGGGGGGCGATGCGAGGAGGGACGACGGGGAGGGAGGAGGGCGAGGCAAAGAGGGTCAGCAGGAGGTCCCGCGCTGCTCGGGAGAGCTGTTTGCGGGCCTCGCTCTGCCTCGCAGGCACGCGTGCCACCCTGCCTGGTGGCTGTGGGAGCGAGGCGAGGTGTCGCCGATGTGGACGACCGGGGGCAGGCGGGTGGTCGTCGTCGCGGCGGACCACGCCAAGGCGAGAGTGCGGCTCGTCGTGGCTCGCGGTGGATGGCGAGGTGGACACGACTCACAGTCGGAGTGGGCGAGCAGCACGAGGCAAGCGAGAGGACGAAGTTCCGCGCAGAGGAGGCGGTCGGGCGCGAGCCAATTCCAAGCGCCGCCTTGCCGTGCTCTGGCCACAGCTCTCGAGGTGGGCACAATTGGCCACAGTCGTCTCTGCATGGGTCCACAGATTGCACACAAGCTCGAACCAGCGAACTCTGCGCCGTGAGAGGCGAGACGGCTCGCCTCCACACTCTGCTCCGAGTACGCCGTCACTCGACAGAGAGCCGGCTTGCTCTCCCCGCACCACTCGCTCGCACGCACTGCCAAGCTCGACAGCTCGCTTCCGACCTCGCCGAGCCAGAGACGCACCCCGCAGCTCTCGCCGACTCGTCCTCCTCCTCCCCCCTCCCCCACCGACTCTCGTCTCGCTCAACCCGGCTCGCACCTAACGCCCGTCCAGCAGCTCCGCCAGGCCAGCTCAACCTCGCCACGGCCCTCCTGTAGCCCCCTCGCCAGCTCCACCGTCGCCGAGAGCCGCCCGTCATGGCCCCCAAGTCGCTCGAGGACAACGTCAAGTCGCTCTCGCTCGCAGGCGTCGCGTCCCACACGGCACCAAAGGGCGCCACGGGCTTCTTCAAGTGGCTGTGGGCCCACCGCCGCAACAAGCACAAGGGCGACCCGGCAAAGGAGCTCGTCTACGCCGAGGGCGTCCAGATCGTCCGCGCCTTCCTCGCCTTTGCCGCAAAGCACGGCGTCGGCGAGCTGCAGCGCTTCACCGCAAGTCACGTCCCGACGTACGTCCCCATCCCCCTTTCTCGAGTGCGCACCTGCGACCCTCGCTCACCCTCTCGTTCCGCCCCCCGTGGCAGGCCAAAGTGGGTGTCCAAGGTCACGGTCCCTGTCGCGCAGGCCAACATCAACCGCGCCGCGCACCTCCTCCGCAAGGCGTTCGCAGTCGACCCTCGCACCGTCGAGCTCGTCGGCGGCGAGCAGTGGTGGACTCTGCGAGGGACCCCGCTCACCGGCGAGTGGATCGAGGTGCGTCCTCTCGCTCTCTTTTCCTCTGCGACCTGAACCTGAGCACCCTCTGACACTGCGCCTCATCGGGTCTCCAGATGAAGAAGGACAAGGTCAAGCGCGGCAAGATCCCGGCCGAGCGCGTCCTCCTGTACCTCCACGGTCCGTCCCTCGCCTCCTTCCCGTCGCTTCGTCAACCCCGAGCTGATCCCCTTTCTCGCACACCCGCAGGTGGCGCCCACTTCTTCAGCTCTCGTGCGTCGTCGAACTCGTACTTGCCCAGTCCTCCCGTCTGACCCGTCCCTCCCTCCCATCACCCTCGTCCCCCTCAGTCGAGACGCACCGTTACCAGATCCAGCGTGCGTCCTCCTCTCTCGTGTTCTTCGTCCTCTGTATGTGAGACTCTCTCTCACACCTCGTACCCGCAGGTCACGCCCGCAAGCTCGGCGCGCGCGCATTCGCGCCTTCTCAGCGTGCGTGCTCGCCTCCCTCTTGTCGGCCGCCGGCTTGTCGACCATCAAGTCGGCATGCCGTCTTATTTCGACGCCAGATGGACGCGCACCAACTAGCTCTCTTGTCCACAGGCCTCGCCCCGCAGTACCCGTTCCCATGCGCCCTCCACGACTCGCTCGCGGCGTACCTCTTCCTCATCGACCCGCCGCGGGACGGCAGCGTCGAGCACGAACCTGTACTGCCCGAGCACATCATCATCTCGGGCGACTCGGCAGGTGGTGGACTGGCGCTCTCGGTGCGTCCCTGCTCCCTCGTCTCTTGTTTTCGCGCTCGTAGACGGCCTCGACTGACACCTTGCCTCCCGCACAGCTTCTCGTCCTTCTGCGCGACCTCGGGCTGCCGATGCCTGCCGGCGCGACGCTCATCTCGCCCTGGGTCGACTTGTCGCACTCGTTCCCGTCCGTCGCAGGTGATGGTGCGCTCGGATCCTCTCGCTTCGCATCCTTCTTGCGCCCCGGTCGCTCACTCTCGCGCACCGTCCCTCGCAGGCGCCGGCGACTATATTCCGCCCAACGGCTTCATCTACAAGCCCGACCTCGTGTGGCCGCCGCCGCCAAACCCGGCGACCCGGCTCGAGCAGGTCCTCGTCGGCGAGGAGGAGCTGTCGGCGCAAGGGCTCGACGTCGTCGTCCGCATCGACGACCAGGTGCAGCTCTATACCCACAACCTCCTGCTCGACCACCCGTTCGTGTCGCCCGTCAACCAGGGCTCGCTCGGCGGCCTGCCGCCTCTCTACATCGTGCGTCGGCGCCTTCCTTTCCTCTCTCCCCCAGCACACTCTCTCTCGAGCCCCTCTCCTCTGCGTCGATGAGGCCTGGAACATGCACGAGCACGAGCTCACACTTCCGCCCGCCCCACACAGAGCTGCGGCGGCTCCGAGCTACTCCACGACGAGATCATCCACATCGCCCACAAGGCCGCCAACCCGTCGTCGTACCCGCCCGCGCAGCGCATCTTCGACCAGTACCCGTCGCAGAAGGCGCACTACGAGCAGGACTACCCGCCGACCAAGGTCCAGCTCCAGGTCTTCGACGGCGGCTGCCACGTCGCGACGACTTTGAGCGTCACGAGCCTCGCGAAATACGTCCGTCGACCCTCTCTCTCGCGCGTCTCAGACTCTCCTCAGCAGCCCCTGACCATTCGTGAGCGCACAGATGTACCGCGGTGCCGCCAACGCCGCCCTGTTCTTCCTCGCCGGCGCCAAGGCCGAGTCCGAGCGGCGCGCCGTCTACGCCGTGCGCCACGTACACCGCCAGGCCGCCAAGTCGTCCAACCCGTCGACGACAGCCTCGTCGACGGCCAACAGCAGCTCGTCGTCGCTGCGCGGCGCGACCGTGTCGGCCGTCAACCCGAAGGCGCCCGTCTTGCCCCACATGACGAGCAAGGACGCCGAGCGCGCCAACGCCGAGGCGCTCGACGAGCCGGGCGACAGTGGCTCGGAGGCCGACGACGCGAGCGTCGCCTACACCGACTCGTCGAGCGCGCCGTCTGCGTCGGGCGGCGAGCGCCACGGCGACGGCGCGGGGCCGGGCAAGGCGGCGCGCCCGCAGCGGGTCCAGGCGCTCGGCCAGCTGCCGCCGTTCTCGCCGCGCAGCGAGGGCGCCGAGCCGTGCGCGAGCGGCGGCATGGTGCGGCAGCGTGTCAGCCTCAAGGGCTTTGTGCGCCCGCTCGAGCCGGCGGCCGAGCTCGACGGCTGCACGATGCCGGCCGAGGCGATCGGCCGGCTGCACGCCGGGCCCGTCCGCAAGTGGCTCGCGCAGCGGCGCGAGTGGGACGAGCGGTACGCCAAGGAGCTCGCGCACTTCCGGGCGCTCAAGGAGGCCGACTGGGACAAGGCGCGCGCGACGGGCTACCTGGCGGGCCAGTTCAAGGGCGAGCGGCCGCCGTTGGGCAGCGTCGCCGGCTGGGCCGACGAGCGGCTCGCCAAGGAGGCGGCGAGGAGCGTCGACGAGGTCGGGCAGAAGACGGGTGCGACGATGGCGCTCGGCATGTGGAGCGGGATCTCGGCGCGGCCGGACGAGCAGGCGGTCGGCGGCGAGGAGGAGCTCGCCAAGGTCAAGTCGCGCGCGAGTGCCGAGACGAAGCGCGGCGACCCCGAGGCCAACCCGGCGGCTTGAGGAGGAGGAGGTCGGAGCGGGTCCACCTCGCCCGACTTTTTCTCGCGCCTCTCGATACCCGTAGCATAGACTGTAATAGCGGTCCTGGTGCCCTGTTGTTCTCGTTCTGAGCGACGCGAGCCGCTCACCCCCACTTGGTCGTCGTCGTCGCCCCGTCTCTCCTCTCTCGCCTCCACCTCGCCCGCCGCTCTCGCCCGAGCGCGCCTGCACCTTCTTCAGCCAGCCCGTCAGCAGCATGGACATCGAGACGGGCCACCCAGCCCCTCGCCCTCAGCGCCGCATCGTCGTCCGTGACGACGCTCCGCTCGACCTCGACCAACTCGCCGCGACTTGGGACGGTGAGCTTTCCACTCTGTGCCGGTATGCGACTCGCAGGATGCCGACTGACCCACTGCATTCTGCGCAGGCACCGGCCGCAACAAGATCACCCGCCTCCTCTTCGTCGCCAACTCGTCGCCCTCGCTCGCCGGCCCGGCCCTCGCCCTCGCCCTGGACGCCATCAAGGCCGACACGCTCGACACGCGCCTGTACGAGGACACGTTCCACGCCTACCGCAAGCACCTGCGCGCCATCGAAGCCGGCGAGGAGCAGGACCCGCTCGCGCGCAGCTGGTTCGACAGCGTCCAGGGTCTCGAGAAGCAGATCGACCGCGCCTGGCTCGACAACGCCAAGAAGGAGGCGCAGACGGGCGTCGACAAGCTCGAGATTGAGCTCAAGGGCTACATGACCAACCTCATCAAGGAGTCGATCCGCGTGCGTCCCTTGTCCTCCCTCGCTCCCCCACCCTCGGACCCTGCACCGTGCGCCCGGCTCTGACCTCGCTCCTCCCCGCGTCCTGCAGATGGGCTTCCGCGACCTCGGCCGCTTCCAGGCCCGCACCGGCGACCTCACGGGCGCGGTCCGCTCGTACACCAAGAGCCGCGAGTACTGCACCACGTCGAACCACGTCCTCGAGGTGTGCCTCGGCGTCATCGAGGTCGCGCTCGACATGGCCAACTACGCGTTCGTGCGCAACTACGTCGTCAAGGCGTCGGCGTCGATGGAAGGCGCGCAGGCGGCGAGGGACGGCGGCAAGCCCAAGGCGGCACCGGTCAACCTTCCGGGCATGGTCGCGCCGGCGCAAGACCCGATCGAGGCGGCCAAGGAGCGTGAGCGCAAGGTCGTCGGCGAGCGCTTGACCGTCGCCGGCGGCGTCGCGTACCTCGGCTCGGGCGCGTACGACAAGGCGGCGCACGCCTTCACCGACATTGGCTCCGAGGCGCTCCTCTCTGGTCCCGGCCACGTGCGTCGCCTCGCTCTCTCTTTGTCTCCCTCTTCTGTCCTGCGGTACGAGAACTGACACTGTCCCTCTCCTTCAGTTCATCCCTGCCGCCGACGTCGCCCTGTACGCCGTCCTGACCGGCCTCGCGTGCTTCTCGCGCTCGGCTCTGCGCACCCGCGTCCTCGAGAACCCGGGTCTGAGGCCGTTCCTCGACCTCGAGCCGTACCTGCGCGACGTCGTGCGCGCCTTCTACGACAGCCGGTTCAAGGTTGGCCTCGACCTGCTCGCCAAGCACGAGGTGCGTCCGGCTTCGTCTCCCTCCATCGTCGCACGAGTCGCCACGTGCGGCTCGCTCTGCGTATGTCGCCGTGCCCTCGTCAAGACACTCACGCCTTGCACACGTGCCCCGCAGGCCCGCCTTCACCTCGACATGCACCTCGCGCCGCACGTCGACGCGCTCCTCGTCTCGATCAAGCAGCGCGCGCTCCTCGCCTACTTTACGCCGTTCGCGTCCGTCTCGCTGTCGCGCATGTCGTCGGCGTTCGGATGGCCCGAGACGGCGACCAAGAAGGCCGTCGTCGACCTCATCAAGCGCGGCCTCATGAAGGCGCGCATCGACCAGGCGCAGGGCGTCGTCGTCGCGAGGAGGACCGAGCCGCGTGTCGAGGCGTTCAAGAATGCGCTCGAGCAGGGCGAGAAGATGCAGCGCAAGGCGGCGGCGGTACAGCTCAGGTGCGCTCGAGCCTCTTCTTCTTCTCGGACCCCTTTTCTCGATCGACGAGGTGACTGACTCTCGGCCGCATTCGCGCTACAGGATGAAGCTGCTGCAGAACGAGATCGTCGTCAAGCCGAGCAAGCGCGGCGGCGGCGGCGGTGGCGGAGGAGGAGGAAGCGGCGGAGGAGGAGGAGGCGGCGGCGGGAACAGCAGCTCGCGCATGGACCACGACCAGCCCTCGTCGACCATCACGCTCGAGTGAGCATCACGTCCATGCCTTCCTCTCTCTCTGTCTCTTTCTCTCTCGCATCGCACCGCACCCCTGTAACTCGCGCTTTCCTCCCCTCTTTCTCTCCCTCGTCGTTCGGCCCCTCCTTCGTAGCTTGCCCCCCTTTCGTACCCTCGCAACCGTTCTCTACGCACGTGATTTCGGCTCGAGAGTGAAAGACGACGATGAATGACAAAGTGAAAGAGGGACGACCGGCTAGCCCAAGTCGTTGCACCACCTGGCCCACCGCTCGACCGTCTCCCTGACGGACCACCCGAGCTCGTCCCACCCGCCGTCGACGACGCACGCCCTCGGGAGCAAAAAGCACTCGACGTGCGTCCTGCCGCAATCGGCGCACGGCGTGCGCGCTGCCGGCGCCAAAGTCGCCGCCGCCGCGGCGCGCCCGGCGAGCTCGACGAGGCACAGGCGCTCCCAGCGGTGGTGGTTGCGGACGCCGGTCGGCGGCGGCTCGCCGACAGGTGCGCCGACGTCGGGGAGCGCAGGCGCGAAGAGGCGCACGATGGGCTCGGACGACGGGCACGAGGCGCGCCACTGCGAGAGGCGGGCGATTGGGCGCAGCGAGCGGCCGAGCTTGATCAGGGCTGGGGCTGTGGGTCACGCGCAAAGACGAGGTGTGAGTATTCGAGTCGAGAGAGGGGAGGGGCCACAGAAAGAGGGACACGCACAGCCGTAGTCGAGCGAGGGCGACGAGCCCTTTGGGACGAGCTCGTGCACGTACAGGAATCTGCAGCGCGTTCGGGCCTGTCAGGTACTGCTCATTCTGTGCGGCCGAGATGCAGAGAGAGCGAGGGACGTACCCGTGGCAATCGCGATGCGAGACTGCGAGGGCCATGTAGTGACGCAGAAGCGCCTTGGTCTCGTCGGGCAAGTCCTCGGGTATCCAGTCTGCAGACGAGCGCGCTCGTCAGTCGATCTTCGAGCTCGGAGAGAAGGGCATGGAGGAGAGAGAGGGAGACGCACCGACATAGCGTACCCAACGTTCCGCTCCCCCTGGCGCCGCCTCGCCGCTCGTCCTCCTCGTGCGCACGAAGCACCCGCTCTCGACCAGCTTGCCCCTCGCGTGCTGCGCACAGTACGCCGGCACGTGCTCCTCGACGTAGCCCTCGAGCGCATGCTCAGGCTCGAGCGCGGACCCGGCCGCCGAGCGCACGAGCCTCGTGCACCGGGTCGAGCGCGCCGTGAGCGCCGCGCACTGCTGCTGCGGTACCGCCGCCGCCGACGACGACGCGACGCGCTTCTGCGGTGACGACGTGCCCGTGCGCGGCGTCGAACCTGGCGCCGCTCGTCCTGCGCGCGGCGTCGCCGACCCTGCGGCGGCAGTCGAGCGGCGCGCCGAGCCCGGCGTGCGCGGCTGCGACGAGCGCGCCGTGGTGCCCAAGCGACTCGGATGCGGGAGCGAGTCGTCGCTGGCGCTGCTCGTGCTCGCGAGGGATGACGACGACAGGGCGCGGCACGTGGTGTCGGACGAGGTGGAGGACGAGGGGGCGGACGCGCTCCGAGGGAGGACCGGAGCCGGCGTGGGTCGGCCTCGAGGCGTCGCAGCTTTCGCTGGAGGAGGGCGCGAGCGGCGCCGGGTTGACGAAGGACCGGCCGCAGGAGGGTGAGGGGACGACCTCGGGCGTGGCGGCGCAGGCGGTCGAGCCGACGCCGGCGAGGGGAGCAGGGCAAGGGTTGGCGGAGCGGGAGGAAAGGTCGGGTAGGCCGGAGGAGGTGAAGGAAGGGAAGAGGGAGCGGCCGGTGGTCGGGTCGCGACAGGAGGAGGCGCGACAGGACGAGCCGGCTGGGGAGGGTAGACGGCCGGTGCGGACGTCGACGCGTGGGCGAGTGCCGGCCGGGCGTGCTGCGTCGGAAGCACGGAGGACGAGGGGCTGAATGCGGTCGTCGGGGGGGCGTTGGACAGGCGCAGGGCGGAAAAGTCGCCGTCGAGCGAGAGGTGGTTGGGTGGACCGTGTCGTCGCGAGGGGTCGCCGGCGAGCTGCGGCCAGTCTTGTGCAGTCGGCGGGTCGTAGACGTTGTACGGGTCGCGAGGGCCGAAACGCGAGCGGATTTGGGGCACGGCGGCTGGCGTACGAGGGCCCGAGCCGGCAGGTCGAGGTGGAGGGAGCGGGATGTCGAGGGTCGAGAGCGGCGGACGCTTGTTGGACGACGATTTCCGGGGTGGCGAGTCTCGGCGGAAGAGGTTGGCGAAGACGCCCATGGCGCTGGTGCGGCTGTGTGAGGTCGAGGTGAGTGACGAGATGAGGGGACGAGGCGGTGAAGGAGAGTGGGGGCGCACCTGGGCCCACACAGCTGACAGGACCGGTCGAGGCGGAGCAAGGGGTCCTTGAAGCTGTGCAGCTGTGCACGGGCAGGGCTTGAGATGCCTGGAGCGTGCCGAGAGGAGAGCGACGAGAGGTCGTCGCAATGGTTCGGTCAACCTCGAGCGCTCGTTGTCGTCCATCCACCCTGGGCCACCGACTGCCGAGTCGAGCCTACTCGCACAGAGTGCACCTGCCACCCTGGCACACTCGAACCTAGGCGGCGGCCTCGCGCCCCCGCCTCGTCCTCGTCCTCGTCCTCCTCCTCCTCCTCCTCCCGCGCTGTCCCTCGCGCGCGTCAACCGGCTCCTGCGCCCTCTGCGGTCCGCCCTCGGTTCCCTCTCGACCGGGCTCGCACACCAGCACGCTCTCGACCACGCCCAACACCGCCCTGCACCCTCAACTCGCCCCCGACCTCGCCTCGTCGACCCGGACTGGGCCTCGTCCCCCGTCAAGCCCCAGTCTCGCCGACGCTCGTCCATCGCCATCGGGCCCCAGCACCACATCGCCGCCGCACACCACCCGACCCCGGACAGCAGCCCGTTCAAGCTCGCCGCGAGGCGTCGCCCTCCTCGTCCGGCCACCACCTACGGCTCGCGCCGTGCCCACCCTCCCCCTCCTCTTCCTGTCGCTCCAAGATCCGCACCTCCCCCACCTGTCGACCAACCCTCGCCGCGCCGTGACGTCCGCCTCACCCAGGCCGACCTTCGCGCCCGACTCGCTCACTCCGACGCCGCCCTCCCGACCCTCGACCTTCAGCAACGCGCAGCAACCGCTCTCCGCGCCTACGCCGCCGTCCTCGAGGCCGTCTCGACGCCCTGCGTCGCGTCGCAGGGACCGCGAGAGCCGCCGTCGCTCGCCGAGGTCGCCGCAAGGACCCTCGGGTCGGGCATCGAGGACGACTTGCGCGCGCTCGGCGCCGGTGTGTGCGCCGACGCCAACGAGGACGGCGAGGCCGCGAGCGTCGGCATGGACCGCTCGGCGAGCGCCCACGAGATCGAGCTCGCTGCGTCGACCGCCCAGGACGAGTGGTACGAGTCGAGCTCGCCGCACGCCGTCCGGTGCGTCCCCTCGCTCCCTGCCTTCCCTCGCCTCACCTCGACTGAATCTTTCGGCCCCCTGCAGCTGGATGCTCGGCGACCACGCGACGTCCATCGTCATCGACGCTCTCGAGGCGGCCGATGCGCCGCTCGCCCTGTGGGAGTGCTGCTTCGACCTGTGCCTCACGCACGACGCCCACCCCGAGGTGCGCCGACCGTCTCTCTCATTCTCTCGTCCACGCACAACCTGACTGTGTCGTGTGCGCCTGCAGGCCTCGCGCTTCCACGCACCCGTCCTCGCCGCCCTCCTTTCGGCACCTCGCAGTCCACCACCGCCCTCGGTTCTTCCCCTCCTACGCCGCACACCCTCCCCCTCGGCCTTCCTCCACTCGGCCCTCGTACCCGTCCTCCTCGCCTCGTCCTTCTCGCAGCGCCTCTTCTACCATCCCTCGCTGTCCCTCCCCTCGACCTCGACCTCGTCCCCTCGACGCGACGCCCCACTCTTTGCCGCTCTCCTCGTCGCGCACGGCAACGTCGCGAGCGCCATGTTGCGCTCGATCCGCGACCTGACGGCGTCAGCCCCGGGCGCGACCGACGTCGACCCGGTCGACCCGGACTCGGCGCGCAACATGCAGGACGAGGTGCGCCGCAGAGTCGCAGCGCAGGCGCGTGTCGCAATCGGGTGCGCACTGCGAGCGTGCGCACGCCCTCGAGCGGTGGGTGCCGCAGTCGACGACGGCGCCGAGGCGCTCGAGGACGTGCGCGACGCGCTCGCCGACGTCCTGCGTGCGTCGTCCGATGCCGACGCCGGCGACGACGTCTCGCTCGAGCGCGACGAGCTTGCCGCAGCCCTCGACCGCGATGGCGAGCTGCGCTCGGCGACGGACGACCTGCGCGCGCTCGACGCCGTGTGCGCGCTCGCGCTCTCGTTGCGTAACCCGGCGGCGGCAGGCGCGCCATTGAGCCTCTCGAGCGCGCTCGCGAGCCTCGACGACGGCCTCGTTACCGTCGACGCGCTCGACGACGCGCTGCGGCGCTTCCTGCCGCTGCTCCTCGGCGTCGTCGGGCCTTTGTCGCACCAGGCGGTCGACGAGCGCCTACTCGACCACGTCGACGCGAGCACGCCCGGCGGCGAGGCGCTCCTCCGCACCCTGAGCACGTGCAGCGCGGCGAGCGCGGCGGCGAGGGCCGAGGCTGAGGTGCGGCTCGCGAGCGTGAGCGGGCGCGAGACCGAGGACGAGTTGGTGCACGAGTCGGAGCCGGACGAGCTGGACGACGTGGGCAGCGGCGGCGAGGGCGAGGGCGAGGACGACGCCGAGCCGACCGACTACGACGAGCCGGTCGTCATGGTGTCGCCCGTGCGGTCCCGAGCGCAGCAGGTCCGCCGTCGTCGCCAGATCGTCCAATCGCCCGAGCCCGACGACGACGACGACGACGCTCTCCTCGGTCACCAGCCCGCGACGGGTCGCCGCATCAAGACATCGTCGCGGCTCGTCGCTGCGGGCTCGTCGCGCGGTCGCTCGCGGTCGGCGGCGGTCGAGCCATCGGTGCGCCGAGGGCCCGGTGTACCGCGCCCTGCGGCCATGCCGATGCTCGCCTTCTCGGACGAGTCGAATGCGTCGTCGGCCGAGGACGACGACGTCGACGAGGCGCGTGAGCCAGACGTACTCGTCCTCTCGCCGTCGCCCTCGACCACGCCACCACCTTCCGCACCCCGCCGCGCTCTCGCACATGCCCGCCCTTCCACCAAAGCCTCGTCACACCCTTTCACGTCCACCCTGATGGTCGACAGGCCCACCGTCGCGCCGACGAGCGAGGCCGACGACCTCGACCTGCTGCAGTCGGTCAAGCGGCGGCGGCACGCGGTCAAGGTGCGCGAGCCGGAGCGGGCGACGAGCGGGAGCGCGAGCGTCGTACACGACGTCGTCGAGCGGCGGCCGCACCCGAAGAAGCAGCGGCGGCTGGTCGAGCGGGGCAGGCAGCGAAGGTGGACCGGCGGCCGCGAGGAGGACGAGGAGAGCGAGGACGAGCTGGCGATGTAGCGCCTCGGCCGAGTAAACTATCTACCTATCTCTCGATGTGCTGCTGCACCTTTTGTCGCCTGGCTTGGCCGTGAGGGGCGAGAGGTCCGAGTTGCGCGTGTGCTCGACGACACTGCGAAGAGTCGCTGCGTTCGAGAGCCGGTCGCCTCGTCCTTCCTCGCTCTCGCTGCCCATGCGCCGAGGCCGTGCCGAGACGGCATGAGCAGCTTCAGCAGATCGCCGCACACGCGCGCCCCGCTCCTGCCCGACTACATCCCCCTCATCTCGACGAGCACCGCCTCCTCCTCATCAACAAGAAGTCCGCACCACCCGCACCGGCGACGCCTGGCCGTGCTACTAGCAGCAGCGGCCCTCGTCATCCTGTGGGCGTCGCTGCACCGCACCGTCCACCTCGAGAGCGGCCCCGCCTACTCGACCGACGGCACCCTCCTCGACTCGGCGCGTCGACCCGGCAGCTTCGACCTCGCGCCAGACCCAGCAGAGCAGCTCGTCGTCGTCTACAACAGCACTTCCCGACACTCTCCCTACCGTCCCCGCCGTCCCTGCAACGCCCTCACTGCCTCGCTCGTCGCCCTCTCGCCCAACTCGTCCGCCCAGCGCTTCCTCTCGCCGTCCCCTCCTCTCCCGCCAAATACGCCCCTCTCGACTCGTCTCGACGACTGGCTCTCGTCGCCGCTCGCGCCGCCCGAGCTGTGGACCCAGTTCGGCCGGCAGACGTGCGGCAACCCGTCGGTGCGCCGCAACGCCAACCGGCTCCACGTGCGCGACAGCGAGGCGACATGGGCCCAGATGGACGTCGAGCGCGTGCGAGGGATCCGCGAGGAGCTGTCGGGTGTGCTGCGCCGGGCAGAGGAGGAGGGGCGGCTCAGTCGGTGGGCGAGCGAGGATTCGAGCGGGACGAGGGGCATTGTGTGGACGGCGGGCAACGCCGTGCGTCCCAGCCCGCCCCCTCTTCGAGTCTCACAGGTCGCACTGACGATGCCTGCCTGCACACAGGACACGTTCGACCGAGTTTTGACGTCGCTGCGCCTCCTCCGCCACTCGTACAACTGCACCCTCGCCGCACACGTCGTCCACTTCCCGTCCGAGTCGCCCTCGCCCGAGCAGGTCGCCGAGTTCGCCATCCTCAACTCGACCGTGAGCTCGCTCGACTCGGTCTCGAAGGACGAGCAAGGCGGCCGCGCCAAGTCGTTCCACCTCAAGGGCGCCGCACTCGTCCAAGCGCCGTTCGACGAGGTCCTCCTCCTCGACTCGGACAACATCCCCGTCCGAGATGTCGCGTCCTTGTTCGACAGCCCTGAGTACCTCGAGATGGGCGCCGTGCTCTGGCCCGATTTCTTCAAGGACCAGCCCGAGAACGTGCGCTCGCCTTTTCTCTTCTTCGTCCTCTTTCCCTCGTCGCATACCCTGATTGACCCTCGACACGTTCCACAGGGCATCTGGGCGATCCTCGGCGTGCAGTGCCGCGACGAGTGGTCGACCGAGTCGGGCCAGGTCCTCATCCGCAAGTCTCGGCATCTCGATGTGTACGTCCGCCTCTCCCTCAAGCCCTCGAGCTCCTCGACCTGACTCTTGCACGCCTCTACAGGCTTCCTCTGGTCGAGCACATGCTCCTCGACTGGCCCTTCTGGTTTCGCTTCAGCGACGGCGACAAGGACCTGTTTCGTGAGCCTTCTTTTTTCCTCTCTTGTTCGGCCTGGTCCCGATGCATGTGAGCCGGTTCGCTCATACCTCTCGGAGATCTTTGCAGGTTACGCCTTCCTCGCGTTGCGCAAGCGCTGGGCCGTCCCGGCTCGGCATCTCTCGTCGGCGTCGTGGACCGACCCGGGCATGCTCGGCAGCCAGAATCGCGAGCGCTTCGCAGGCCACTCGATGGTCCAGTACGGCATGGCGAGCGAGGTCGACGGCGCAGGAGACGTGGGTGGGAGGGTCATGTTCGTCCACGCGAACCTGCTCAAGAGAGTGCTCGGGTGCGTCGACCGCTCTCTCTCTCTCTCTCTCCCACGTTCTCCTCGACCGGCGCATAATGACACGTCCCTCTCCCACACACACAGCAAGCTTCACGACGGCAACACGTGGGGTCGCACGCTGCGCCTGCGTCTGCCGCGTCGCTCGCCGCCGTCGCCGGACTCGCCCGCGCACGAGCCTCTCTCGGCGCCCTTCCTCCTCACCGGCGACGCGCTCGCCAACGTCTCGCCCCTCACCGGCCTCGGCATTCCGATCTCGATCCCTTCTTCTTCCTCGTCCTCCTCGAGGCCCGTGCCGCGCTCGGTGCGCTCGCGAGCGGCTCTCGAGCGCGGCCTGTGGATGCGCTTCTGGTCGGGCCACATCGGGCGCGGCGCGTACGTCCTCGCCGTCGACAGCGCGTGGGAGGACGAGCTCGCGCTCGGGGCAGCGTGGGGAGAGGGCGAGGGCGACAGGGGCGTGGGAGAAGGAGAAGGAGCCGAGGCGAGGTATCGAGAGGGTGAGGAGGAGCAGGACGAGTGGGCGCAGTGGGTCGAGCGCGAGCGAGTCGCGCAGTGCGGCGACGGCGACGACGGTGCGCTCGCGCTGCACGACGAGCTGCTCGGTGCGGACGGGGCGGCAGAAGCAGCGGCGACGGCAGGCATGATGGAGGTCGTCTCGTGGGCCGACGACCCGGACCTGCGCGAGTTCGAGGCGCGGTATTACGGTGTCGGGAGGGGCAAGGCTGGCGGGACGGGCTTTCGGTGAGCGCGCTAGAGCGCTTTCGAGTGTAGCGAGCGCGCCTGTATCTGTCTCTCGCGTTCATTCTCGCGAAGCGGGCAGGCTCTCGAGAGACAACGACAGAATCCGGACGGCAAGGCTCGGTCGAGAGACAGCGCGAGTTGCGCACGGCGAGGCGGCTACGGCGAGGATAAGGAAAGGGGCGAGGAAACACGGACGGCAAGCTTTTGTCGAGGCTGAAGGCCGAGGTAGACGAGCTGCGGTCGATGAAAAGTACGAGTGAGCGAGTGCGACTCGACGATGGTCGACGAGGTAGGCGAACGCAGGGACAGCGTGCTTGAGAGAGAGACTGAGGGGACGTACCTCGAGCGGTTTACTCGTCGTCGCCCTCCTCCTCGTCGCCCTCGTCCTCTCCCTCGCCCTCGGCCGGCTCCTTGAGCTCCGACTCGTTGACCTCGGCATCGTCCTCGTCCTCCTCCTCGTCGGCCTCGTCACCGGCGTCGAGGGCCGCATAGTCGACCTTCTTGCCGCGCGTGCGGCGGCCGCCCTCGATGATGTTGGATTGGTCGAGGTGCGCGAGCTCGCCCGACACGTCCTCGCCCTCCTCGTCGTCGTCCTTGGTCTCGGCAACAGGCGCGTCGTCCTCCTTGGTGGTAGGCTTGGCCCTGGAGGAGAAAGTGCGAGTGAGCCAACACGCTCGGTCCGGCTCGAGAGAGCCACGACGAGGATTAGGGGAGAGGGTGCGCACTTCTTGGCGTCCGACTCCTGCTCGGGCTCGTCCTCGGCGGCACGCTTTGCGGGTGCTGCGGCAGGCTCGTCGGCCGGGGCGGTGGTGGTGTCCTTGGTCTCGGTCGCGGTCGCGGCGGGCGTGTTGTCGGCCGGGGCGGGCGAGGCGGCCTTGGTGTCTGCAGGGGCGGTCGAGTCGGACATGGTAGAGGGCAGCTGGTGCGGTGGTGTTTGTTGCGAGGGGGTGAGACGAGGCGAGAGGGGGGTGGGGAGTGGGGGAACGAGGGACGAGGAGAGGGGTGCGGGTGAAGGGGACGAGCGGTCAGGGTCGGTAGTGCGGTGGAGGCCCGAGTGCGAGTGCGAGTCGAGCTCACCTGTGGTGTGTGGGTGAGGACGAGGAGGGAACGGTGGGAGGAGGACGAGGCAAGAGCAGGCGGGCGAAACCCAATCCGGAAGGTTTGCCCCGCCTCGCCTCGCTCTCGTCTCCCTCTCTCTCTCAGCTGCCGTCTGGCAGAGTGCAACAAGCGCAGCTGCAGCTCCAGCCATGCCCTCCTACTGTCCCGCGAGCGAGAGACGGCGAGAGAATCGACGCGCGGCCGTGGTGCCCCTCTCTTCGGCGTTCGAGGCTCTCCGAGATTCACTCGCTCCTTGACAGCTTCGTCCTCCGCCTCCCGTAACACTACAAGCGCCAGCCGCCAGCACACGCGCCATGGCCGACTCTGACGACGACGGCTACTCGTCCGAGTCCGACCTCGACGTCTCGACCTCGCTCCCCGTCCTCGCGCCCGGCTCCACCACCTCGGGCTCGTCGGCGCACCCGGCCCAGCCCAAGACCAAGGGCAAGCAGCACCAGCTCCAGCGCAAAGACTCGACCAAGGACTCGAACGACAAAGAGCCGCGCAAGCGCTCGTCCAAAGCCTGTGCGTCGCCCCTCCTCCTCCCTCTTGTCGTCGTCGGCCGCATCCCCCGCCCCCGTGTCCACCCCTTCCTTGCCGTGCGGGGCACCCACTCGCGCACAGAGCTCGTCGACTGACCGCCTCGTCCCTCCCATCCAACAGGCGACAAGTGTGTCCTCGCCGTGCCACTCTCCCCTTCGACTCGGCCGCCTCTCGCCCGACGATGCCGCGGCATCGCCGTCAACCTCTCCCTCGCGCACGACAACTGACCCCGCCCGCCCTACAGCTGCCGCAAGAGCAAGTGCAAGTGCACCCGCATCCTCGATCCCGCCTCGGGCGACCCTGTCGGCCCATGCCAGAACTGCCTCACCGTCGGCGCAACCTGCACCTTCCTCGGCGCGAGCCGCAAGCGGTGCGTCCCCTGCTCCTTTACTCTACGCCTCGTCTCGACGACCCTGACCCTGCCTCCTTTGCAGAGGACCGCCCAAAGGGTCAGTCAGCCTCAGCCGTCAACGACGGTCGAGCCTCGAGAGCGTACTGACACCGGCCACCCCTTCATTCCTCTCCTCGTGCAGCTACATCGAGGCTATCGAGTCTCGCCTGCACCGCATGGAGGCGCTCCTCGGTGGCCTCATCGGCAGCGACGATCCTCGAGCGGCAACCCTCCTCGGCGAGCTCATCGGTCCGTCGACCCTCTCTTTATCTCGGCGCGTCTTGCGCGCCCGTGACTCGCTCCTGACTCTTCCCTTCCGTCCCTCACAGGCGACCATGAAGCGCGCGACGTCCTCGCTCGCGACCTGCGCCATGCCGCCTCGTCGTCAACCTCGACCTCGGCCGCCGTCGCCTCTCAGCCCAAGCGGTCGTGGCAGCGCGACTTTGCCGAGCAGCAGGCGGCCTTGACGCGCTCGCCGCCGACCACGGCTCCACCATCGGGCGCGACGGTCCTCAGCCAGGGCTTCCCGACTCAGCCGGGCGAGCCCGCCTTCCCCGGCGGCCTCGGCTCGTCATCGCTCGGCGCCGGCCCAGAGCCCGGCACCTGGCTGAGCGACGAGGACCTCGCCGCGTTCGGCGCGTCGGCGACGCCGGGCGGCGGCATCGGCGGCGCACTCGGGTTCGACCCGTCCGGCGCGGGCGCGTACCGCCAGCCGGGCATGGGCGAGTCGTCCGAGGACGGCGCCTCGCCGGCGTTCGCCGCTCGCCTTTCGACGTCGGCCGACGTCGCGACGTCGCCCCGACAGCGCCGCCGTCTCGACCTGCCGGTCGGATCGTCGTACGGCGCCTCACCGGGCGCCGGCTCCGGCACGAGCGGCACGAGCCCGAGCGCGGGCGGCGGCGGCGGCGTCGGCGGGCAAGGGTTCGCCAACCCGGACCGCAAGCAGATGGCCTACGCGTTCACGCTGCCGCCGGTCGGCGTCGTCCCGCCGAGGTCGGCGACGCAGACGAGCGCGCCCGTTCTGAGCCCGGGCGCGATCGGCCACACGGGCACGAGCTCGTACCTCCTGTCGGGCTCGCCGGGAGCGAGTGGCGGCGGAGGTGCAGGAGAGGCGGACGAGAGGGAGGACGGCAAGGGCGCGGCGGCGAGGGCGAGGGCGACGCAGAGCCCGAGCGAGCCGCTCACGGAGCTCGCCGACGTCGTCGGGCAGCTGAGCTTGAACGAGAACGCCGAGGTGCGGTATCATGGGCGGTGCGTCCTCTCTGCCTACCACCTCGCCCGTCGTCATCGTCGTCGTCGTCGAGAGGGCCCACATTGACCTCGATCCGTCGCCCGCAGCTCGTCGGGCCTGTACCTCATCGCCAAGTCGCAGCGCTTCAAGGAGTTCTTCTGGCGCTTCCCGTCAGCCGGCGTGTGGCCTCCTGCCGACCACGGCGCCGTCAAGACCGAGAACGAGATCCTGCGCCTTGTCGACGCCGAGGACCCGCTGCCCGACCTCAAGACGCAGGCGCATCTCCTGTCGCTGTACTGGGCCTACGTGCACCCGCACTTTCCGCTCCTGTACAAGGTGCGTCCCCCTCTCGCTCACGTCACGTTGGACCCGCGCCACTAACAGCGCTTTGGCCTCGTCTTTCCCGCAGATCTCGTTCATGCGTCAGTACCGCCACACGCTCGCCCACCCGGACAGCACGGAGCCGTCGACGCCGGCAGGCACGGGCAAGGTGCCCGTCGTCCTCCTCCTCGCCATGTTCGCGCTCGCGGCTCGTTATTCGGACCTCGAGGCGCCGACCGAGGGCGGCAAATACTGGGAGGCCGGGCAGGAGTACCTCGACAAGGTGCGCCCCATCTCTCTGCCGTCCTGTGACTCGGTCACGAGCGCATGCTGGTCGCACGGCCTGACTCGAGCCCCTTCGTCGTGCAGGCGCGCCGGATCCTCAACCACGACTACGGCTCGAGCAAGCTCGTCACGGTCCAGGCGCTCCTCCTCATCAGCTACCGCGAGATCGGCGTCGGCGCAATGAGCAGCGCGTGGATGAACTGCGGCATGGGTCCGTCCGCCCTCGTCCCTTCCTCGCCCCACTCGAGCGGGATTACTGACGACCTTCCCTCACGTGCCTCCCCCTCGCCCCTCTCCTTTCTCCTCCCCTCATCCACGTTCCTTCTTCGCGCACGCAGCGATCCGCATGGCGCAAGACTTGGGCTTGTTCCGCGACGTCGAGAAGTGGTACCTGCCGATCCAGCGCTTCACGCACGAGGAGAAGCAGGCTCGCAAGCGTGTCTGGTGGGCGTGCGTCATCCTCGGTACGTCTTCTACCCTCCCTGGATATCTCTCAAAGGTCAGGTCCAGGGCGAGCGAGCACTGAGGCTTCTCTCCCGCCGGCAGATCGCTACACCTCGTCGTACATCGGCCGGCCTGGCACGATCCACGAGCGCGACTACGACTGCGGCTTCCCGTCCGAGGACGAGCCCGACGAGCACGAGCAGTGGCGCCCGATCCGGCTCGACGGCACCGAGTGGACGTCGCCGCCGAACGCCAACCGGGCCACGCCGGGCTCGGGCGAGACGGTCGCGGTCGACAACGCCAAGTTCCTCAAGGCGTACCCGCCGACACGAGCGCACACGCTCAGCTGCTTCAACGCTGCAGGTGCCCTCGCCGTCATCATCAACCGCGTGCGTCCAGCTTTCCCTGCCCACCTCCATCCTCGGCGTAGCCTTGGACTTACCCGCGCCGGCGTACCTCGCCCCTCTCACACGCAGATCATCTCGAACATCTACGCGATCCGCATCCGGGTACTCGGGCAGAGCAGCGAGACGCTCTTGAGCCTACTCGACCAGAGCCTCGCGAGCTGGTACCTCGCCTTGCCGCCGCACCTGCAGTACAACCCGGCGAGCACCAAAGTGCCGCCACCGCATGTGCGTCCCTCCTCAGTACTCTCGTATGCGCACGACGAGCGAGCTCACGCACTGTGACGCCCGCAGATCCTGTCGTTGCACCTCCAGTTCTACTCGTCGCTCATCCTCCTTCATCGACCTTTGTGCGCCTCTCTCCTCCTCTTTTCCCCCTCGCACCCTCGCCTCGTCCTCTAGCGAGATCTCTCTGACCCTTGCTTCTCGGCGCGCAGCATCCCGGGCCAGAACAGCAGTGCGTCGCCGGGCAGCTTCCCGTCGCACTCGATCTGCACGACCTCGGCCAACGCCATCGCCAAGTGCGTCCTCTTCCTCTCGCTCGCCAATCTCTCCTGTATGTCCCTAACGTGATCGTGCCGCTCGCGCAGCATCATCACGACCTGGAGCAAGACCTTCACGCTGCGGCAGTGCCCGCCTTTCCTCACGTACCCGATTTTTAGCGCCGCCATCATCTGCGTGAGCCCTCTCTTCCACTCTGATCGATCTCTCTCGTCGATCTGGTACTGATGCGCCCGCACCGATAGGTCTACAACGCGTCGTTCGACGAGGCGCTCGCTCGCCCGGCCAAGGTCCACCTTCTGCAGTGCATGAACGCCCTCAAGGAGATGGAGGTGCGCCCTCACTTTTCGCCCCTCTTTCCTTCTCGAGCCTCTCTGACTGTGTCTGGTCCGCGCCCGCAGCTCATCTGGGGCTCGGCCATCCGCCAGTGGGAGCTCCTGCACGGCCTCGTCGACCTGCGCGACGCCGACCTGCGCGCCGAGCTTGACGAGCGCGCTCAGAGGGGCACCAAGCGTGCGACTATGGACCTGGACGAGGCGGCGGCGGCATCACCCGGCAGCGCCGCGTTCACCGGCGTGCGGCCGACCAACTTCCACCACCGCCCGATCCCCCGCGCCACGAGCAAGCCCGGTGCGAGGAAGCGCAGCAGCACGAGTACCTCGCGTCGCAGTGCCACGTCGGGCGCAGTCGCGAGTGGCAGCCCGACGAGCCCGCCGCCGCCGGCCGGCCAGCTGCCGCTCTTCCCGGGTCCGGCCGCGCTCCAGTCGCCGCCGCTCGACATGTTCGGCCCGGGCACCGCGGCGCACAGCCTGCCGCCGATGTTCTCGGGCGCGCCGATGCAGGGCGTCCAGCTGCATGGGCACGCGCCGGGCGACTCGACGCCGCAGAGCTTCGACATCCTCAACCCGCAGCTCGACCTGAGCCAGTTCCGGTCCCGCCCCGGCTCGAGCAGCGGCGCGACCAACTTTTCGGACCTGTGCGTCCACCTTCTCTCTCTCTTCTCCCTCCCTAGTGCGACGGACCCGAGCAGATCCTGACGTCGACGACCTTCCCAGGCTCAACTCGTTCCTCTCGCCGACCGAGGCGGCCGGCGCACCCGCATTCGGTGCAACTGGCGCCGGCAGCAATCCGTTCATCTTTGGCGCCGGCGGGACGAGCCCGTTCCACCTGCCGGGCGCGCCAGGTGCGACGCCGGCGTCGTCGAGCCAGCCGCAGCCACCGGGTCCGCCGCCTTCCACTACCGCGAGCGCGTTCGACCCGTCGTCGGCCTTTTTCGGCATGCCTCTCGGAGCCAACCTCGGTGACGACTGGTGCGTCCCTCGACCGTCCTCCCTTTTCTCCTCGTCGAGCCGAGAGCGCGAACCTGACCCCTTTCCTCGCCACGCAGGTTCAACTACTCGTACAACGCGTTCGCGTCGAACGGCTCGGACCAAGGAGGGACGCCCGAGGCGCAAGGTGGTGGTGCCGGGGCAGGATCAGGTGCGGGAGGAGGAGGAGGAGCGTCGTCGTCGAGCGGCGGCGCCGGTGCGGTTGCGGGAGGCTCGAGCCTCGCGCCGCTGCTCCACTCGTCGCCGCAGCCGCCGACCATGTGATCTAGTTATCTCTGTGTGTGTGTACTCTTGTGCTCTAGAGCAAGCTGCAATCGCCTGTTTCTCGCACTCGAGCCGGACGAGCCAGCTCGACTCTGCGGGGAAGTGACCGTCGTCATTCAGCTTGACATCTCGGCAGCTCTCGCTCTGTCTCCCACCGCCGCCCTGCTCGACCAGGGCATGATGGCCATGCTCGCCAACGCTGTCAAGCACTCGACTACGACCGTCACCGCCGCCGCCGTTGTGTCGCCTCGCCCGTCTCGCGCTGCCGCGACGGCCGCCCGCACCGCCATGGCAGCCCGCGATCGTGGCCGCTCGCCGTCCTCGTCCCTGTCGCCGCTCCCGCCCTCGCCAAAGGCCGACCTGTACGACCCGGCAGCCGACGCCCTCGGCTCGCCCGGCGAGGTCGCCGCAGACGGCCAAGGCTCCGTCAAGGTCGAGGACGACGAGGTCGTCGAGCCGCCGGCCAAGAAGAAGCGCACCCGCAAGCCCAAGGAGCCTGTCGTCTACACCATCCCCGACGTCGAACGCCTGTCGACCACGTTCAAGTGCGCTCCACTCCCTCTCACCCTCGGCCGCCTTTCGTTGTCGCGGCCCGCACTGACTCTGCTCCTTTCCCCCAGGGGTCGCCTCGGTTACGCCTGCCTCAACACGATCCTGCGCAAGCACAAGCCGCCTGTCTTCTGCAGCCGCACGTGCCGCATCGACACGATCCTCAAGGAGGACAAGGGCATGCCGTACCTCAAGGAGCTCGCGCGCCAGAACGTCCTCGACCTCGTCAAGCTCATCGAGTGGAACGCCGAGCAGTGCGTCCAGTTTTCCCTTCGTCGCGACCGCGAGGGAGCCAGGTTGCCGTCGCTCACACAGTCGCGCCCTCCCCTCCCTCCTCGTCCTGCAGCCACATCTTCTTCATGCGCAGTCCGTCTCGGGCCTTCTCTTCAGTCTCGATCTCGTCCCCTTCCTGACCCTCTCTGCTTCCCTGCAGTGTCGTCCGAGATGGCACCTTTCGCTGCGCACCCCGACTACCAGTACAGCCTCGACTACATGGATAAGGAGCTCAAGGCCGTCGGCGAGGTCGCCAATCGCCTCGGCGTCCGCCTCACGACTCACCCAGGTGCGCCTCGACGATGCCGCTGGGGTTTTGGGACATCCCGAGATCGACCGACTCATGCCGCCGTTCCTCTCCTCGCGCAGGTCAGTTCACGCAGCTCGGCAGCCCTCGCCAAGTCGTCGTCGAGAACGCCTGGCGCGACCTCGAGTATCACAACGAGATGATGGACCGCATGGGACTCGGCAAGGACAGCGTCATGATCATTCACGTGCGTCGGCGCCCTTTCCCTGAAAACCCCTCTCGCCGACGTCGACCTCGAGCTGACCCTTTCCGGCGTTTGGCGACACGCAGGGCGGCGGCGTCTTTGGCGACAAGGCTGCGGCACTCGAGCGCTTCAAGAAGAACTACCAGGAGTGCTCGCAAGGCGTCAAGAACCGGTGCGTCCCGCCCTCTTCCCCCTCGGTCTCTGGCCCGCACACTGACCTCGACTCTCGCAAACAGCCTCGTGCTCGAGAACGACGAGATCTGCTACAACGTCGACGACCTCCTGCCCGTCTGCGAGGAGATGAACATCCCGCTCGTCTTTGGTCCGTCCCCTTTTCTCTTGACCTGGCCGTGGTCGACCTTCTCAACTGACTCGCCGACGCCTTCTTGCTCCTCACACGCAGACTACCATCACGACTCGCTCTTCCCCTCGTCTCAGACGCCGGCAGAGCTCCTGCCGCGCATGCTCGCGACGTGGGAGCGCAAGGGCATCCGCCCCAAGTTCCACCTGTCCGAGCCGAGGCGCGGCGCCGAGACGCTCATGGTGCGTCTCTCCCCTCTTCTCAGGACGGTGTCTCCTGCATCGGCGTCGTACCTGATGCGCCTCGTCGACTGCCTCGCAGGAGAAGCGCGCACACGCCGATCGCTGCCAGCGTCTGCCCGACGCGCTCCCCGACGACATTGGTGCGTCCTCGCCTCTCTCTCCCTCCCTCTTTCGCCGTGCAGGCCATTGTCGAGCTCGGCCTGATCGTCCAACGTACACGCGCAGACCTCATGATCGAGGCCAAGGACAAGGAGCAGGCCGTGTTCCACTTGTACCGCATCTACGGCCTCGCGCCGACTATCCACGGTGCGCACCTTCTCTCCTTGGCCACCCACTCCTCGACGACGACGAGCTCACCTCGAGACCGTCGCACAGATGACCTGCGTCCGCCTGCCGAGGTCGAGACGAAGCAGACGGCCGGCCGCAAGTCGCACAAGGCCAAGAAGCCCAAGAAGGAGGAGGCCGACACGGACGCGACGGCGTCGGCCGAGGGCGAGACGGCTACGGCGACCGACGGTACGGTCGAGCTGTCGGCCGAGGAGGGCGACGCGGTCGTTGGTGCGCTCGACAAGGGCGTCATGCCGCTGCCCGAGGGCAAGAACGCCGAGGGCCAGGCCGTCGACCCGCCGCTCAAAGGTGGCGCCAAGAAGTCGACGACCCCCAAGAAGCGCACGCCGAGGAAGAAGAAGGCGACGACGCCCGTCAAGGTCGAGGCGAACGACGATGTCGAGGCCGACGCCGACGCCGAGGCCACGCCCGTCAAGAAGCGCACGCCGGTCAAGCGCAAGGCCAAGGTCGAGGAGGGCAGCGAGGAGGAGGTTGCGCCCAAGCCCAAGAAGGCGCGCACGCCGAGGAGGGCGGCGCCGGCCAAGGTGGAGGACGACGAGGAGTGAGCCTCGTTATAGACGTCGAGACGCGCTTGCCCATTATCGTTTCGCCTCCTCTTTGCCGCTGTCGGCCCTCGTCCCCATCTTCCTGCTTGCCGAGAGTCGAGAGCAGCTTTAGCGATGAACGATGAGTGACAAGCAGCGGAGCAGAGAGCCTCTCGTTCTTTCCGAACGAACGCCCGGAAGTCGCTCGGACCTCCTCGCCTTCGCCTTCTCTCGCCGCTTTCCCGATCTCGCTCGTGTCGAAGCTGAGGGACTCTCGCATCGTGTCAGGTCGTCTAACGCTACAGGAGGAAGCAAAGGAAAGCTACGGCACGACAAGGGGACGAGGAAGAGGGTACAAAAGAGAAGGGAGAACCGGCTCGAGGGCGAGGGAGGGCGGGCTCGCTCGCAGAGACAAAGGGCAGCAGAGCTCGACAGGAACGTTCACTCCCGCCGAGCGTGCTCGTCGTCCGACCGCCGCGTCTTGTCGCTCGCAGTGGACGGGTTGGCCGTGGCGGCGCGGCGACTGCCGAGGCCAAGGGCGCGAGCTGCGACGTACAGCGCGCCGAGGACGAGCGGCAGCACGTCAAGTGGCGGCTGCGTCGTCGTTGCGAGGGTGGCGGGAAGCGAGGGGAGGGTCGCGCATGGCTGACGGGGCGGGAAGGTTGCTAGACCGTCGAGCGAGCCGAGCGTCGTCTGCACGTGCTCGTCGGCGGCCTGCCCGAGAGCGAGCATGCCGTCACCGACGACGTCGGCAGCGTAGTTGGCCGAGTCGGCCGTGGCGACGGCGTCGAGCTGAGCCCAGTCGAGCGTGCCGTCCGGGCGCACGAGCGCGCTCGGACCCTCGCCCACCTGCGGCCCGCCGTACGCCGCCGCTTCGGCCTCGTAGCCCTGCCACGCCGCCTCCCGTCTCCCGACCCTGCGCGCCTCGACCTCGTCGGCGGCGTAGCCGAGCCGCGCCTCGTCCTCGGACCCTGCTCGCTCTCCTGCTCGTCCACCTCCTTCTGCGGCGCGCCGAGCTTCGGCTCGCGCTCCGGCGGCGACCATGCAGCGCGCAATGCGGGCCTCGCGACGGCGTACGCTCGGCGGCGTGAGGCACTGCTGCTGCGCGGGCGACAAGGGCGAGTCGGCGAGCGACGAAGGCGCGGGCGCTCTCGACGAGTCGGGTCCGGCGTCGGCCGGTTGCGACGATTCGTGCGACATGGTCGAGGCGAGGGAGGATGTGTGCCGCTCGGGGCTGAACGAGGTGGAGCCGGTCGACGTGATTGGAGAGGGGTCCGTGCGGAGCTGTTTCGACGACGGGCGGCTCGTCAGTGAGCGCACTCGATTTGTCACGGGCCGCGAGAGATCTGCAACCGACAACTGACCGACAACTGACCGACAACTCGGGTTCGGCAGACTCGCTGAGCGAGGTGCGCGCCGTGCGAGGCAACCGTCGGCGACGAGCCACGAGATGCGGAGGGCAAGGGGCGGCCGCTGACGCAAGCTGAGCGGGCGGGTCACAGGCGAGCAGGCCGGTGCCGGAAGACGGTTGCCGCGTCGCGCGAGGCAGAAGATGCGAAGCGAGAGAGCAAGAGAGCGAGAGAGCGAGAGAGTCAAGCGTGAGACGGTCGTGCCAGCCACTCGTGTTCCCGACAAGTGGGCGGATCCGGAGGCGGTTCGAGAGGGCTCTGCTGCGCCGGCCGGCGTGCGGGAAAGGGCCGCCGAACCTAATTAGGCCGCGAGATCGAATGAAAGCCGAACGTCGTCCTTCGTCCTCGTACGCGGCGAAGCTTCCGCTCGCCGAGGTGCTCTCGAGTGCAGCCGAGCGTGGTCCTCTGGGTGCACGCTGCAAGGAGCGCTCGTCCCTCCTCTCGCTCGTACCGGAGACCGGTGGAGGCACAAGCGCGGGGCCAGCCACGTGTGCGAGGACGATTGCTCTCCGATGAGTCGCCAGCTTCGGACGTCACCAGCTCAAGTCAGGCACGCGGACGTGTGCGAGGTTGCGCTGGCTTGATTGGCCGCGGATTAAGATCTGCAGCCGGCGTGCTGCCACCTCGATCTGGTCGAGCGGTGAGCAAGGCGCGGGCCAGCGACGACGGCTTCCTCTCCCGCCCCCGACCACCGCCCAGCTGCGCTCTCGCTCTGCACCACGCCACGGCCCAGTCGACCGCCCCAAGTCGCCCCCCAGCACCAAGCTCGTCCACGTCCATGCCGATCAAGCGCTCGCCGGAAGAGGGCTCGCGTCCGCCTCTCTCGCGCGGCAGGTGCGTCCCGCTCTCCCCCTCTCTCTCTCTCTATCGCGCAAGGGTGCAAGGCCTGACTGGTCCTTGCCCTGCCTCTGCAGTGCGTGCCACCGCTGCTTTGCGCGCAAGGTGCGCTGCTCGGGGCAGCCTGCGCCCGAGTCGGGCCTCAACGCCTGCACCTCTTGCCTCCGCACCGGTGCGTCCCTCGTCCTCCTCCTCGCCCGCGAGGGCCTGTCGTACACGAGCCTCACACTGACTCGCAAGCGACCCCGTCCCCCTTCCACCCGGTGCAGCCCGCTTCAAGGGCCACGACCTCGCGCATGCTCGCTGCGCCTTCCAAGGTGAAGGGCTCTGCAGCGAGGAGGGCGGGCCCTCGATGACGGGCGAGATCTACTCGAACGTCGGACCTGGTGAGCCCTCGTCTCTCTCTCTGTCTCTCTGGCGAGCGCTGGCCGCAAAGAGCCGGGCTGACCAAGCGGTTCTCGCGCGCAGCTCCTCGCCGCAAGCTCACTTCGCGTTCGTCGACCAACACGTCCGTCAGCTCGACCCGGTCGGCCGCCTCGGCCGTCTCGAACGCGACAGACTACTCGTTCGACTCGGTGGGCGCCTCGTCGCTCATCTCGCCCGTCTCGTCGACCGGGTCGCTCAAGTCGTTGGGCGACGGCATCGCCTCGGCGTCCTCGTCGCCCGAAACCCTCCAGCTCGCGCCGCCCAGCACCTACCAGCTCCCGCCCGCACTGCCCCCTTACGCCCTCCCCGGCGGGCAGCAGCAGCACCACCAGCCGCCGTACTACGCGCCGCAACCGTCCACCTCGTCCCTCCCGCCGACCTCGTTCCCGCCTCATGCGCCCTTTCCCGGCACGTTCCGCACCGCGTCGGACCCGTCGTGCGCCAAGTCGCTCCTGTCGCGTCGCACCAAGGCGTCACCGATGAGCATCGCCCTGCCGCCGCAGCCGTCGATGATCCCGTCGCCGACCGTTTCGCGCGCCAACTCGCCCGTCAACCCGGCAAGCGCGCCCCTCGCCATGCCTCAAACTTGGGGCCCGCCGACACACCAGCAGCAGCACCACCAGCCGCAGTTGCAGCAGCAGCAGCAGCCGCAGCAGCAGCACCGTCACCAGCACCACCAGCCGCAACCGCTCCCCCTCCAGCACCACCAGCCGCAGCACCCGCACCAGCACGCGCAGCAGCACGCCTACTCGTCGCAGTACGCGCAGCAGGACGACCTCGCCGGCGCCATGCAGTCGGTCCTGACGCCGTCGACGCTGTCCAAGCTGCCCGGCGCCCAGTCGTCGTACGACTTCCCGCTCTCGAGCGAGGCGTACGCCTCGTACGGCGGCGCCCCGACGCCCGCGCTCGGGTACGGCGGCGCGATGCACCTCGGCGCGTACGCGACGCACGGCATGTCGAGCTCGGCGCTGCCGCCGACGCCGTTGCGGTCGCTGTCCGTCTCGGAGCTGTACCCGCCGGCGTCGTACGCGCACGCGCCGCCGCCGCCGACTCAGGCGAGCACGGCCGGCGTCGAGTACGACACGCACGCGCCCGTCGCGTGGAGCACGAGCTTCCACCTGCCGAGCCCGGGCGTCACGTTCACGTCGAGCACGCCGCACTGGCTTGCGCACGGCGGCGGCGCGGCGGCGTCGCAGTACTTCCAGGTCTGAAGCGGTCGCGGTCGGCCTTGGTAGACCTCGCCTTTCTCGTCCCTCCCTCTTGGCACCATAGACGTGTCTGCCCCCCTTTCGTCTCGACCCTCGACCCTCGGTCGCAGTCCCTCCCCTTCCTTGCCGTACATAGCCCACCCTCTCTCTCCTCGCCCCTCTGTGAATCTCTTCCCCTCCTTTTTTTGCTTGTCAACAGTACGCTGTCCACGCCTGCAAAGTCCTCGTCGCCTTCTCAACGCATGGTGCCCACCTCGAGAGCGACTGCGAGAGCCTTCGCCCAGCCTCGTGCTCGCCTCGTGCGGGCCCTGCGAGAAGGCTGCGACCGTCCCGCGTCGAGAAGAACGGTGCGCTCAGTGCCGCGCCGCGCAGGAGCCTCTTGTGCTGCGACGATCGCATCTTGGTCAGATTCCCGGCGTCGCTCCCCTCCTCTTTCTCTCCCGCTCGGGTGAATCGGGGGAAACGCAACCGAGATCGGGAACCGAGCGCCCCTGTGAGAGAGCTTCAAGTTGAGAGGCGGCCCGATTCTGCGTTGCACCTCTCGCTCACGCGTGGGAAGAGAGTCTCGCCGAGGGTTCCGCCATCAGCGAGATCGAGAGTTGAGACTCTTTTAGCGCGCCCCGCTGCCGTGTGTGTGCCGCGTTCGTCGGTTCTGAGAGCGCGGCGCGCGGCAAGCGCACAAAAGACGGACGGGCTTCGGGGGCCTGAGCGCCGGACGGAGCTCGCGGTTCCGCTCGCAGGGGTCTCTCTCGAACGGCGCAAGCTGCAGGCCGCAGAGCAAGTACATTGCGAGGGCATGTCGCGCACTAAGAACAACAGGGGAAGGGTCGAATCTATGCACAAGGGGACGGCAACGAGAGAGGAGCTAATGCTAGCGGCCAAAGAGCGGTAGGGACAACGTCGCCTGGCCGTCATGCGCCGAGGGGAGGAAGACGCTGTCGACCGTCGAGTCGTGCTTGACGTCGGCGCCGAACGCCGTCGCGAACAGGTCCAAGGGCGAGTAGAACGACGGGGTCGCCGGCGGCGCGGCAAAGTCGGGCAAGTCGGACGTGACGGCCGCCAACGCGTAGTCGAGGTCGTCGCACAGCGAGAATGGCGACCCGGTGAGCGACGTGCCGGACGACGACGAGGGGCTGAGCTCGTCGGCCCACGCGAACGAGTCGACGGACGAGGGCGACGAGACGAAACCGTGCGGGTCCTCGGACGACCAGTACGACGACGGCGAGGTCGATTCCAGGCTCGGTGGCTTGCTCGACGTCATGCTGTCGACGCCGTAGTACGGGAACGACGTGCCCGCCGGCGCTGCGACGCGGAAGAAAGATGCGGACCCGGCGGCCGCAGCGACGGCGGCGAACTGGGGCGACGCGTCGGCGTACGGTGGGAGAGGCAACGACGCCGTGTGTGACGTGATGGGCGCGGGGAGGACGAAGCGACGGGGTGCGGGTGACAACGATGGCGACGCAATGACCTCGAGCGAGGAGGTGGAGGTCGAAGTGGAGGCGCAGGGGAACGAGCTGGACGTCGACGGTGAGGGCGGCAGGTGCGACGGTGCCGAGGAGAGGATCGGGAACGACGCTGTGCGGGGGAGGAGAGGCAGGTCAGCGTCGGGCACGGTCGAGAGACGACCTTTCTCCTCGAGTTGAGAAGGCCAAAGGTGGACGCACGCTCAGAGTAGCGAGCGCTCGTCGCGGCGCAATCGGACGACACGGCCTCGACAGCGACAGGGTGCAGGGGCGACAAGGCGCGCGCCTTGACCTCCTTGACGCGAGCGGCGGCCTCCGGCGACGCTCCAGGCGCGGGTCCGCACCGCCTCGTCGCCGAGTAGCTGCACAGGACGAGGTTCGGGTCGTCGCCGCGGAAGCGCGCAGACCTTCTGCAGGCCGTGCACGCAGGCTTGGCCGCGTCGCAACGCACCTTGCGAGCTTTGCCTGCGAGACGAAGGGAGATCGAGTCAGCTTCTGTTGCCGTCGACGAGAGAGCCGGGACACGCGCGAGACGAGGACGCACACGTGCTGCACGCAGCTCCCTTCTGCAGGATGTGCTTTGACGACGGCGGGGTCATCGTTTGACGCGAGAGGTGTCGAGGTGCGTGCGGAGGATGAGGGCGGACGACGAGGAGCGGGCTGGCTGACAGAAAGCTGAAAGGCGGGCTTTGCTCACGCAAGGCGATCCCGCTGCCGAGTCGGGCTCACGGAGCTTGCTCGGACGGAAGAGCGGCGCGGCGGCGGCGGCGAGTAATCATCGGGCTTCGAGCTTTCCACTGCGAGCGCGGCGCTGACGGAAGCGAGTGCTCAGGCACGCGCAAACGACCTCGGAGCGAGCGTCCGTGTCGCCGAACCAACGAGAGTACCTCGCCCCGGACGAGGGCCACCGCTGCCTCCGCTCTTTTGCGCTCACCTCGCCTTCCGTCGCTCCGGTCGACGTGCTCGTGCCGAACGGTCGACGACGCAAGTCCCGCGCACTTTCGCAGCGCAACTCCCCTCGCTCTCGTCGCGCCGCCCCGCGCTCGGACCTCCTCGCGCATGCGAGAGCCGCTCAGTCGCTCGCCAGGCAGGGCCACAGCTTGGGCCTCTCAGGCGTGCGACGGAACGCCCGAGGCCGCTCACCTGCGCCGCGCGCCGCGCGAGTAGCTCGGCTGCAGCTCGGCGAGCGACGAGCAGATCTTTCGGCCCTCGGTGCTTGCTCTCTTTCGCTTGGCTGTCGATGGCGCTCGCTCGCTCGCTCTCTCCCAGATCGAAAGACAAACTCTTCAATGACGGTGCTCGAGATCTACAACGAGAGGAGGTGTGACCTGGCCAGGGCGAGAGGGAAGAGGAAAGCGGTCACGCCGGCGCGATCGGCGACGACGACGACGAGGGGCGCTCGCGCAGGCGGCCTGTCGGTCGGCGAGACGGTCAAGGCTCGATCACGGCGCCGCGGCCGGACCTGTGCCGCCGCCTCCGCCCTCGGATCCCTCAAAGACGTCGCGCTCGAGCGACCGCTCGACGGCCGCCCAGTCGACCCGAGTGCCCGCCCGATAGATCGACTCGTACGCCGCGACGCTCACCGACGCGAAGAACGGCTCGAGCTCGCGCATCGACCGGATGCGGCGCTCTGCGAGGAGCGGTCGGCGAGCTGGTTGAGCGGGCGCCGGCGGCGAGTCTGGGCGCGCGACGATGACGGTGGACCGGGATGACGGTGCTGTCTCGGCCCTGTCGAGGCCCGAGCCAGTCGCAGATGCAGGCGTCGAGTTGTTGCTGAGCATGTCGCCGAGCCGGTCCATGATCGCCTGCGGGAGCCACGGGTCGGGCGGATACATGGCGTCGACCGTGTCGGTGACAAACATCCACTCGTGGCTGCAGGCGAGAGAGAGAACCTGTCAGTCGGTCATGTATGTGAAAGGGAGAGAGAGAGAGAAGAGGGCGCACATCTGAAAGTCCTCGGTTTGCAGAACGAGCGTGATGTCGAGGAACTTGCACGCCGAGAAGACGAGGAGCAGCAGGTCCGAGCCGTCGGGCACCGTCTGGTCGATGAGCGACTCGAACAGGCGCAGCTGTGGGCAGGGGGACTCGTCAGTAGAGCCCGTGTGCAGGGAGGATCCACTTTGAGGACGAGGAGGGAAGGGGGAGGACGTACAAGCTCGGCGAGGATGACGGGCCAGAAACCCGACAGGTGCTGGTTGTCGATGCGGCAGAACAGGACGCGCAGACACAGGTAGACCTGCATGAACGAGAGGTCGTCGGTGACGGCCCGGGCGACGAGAGGGGAACGAGGAAGACGCACCTCGGCGTGGACCATGTCGCCGACGGGCGAGCGCAGCAAGTCGACGACCTTCTCCTGGATGAACGGCAACTGGTTGAGGTACCGGTCCTTGGGGCCCGTGAGGAGGACGTAGGTAAGGCGACGCAGGCTGAGTGCCCGAGACAGGCTCTCGAGCTCGCGGTTCGTGAAGATGTTGGCGGACGACGCAGTCGAGATCTTGGCTGCGAGAGCGTATGGCCGGCGTCAGGTCGACGTCGAGGAAGGCGGATTCGGAGGCGAGAGAAGGGGACGCACAGGACAGGTCGGCGAAGCGCTCCTTGTCCGACTGCATGAGCGCCTGGACGAGCGGCTTCCAGTCGTCGTTGGCGCTCGGCGGCGCGTTGAAGAAGCGATTGTCGGCAAAGGCGTCGGCGACGAGGGACCGCCACGCCTTGAGCGTCTGCGGGTTCCTCGTCATCTCGTGAAGCAGGGCAAAGATGGTCGGGTCGGCCTCGAACGTCCTGCACGACGTGACGAGAGTCAGGGTGGGGCTGCGAAGAGATGAACGCGGGCCGACGCACTTGTTGCGAGTCTTGAACGCCGGCGCGACGATGTAGTAGACCATGTTTGAGCAGACGCCGGCCGTCTTGTCGGCGTCGATGAGGAAGCGCTTGAGGTCGGGCACGACGCGGTGCGCGAGGAAGCCGGTGATCTGCGAGGCATGCAGACAGGGTCAGTGAGGGATCCAGAGCTCTGAGCACGCCGACCGACTCGCCTCGCGAACGAGGACCCTGTCGCCGATCGGCGCCAAGAGCTTCTTCTCGACGTCGAGCACCGACGAGCGCTCGTCCTTGGTTTTCTCCGACGTGATGCTGTCCGAGTCGGCTGCACGAACGGCCGCCATCAGTGCGAGTCGAGGCAGGGAGAGAAAGATGTAGGTGGACGCACTGTTGATCGTCCCGGCGTCCGGCGCGGCCTTCTTGAGCCAGCTGCCCGACTCGCTCGCCCGACCCGCAACCTGGATGGCGGCATCGGCGAGGCGCACGAACGTCTCCTGCATGTCGCGGCGCAACCGGCGGTCCTCGAGCGCGCTCGTCTGCGAGATCTTCTCGGACAGGGTCGTGAAGAGCCTGCGGGCGGTCGCCGTGGTCAGGTCGAGCTCTCGGCGCGAGCCAGAGAGCGAGAGAGGGAGAGCTTGACGCACCGAAGGGTCGGGAAGACAAGGGCCCGGTTCGACGTCTGGTTGCTGAGGACGTCGCGGGTGAAGCCGAGCACGGCCGACCAGACTTGAACGGCGACGGCGCCCTCCAAGCGCTCGACGTACGCCTCGAGGAAGTCGAACGTGACGTCCTCGGTCCTGTGAACACAAGGGAACGATGAGTTTGGGCTCGGCGAGAGCCGGACGAGGAAGGGGGAGAGGGAGGGAGAGAGAGGTTCGAGCGCACGAGATGAACGGGCTCGCGTGCTTGGGCGCGGCATGCTTCGGGTTGAGCTTGTCGCACAGTGACGAGATGACGCCCTGCGGGCTCGGGTGAAGGACCTGCAACATGGAAAAGACGCGTTGTTCCCGCTCGCCGTGCTGCAGGACGGTCGAGGTCGGTCAGGGCTGCGACGTGGCGGTTGGCCATACAGAGAGAGGACAATGACGCACCTGACGGCACCGCCTGCTCCAGAACCCGACCAGGTCCTCGATGACGTCGCCCGGAACCGCCTTGTGGATGCGCTCGAGCGCTCGTCGAGCCCGAACGCGCACCCGGACCGCAAAGTGCGCCTGCGAGCTGCTGCGGTCGTCGTCGACGCCTGCGTCGAGCGCCGAGGTGACGTCCCACGCCGACAGGAGGAGATCGACAGCGTCGCGCACGCGCTGCAGCGTCTGGTGCTTGGTCTGCGGGAGGACGAGCGGGAACGCGTGACCGGGTCAGGGTCGTTTCTCGGCGAGCGAGAGAGGGAGAGAGAGAGAGAGAGAGAGACTGGGGCGCACCTTGATCTGCTCCGGAACGTCGCCCGTCTCGAGCTCCTGGTGGCTGAGGACGCCCGTCATGTACCCGAGCAACCCGCCGGGTCCACCGCCGCCGCTCGACGTCCCTCCCTCGCTCGCCGCTCGATCCGCCGGCCGCGCATCGTCCTCCCCTGCCGCCGAGACCGACTCGCTGACGGCGATGAGGAGCAGCCGCTCGAGCGCGTTGGTGATGACGGTAAACTCGGCGTCGGTCGCGGATGAGGCGGTGCCGGTGAGGTCGCCGCTCGACGGCGCGACGACGTAGCAGGCCCGGAGGTCCTCGACGAGGGCGCCGACACGGGCGACGAGCTGGTCGACGAGCGGCAGGATGACGCTGTGCAGGGCGTGGCGAAACTGGGGGATCGTCATGAGGAGGAAGTCGATCCAGTGGTGGATGACGGCGTTGCTCGGCTGCTTGATGGCGTCGGACAGGACGCGCACGAACAGGTCGTCGTGCGTCAGGTCGGGCGGCTGCGCGTCGTTCGAGGGCTGCGCGAGGGCGGTCGAGGTGGACGGCGCCTGCTGGTGACCTCGTCGTGGTGGGGCCGACGCCGACGCGTAGATGACCGAGTGCAGGACGTGCAGGAGCTTGTTCTGGAGGTCGAGGTCGCCGCGGTGGACCGACAGGAAGAGGCGGACCGTGAGGGACGACTCGATGGCGGGCAGGCTCGACAGCTCCGACTCGCCGCGCGAGATGAGGACTTGCAGGAGCTCGGCGACGACGGCGTGGACGTGCGCGTTGAGGGGGCCGAGAGAGGGTACGAGGGACGGGTCCGGGTCGGCGCGCAGGAAGCGCAGGAGGAGGACGATCATGCCGTCGAGGTACGTGTGCGTCTCGAGGTCGGCGGCGATGACCCTCTCGCGCAGGGCCGGGTCGAGCGTGTGCTTGAGCCAGCTGCCCTTGGCGATACGGACGAACCCTTGACCGCCGAAGCGAGCCAGGGCGAGGAGGTTGTCGAGGACGTGGTGCACGCGCGCCTGGTCGAACGCCCGGCCGTAGACGAGGACGGGTACCCGCACGCCGTCGACCTTGACCGTCTCGGCCCGGGACACGATCGTCGGGTCGAGGAGGCTGAGGAGGAGCGGGTCGAGGACGCGGATGTAGCTCTTGAGCGAACAGCGCATCCAGGCCTCGGCGGCGCGCCGAGTGGCGAGGTCGTCCGACTTGAGGGCGTCGAGCGTGGCGAACATGGGGTTGCGCAGTAGCACGCCGGGTAGTTGCGCGTCCTCTGCGACGTCGACAAGGGTCAGTGCTCTGGGCGAAACCTTGGAAAAGCCGAGAGAGAGGCAAGGTGGACGCACCCGTAAACCGCCACAGGTTGCCGAACGCCTCGAACGCTCGTTCCCTCTCCTGCCCGTCTCGGCTCCCGAGCCGCCTCGCGACAATGCCCTCGAGCGTCCGACGACCAGGCGCCAGCGCCTCGACCGCCCACAGGAGCTGCACCGCCTCGAGGTAGCACGGCGACGCGCCCGGAAGGAGGTAGGCGAGGAGCTGCTCGGCGACGAATGCGTCAGTGTGGCACACACACGACACCGATCACGCAGGACGAGAGAGAGAGAATGGACGCACCCTTGCCGCCAGCGCCTCGCCGATCTTGCCCTCGTCCCTCACTCGCGGCCGGACCGCACCGCCGTCCTCCTCGCTGACGCTCAGCCTCAACACGAGCCGCACGAGCGCCTTGTCGCCCTCGAACTGCGCAACCGTCGCCTTCTGCCGCTCCAACCGCACGAGCATCGCCCCGCTCCACCGCGCCGGGTCCCACTCGAGCTCGAGCGCCCCCTGGCCCGCGTCCTCGTCCCGCGCCGCGTCGACGCTCGCGGCGCTCAGGTCTAGCAGCAGCTCGACGGCACCTGCCGCCGACGTGAGGAGCTGCGGCGCGGCGTCGGAGGCCTCGACGAGCGAGAGAGCGCGCGCGAGGCCGGCCGCGAGGAGGACGCGGCCCTCGATCGGCGGCAGGGACGCACGCGCAACGTCGGCCGGGTCCTGGGCGACGGGCGGCGCGGTGCCGGAGGAGGAGGAGGTCGCGAGGGGAAGGGGAGCGGTGTAGAGCTTCGAGGCGAGGGCGGCGCCGGTCGAGAGAGGGTCGGTGGATGGCGAAGGTGACGGGGCGAAGAAGGCGGGAGGGACCTCGGACAGGAGCTCGGTCGCGAGGGTGATGGCCGAGGCGAGGATGGTGGTTGCAGGCGGTGTCGCAGTCGGCGAGTCGAGGTGGTCCTGGACGAGGTCGAGGAGGGCAAAGGCGACGACCGGCGCGTGCAGGCGAAGGACCTCGTCGTCGTGCATGCGGAACGTGCGGACGACGAAGCGCGCGAGCTCGACCGCGTCCTCGGCGCCCGCCTCACCGGCGAGGTCGGCGCGCAGGGCGACGTAAAGCTGCTTCCACAGGAGGAACGGGTCGAGGACCTCGAGGAGCATGTTGCCCGTCATGAGGAGCTGTTGGCGCGAGGCAAGACAAAGAGTCAATGACGCTGTGCGTGTGGGTCGAGGACGGCGAGGAAAGACGAGAGGGGAAAGAAGGAGGGAAAGGAGGGAGCGCACCTCGTCGCTGTCGCCGTCGCCGAGCTTGCTCCGCAGCGCCTTGGCCGCATCGACGACGCAGCTCTCGGTGAGCAGCGCGCCGATCTCCCACTTGTCGAGGAGCGAGATGAACATCTTGAACCCGCGCGCGCCGCCGTCGCGCATCTCCTGGCGCAGCGCCGCCGCGAGTAGGTCGAGGCCGTGCGTGCGAAGGAAGGCGAGCTGCGTGTCGGACGAGTCGGACGGGCCGAGGAGCCAAGTGTAGAGGCGACGCGACAGGGACAGGTCGCGACGAAGGACGACGCCGAGGACGGCGCGCGTGAGGAGGACCTGGTCGTCGGTTCTGCAGCTGTTCGCGCGGGACGAGTGCGTCAGGGCGTGTCCTCCCCGTCTCTCTACTCGTGAACGGGCAATGAGGAGTGAAGAGACTAACCTGCGGAAGCGGCGCTGTCGATGCGCACGGTGCCGATGAGCAAGTCGAGGATGCCGCGCTGCACGAGGATCGTGTCGTCCTCGAGGGCCGCCGCGAACCCTCGCACCATGAGCCCGACATCTTGTCCGACAACGGCGTCGAGCGCGTCCTCGGAGCCCGTGCCGGACTCGTCTCGGGGAAGGCGCCGGGCGAGGTAGTTGAGCGCCGGGATGCGCGAGTGCGGCGCCGTGATGAGGACGAGCCACAGGTTCTGGAAGAAGAATGAAGGAGAAACCGTGCCGCTCAGGCGGTCCAAGAGCGCGGCGACCTGTGCGCGAGGAAAGGGGAAGGAAATGTCAGGTTCGCCGGGCTGAACAGGGACGGGCGCGTGGAGGACGGGGACGCACCTTCTCGAACCACTCGCCCGTCTCCTCCTCGAGGCCTGGAAGTAATGCGAGGATGAAGGCCTTGGTCGCGGGTCGCAGCTCCTCCTGCAGCGGGAGGTAGAAGCGCTCGTAGATGTTGAGGACGATCGGCTGCAGGGACGGACGAGTCAGTTTCTCCTGCGCATCTGTGAGAGGCGGTGCGGCGGAAGAGGACGCACCTTGACGCTCGTGGCGGCGTACTGGAAGAACGGGAAAAGGCCGCTGCTCCAGGCCGGCAAGTCGCGCCGCAAGTTCTCGGGCTGCGCACGCGTCGTTCGTCAGTCCGGGTCGAGCGACTCGGGCCCACAAGGGAAACGGGAGGGACGTACGCCGATTGTCGTGAGGATGTGGGTGTAGACGTCGAGCGCGCGCTGGTGCACGCCGGTCGGGAGAGCCGGGTTGAGGCACTGGGAGAGGCGCTTGGCGACGATGAGCTTGTGCGGGATGACGGGGAACTGGGGCGACCCTTGGAGGCACTGCATTGACGCGCACCGGTGTCAGCTACCGTCGCGAGAAAAGACAGAGGGCTCACACGGGGCGCACCTTGAGCAACTTGGCGAGGAACGTAATGAAGTCGGCCCACTCGTTGACGTGGTCGAACGCCTGCAGCGTCTTGTCGACGGCGAGCGCGTACTTGCGGTACTTTGCGTCGTTCTGCAAGGCTGCGTCGGTGGAAAGGAGTGGGGGTCAGCTTGCGCGAGAGCAAGAGGAGGCATCCGAGCCAGGCGCGAGGTGGGGAGGAGGGGAGGGGAGACGACCTCGCTCTCGCGCGCTTGCGAAGAGGGAGTGGACAGGGGTGCACCTTTCTCCTGCTGCACAGCCTGCGCGAACGAGTCCCGGAGCTGCGAGTGGGTGGCTGCTCGGCTCGGGAGGGAAGCGTGCGCCGTCTCGCTCGACAGCGACGGCGACGCGGCCGTGGCGGGCGTCGTGGTGCTCGCCGGGAGCATCTGGTGGCGTGATACGCGCAGGCCTTTATAGCTGCAGGCTGGCGCAGTGGTGGAACGAGCGAGAGCGGACGGAGCTCCGACGACGGTCCAACGACGACGACAAGGCCAAGGTCGAGCTACGCGTCCACTCGGCATGGCGCAGGGCCCGAGAGCTGTCCATAGCGGTGTAAGAGCTGCGACCAAGCTCGCACGGGGCCTCTGCTCTCCTCGTCGCTCTTTCTCTCCCTCTCTCGCGCCAACTCTCGGTCGCCGCGGCACAGTCAGGCGAAGCTGGATCGAGTGTCTCTTGCATTGTAGTGGCACAGGTACCGAGCGCGACCGAGCGACGCTGATTAGGGGAGGAGATGCTGTACTAGGGAGGGAGGACACGGAAAGGCATCGTGGCCGGGGAAGGGGGGCGAGAGGAAGGGCGCGAGGCGCGCTCAACTGATGGGCACGACGACGCCGTTCTTGTCCTTGACGACGACCAGGTCGGTCGGGATGACCTCGTTGGTGTCCATGAAGACGACGCTCGTCTGGTCGAGGGGGTCGGTGCGCACGCCGCGTCGCTCCATGAACGAGCTGAGGGCGGGCGTGATTGTGATCGTGCGAGGGCGAGCATCGAGAGGAGGCCGAGGCAGGCAGGTGGAAGAAGGTGTCAGTCAACGGACATCGGTATCGGGACGAGCGGCGAGAGAGAGAGTGGGCGCACCGGCCGAGGATGACGGGGAAGTACGAGTTCTCGACGAGCATGACCTGCTGCTCGACCGTCTTGCTGCCGACCTGCGTGCGTGGCAAATGTCGGTGCTCCTGTCGCAAAACGACTCGCTGCGACGGCTGCGACCGCCGAGGCGAGGCGAGAGGAAGGGAGAGACGGACCTTGATCGGCCACGTCCCCAGGTTGGTGATGCCCGAGAACCCGTAAAAGCCCGGTGCGGCGTCGCGCGGGATAAAGTTGTGCGCCTGCGCGAACGCTCGCGACATGTAGCACGCGCGGTGGCCCGACTTCATCTGCGGGCAAGGGGAGAAGTCGCCGAGTCAGAGCCGCTCGAGGGAGAGGTCGTCGTGCGCCGAGGGCGAGGGGAGAAGGGAGGGAGAGGGGGACGCACCATCATCCGCACGTTCTGCACCGGACCGATCGAGCCGATGAAAGTCCGGACGCCGAGCTGCAAGGGGAGGACAAGGCACGAGCGTGAGCGACAGTCGACTACGAGCAGGGGCGGCCCGACTCATCGCGCGCGGACCCGGCAAGGAGAGGACGGTCGACGCACCTGGTTGTGGAACTCCTCGAACTTGACCTTGTGCTCGGGGACGATGCCGTCGACCTTGCCGCGCTTGCTCTTGAGCGTGTCGGCGCCCGTGCTCCTCTGGCTGCGGCGGCTGCGCGCGCTGCGGCCACTGCGCACACTGCCGCTCCCACCGGACGGCTGCAGTGGCGAGGGCGGCACGAGGTGCATGCTCGTCTGGCCCTGGAGGTCGCGCGGCGCGGCGCGGCCGTACACGAGCGAGCCCGTGCCCGAGTAGATGCTCGACGTGTCGGGCTCGCCGCGCGAGCGGGCGCCGAGGGACGACGACGAGAATGAGGACGAGGGCGGGAGGGACGAGACCGAGGCGATCGAGGGGTTCTGGGTCGGGATGTGCGGCGACGAGAGGAGGAGGGTGACCTCGGGCGAGTGCTGGTGGCGCGACGTGAACACCTCGTAGTCGTCGTCTGTGGTGGGGGCAGCGGGCAACTGTGAGCGGGAAGGTCGCGTCTGGGTCGAACCGAGGGCAAGGAGGCGAGGGACGAACCGTCGTCGAGGGCGTAGAAGACGTCGCACCACAGGTACTTGCAGTGGATGTCTGCGCCGTCTTGAGGGATGGCGAGTTTGCGAGCGGCACGGGCCTTGATCGAGTGGACCGTGTCGCTTGCTGCGAGACGAGGACGGGTCGTTAGCGTCGGGCGGGGAGAGGGGAGGAGGAGGAGGAGGAGGCGGACGCACGCTTGAGCTTGAGGGCAAAGGCGTTGAGCGGGCCGGGGTGGCAGCTGAGGATCGGAGCCATGGGTGCTGCTGACCGGCGACTGGCAGGGCTGGAGCGAGCGAGAGAAGAGCGGGGGAAACCAGCGGGACGGCCAGCATGAGGAGCGTCATTCACCTCGCCGCTCTCGCTCTGCGTGTGCTGGCTGGGCTGCAAGTGCTTCATGATGACATCGTGCGCACCTCTGACCAGCTCCAAACTGCCGAGGACGAGGCGAAGCGCGACGCCGCCGGTCGCCGAAGCTCCACCTCGCTCTCTCTCTCTCTCTCTCTCTCACACTCGCCATGAGCTGGATCGAGTCGAGCGTACTCGATGCTCCCCCGAGGCTCGCAGCCCTCGCCCGCCCGCTCGCGTCGGCCGTCGGCCTCGAGGCCCTCCCTCCCGTCGTCCACCTCGCCTTGGCATCCTGCGTCGCCTCGTTCGTGCTCCAGCGCGTCAGCTCGGCCGTCAGCCCAACACTCTTCAGGAGCTACTACCCGACCTCGCGCGGCAAGCAGCAGGACTGGGACCTGCACATGGTGAGCCGCCCCCCCTGCCCCACCCTCGGGCTCTCTCCCCGTCTCGTTGCCCCTGTTCCGGCAGCGAACTGACTCGCTCGAGCACGCCCACAGGTCGGGTGGGTGTACGCCTTTGTCGCGGCCCCGCTCGCGTTCCACCTCCTGCGCCACCCGTCCAAGCAGGTCGTCGCCGACCAGCTCACCGGCGTCGCCCTCCCCGAACAGCGCCTGAGCGCCATCGCCGTCGGCTACTTCATCTGGGTGAGCACTCTGTCCTTCCTCTCCCACCGTCGACCGGTCGACTATCGGGAAATGCGCGGCGCTCACCCCTCGTCGTCGCTCCGCAGGACTCGTTCGTCACGGCGCGCCACATCCGCACGCAGGGCTTTGGCTTCTTCCTGCACGGCGCCGTGTGCCTGTGCGCCTTCCTCTTCACTCTCAAGCCGTTCGTCATCTGGTGTGGTCCGGCGTTCCTCATCGTGCGTCTCCCTTCCTCCCTTTGCCTCTCGAGCTCGCCGACTCGAGCGAGACGAAGCTTGACGCTCTCTCTCTCTTCACCCATCCGCAGTGGGAGTTCTCGTCGATCGTACGTCCACCTCTCGCCTTTGAGGCAGCTCAGCCTGTCCTCGCTAGGACACCCAGAACTGACCGGCCTCGTTTTCCTCCTGCAGTTCCTCAACGCGCACTGGCTCCTCGACAAGCTCCACATGACGGGCTCGATCCCGCAAATGGTCAACGGCGCCTTCCTCGTGTGCGTCGCCCGTCCCTCGTCCTCGACGTCCTCCCCTCCTTGTCGTGGTTGCAGCCGGCTGACCTCTCTCGCCCGCACACAGCCTCTCGTACATCGTCGTCCGCCTCGTCTTTGGCACGTACAACTCGTTCAAGCTGTGGAACCTGCTCGTGCCGACTCCGACGAGCGCGCTCGCCGCCAAGGCGCTCGACGACGCCGGCCTCATCCGGTGGATGTACCTCGGGCTCAACATTGCCGCCAACGGGCTCAACTTTGTGCGTCGTCTTCTTCTCTCTCTCGTCTCTGCATCTGGATCGGCGTGATCCTGACACGCTCGTGTCCGCGTTGCAGTACTGGTTCCGCCTGATGATCCTCGCGCTGCGCAAGCGGTTCGTCCCCTCGCCCTCGTCCAAGTCGGCGTCCAAGGCGCAGCGCAAGCCCGTCCCGGTCGACGGCCGGCTCGGTGAGGGGCAGGAGAGGAGGGTCAAGGGCGAGTGAGAGGGACCGAGCGGGCGGGCGGGACGAGGGGCTGCGGAAAGTCCGCGGCGCGCTGGACGTCGTCGGCGAGGAGCAGGAGGAGCGACGGCGCGAGGGTGCGACCGGCATGACATCTTACATCCAACTCACGTCCTCTCGAGGTGCCCAGTCGCGCGAGAGAACGAGTGCTGCGCCGGCTTTCCGGGCTCGAGCGCGAGGCCAGCTTGGTGCGCGAGGAGCTCGTCGCTGACAACGGGTGCTCGCTCGCTTGTGGACGGTCGGCTGTGCGAACTGGACAGCGACAAAGCGGCACGAGAAGGCAGCTTAGCGCGAGGCTGCTGCGGAGGCAACAGCTCTTCTGGCGTTGTTCAACGTCTGCCGTTTGTTCGCAGCCCTCGCTCTCGCTCTCTCGCTCCACCACACTCGCTATCTCCGACTCGACCTCTCTGCGCGCCGGACGCTGCAGCCACACGTGTTCCCCCTTGCCCTTCCACCACCCAGCACCGCACCCTCGCACTCGAGCGATCGGCCTCCGCCCACCTCGGCCAACCCGCACCCTCGACACCCGCAACCCGCGCATGCGCGCCAGCGCACACTGGGCGTGGCTCACCGCCGTGCTCGTCGCCGCCCCAGCCGCGACGAGCGCCCGAGCAGGAGCAGGGGCGGGAGCAGGAGCGAGCGGAGGAAGCACGAGGTTGCGCGCGCCCAGTGTCGAGACGCACGCCGCGCGGTGGGCGGGCTCGGTGCTCGAGGCGGGCGCAGCAGCAGGGGCCCGATGGGACGCGTCGGCGTCGCTCGGCAAGGGCGTCGCGGCGCTGTGGATGCCGCCCTCGTCGCACGCCGTCGAGCCCGCACCCTTCGACGAGGCGCCGGCCGTCGACGACGGCGGCGACTGGTGGGACGAGGTGTCGGTGGACCCGCTGAGCCCAGAAGAGCGCGCGGCCGCAGCAGAGGAGGAGCGCGCCCTGTGGGTCGCCCTCCTGAGCGCCGTGAGCGAGTCGGGCGAGGTGGCGGTGCAGTTCCGCGACTTGGTCGGCGACGCCGACGACAACTACAACGAGGTGCGCCCGCTTCTCCCCCTCATCCTCTCGACGTGTGTCACTGACTCGTCGTGCCCCGCCATGCAGCTCGCCTGTGCGACCCTGACGGCGCCAACGTCCGAGGACGAAGCCGCTCGCGACCTCGAGGTGCGCCTCGTCCGCTCAAGCCTTCACTCTTCCACTCCGTCGTACTCACCCGTCTCTGCAGCAGGGAACATGCCGACTCTCGCCCTTCCTCCTTCGTGACCCGGCGGGAGCTTCCACAACACGGTACGTCCTCTCGACCTCGCATTTTCTCCTCCCAGTACTGACTATTTTCTCCTTCCCTAACGCAGAACTCAAACACTTGATCTTCCTCGTCATCGCGTCCTTCTCTCGGACCGGCTAGACGCGTTTCTCGGACGGTGCGTCCTCTTTTCCCCTCCTCGCCTCGTCAAGTCAGATCACTCACCCTTTCTGTCACTCTCCCACAGCCTGCCGTCTCTCCCCCTGTCGCGCCAACGCCCACCTCCACCCGCTCCCGTAGATCCACCGCCGTTCAGGCTCTTCTCATAGACACTTGCCCGTCCTCGTCTCGATCCCCTCGCGCTGCCGGTCAGCGCGCTCTCCCCATCTCGCCGTCCTCTAGAGACGCAGTAGACCCTTTCGCGACTATCTAGATGCCCCTGCAGTACACTCGTTACGTGCTCGTCGCTCGCGCTGCGTCGCTCCGTGCTGCGAACCCTGGACGAGCGGCACGCTCTTGCCGCGTGCGATGTCGACCGGACGAGCCATGGTGTCTTTCTCTCGGCTCGTCGGACTCGTCCTGAGAGCCTGTGAGAGCTGCTGGCGACGTGCTCGGGCCCCTTCATAGCCGAGGCGGCAGCGAAAAGCCGACTTTCCTTCGCTCGCGACGACCACGCCCGCTCGCTTTGCTTGTCAGACCGCCGAGCTTGCGCCGTCGAGCGCTCCCGCAGTAATGGCTCCGGTCTTCCAGGTCGCAGCTGTGTTGGCAGGGCGCTTGAGAGGCAGTCACGTCGCTCGCGAGGTCCGAGCGCCTGGTAGAGAACGTCTTTGTCACTTCGCCTGGTCGATCAAGCACAGGTACTGCGACTCTCGCTCAAGGCGAGCAGCGTGTTACAGCCAGCGAGAGACCAACAGGCCGTCGGCTGGGCCGTGGCGAGTACCGCAAAGTGAGAGACGCGCGCGCGAAAGAGGCTCGAGCGCCACCTTTCCGGCTACCTCCTCGAGCCAACGAGCCACGTCGCCCGTCCACGCGTACTTGTAGACTGGGGCACGATCGTCTTGTACTTCTCTGAGGGCGTCGGACGTCTGGGTCGAGCTGTCGAGACGACGAACGCACTTGAGAAGGTTGCGAAAAGGGCGAGACGAGCGCTGCTTCTGAGCCCTGCACAGCCGACTGAACATGCAAGGGCTCCTTCGTTAACAGGCTTCGATACCCAGCAGCGAACATGCACGAGAGAGCGAGCCACGCACGAGGAAAGGTCGAATGCGGACCGGCAGCAGTTCGACGCACGATCCTCGCTCACGCGTCCGCCGCATGCAGTCCTTTCCAGTCGCTTCGGTCGAGCTGCGTCGGTTAGGCACACGAGGGCTCGAGCGGAAGGTCACACTCTATGGTGGCCCGGCTGCGGGCGAGAGCAGATGGTTCGGTTTCTCGCCTCAGCGCAGTGTTGGCTTTTTATGAGTATGCTGTGTTCGTGGGCCTACATCAAAACAGGGGATGTAACTCAGTGGCAGAGTGCCTGCTTCGCATTCTCTATCATTGGTCGCGCTTGCATGAAGTCCAGGGTTCAACTCCCTGCTTCTCCACCTCTTTTGCCGGCTGCTCAGGCAGCCTCCTTTTGCTGCTGCGCCGTCAAAGCAGTGCGGCGGAAGCGAATAAACGCCAGTTCGAGCGAAAGAGAGGACGAGAGCAGCGCAGACAGACTTGGGAAGGTCCGCTCGGACCTCTTCGACGGTCAGGGCTCTCCTCGCTACCGCTGTCTTTCGCGGACTTGGACTACGAGATGCAGCTACAGCGACCTATCTGAGAGCTCTCGCTACTGCAACGCCGGCGCAGAGCCGCCAGCGCGGCCTTCCCACGCCGGCGAGACAGCTGTGGAGGCCAGGGCACTCGCGCCCGCTTTCCGCGGCTCGACTCGAGTTACCTTGACACGCTCAGAAGGACGAGGCGATGGCGCTGCGGCCACTACAGCCTCGTACGGCAAAAGGAGCGAGGAGTAAAAATGCATTGGCCGGGAATCGAACCCGGGGCTAGGCAATTCAGCAGAAGCTGGCAATGCCCAATTTTGCCACTAAACCACCAATGCTTGCGTTGAAAGCGGGATGCTGCTCAACATCTACATCGCCTTAATTTAATTTGGGACCGAGTTGCGCTCGAGCCTTTCTCTGGCTCTCGACAGGCCCGCAGCTTTCGGCTAGCGCGGCAGCCGCAGCAGATTCTTAACAACAACGTGCTCAGGCTGCGCGGAAAGGGAGAGCGACGCGCAAGAAAGCTCGAGCCTCGCAGAGAAGCTGAACCTCGCGACGGACGGCGACGACGGGTGCTACAAGCGGCTTTAGGTACGATTGCAGGTAACGGCAACGCAGGGGGTATCGATTAGCCGGACGTGAGAGAGGGGACGCTCCAGTATGGACAAGGGAAAACGCAATCCTCCGACTCGACTCGACCCACCTCGACTCGCTCCTCCAGCTCCGCCTCGCTCGAGTTCCTCCTCCCTCTCTCCCACCTCAGTTCCACCACGACCTCCTGAGGAACGTGAGGAGCTCGCGCAGGCCCTTGCCGACGCTGCCGACGGCGCCGTCGACGACCGAGAGCGGGCCGGGCCGCAGGATGGGCTGCCCGAGGACGTCGACGTGCCACGCCTCGGCGCCGTCGATCCACACGCGGACGCGCACGACGGGCTTGTTGAGCACGCGCGTGTCGACCTCGAACGTCGTCACCTTGGTGTTGCCGTCGGGAAGGTCTGCGGGCGCGCGAAAGGCGAGGAGACAAGCTCGTCAGGGCTGACCAGAGACGGGCACACGAAAGAGAAAGAGAGAAAGAGGGCAGGGACGCACACTGCAGGAGCGTGTCCTCGCCCGTCGCACCTCGCGAGTGCTTCTGGCTGAGGGTGCGCACGGGCAGGTAGAACATGTTGAACGGGCTCGTTGAGAACTCGGTCACGGTCGTCCTGAGGCTCGCGGCCGCAAACTCGTGGCGGTCGCCCGACAGGACGATGACGTTGGGCACGTGCTCGAGGAGGTCGAGGATAGCGTCGCGCTCGGTAAGGAACGAGGCCCACGTGTCCTCGCCGTGCGACCAGAGCGACATGACGGGCACGCTCGAGACGACAAACTTCCACGTGACCGTCTGGTTGACCTGCGGGTGCGAGAGAGAGTTAGTCGGGCCGAGCTCGAGAGAGGGAAAGAGAGAGGGGAAAGGCGAGCGCACCTTTGCGGCCCAGTCGAAGAACGCCTCGCGTTGACGGTCGCCGAGCATCGTCTTGACGTCGTCGTCGTCGTTGGCGTTGTCCGAGCGGTAGCTGCGCGTGTCCCACACGAAGAAGGCCGAGTCGCCGACACTGCGCCGAGTCGTACGAGGGGTCAGTTTCTCGGCGACGGGGCGACGAGAGAGAGAGAGAGAGAGGAAGGGGCGGGCGCACCGGAAGTCGTAGTAGTGGACGCCGGGCTCGACCGGGTCGTAGTTGGCGGCGCCGACGTACTCCTGGTAGGCCTGCATGGCGGGCGCGTACGACGGCGACGACGCGTTGGCCGAGTAGTCGTTGTAGATCTCGTGGTCGTCAAAGATGCCGACCATGGGCACCTTCTCGACGAGCGCCTTGACCTCGGGGCTCGCGAACGTCTGCCGGTACCGCTTCTGGAACTGGTCGACGCCGTTCCCGGCAAAGTAGGGCACGTCGGCGTAGATAAAGTCTGCGGACGACGGCAACGACGACGTCAGGTCGCGCTCTCGTGCCTCCTCCAGAGAACGAGAGAGAGAGGGAGACGCACCGCCGAGGAAGACCATGAACTTGACGCCGAGGCGCTCGGCAATCTTGAGGAACTGCTTGGCGCCGACCGTCTCGCTCTTCTTGTGCGGGCCGGCGTACGGGAAGCCCGGCTTGAGGCACGAAGACGACGCGAACGTGTAGTGGGTGCCCTCGCTCGCGGGGCCGGCGGCCGACAGGGACGGGTCCGAGAAGGTCGTGAAGAACTGCGACCGCGGGAAGGCCGGGTGCGTCGCCGTCTCGATCGAGGGGCGCATGAGGCGGTCTGTGTGTACGAACATCGAGTCAGTCAGGCGCTCGCTGAGCTCAGACCGATGCGCCGAGGGAAAGAGAGGAAGAGCTGGACGCACACTCGTACTCGGTGGCGGCCCACAGGCCGTCAAGCTTGACGGTGGCGACCCAGTCGTGGTCCTCGCGCGTGTGGATCTCGGGGCCGTACATCCACTTGCCGAGGGGCTTGGTCGGGCGGTAGACGACCTTTGCGCCGACAAACTCGTCCTCGGGGAGGAAGGCGTCGGTGGCCGGGTCCGAGTTGTTGGCGGGCACGACGCCGGCAAAGATGGGCGTCACGGCCGCGTCGGCGGCGGGCACGAGGGACGAGGTCGACGGGATGCGGGCGACGAGCTTGACGCTGTCGTGCGTGATGGCGCCGACGCGGGCGAACGCGAGCGACTGCTCGTCCATGCCGTAGATGGGGCTGAAGATGGCGTCCATCATGAGGGCGAACACGACGCCGTTGATGGCGAAGCTGGACCAGTTGAGGAAGCGCGAGGTCGGGGTCGGCGTGCCAAACACGAGGTTGTTGACGAGCTGCGACAGGGTGACCTTGGGGAGGGGCCGGTTGCGGGGCAGCTTCTGCCTGCGGGTGAGGGCGGGGCTGCCCGGGTCCGAGTCCGAGGGGGACGTGAGGGCGAGCGGGTCGTTGGCGAGGCGCTTGCGGGCCTTCTTCTGGCGCTTGGAGAGCGAGCCGGCCGGGGACGAGGGCGAGGACGAGGGGGCGACGGCGGCGGCGGCATCGGGATCGGGCTTGACGTGCGGGTGCTGCTCGAAGACGGCGCTGTCGGAGGTCGGCGGGCCCTCCTTGAGGACGTCGGCGAACGAGGGCGCGTCGTCGGCGGGGACGAGGGCGGCGTCTTGAGGGGTCGACGGTCGGCGAGGGACTGCGGCCGTGACGAAGTAGGTCGCGTAGGCGTTGAGGGCGAAGAACAAGGGCAAGGCGTAGGGCCTGGCAGCGCAGGGTGTCAGTCAGTCGCGAGCGAGGGAGGGAGGTAGGGAGGAGGACGGGAGCTCACCCGAAGCGGCCGGGGATCCAGCGGGCAAAGAGGTAGGCCGTGATGCGCAAGAGAGCACTCGAGGTGCCTCCCAAGATGCGCAGGACTCCCATCGTGGGCGAGAGCGGCGAGTGTTTGCGGGTGAGAGGAGGGGAGAAGGACGAGACCGATGACGGCCATGAACTGCTCGCACTGTGACCCTCCTGCTGCTACAGACGAGCCACTGCTCGGTCCAGCCTGATCCACGTCCCCGACTCGACCCACCGCGCACCCACTCGCCGCCGTCGCTCCCTCCTCTCCCTGCTCGTCCTCCCCTCGACCCTCCCTCGCTCCCGCTCGACAACGGCATCACCGGGCAGGACGAGCACTTCGTCTGTGCCTCACGAGTTCCCGGCCAAGCACCGCCAGCCGGCAGCGTCTGTCGCTCGAGCGTCGTCGTCGCCGTCGGTCCCGACTCGAGGTGAGCACCCTCTCTTTGAAGCCCTCACGATCGCTCGCGCCTTGTCAGAGCGGCTCTCTGATCCTCGTCTGTCCTCCACAGAGCGGCGTCCCTCGATTGCCAGCACAAGCGGGCTCTGCCGGCGGACATGTACGGCTGCGCCTCGCTTGCTGCGCCACGACCGGCGCCGTGTACCGCCTACAGCGGCATACTCTGCTCGCGTACAGTTCTTCGCGTCATGCTCGAGCCCACGCCGCAGTCGAGGAGGCCTCGACGGCCGCTCCTGCCGTACCCGCCGCTGTGAGAGCCGCTCGCGCCGTCGCTCTTGTCGTCGCGAGCCTCTCGCTCTGGTCGCGCTAGGCTCGTTCTCGTCGAGCGAGCTCCGCAGCACGCGCTCGCGAGAACCGCCGTACCGCCAGCCTCTATCGTCATGGCCGTCCTCGCTCTCTCGCGCTGCGCTTGCTCTGCTCGTGTTCCCTTCGAGCCGGCGCGTTCACTCCCGCAGCCTCGCTCACGGGCTCTCCTCTCGCTCAAGAGCTCGAGTTCCGCTCGACGCATCGCTTCGGCTGTACGTCGAGCACGACGCAAGCGCGGCCGTGCGAGCAGGACCGCAGCTCGAATGCGCGCACGGACCGTCGCCGCGAAGGCGTTCTCGCGCGCCTGCGTCCGGCTCGACTGGCGTGCTGTCGATGCTCGGCGAGCTTCTGAGACACTCTCGTCGCGTCTGTCACGCGCGGACCGGCTTGTCCGCGGTGAGCGTGCGTCCCGACTTGGCGCTTCTTTCGCCTCTCTTCGTCGTCGTTCGGCTCTCGTCCCCCTCGCCTCCTTCTCTCGCTCGACCTCGACTGGCTTGATGTCTGAGCCCCGGCCCCTCACGCACGAGCAGGTGAGCCGTCCGTTCCTCTCCTTCGCCGCTCTCGACGCAGGTCTGACTCGGGTGTCCGTGCACGCAGTACGCCAAGCGGCTCCACGAAATCGTCTACCCGCGCTTGCCGGACGACATTGACCAGCGGGCGATTGTCGTGGCCTGGCTCTCGTGGCTGCAGCAGCGCGAGCCCTACGACACGTTCTTGCAACTCGGTAGTCAGCGCCAACAGCACTTCTTTGCCGTCGTCGGCGGGGTGTCGTTCGACAATGTCCCGCTCATCCTCGTGCGGCCTCTCTCTCTCTCTCTCCCTCGGAACAGGACATGGCGAGCTCACAGACTGGTCCGTCTGCAGCCGACGGCCGACCAGCTGTTTCACCATGCCGCTCAAACCTTCACTCGCCAGCAGGAGGCGCTGCGACACGTGCAAGTGCGCTCTCTTTCCTCCCTGTCCTCTCTCGAGTGACTCGGCCCGTTGAAGCTGACGACGTCGCACGCACCCTCCAGGTTCACGCCGTCGAGCGGTCGAGGGCGGCACACGAGCCGGCTGCGAGGAGCACTTCCTCGCCTAGCGCCGTGAGCTCTCTTCCCCTGCTCCATTGCGCGTGAACGAGGTATTGCCCGTCGCGAAAAGACGTGGCACTGACGGTCTTCGCCCTGCCCCAGCCCGCCTCTCCACCGTCCGTCTTCCAGGAAGGCCAGCCTTTTGCCGCCCCTCCCCGCCCGCAGCTGCCGCCTGGACCCATCGACACGATCACGAACAACGCCCTGTACGACATCAATCCTCTCGCGCGCCGTCCGACCAACCGCCCGCCGCGGCACAACCCGATCCCGCCGCCACCGAACGAGCCCTGAAACCACCACGCCGCGTGGCCCGAACATTCGCCGCCCGTCGATGGACGGCATGTCGACGACGAGGTGGGCTCGTACTTTCGGGACGCGTGGCACGACGACCTCGAGCCGCGCAGGTAGCAGTCGCACGAGGCGCGAGCGGGGAGTTGTCGAGGAGCGATGGGCCGCTCGAGCGGGAACGGCATAGCTCGACCTGTGTAGCAGTCCATTCTCGTGCCACTCGAGACCGTACAGCCCCTTCTGCGCTCGAGAGTCCTGCCCGAAAGAAGAAGCGCTCGGACCCATCGAGCCAGTCGACCTTCGCAAGTCGAGCTCGAACGAGCGAGGCTCTCATCTCTCGAGGGTTCGGCGCACGAGCGAGAGTATGTACAGTCGATGACATTAGACGACGGCGAACAAGCGAGATACGACGACGAAAGAGAGAGAGAAAGAGAGAGGGAGGCACAGAATGAGAGGGAGAGGGAAGGAGGAGAGGAAAGGGGGGGTGGGGAAGGGGGCGTCGCTCAGTCGAGCGCGAGCAGGTCCCGGACGGCCTGGCGGCACGTCTCCTCCTCGTCGCCCTCGCACGTGCCCCGCTTGCCCTTCCACTCGCGGCGCCACTTGATGAGGCCCTCGCCGACGACCTCGTCGACAAACTTGCGCCCGCCGTCGCCCTCGCGGCTCTCGCCGAGCACGAACGTCGGGCGCACCGGGTACCGGCCCTTGCGGCGGTCCCACGCCTTGGCGCCGTCGCCCTCGCGGCCGCGCTCGCGCTCGTACGTCTCCTCGACGTAGGCGCGCTCGATGAGGCCGTTGACGCGCTCGCCGGCGCGCGCCATGACGCGGCGCTTGCGCGACACGCCGCGCAGGGCCCACCAGATGCGCTGCACGCTCAGGTCGGTGTACAGGGCGGGCACGATCTGGGTGAAGAAGCGCGGGACGGCGCGCAGGCGAGAGCGCGCCGCCGCGTTCCAGTGCGTCGAGGGCGAGATCGGCGCGAGGTACAGGGCCGAGTGGATGAGGCGAGGGTGGAGCGTCGCAAAGAGGGCCGTGATCGACGTGCCGTGACCGCGCGAGACGAGGACGAAACCGCTGCGGGCGAGCGGCGACGGGACCATCGAGTCGGCGTCCTCGTTGTCGACGAGCGACGGCGGCGGCTGCAGGCGCGCCATCTCGCCCGAGACCGACAGGGCCTGGCTGAGGGCCGAGACGATGTGCGGCGCCGACGAGGAAGGCGAGGCGTCCGACCAGCCGTATCTGCGAGGAGAGGGCGAGTGAGCTTCGATCGCTCGGTACAGGCGAAAGGAGAGAAACAGGGACGCACCCAGGACGGTCAAAGTAGCAGACGCGCGTCTCGATGTCGCCCGAGTTGAGCTCGCCGTCCTTCATCATGCGCAAGAGCCACTCGGCGTCGAGCGCGGCGGGCACGCCCTGCTCGCTCTCGACGAGGAGCGTGCGGCGGACCGTCGGGCGGCCGGTCGTCGAGACGAACGAGGACGAGTTGACGGGGGCCGAGGTGCCGTCGGCGGCGACCGCGAAAGGCGGGTCGTCGAGGCCGAGACCGCGGCACGCGAGGTGGACGCGGTACTCGCGGCCGCGAGGCTGGAAGAGGCCGTGGGCGAGCTCACTGCGGGCACATCGACAAGAGAGAGAATGAGGGTCGTGCTCGAGAGCTGCCGCAGGGGGAAGAGACGAGGAGGAGGTGGGACGTACGGGAAGTACTTGCGCTGCCAGAGCCAGCTGTCGACCTTCCAGCGCTGACCGGGTTGCTCGACGCTCGCGTCGACGGACCGGATGACGAGGCCGATGGCGATCATGATGAAGGCGCACAGGACGGCGACGTGCGCGGCCGCGAGCGGGAGCGAGATGCCGAGGAAGCCGACCGTGGCCCTCGTGACGCGCTTGAGCGAGGCCCAGAAGCCGGTGTCGGGCGAGTAGTCCGGGTCGAGCTCCTCGGGCGGGTCGAGGAGCGGCGCGTAGCGGTCCGTGAGGCTCGCCGTGAAGGCCGACTGGAGGGCCGTGACGATGGCGAGGGCGAGGACGACGAACGTGAGCGGGCCCTCGACGACGCGCAGCTGCGTGACCGCGACCGAGATGATGAGGGCGGCGAGGGCAAAGATGGCGGTCGTGATGGCCGTGTAGAACGACAGCATGGGCGACTCGTGCGGGTAGACGAAGCTGAGGAGGGTTGCGCTGCGAGACGGGAGAGGGGCGCATGGGCGCAAAGGTCAGTTCGCTGGCCTCAAGAGATGCACCAAGGAGAGAAAGAGGGATGCGAGGACGCACGTGTTCATGGTGCACGAGAGGAAGCTGACCCAGACGGGGATGCCGACGCTGCCGCGGTGAACGGGCAGGGCCGTGTTGCTGATGAAGGTGCCGTCGACGCTCGCGAGGCTCATGGTGAAGAAGTAGCCGTTGGCGAGCAGGAGCGCGCCCGTGAGGGCCGCGTCGATGCGGAGCGACCACGGGCGAGGCTGGCGCTCTGGGTGGCCCGACTCGGCGAGCAGGGCCCGGTCGCGCGCCGCCTCGGTGCGGTAGTCGCGCGACGTGGTCGACCCGAGCAGGGCCGTGCGCTCGCCTGCGCCGTCGGCCTCGCGGTCGTTGACGAGCGCACGCTGCTCAGGGGTCGGCTCGGTCCTCGAGCCCTGGGGCGACTCGATCTCGTCGTCGAAGCCGCGGTTGGCCGTCGTGCTGCCGTTGGTGCCCAGCGCACGCTTGGGCTGTGCAGGCATGGCGGATCGGCGGTGCTGCTGGTGGTGGTGTGTGTAGAGAGGGGGGGAGAGAGAGGGAGGGAGGGAGGAGGAGAGTGATGACGCTCGGCGAGATCAAAGGCCTCGACCAAAGGGGCGGTGCTCCACCTTTCGGGCGATCCTTCTGCAGATCCGCACGCCTCGCTCGACAGCTTCTGACCGTGACGAACGAGTGCGGCTGTGCGATTGCAGGCGATGCAGAGAGAGAGAGAGAACGAGGGACGAAAGGGGGAATAACACTGCTGCTGGTGCGAGAACGAGAAAGGGCGGGGGTATCGTGCGAGTGCAAGTGCGAGTGCGAGACGAGGGACGACGATGACAGCGCTCTGGCGCTCACTTCTTCTTGCCCCTGCGTACGCGCACGGCGACTCGTCAAGGACCGAGACGACGCAGACAGGGAGAGAGAGAGCGGGGCGCACCTCGGCTTGGCGTTTGGCCAGTGCCCCTCCTTGCGGAAGCCCTCGACCGTCTCCTTGACGCCCTCGGCGTCGAGCCGCCGTTCGGGCTTCCACCCGGTCAGGCGCTTGAGCGCGCCGTTGTCGAACGCGATCGGGTTCGGGCCGAGGAGGTCGACGGGGACGGACGGCGAGATGGGCACGGTCGACGCGAGGGGAGGGTCCGACGCCTGCAGGAGCGCCGACCAGCCTTCGAGGTGCTGCGGGCGCGCTCGAGGAGGTGTCAGTATCTGTGCTTTACCGAGGTCGACCCAGCAGTCGACGCCGGCAGCTGAATTGCCGCCGACGTCGTCCGCTCGCCGACAGACCGAGAGAGCGACAGAGAAACGGGGAGGCGCACCTTGTCGTTGACGTCCTCGGCGACCTCGTGCATGTTCATCTTGGCGAACGTCGAGATGATGCTGCCGTGGAACCCGCTCTTGACGCCGCCGACGCCCTGCTCGATGACGCGCGCAATGTCGCGCTGCGTCGTCTCGCCGTCGTCGCACGCCGACAGGACGACGGCGCGCACCTTGGCGTCCTTGGCGGCGGGCGCGGGCGACAGGGACGCGAGCGACGAGAGCTGGGCGTCGGACGCGAGCGTCGACGGGAGCGGCTCCGAGTACGCCTCGAGCGCCGCCGAGCGGCCGACCTTTGAGGCCCATGCGGCGACGTGCGCGAGGGCGGCGGCAAAGTCGCGAGCGTGGACCGTGTGCTGAGCGAGGTGCTCGGACCACAGGAAGTCGAGTTTTTCGCCCTCGAACTTGTACACCTCGGCGATGAGGCAACGAGGCGTGATGCCCGTCAACGTGTACGGGCCGTAAAAGAGCGCCGGCCGCATGAGGACGAGGTTGAGCCTGTGCGGGAAGGCGTTCGCGACCCAGTCAGTTCCGGGCTCGGCTGGGCGCGAACGGCCGACAGAGAGGAGGAGGACGCTCGGGACGCACCGGTCGATCGAGGCCAAGCCCCTCGCCGCCTCGTGGTGCCAGCTCGCCATCGTGCCCCACGGTACCGCGCCGACCTCGCTCGCGCCTGGGCCGCCGACACGAGCGTGCTTGTCGCCGCCGTCGACGCGGTAAAAGGGCGTGAGGGTGCGGACGTAGACGCCGGCATGGTGGTCGACGGCGCTCTGGCCGAGGAGGAGGGCGAGGCGGAGCGTGCGCTCGATGTGGACCTGTCAGAGGTCACAGGTGGGTGAGCTCGCGAACGGGCTCGAGGAGGACAGGGCGAGAGTGGGACGCACGATGTCGGGTGCGGCAAAGTCGGTCTCGCCAGAGAAGTCAAACACCCAGTCGAAGCCGTGCGTGGCCTTGGCCGAGTCGGAGTCGGAAGGGCGGTGCTGGTCGGGGAGGGCAAAGGCCTTGTCGCGTGTGGGCTGGGCGAGGAGGTTGCCCTGGACGAGCTCGACGGTGCCGAGGTCGACGGCGGTGCGGAGGGCCGTGCGACAGTCGGTGTCGACGTAGGTGGTGTAGGCGTCTGCTTGCGGGATGGCGAGGGCCTTGTCGACGAGGCGGAGGAAGGTTGGGCGGTGGGGCGACGACGAGGGGAGCGAGAGGAGGTGCGAGATGAGGTGGCGGGTCGGGTCGAGTCCGAGGCCGCCGAGGACGAGGACTGTGACCATGCTGGGCGAGGTGGCGGTCGCCGGGAGGGAGGGACGAGGAAGGGAGAGGTGCGAGACCTCGGACGAGCTGATGACCAGGCGAGGCAGGAGAGGGCGTCGACGCGGGGCTGCGGGACCAGGACGCAGGGGTTGGACGAGGTGTTGAGAGTGCTGGTCGGTGCACTGGTGCCCAGCTCGAGCGAGTGCGGGCGAGGGTGCGAGACCAGAGGGCTGCCCCCACCTCGTCGTTGCTCCGTCCCTTTGTGTCGCGCTCTGGGTCGCACAGGCCTGGGTCGAGCAGCTGCACACGCCCACAGCCATGCCTGCACCAGCACCCGCCATCTTCTCCCACCTGACGGCCTTCCTCTCGCCCCTCGTCCCGCTCGACACTCGACTCGCGTGGATCTCGCACGGCGGCAAGCTCGCAACCCACTCCCAGGTCGACAAGGACCACTGCAGCATCGACCTCTACTTGGCCAACTACCTCGCCCGCACCCTCGATACGCTCGTGCCCCGGTCCGTCCCCCACCTCCTCTCCTCGTCCTCCCCCTCCCACCTCACTTGCCCCCTTCTGCCCGACCCGCAACAGCCTCGAAGCACTCGGCATACAGCTCCACGACTCGGCCTGGATCACCGCCTGTCTCGCCAGCCACCACCTCGTCGACCGCCGCCCCTTCAGCTTCCCCGCCCTCGACCTCGACTCGAGCCCGCTCGCCCAGCCCGACCCGGCCCTTCTGGCCCCAGACCACTCGCCCGCTCTCTCGCACGACACCCCTCACTCGGTCTCGCCTAGCTCCACCCGCCGCAGCACGTCGACGCACGCAGTACCGCGCTCGAGGACGACGACCACGACCACGACGCACGACCTCGCCACGCCCCTGACGACCGCAGCACACAGCACCAACTTCCGCCAGCCGTCACCAGCGTCTCCCGAGTCGAGCCCCGCCATGGGCGCCCAAGCCCTGTCCATGTCGGACGCCGAGGTCGAGCGCCTCCTCCTCGAGCGCGCCGGCCCCACCAGCTTCCTCGGCAAGTTGCAGGCCGCTCGAGCCGGCCAGTCGACCGACGACGACAACGACGACGTCACGATGTACCCGTCGCCTGTCCGGAGCGTGCAGCACCGCCTGTCGAGCTCCGAGTCGCAGTTTGCCGACCTCGAGGACCTCGAGGACGGCCACCTCACGCCCTCGTCCGGCACGCTCTCGCGCCACTCGCGCTCCGCCTCGCCTACCGCCAAGAACGACCACGGCCCCGCTCGCGCCGAGAACGACGACGCGCCGACCTCGGTCGCCGCCTTTTTCACCCAGCCGCTCGTCGAGCAGGGAGGAGGTCCGCCCGTCTACGACGCCGACGCGCTCGTTGCGCTCTTGCGGCGGCAGGGTTCGGCGCCGAAGGAGCAGGCTGAACGGGTCGTGCACGGCGAGGGCGGGTGGACAGTGCGGCGTCGGGCTCGAGGAGGGACGAGGGACGAAGGGTAGCTCGAGGCGCAGAGGTCGACCTGCATTGCTTTGACTGGTTCCTCTCGATCTCTCCTTTGCGCTCTCGAGAGACTGAGAGAGAGAGGCACAACAGCTCGTGGCAGTACAACCTTGAGAGCGACAGCAAGCACGCCCGAGCCCTCCTTCAGCTCATCATCGACCTCCCCTCCCGCCGCGACCTCGCCAGCCCCATCCTCCTCCGCCACGTCCCCTGCCCGCACCAACCCCTCCTCCCAGTCCACCGCCGCTCGGCGGACCGTGCGCCGCACCACCCGGCGGAAGCGGCCTTCCCAAACCCATTCCTCCTGCGCCTCCTCCTCGACCCGGCGCGCCCCTCAGCGCCGCCCATCCTCCTCGACCCGGGCTCCCGGCTGCACCGCCTGCGCCGACCCCACCAGGAGCGCCCGCCGCACCCGCTGCCGCAGCGACAGCCGGCTGACCCGCCGCCGGGCCCGCGCCCGCGTTCGCCGGCGGCACGAGCCCGCTCTGCATCGCCTTTGGGCCCGTCGGCACGCTCGGGTCAAGCTCGACGGGCCGCACGGGCGGGCTCGGCCTCGCGTGCGCATGATGCGCAAACGGCGACGAGCCGAACCCGAACCCGTGCCCGCCGCCGCCGCGACCGTAGCCACCGTGCGGCGCGTGGCCGTGGCCGTGGCCGTGCCCGTGTGCGAGGTTGTGCGCGAACAAGGTCGGCGAGCGCGAGTGGGCCTGGCGGCCCGAGGCCGGGCCCGACGCGACGCCGGAGGACGGGAAAGGCGAGGTCGCCGCCGTCGGCGACGGTGAGGGTGCGACCGAGCCGGGCGCAGAGGGCACCTGGGCGGCGTGCGACGTGCGCGCGGCGGGGAGCGCGACGTGCGTCGGCTGCGGGCGCACGACGGCGGGCCCGGGACCTGGGAACGGGAGGGCGGCGGGTCCTTGCGGCGGCGAGTGCGCGCTCGCGCTGCTCGGGCGGCGATGCGGCGGCTGCTGCTGCTGCTGCGACGGGCCGCCGCTGATGGGCCGGAAGCCCGGGAGCGCGCTCGCGCCCGTCGACGGCGACGCAGAGCCGGCGTCGAGCCCGAGCGCCGAGCCCGAGAGCGAGATCGACAGCTGGCGGGGCTGCGTCGGCGGATGCTGGGGCGTCGATGTCAAGGACGAGGGCGAGGCGGCGCCGAGTGCAGGACCCGCCGGGGCCGAGACCGACGGCGAGGCGGTCGGTGCGCGCAGGGCGGCGGGCGCGGTAGGCGCCGGCGTCCTCGAAGCTGCGCCTGCTGCTGCCGACGAAGTGGAGGTAGGCGGTGCCGTTGCCGACGAGGGCGGGAGAGGAGGTGGAGGAGGACCCGGCCTGCCGCCCGTCTTGGCCTTGGTCGTCGACGACGACGAGGACGAGCTGCCAAAGTAGTCGCCGATGCTCTTGAGGATGTCGGCCGCGCTCATCTTGGGCGTCTGAGCCGCTTGAGGCGCCGGGGCGACGGGCGGAGGAGCGGCGGCGAGCTGGAGCGAGGGAGGGAGCGGCGGCGTGCCCGCCTCGGACTCGTCGTCGTCGCCCTCGTTGGCGGGCGCGAGACCTTGACTGGCGGGCATGGCCGGCGGAGCCGACGGCGCAGGCGCAGGAGCTGGCGCAGGAGCTGGCGGCGGTGGTGGAGGAGGAGGCGGGGCTCGCAGGGCCGCTCGAGGAGGGAGCGGCGGCGTCTCGGACGGCAAAGAGGGCGCCGCCGCGAGCGGTGACGGCGCGAGCGCCATGTGCGGCGTGCCCGGCGTCAACGAGGGCGGCGACGACGATGCGGCGAGGACGCCCGCGAGCGCCTCGAGCTGTGCGGGCGTGACGCCGAGCGCAGGAAGGGACGCGGCCGAGGTCGGGACGGGCGACGACGAGTACGGCACGAGCGGCGGGGCCGGCGCGACCGACGCCGACTGGGAAGCCGAGGCCGGCGGAGGAGGTGGTGGAGGTGGCGGCGGTGGCGGCGGAGCGCGTGACGGCGACGAGCCGGCTCCGAGGCCCTGCATCTGCCGCTGCCGGTACGCCGCGAACGACAGGCGCGCAGGCGGCTTCGGCGGCTCGGGCGGTGGCGGCGTCGGCTCCTTGATGACGGGCGTAGGAGGTGCTGCATCTGTTCGACGCAAGCTCGTCAGGGGCAAGGCGAGAGAGAGGAGGAAAAGGAGAGCGGGACGCACCAGGCAGAGCATCGACCATCGACACGTCCTCGGTCGCCGAGTTTGGCTGCACGCTCGCGTGCCTCGACGCACCCGCACTCGACGGCGGCGTCGGCTCTGCGCTGCCCTGCGGCGCCGGCGACGGCTTGTCGGCCCGAGTGGCGGGACTGAGCGGCGCGCCGCCGTCGTCCGAGTCGGACTGGTCGCGGATACGAGGCGCCTTCTTGTCCTTGAGCTTGCGGATCTTGAGCTGCGACAGGGACGACGGCGTGCCCGAGGCCGGCCGCTTCTTGGACGACTTGGACGACGTCGATGCCGACGGCGTCGCCGGACCGACCTTGTCCTCGCGAGACGTCGTCGACGGCTTGTGCGCGTTGAGCGTCTTCTTGCGCTCCGGGTCCTTGGGCGACGGCTCGACGGGCTTGGCGACCGTCTTGGTGACGATCTTGACGCCGATTTTGAGGCGAGGTCGGTCGGGCGCCGCCGGTGTGGCCGGCGCCGACGTCGTCGGGGGCTCGGGTACGGGAGCAGGTGCAGGTGGGCCGGCGAGAGCGGCGACGGGCGACTCCTCCTTGGCCTTGCTCGCCGCTGTGGACGAGGCGGGCGTCGGCTCCTTGCCCTTGACCGGCACGCGCTCGCGCTCGCGCTCACCCTCGGACGACGACGACGAGTACACGCGAGCCGTCTTGCGCTTCTTGAGCGCATTGTCGCGGCTCGACGGCTTGTCCTTGGCCGGCGCCCTCTTCTTCTTCTTCTTGGGCGCGCGCGCCCGCTCGGCGACCTCGTCGTCGGCGTCGCTGAGCGAGCTGTCCGACTGGGCGACGACGCGCTTCTTGACCTCGGCGACGGTCGACATGGTCGGGCCGGGAGCGGGCGGCGACGAGGTCGCGCGAGGTGGCGAGGAGGGCTCGACGGCAGCCGCGAACGCCTGCAGGGGCTGGCGCATCGACGGCGGGCTCAGGACCGACTCGTCGACCTCGGACAGGTCGTCGTCGTCGTCATCATCGTCCTCGACGGCCGACAGGTTCGACAGCGGCTCGGTGAGGTCCGAGTCGGACGGATCCGGCGCGAGCTCAGCCGCGAGGGTCGAGCGGGCCGAGAGGAGCAGGTCGTCGGAAGGAAGGGACGTGAGGGCGGATGCGGGCGAGAGATCGGCGAGCGCGTCGTCTACTGTGAGGAGAGGCAGAGTCAGTCTCTGCAAGAAGGAAAGGGAGAGGGAGGGGGAGTGGACGCACCCTTGTCCTCGGCCTCGTTCACGTCAACGTCCATGCGGGCGCCCTCGTCGCCGATGTGGTCCTCGCTCGGGCCAGGCGTGGGCGTGCGGGACGTCTGCTCGACACGAGCGGCGCTCATCTCGTCGTCCTCGACCGGCTCGACCGGCGTCGACTCGTCGCCGGCACGCTCGTCGACAAGGTCCTGCTCGTCGACCGCCTGCGCCCGCTCGACGGGAAGCCAGCGCCGCTTGAGCCCGATGAGAGGCCCGAGGTCGACGGCCCTCGCCGCTGCGACCGCGCCGTTCTGCTTCCTCGCGCGCGCATCCTCGCCCGCCGCCGCCGCACTCGCTCCGACCGCCGCCGCGAGCGAGTTCATCATGACCTGCCCGAGCGGCTCGCGCTCGCGGTCGGACGGGCGCTTGGCCGTCAGGCTCGCGCACGACGCGGTGCCGGCTCGCGCGAGCCACCACAGGGCGCAGTCCTTGCGGCGGTCGCACGCGCACCCGCCCGGGCTCGTCGCGCCGCCGAGGAGGGCGTCGGCGACATGCGCGAGCGACTTGCTGAGCTGGGCGAGCGCCGGCTCGTTGTGGTCGAGAGACGGGGCGAGAGGCGGCGCCGAGGGGAGCGCGAGGAGCGAGGGAAGGAGGTGGGCGAGGTGGGCGTCGTCCCAGGACCAGGGGAGGATGATCTCGGCGCGCTTGGCGATGTCGGTCAGGGCGTACAGGGCGAGGGCGAAGCGCGGCGCGACCGGGTCGTCGGGCAGCTGAGCGGCCCACTGCGGGACGGCCTGCGCGCTCGAGCCGGCTGCGCCGCCTGCGGACGAGACGAGGGGCGTCGCGCTGCGCGAGCGACCGCCGCCTGCTCGTTTGCCGGGCGGCGGCGCGGGCGCGGCGGCCGACGGGTCGAGGCGCACGACGCGCACGACCGCGTTCGGGTGGCAGCCGCTCCTCGCGAAGCGCACCTCGTCGCCGTACCGACGCTGGTCGAGGACGAGGCTCCAGGGCTTGGGCAGGCCGCGGACGCCGCCCTTGAGCGCGCCGAGCAGGGCGTACTGCTCGATCGGGTCGGCGACGTGCGCCTCGAGGTCGCGCACCTCGCCCTTGAGCGGCGAGATGAAGGCGCCCGACGGGATGTGCGCGCCAGCGAACAGGGCGTGGGCGGTCGCGCGAGGGTAGGGGCACAGTGCGACCGACGAGGCCTGCGACGACGACGAGCCGTGCGCGCCGGGGCCCGAGGACGACGAGGTGGACGCGAGGGACGAGGGGAGGTAGGCGCTCTGGATGGGCGGGAGGGAGAGGGACGTAGCCGAGAGGGGGAGCGGCTTGACGATGAGCGGCGCTGAGGGAGGAAGGGCGGGGAGCGAGATCAAGTCGCGCTGCTCGCGCAGGCCGTCGAGGACCTGGACCGCGCGCTTGGTCAACGGCACGGCGCGTGGCGGCTTGTCGTGCTCGTCGTCGTCCGTGTCGTCGAGGTCCTCGTCGTCGCCCTCGTCGTCGTCGAGGACCCGCCCGAGCCTCCTCCTGACCCTGCCGTCCTCGTCCCGCCACAGGAGCGTCCCGACGCCCTCGATCTCGGTGTACTCGAACCGCCAGTCCTCGTACCGGTCGCCGCCCGCACCCGCAGCGAGGTACCCTGCGCCGACTGCTGCGCTGCCCCCTGCCGCGCCGAGCACGTCGTGCCCGCCCTCGTCGCGTTCCCTCTCGCGCGCCAGCTCCCGCTCCCGCTCCCTCTCCCTCCTTGTCGGCCGCCTCGCGCGCCGCTCGCGCTCGCGGTCCCGTTCCCGCGCCAGCTCGCGCTCGCGCTCCTCCTCGGACGGGCTCGCGTCGTCGCGCTCGCGGTCCCGCTCACGCTCGCGGTCCCGACGCTCGCGGCGCGCGAGCGACAGGCGGCCCGAGCCCGCCATGGGCGTGTGCTGCGCCGACGACGACGCGTGCCCGTGCTCGTGCTCGTGGTCCCGCGCCGCCGGCCGCAGCGGGAGCTGCGCGGGCAGGTCGTCCTCGTCCTTCTCGCGGTAGTCGACGGCGCCGACGTCGCCGCCGGCCGAGGCGGCGAGCGACGCACGGCGCTTGGCGGGAGGTGCGGGTTCCTCGCCCGCCGAGGGGTCGGCCGACGCCGACGCCGACGCCGAGGCGCGCTTGGGCTGCTTGGCGACGCGACGCTTGCGGCCGACGACGGGCGCAGACGAGGTCGTCGAGGCCGTAGCTGGCGGCGGACGAGGTGCGGAGGAGGATGCAGGTGCGGGAGCTGGGGCAGGTGCGGTCGAGGTCGAGGCGACGGGAGGAGCAGGCGAGGGTCCGAGCGTCGCCGTCGAGGTCGAGGCGGCCGACGGCGGCGGGCCGGACGAGCTCGGCGCGTCGACCTGCATGGGCACGGCCGTGGTCGTGCTTGGTCGTGCGGGAGGAGCAGGGGAGGGCGTCGTGGCGGTGGGCGGTGCGGCAGCCGGGATGGCCGGAAGGGGAGGGAGGGCGCTCGTCGAGGCGGCGGGGAGCGCCCCGACGCCGAGAGGCTGAGATGTCGGCGCGACGAGGTGAGGGACAGGAGGGAGGGAGGTCGGGAGCGCAGGGAGGACGAGCGCGGCTGGGGCGGGTGGAGCGCTCTGGCCGGCCGGCGACGGCGGGACGGGCGGCGGCTGCATGACGGCGTCCTCGCCGTACGTGAGCGCCGCCGCCGGTCCTCCACCGCCGCTCCTCCTCGGCTGCGCCGCCTTGGCCCTCGCGGCGCGCTGCCTCGGCGTCGAACCCGCGCTCGCGCCGCCCTGCCCGAGCTGGTGCTCGGCCGCAGCGGCGGCGACGATGCGCGCGCGCTCGGCGGCCATGGCCTGCTGCCCGGCCTCGTGGGCCTGCGCCTGCGCCTGCGCCGTCGCGTGCGCGTGCTCGTCGGCCCTTGCGCGCGCGGCGACGAGCTGCTTCTGCTGCTCCTCGTACATGGCCTCGGCGCGCGCGACCTGGCCCTTGATGCGCTCCATCTCGCGCATGCGGACGCGCATGCCGACCTCGGCGAGGCGGCCGTCGACGCCGCGGCGGCGGGCCTCGGCCGGGTCGCACTTTTCGCAGCGGTACTCGTCGGGGACGTCGGCGGGCGAGGGGATGCCGACGCACGCCGCGTGCTGCCACACGTTGCACAGGTCGCACTGGATCGTGAAGCCGTCGTCGATCGTGTAGGGGCACACGCAGCGGATCAGGCCCGACTCGGCGGGGACGGCCCATGCGGGCGCCTGCTGCGGTGCTTGTCGAGGCAGCGGCGGCGGCGGCGAGGGTGCGGCGTGCGTCGGCTGGGGCGAGACGATGGACGAGGGAAGAGGAGGGAGCGAAGGGAGCGAGGGAAGGGCGGCGAGGGAAGGGGCGGCGGCAGTCGACGAGGTGGTCGCGGCGGCGGGCGTGAGGGGCGGCGGGCCGAACGCGGCCGAGCCGGACGACGTGGTGAAGAAGTGGAGGCTCGGGTCGGTGAGCGGGTGCGGCTGACGCTGACGAGCGCCCCTCGAGCGCGTGCCGTGACCGTGCGAGGGGGTTGCCGCCGACGAGGACGAGGTTGGCGAGGGGGCGGTGGTGGGCGACCCGCCAGGTGGTGGGAGCGGCGGGAGGAGGACGGCATGGTCTCGCGGCGGTTGTACGGCTGGCGAGAAGAGGCCGCGGCCGAGGGACGAGCTGCTCGGGACGCGCTGTCGACCCCGGGTCGCCTGCTGAGCGACCGGCTGCGGCGGCTGAGCGGGGAGGCTCAGGGCGACGCGCGCAATGTCGCTGAGCCCGCCTCGCTCGATGTACGGGTGGACGAGCTGGTGCTGCTGCTGCTGCTGCTGCTGCTGCGGTGGCGCGGGTGCTGGCGCCGGCGCAGCAGGAGGAGGAGGCGGGGCCGAGTCGGGGGCGACCGTCTCGAGCAGGGCCGCGGCCGAGAGCAGGTCGAGGGCACTGGCCATGAGTCGGTGGTGCGACTGGCTGTAGGCCTGCTTTGCGCGCCTGCAGAGAGAGGGCGGGCGAGTCAGTCGGGGCGAGACGGACGCGAGGAGGGCGCGAGGGGCACACCTCTGAGGGCGGCGCTGGTGGGACGGGGCAGCCCTGCGCTGAGCGTGCTCGAGGTTGAGGCTAGCAGGCGAGTCGGCCCTGGGCGTGTTGGTGCTCGGGGGTGAGGTTGTTGGTTTGGCCCTCGCTCGCGCTCGCCTGCTCCTCGCCTCCTCCCCTCTTCCTCACCCACGCCACTCCCCGACCTCTGGGGCAGTCCAGTGCACAGCTAGCTCTACTCAGGGCACCGCACTCGACTCGACCACCGCCCTCGCGAACTGCCCCGTGCGGTACATCGCCCCGCCCGTCGCCCTCATCTCTGTCGACCCTCGCCATCGACCTGGGCCACCCCGCTCGCCTCTAGTGCGCCGTTAGACCCCACCAACAGCACCGCATACCGACGACACCGACACCCACCGCGTCGTCCTCGTCAAACCTCTCAACCACCCTCTTCCCCTCTCTCCCTCTCCCTCCCCTCGCACGCCCAACTCGCCCACCATGGCGTCCGAGGAGCAAAAATCCCGCCTCAGCGGGTACCAGTACAAGAACATGAGCACCCTCGTCACCACCGCCGAGCGCTCCCGGTACCGCGAGCACGAGCCCACCGGCGAGGCAGAGTCGCTCGCCGGCCGCATCGGCACCAAGGACATGGGCACCCGCGCCTTCCGCGAGGACGTCGACGTCGCCGACAAGCGCAAGCGCGCAGACGAGAAGCGCGAGCGCCGCGACAAGCGCGACGACGCCGCCAACCCGGACAAGAAGAAGCGCGGCACCATGCCCGGCGGCATGCGCTACGGCGACGTCCTCGAGGCCACTCAGGACCGTGCGTCTCACTCTCTCCCACCTTCTCCTTCTCTCGTCCCCTGCCGGACGTCGAAACTGACCCTCACCTCGCACCCGCAGTCGAAGGTCTCGACTACCGCCCTCGCACGGCCGAGACGCGCGCAGTGTACGAGCTCATCCGGTCGCAAGTGCACTCGCTCCTCGGCGACACGCCCCCGGCCATGGTGCGCTCGGCGGCCGACATGATCCTCGGCTACCTCAAGGACGACCAGCTGCGCGACCTCGACCGCAAGCGCGAGATCGAGGCCCTCCTCTCGGCGCCCGTCGCCAAGGACGCGTTCAACCAGCTCGTCACGCTTGGCAAGAAGATCACCGAATACGGCGACGACGACGACAACAAGCCCAAGTCGGGCGACAACGACGACGAGGGCGCGCTCGACGCGAGCAAAATCGACGACGACGTCGGCGTCGCCGTCGTCTTCGAGGAGGAGGAGGAGGACGACGACGACCAGGACGGCGAGGGCTTCGAGGTGCGCGACGACGACGACTCGGACGACGACGAGGACGAGCGCATCGAGGGCCCGACCGGCACCGGGCCCGACGGCCTCGACACGGCCGACCTCGAGGGCGACGAGACGGTCCTCGTCGGCTCGGGCTCGGGCTCGGGCTCGCGCTCGGCGGCAGCGTCGTCGTCCAAGAAGCGCGCCGACGGCGTCGTGCCCGCGCGCGAGATCGACGGCTTCTGGCTCCAGCGGCTGTTCGCGTCGCACTACGCCGACCCGGTCGCGGCGGCGCAAAAGACCGAGGCGGCCATGGCGCTCCTCTCGAGCGAGGGCTCGGCGCGCGACGTCGAGAACGCCCTTATGGACCTCACCGAGTACGACAAGTTCGAGCTCGTGAGCGCCCTCGTCACCAACCGCGACCGCGTCGTGTGGTGCACCAAGCTCGCGCGCTCGAGCGACGACGAGCGCATGGACGTCGAGGTCGCCATGCGCGAGAAGGGCGTCGGCTGGATCCTCAAGGAGCTCCGAGGCGACTCGGCGTCGTCGAAGCGCGCCGACGGCGACGCCATGGACGTCGACGCCAAGGTCGCCGCGTCGGGCCCGTCCAAGGGCACCCTCAAGCCGGGCGAGGCGGCGCCGCCGCCGCGCAAGACGGTCGACCTCGAGTCGATGGCGTTCGCCCAGGGCGGCCGCCTCATGTCGAACAAGAAGTGCAAGCTCCCCGAGGGCTCGTTCAAGCGCTCCAAGAAGGGCTACGAGGAGGTCCACGTCCCGGCGCCCAAGCCCGCACCGCTCAAGGACGGTGAGCTCGTGCCCGTGTCGAGCCTGCCCGAGTGGGCCCAGGCCGCGTTCAAGGGCAACCCGAACCTGAACCGCGTCCAGAGCCGCCTGTACCCTGTCGCGTTCGGCACCGACGAGCACATCCTCCTCTGTGCCCCGACCGGCGCCGGCAAGGTCCGTCCTCCTCTCTTCCCCTCGCCTCGTCACTTTTTCGAGAAGGCCGCGCACTGACCCTGCCTCCTTCTCGCAGACCAACGTCGCCATGCTCACGGTCCTCAACGAGCTCGCCAAGCACCGCGACGAGCGCACGGGCGAGTTCGACTTCTCGGCGTTCAAGATCGTCTACATCGCGCCCATGAAGGCGCTCGTCCAGGAGATGGTCGGCAACTTCCGGTCGCGCCTTGCGCCGTACGGCGTCACGGTCAACGAGCTCACGGGCGACCGTCAGCTCACCAAGGAGCAGATCTCGGAGACCCAGATCATCGTCACGACGCCCGAGAAGTGGGACGTCATCACGCGCAAGAGCACCGACACGAGCTACACCAACCTCGTCTCGCTCATCATTATCGACGAGATCCACCTCCTGCACGACGAGCGCGGCCCGGTCCTCGAGGCCATCGTCGCGCGCACGATCCGCCGCATGGAGCAGACGCACAACTACGTCCGCCTCGTCGGCCTGTCGGCGACGCTCCCCAACTTCAAGGACGTCGCGCGCTTCCTCCACGTCGACCCGGACCGCGGCCTGTTCTACTTCGACGCGTCGTACCGCCCGTGTCCGCTCAAGCAGGAGTTCATCGGCGTCACCGAGAAGAAGGCCATCAAGCGGTACCAGGTCACGAACGAGATCTGCTACGAGAAGGTCCTCGAGCACGCCGGCAAGGACCAGATCATCATCTTCGTCCACTCGCGCAAGGAGACGGCCAAGACGGCCAAGTTCCTCCGCGACGCCGCCGTCGACAACGAGACGATCACCCAGTTCCTGCGCGCCGACCCGGCGACGCGCGAGATCCTCACGTCCGAGGCCGAGTCGGTCCAGGACCCCAACCTCAAGGACCTCCTCCCGTTCGGCTTTGCGATCCACCACGCCGGCATGAACCGCGTCGACCGCACCCTCGTCGAGGACCTGTTCAACGACGGCCGGGTCCAGGTCCTCGTCTCGACCGCGACCCTCGCGTGGGGCGTCAACTTGCCGGCGCACGTCGTCATCATCAAGGGCACGCAGATCTACAACCCGGAAAAGGGCCGCTGGGTCGAGCTCTCGTCGCAGGACGTCCTACAGATGCTCGGTCGCGCCGGTCGCCCCCAGTACGACACGTTCGGCGAGGGCATCATCATCACCAACCACTCGGAGCTCCAGTACTACCTGTCGATGATGAACCAGCAGCTCCCGATCGAGTCGCAGTTCGTCGCCAAGCTCGCCGACAACCTCAATGCCGAGATCGTCCTCGGCACCGTCCGCAACCGTGACGAGGCCGTCCAGTGGTGCGTCCCCTCCTTTCTCCCTCTCCCTCTCTCCTCTCGTACGACCTCGACCTGACACCCTCGTCGCTTGCAGGCTCGGCTACACGTACCTGTACGTGCGCATGCTCGGCTCGCCGTCGCTCTACAGCGTCGACCCGAGCTACGGCGAGGACGACCCGCTCCTCGAGCAGAAGCGCGCCGACATCGTCCACACGGCCGCCGTAATGCTCGAGAAGTCGGGCCTCATCCGGTACGACCGCAAGTCGGGCGTCTTCCGTGCGTCCCCCTCTCTCTTCCTCTCTCGCATCCTTCCCTCTTCTCCCACCGTCGCCCTCTACCCTCCTCGCTCTCCCTTGCGTTCCCGTCGTCAGGAGCGTCACTGACGACCCTGTCGTTCGCTGCGCGCAGAGACCAACGAGCTCGGGCGCATCTCGAGCGGCTTCTACGTCACGCACACGAGCATGGGCGTGTACAACCAGCACCTCAAGGCGGCCGGCGGCTTTATCGAGCTCTTCCGCATCTTCTCGCTGTCCGAGGAGTTCAAGAACGTCCCAGTTCGCCCCGAGGAGAAGTGCGTCGCGCCGTTTCTCGCCCTCACCCTCCTCTGCGGACCTCTTCCTGACACACAGTCTCTCTCCTCTTGCAGGCTCGAGCTCGCCAAGCTCCTCGAGCGAGTGCCCATCCCCGTCAAGGAGTCGGTCGACGACCCGTCGGCCAAGATCAACGTCCTCCTCCAGGCCTACATCTCGCAGCTCAAGCTCGACGGGTTCGCCCTCGTCGCCGACATGGTCTACGTCACCCAGTCGGCCGGCCGTATCCTGCGCGCCATGTTCGAGATCTGCCTCAAGCGAGGCTGGGCCGCCCTGACGCACAAGGCGCTCGCCCTGTGCCAGATGGTCGAGAAGCGCATGTGGACGACCATGACGCCGCTGCGCCAGTTCAAGGGCGTGCCCCTCGACGTCGTCCGTCGTGCCGAGCGCAAGGAGTTCCCGTGGTTCCGGTACTTCGACCTCGAGCCGGCAGGTGCGTCCCCCTCTTTCCCTTCGCCCTCGTCCTCGTCGTCGCTCGCCTCGACCGAGCGCTCACTGACTCGGCCTCTTCCTGCAGAGCTCGGCGAGCTCATCGGCGAGCCCAAGGCCGGTCGCCTCGTTCACCGCCTCGTCCACCAGTTCCCCAAGCTCGAGCTGCAGGCGCACGTGCAGCCGATCACGCGGTCGCTCCTCCGCATCGAGCTCACGATCACGCCCGACTTCCAGTGGGACGACAAGGTGCACGGCGGCGCCGAGGCGTTCTGGATCCTCGTCGAGGACGTCGACGGCGAGATGATCCTGTTCCACGACCAGTTCATCCTCCGGCAGCGGTACGCCGAGCAGGACCACTACGTCACGTTCACGGTCCCGATGCTCGACCCGCTCCCGCCCAACTACTTCATCTCGGTCGTGTCGGACCGGTGGATGCACGCCGAGACGCGCCTCCCCCTGTCGTTCAAGCACCTCATCCTCCCGGACAAGTTCCCGCCGCCGACGACCCTCCTCGACCTCCAGCCCCTGCCCGTGTCGGCCCTGCACAACAAGGAGTTCGAGGCCATCTACGCCGACTCGATCGACGCCTTCAACAAGATCCAGACCCAGGTCTTCCAGGCGCTGTACACGACCGGCGACAACGTGTTCGTCGGCGCGCCGACGGGCTCGGGCAAGACGATCTGCGCCGAGTTTGCGCTCCTGCGCCTGTGGTCGCAGGCCGAGCCGCAGCGCGCCGTGTGCCTCGAGCCGTTCCAGGACGTCGTCGACGCGCGCGTCGCCGAGTGGCGCGCCAAGTTCGGCCGGGTCCAGGGCGGCAAGGAGATCCTCGCGCTCACGGGCGAGACGAGCCAGGACCTGCGCCTCCTCGAGAAGGCCGACGTCGTCGTGTGCACGCCGCAGCAGTGGGACCTCCTGTCGCGCCGGTGGAAGCAGCGCAAGAACGTCCAGTCGATCGGCCTCGTCATCGCCGACGAGCTGCAGCTCATCGGCGGCGAGCTCGGTCCGACGTACGAGGTCGTCCTGTCGCGCACGCGGTACGTCGCGGCGCAGACCGAGAACCCGACCCGCATCGTCGCGTTCGGCGTCTCGCTCGCCAACGCGCGCGACCTCGGCGAGTGGATGGGCTGCACGGCGCAGACCATCTTCAACTTTGGGCCGGGCGCCCGTCCGCTCCCGATGGAGGTCCACCTGCAGTCGTTCAGCACGCCGCACTTTGCGTCGCTCATGATCCAGATGGCCAAGCCGGCGTACCTCGCCATCGCCGACTACGCCGACGAGCGCCCGGTCCTGTGCTTCGTCCCCTCGCGCAAGCAGTGTCGCGCGACGGCCGACGACATCCTCACGTACTGCCTCGCCGACCAGGACGAGTCGAGGTTCCTCAACATCGAGGCGAGCGAGCTCGCGCCGCACCTCGAGCACGTCCAGGACGCCGGCCTGCGCGCGACGCTCGAGCACGGCGTCGGCTTCTACCACGAGGCGCTGTCGAAGCAGGACCGCCGCATCGTCGAGACGCTGTACTCGTCGGGCGCGATCCAGGTCGTCGTCGCGAGCAAGGACACGGCGTGGAGCATGCCCCTGACGGCCTACATGGTCATCATCATGGGCGTCCAGTCGTTCGAGGGCAAGGAGCACCGCTACGTCGACTACCCGTTCACCGACGTCCTGCAAATGATGGGCCGGGCATGCCGACCGACCCACGACACGTCGTCGCGCTGCGTCCTCATGTGCCAGCAGGTGCGCCCAGAGCCTCTCTCCCTGTCTCTCGCCCTCTTCTCTTGGTGCCCGAGCGACTCGTACTGACACTCGTGGCCATGCCCCTCGCAGGTGCGCAAGGAGTTCTTCAAGAAGTTCCTCAACGAGGGCCTCCCGATCGAGTCGCACCTGCACCTGTCGCTCCACGACCACTTCAACGCCGAGATCGTCACCAAGACGATCGAGAACAAGCAGTGCGTCCCCCGGAATGGGTTTTCCCTCGAGAGCGTCGTCGACCGAGAGGACCGTGCACTGACCCTCCTCCTCGTTCTCGCAGGGACGCCGTCGACTGGCTCACGTGGACGTGGATGTACCGCCGCCTCGTCGCCAACCCCAACTTTTACAACATGCAGGGCACGACGCACCGGCACCTGAGCGACCACCTGTCGGAGCTGGTCGAGACGACGCTCGCCGACCTGCAAAACTCGAAGGCGATCACGGTCGAGGACGAGATGGACGTGTCGGCGCTCAACCTGGGCATGATCGCCGCCTACTACAACATCAACTACGTCACGGTCGACATCTTCAGCATGTCGCTCACCGAGAAGACCAAGCTCAAGGGCCTCCTCGAGATCGTGTCGTCGGCGCAAGAGTTTGAGAACATCCCGATCCGCCACCACGAGGACCAGCTGTTGCGCAAGGTGTACGACCGCGTCCCGGTCAAGCTCGCCAACGTCGACTACGAGTCGCCCCACTTCAAGACGAACGTCCTCCTCCAGGCCCACTTCTCGCGCCTCAACCTCCCCGCCGACCTTGCCGCCGATCAGGCCGTCATCCTGTCGCGTGTGCTCAACCTCCTGTCGGCCGCCGTCGACGTCCTGTCGAGCAACGCCTACCTCAACGCCGTGGGCGCCATGGAGTTGTCCCAGATGGTCGTCCAGGCCGTAACGTACTAAGCTCTCATGGCTAACGTACTAAGCTCTCATGTTTCACGTACTAAGCTCTCATGTTTGAACAATAAAATTAATATAATACGACCTCCTCGAGCTCGAGGACACGGACCGCGACAAGCTCCTCCAGCTCGACGCGCGCGCCATGCGCCGCGTCGCCGCGTTCGCCAACGCCTACCCTGCGTGCGTCCCCCTCTCTCTTTCTCTCTCTCTCTCTCGTCTCCTCTCCCTGTTGCGCCCTCATTTGCTGACCCTCTCGCACTCACGCAGGCTCGAGATCACGCACGAGGTCGAGGACGCCGAGGACGCGACGGCCGACTCGCCCATCACGATCAAGGTCCAGCTCGAGCGCGACGTCGAAGAGGACGAGGAGGTCGACACGACCGTCGTGGCACCGTTCTTCCCCAAGGGCACGCAAGAGCAATGGTCCGTCTCTCTCTCTCGCTCTTCCACTCTTCTCGCCCGAGGACTCAATCTCTCGCGGTACTTGATATTGACCCTCTTTGCGGCCTGCAGGTGGATCGTCGTGAGCGACCCAACCAAGAAGGCGCTCTACTCGGTCAAGCGCATCACGTGCGCAAGGAGGCTCGCCGTCAAGCTCGAGGTTTCCCTCCCGGCTGGCCGCCACGACAACCTCAAGCTCCTCGCCATCTGCTCGTCGTACGTCGGCGCCGACCAGGAGCTCGACATCGCGCCCATCACGGTCGCCGAGGCGGCAGACTCGGACGAGGACGACTCGGACGACGCCATGAGCGAGTGAGCGTCGAGGAGAGAGGGGACGCAGGAGCGGACCATGTAGAATCTCTTTTTTATCGAGCTCCTCTGTAACAGCAGTGACTACAAGCATCCTTCTCGTGCACGGCGCCTCGAGCTGCGTGCGTCGTCGCTACGAGAGCGACTTGGAGCGGGACCTTCTCAAGCTGCTTCTCTTTCAGCTCGTCTAGTCCGAGAGCTCCCTTGCTTCTGCTCACAGGCCTCGGCAGCTCGAAAAGATCGAGGGAGAAAGCGTATGCATGACAACGACAGAACGAGAAGCCACAGATGTACGACCGAGTCAAAGCGCGCTCAGGCCCTCCCCTTCTCCCTCGCTCGACGACCTCCCTTGACGACCGCCTCGCCGTTCTCGCCGCGCTCGTCACGACCGTGCGACGCGTCTCGAGCCCTCGCTCAGACGCTGCGCTCCTCTGGCGGGCGGTAGCGCACCTGCAGGATGCGGAAGATGTCCCGCTCGCTCTTGACGCCCTTGACGAGAACGCCCTCGGTGAGCTTGACGCCCTGGCGGTCGCGCATGACGTCCTTGTACAGGCCGCGCTGATTGAGGCGGTAGCCCATGCGGCGGGCCTTGAGGCGCAGAGAGCGATTGAAGATGGAGCCCGACGAGAAGTAGATGAGGGCTGCCGGCATCTCCTCCCACGGTACGCCTGCGGGTCGAAGTAAAGAGGGACGAGTCAGGAAGACTCTGACGTGAAGTAGAGAGAGGCAGAGGGCGTGTGCGCACCGAGAACGTCGATGCGCCGCATCTTGGCGTCGTTCTTGCCCGGCAGCTTGCAGAGCCCGTTGATCCTGCGAGGGCCATGTTCCAAGTCAGGCGACGCTCACGAGAGAAGGTAGAGAAAGCGCCACGCACTTGGCGTCGAGCGACGTGTCGTCCTTGGGCAGCGACAGCTCGTACTGGGCGATGCCGGCCTCCTTCATCTTCTTCCAGAGCTTCTTGACGAGGCCTGCGACGGGAGGCAGAGTCGGCGATCGGGTACGGTGCGGAAAGAGAGAGAGAAGTGGACGTACCCTCGTGCGTCTTGCCGTCCCTGCTCGGGTCGCGCGTGACGAGCAGGTCGATGTCGCCCGAGGACTCGGCGCCGCGGCGCCACGAGCCCATGCAGTCGACCTTGAGCTCGGGATCGATCTTGCGCGCTGCAGGTATTCGAGCAAAAGGTGAGCTCGTCTGGACGGCCTGTGAAAAGGACGAGGAAGGGGCCGAGAGGAAGGAGGGGAAGGCGAGGACGCACCGATCTTCTTGACCCTCTCGACGATCTCGGTGACCTCGTCCCTCGGGATGCGCTCGAGCAGGTCCTCGTAGTACTCGAGCCCGATCAGGACCGCCGGTCTCGTGATGCCGTACTTCTGCGGGTCGTTGCGGAGGTCGTCGATCGAGCGCGCGCCCTTGGCCCACAGGTTCTGCGCCGCCTTCTTGACGCCGTACACCTCGCCGAACAGCTTCTCGGCCTTGTCGGCCTCGGTCTCGAACGTGGACAGGCGACGGTGGGTGCCTGCGAGACGCAGCGTCGTCAGGAAGAGGACCTCGAGGACGGCGAGGGGGGAAAAAGAGGGCCCGAGCGCACCGGTGCGAGCGATCTCGACAATCTTTTGCGCGAGCTTGGCGCCGATACCGGGGATCTGGACGAGCTCCTCGTAGCTGTCGATCTTGTCCTCGTAGCTGCGGAGCAGGTTGGCGGCCTTCTGGTGCGAGCGGACCCGGAACTCGTCCTTGTCGACGATCCTCGGGATCACCTCGGCGAGGAGCTCGAGCTGCGACGACGACGAGATGTCAGGTCCCCTCGAGAGGGAAGAGAATGGCAGAGTAAAGAGGAAGTGCGAGACGCACAGTCTTGGCGACGACCTCGTTCGGCCCGTCTCGTCGGTCGCGGTTGGCCGCCGGGTTGTCGCACGTCCAGCCCTGTAGATGTCAAGAGTCGGTACGCTGTGTCGAGAGGACACCCGGCACGGCGAGACGAGGGGACGCACCTTTGCCGGCCGCTTCTTCTTCGGCTCGCGCTTGTTCCTCACCTCGCCCTGGCTGTCCTCGTCCTCGGTCGCGTTGTCGTCCGGCGCGCGCATCGACAGGACGGTGTTCGGGTCGAGGTCGAACAGGTCGGACGCCGACATCTCGTTGAAGCGGTCGACGGCCTCGGCGCCGAGCGTCTGGATGATGGCGTGCTCCTCCTCGAGGCCCTCGTACATGAACGCGCCCGAGTCGGCGCGCGAGAGCGGGCGCTTGGGCGAGGCGACGTCGACATCGATGTCGGTGCTCGTAGTCGGGGCGGTGGCGAGCGTGCGGGTGCGGTCCGGGTCGTCGATCGGGTCGCTCGAGTCCTCGAACCCGTGGCGGTCGTGGGCGTCGACGACCTCGCGCGACGCCTTGCCCTTGCCCTTGTCGCGCTTCGGGATCGACGAGGCAGCCGTCGACTGCGACCGGGGCTGGTCGAAGTAGCCGGGTGCGGGCGCCTCGGGCAGAGGCCAGTCGTCGGGACCGAGAGGTCTGCGGGGCAGGCTCGAGTTGGTCAGTACGGCTCGAGAGGCAGAGAAAGAAAGAGCAGGACGCACGATACAGCGTCCATGTTCTCGTCGTCGTCGTCGTCGCTCTCCCGCTGCGTGTCCTCGCCCGCATCTGCCGCTCGCTCCCTCGCACCGGGCCTCCTCCCCTTGGACGGGTCCTCCTTCTCGAGCCGGCTCTTCTCGCACTCGCGCGCCTTGCGCTTGCGCTTCAACTCGTCGGCGAGCGCCGCCTTGTCGCGCCGCTCGCGCCGGGCGCCCTCGCGGAAGTCGCCGCCGAGCAGGAACTCGGCCTCGTCGACCTTGTGGCTCGCGTCGACGCACTTGCTGACCCACTCGAACCGGACGACCTTGACGTACGGGCCGAGCTCGTCCTGCTCGATGCCGTCATCGTCGGGCCCGAGGCAGCCGAGGACCTGCTCGTACGTCGCCGGACGGTGCTTGTGCGCCGGCTCGAGCGGGACGATGTAGGTCGTCCAGCCCTCGGCCTCGGCGCGTGCGGCGAGCTCGTCGGCCGACGTCGACAGGTCTGCGTCGTCGACGTCGAACGGTGCCGGCGTAAAGTCGGCGGGCTTGACGAGAGTGGCGCCGTGCCGCGCGGCGATGGTCATGTTGAGCCGGAGCGCGTCGTCGAACCGGTTCTTGCGCGGCGCCGAGTTGCTCCAGTGGTCCGTGTTGATGAACACGACGCGGAAGCCGTCGAAGAGGCGCGGGCGGGCGCTCGGCGCGCGCTCGAACTGGGCGAGGTGCTCGACGAAGGACGGGATGGTCGGGAACTGGCCGACGAGCTTGGTGCGGTTGAGGCCGGCGAGCTGGTTCAGCGCCTGGTCGAGGTTGAGCGACACGCGCGGCTTCTTGGCGGGACGACCGCGCCCGGCGGCCGCCGCCGTCACTGCGGGAGCGGCCTGTGCGGCGCGACGCTGGCGACGACGGAGCTCGGCGCCGGTCGCGGCGCGCACGAGCGTCCCGGCGCGAACAGGTGGCGGGCTGCTCGACTCGTCCTCGACCTGCTCGTCGACGTCGTCGCCGCCCTCGTCTAACCGCGACAGCTCGACGACGTCCTCGCGCGCGCGCTTGACGGGTCGCGCTGACGGCGCGATCGGGGCGGGCTCGCCGTCGTCCTCGCCGTCCTGGTCGGGCGTGTCCTTGAGCACAATGACGTCGCTCTCGCTCGACAGGGGAGGACGGGCGGCGAGACGAGGAGGAGGCGGTGCGGGCGCGGGGAGCGGAGGACGAGGGGGCGAGGGAGGGCGAGCTCGGCGTGTGGGTGCTCGGGAGGACAGGGCGGGCTGGTGCGGTCCTTTGCGAGCTCGCGAGGGGGCTCTGCCCCAGGCGGCGTCCTGCTTGGCGAGGAGGTCGCGCTCGTCGTCGGTGTCGAACGGGCCGCCGTCGACGGGGAGAAAGAGCGGGTGGAGCGAGTAGAGCTCGGCGAGGCGGTTCAACTGGTCCTCGAACGGCGGTTCTGGCTCGAACAGGTGGGCGACAGAGGCGTGGCCGGCCATCTCGGGTTGTTCGGCGACGACGACGAGGGGTGAGCAGACGCCAGCGCGTCGGGGCGAGGTGGGACTTGCGCCAGGCCGACAGTCGGATGTCGAGCAGCTCGGGCAGCTGGCAGGCAGAGCTCAAGAGGGCGCGAGAGGGACGCAGAGCGAAGCACAGCCTCGTCGCCATCTGTCTTTCCCCCCACTTAGTCCTCTCGCTCCTCCTACACCGCTCAGAGCAGCCAGGCGACCATGTCGGCAGATCGCAGCACCTTGCAAAGCTCGGCCGCCCGCACCCGCATCAAGCGCCGAACCACGCCCCTCTCGCCCACCCGCTCACCGTCGCGCCCGAATGACGCCCCCTCGGCTCGACGGTCTCGCAGCTGGGAGACGGACGACGACTCGCAAGACGACCAACAGCTTCTCGACGACCGCCGCCGCTACTCGCAGCGCAAGGTCGAGCAGGTCAAGGCGGCAAAGCGCCCACCTCGACCACCGGCAACCTCTCGTGCGTCTCTCTCCTCCTCTCCTTTGCACTCTTCAAGCCAAGCTGACCCGAGCGAACCCCCACAGATGTCCTCGCGGCTCTCGGCCCGATTCGCTGGGCCGCTCGCCTGTCGCGCAAGGCCGCCTGGACCCTCCTCCCTTGCCTCCTTCCCCTCGTCCCGTACCTCATCCTCGCCCTCAGCGTCTACCTGGGCATCGCCGTCGCCCGCTCCTACCTCGCCTACTACCTCTCGTACTTTCCGGCTCTCCTCCAGGGCCCGCTCTCCCGACTCGCCGACCTGTCCCTCCCCCTCCCTCACCTCCCGACCAACCTCTCGCCCTGCCTCACTCTCGGCATCTTCTGCGGCAGCTCCTCGTCGCCGTCGTTCGAGCTCTTGAGTGCAGGCGCCGCCCGCACGGCGGCGACTCGCGCACACGCCGCGCTCGACGTGTTCGAGCACCTCCTCGACCTCGGCGCCGGCGAGTCGGCCGGCATGTCGCTCGAGCCCGTCGCCGTGTGGGAGCTCGCGACCGCCGTGCGGTACACGTCGAGCCTTGACGACCGCGTCTTCCTGTCGGAGCGCCTGAGCGACCTGGGCGACAAGAGTCGCGAGGTCAAGGACCACGTCATCGCCCTCAACGCGCAGGGCTACAGCAGCTTCCACTGGGTAGTGTACGCCCTCTCTCACTCTCTCATTCTCCGCGTGCTCCTCTGGTCCCTTTTCTGACGTCGAAGCGCCCGCAGCCACGAGTTCACCCGCCTCGAGGAGCTCATCACGGCCGCCTCGTCCCCCTCGGCGCCGCGCATGAGCGACCGCCAGCGCGCCGAGTTTGAGCAGCTCCTGTCGTCCCTGTTCGACAAGATTTCGTCGTCGCTCGGCGACCTCGTCACGTCGCTCGACCGCGCCATCCCGTCGGCGACGCTCGCGTCCGACTCGGCCAAGCTCATCTTTGCCGCCTTGCGCAGCGAGGAGTCGCAGCGCGCCGACGAGCTCGACTCGATCGACTGGTTCCGGCGCATGACGGCGGCCGTGGCGGCGAGCCCGCAGGGCGGCAAGAAGGTCAAGGCGCTCAAGCGCGACCTCGAGATCACGAGGGCGAGCGCCGGGGCCGTCATCGGCGTGTGGCAGGCGCTCGAGGAGACGCGCGAGTCGCTCGTCTCGTACCAACGTCACGTCGAGCACTACAAGGTGCGCCCTCGAGCCCCTCTCTTTCGCCCTCCCTCTCTCGCAACCTTTCCTGACTCGCGAGAGCGTTTGCCCGCAGGCCGGCGTCGTCGGCTTCCACCTCTCCGGACACGGACTTAGTGTCGAGCAGGAGGTGGACAGCCTCAAGACGGTCATGGGCGAGATGCGCGCGTCGCTCGACCAGGCGAAGCGGCGGTCGTCGTCGGGAGGGAGGCGCGGCGCCAAGTCGGTGCCGCACGAGCTGCCCGAGGCGTAGTCTGCCGAGCACCTGATCTGTGACGTCTAGCTGTTGTTGCAGTGCTGTTGCTCCTTGCGCTTGCCCTCGAGAGCTCGAGAGAAGAGCACATTCGGTTCCGAACTGGCCCGCTCGACCCGCTCCTCCTCGCGCGTCGTCTTCCCGCCCTCGTCTGTCCTCGCGTCGTATTCCACCAGTTACGGTCCTCGCCGAGCTGCTGCAGTCGACAGCGAGACGAAAGAGAGCGTGAGCGAGCGACGGGGAGACGGACGCTTTTGCGCGCACGAGCCTCTTTGAACGCTCACCCTCGCTCGCGAGACTTTGAACCTTCGCTGGGGCTCGCGTGCATGCTCGGGCGGTGCAGCAGAAAATCGGAGAGCGCCCAAGCGGTGCGTCATTGTGACCACATTGGCAAGCGGGGAAGGATCGCTCGCGTCGTCGCCTTTCCTCCCGCGGCTCTCTCGACCGCTCCTCCTCCCTCGCTCCACACACTCTCGCACCTGTCGAGAGCTCGCACGCACTACCACACTCGACCCATACCATGTCCGCCCCTGCCCGCACCGCGTTCTTCAACGCCTCGCGCCCGGCCGCTCGCCGCGCCCTCCCGAGGCCGCAGGCTTACCGCCGCGCCGGCTACAACACCGCTGCCCAGGTGCGCCCCGTCCCACTCCTGTCTGCGTCTAGAGCCCGAGCTCATCCTTGCACACGCACAGCCCGGTGCCGCCGCCGCCGCGCCCAACTCGTCGCACCTCGTCTCGGGTCTCCTCGGCGGTGGTGTCGTTCTCGGTGGCCTGTGAGCCCCACCTTTTGCCCGGCATCTCGCTCAGCGAGTGACATGGAGCTGACATCGGTCCTCGCCTGCGCAGCTACGCCTACTACTCGTACTCGGGCGCCAAGGACGTCGTCGACACGGCCCGCTCCGTCTCTGGCTCGGCCAAGGCGGCAAAGGACAAGGTCGCCGACCTGTCGCCCTCGTCGGCAAAGGAGGCCCTCGGCCTCGCCAAGTCGGTCGCCAAGTCGTACGCGGCCGCCATCCCGGGCGGCGCCGTCGTCATCGACCAGGGCTTTGACCGCCTCGAGTCGTTCCTCGACGAGCACGGCGAGAAGGCGGCCCAGCTCGTCAAGGAGACGTACGCCGACATCTCGGAGGCGGCCAAGGGCGGCAAGGACGCGCAGGACAAGATCCTCAAGGCGCTCACGTCGGCGGCCGACAAGGTCCAGAAGCTCGTCGGCGAGGAGGCGGAGCAGGGCTGGGCCAAGCTCGGAGAGAAGTACCCCGAGCTCCAGAAGACGCTCGGCGACCAGGGCGTCGAGTTCAAGAAGCTCGCCGACAAGCAGTGCGTCCCACTTTCGCCGTTCCCCCTCCTCCTTGCCCGTCAACTGACCTTCTCAAACTCGCCTTGCAGCGGTCCCGAGGCGCAGCGCCTCACGTCCGACTTCTACCAGCAGTCGGTCGCCATCGTGTCGAAGGGCGGCCTCAACGCCGAGACGTACGAGGCGGTCAAGAAGCTTCTCGCCGAGAAGAAGAACGAGCTGTCCAAGTTCTCGGTCAAGGCCGGCCAGGACGCGTGGAACGCGTCGGCGAACGCGGCCGCACCCGTTCTCGACAAAATGCCGGACGTCAAGGAGGCGCTCGACAAGAACCTGTCCAAGATCGAGGGCTACGTCGGCGAGGACCGCGTCAAGGTGCGCCCCCCCTCTCTCTCTCCTTTCCTCCTTCCTTCCTTCATGGGCTCTCGAGCTGATGCCTGTCTCTCCCACCCAGATCGTCAAGGAGCTGTACGCCGAGCTCGAGAAGATTGGCAAGTCGGACAAGTCGGTCGAGGACAAGACCAAGGCGGCCAAGGCCCTCGTCCAGGACAAGCTCGGCGACTCGTCGCAGTTCAAGGCGCTCGGCCTCGACAAGGTGACCGACCTCGCCGGCGAGGGCCGCAAGTGGCTCGACAGCGTCGTCCCGGGCATGAGCGGCCTCACCAAGGTGCGTCCCTTTTCCATGTCGGCTTCACCCGAGTGCGCGAGCCTGACTTTTCGCTTCTCTCGCCGCAGGTCTTCGAGGACGCCGACCTCAAGGCGCTTCGTGACCTTGCGTCCAAGCGCGGCGACGACGCCCAGAAGATCCTCGAGGAGACCTACGACGGTGCGTCCCTTCCCCTTCCTCGCCTTCGATCGTCGCCCTCGCCCGGTCACTGACTCGTCCCATGCCTCCTCGTCACAGAGATCAAGGAGATCCTCAAGAAGCAGTCGGAGAAGGCCGCCAAGGTCGCCGGCGAGACCAAGGAGGAGGCGAAGTCGGCGGCGAAGAAGTAAAGCGTTCTCGTCGTTCCCGCGTCTTGCTCGGCGGCTGTCGTTCGAGTCTGTAGCAGTGCCTTATGCATAGTGTGTACCCTCGTCGCTGAATACCAAAATGAGTGCCCTTCCCTCTCTGCCTTGCGCGTTTCGAGAGAGAGGCTCGAGCAAGTTTCGACGACAAGGAAGCACCGGTCTCTCGACGCTCTGAGTACGGCGCGACGGTCAGCCTGCACTGGAAAGACAGTAAGGCAGCCCGCAGCCAAAGAGAGAACGCCCGGTCGTCGTCGCTGTCGGCGTCGCAAGTCGAGGCGGAGCCGACGTCGACGCGGCCTCGCTCTTCTCCCACCATCTCCCAGCTCGAGCTGCTCGACCCGTTCGACCCCGCGCCATCCACCACCAGCTCAGCCGAGCCAGCCGACCGCCTTTCGCCAGCGCCCGCTCTCGATCATCACCTCGCGTCTCATCGGCCAGGCGCACGAGTCGAGGCGTGCAGACAGCGCAGAGACGCAGCTGCGATGACCCAGGTGCGTCCACAAGCTCTCTTGCATACCGCCTCAGCCCCCAAGCCCCCTCGTCAGAGCCCCTGTCGCTGTCGGCTGGCCTGAATGGTTCTCGACGAGGAGACGACCTCATCGCTCGCGCCCTGGTCCCGGCTTCAGGGGTCGTGGCGAGGAGCAGCACAGCCATCAGGGCTACCCACTGATCAACCTGAACCCTGTCGCAGCCTCGCACAGCGTTGCCGGCGTCGCACGACCACCCCCTCTCCCCACCTCTCGACGCGCCGACGACCGTCTTCTTCCCCGACCCGCGCGACGACCTACTCAACTCGCGCACCGACAATACGCCACCCCTGTTCCCCGCCTCGCCACCCGACAACTCGCCGACGGCCGAGTTCTCGCGTCGGACATCGGTCGCGACCCTCCTCGCCCGCTCGAGCAGCTCGCAAGGCGTCGAGGGCGGCATCGGGCTCGGCCTGCCCGCCTCGACGACCTCCAGGCGAGAGAGCCGCGATCGACCACCCACCATCACCTCGGGCGGGACGCGCTCTCGAGCCGCCTCCTCGCCGTCCCCGTCCCCTTCCACCCCTCTTCCCCGACACCTGTCCTTCCCGGCGCCGCCGCATGCCCTTCAACCCGTCGCCCTCACCTCCATTCCGCTCGGGCACCTCGTCGCCCTTGCGCAGGCGCTCTCGGCGCAGCTCGAGCAAGCGCAGGCGTCCCTGCGAGAAGGGCGCGCCGAGCTGCGAGCGCTCGAGACGCTCGCGGCCGAGAAGACGGCGAGCGAGGGTGAGATCGAGCGCGCAAAGGTGCGCGCGAGGACCGAGCTGCGGGAACAGGAGGGCAGGGGAGGGAGCCTGAGCAAGGCGAGGCGACGGGCCAAGGGCGAGGGCGAGGGCAAGAGCCAGGACGAGTGGCGGATCGAGCTCCCGGCGCGCGAGGGGGAGGCGGCTCCTGAAGGACCTGCCCAAGTCGAGGTGCGCCCTGTCTCTCCTCGTCAAACTCTGTCGCGGGCCCAGCACTGACCCGGACCCTGCACAGGTCGACCTCGACATCGAGGACCTCACCGAGGCCATCTCGTCCAACGCGTTCGACTTGGGCCTGTCGAGCCCTAAGCCGACAGAGCTTAGCGACACCGCCTCGATCCGCTCGCACGCCGTCTCGCTGCCCGTCCCGTCGACCTCGACCCTCGACGACCCGTCCGACGCCGCGTCCGTGTCGTCCTTGCCCCTGGCGACCGGTACCGTCGCACCGTCCACCTCGGCGCCCGACCCTCCCGTCATCCCCTCGACGTCCAAGCCTGTCCGGCCGCGGCACGCGTCGCTGTCGGCGCGCTTCGTCGGCTACATCGCCGGGGCGCCCACGTCCTCGACGTCCGCCTCGGCGCCTCCCCTGCCGACCGCGACGAGCTCGGCGCCCGTGCCACCTACGGCGGTCGACTCGCCGTCGCCCAAGAAGCGCTCGGGCCGCTCGGGCAGCATCCGGAGCGTGAGCAGCACGGCGTCCGGGCGAGCGGGCTACGGCGAGTGGCTCGGGTGGAAGAGCTGGGGGCGCAGTGGGACGGGGAGTATCAAGGAGGGACGGGCGAGCGAGGGAGAGGCAGAAGATCCAGGAGGCGTGGACGAGGAAGGCGATGGCGGCGACGACGTGGAGGAGCGGGCGAGCAGCGGTCGCCCTCGCGGCTCGTCGACCGCGTCGAGTACGGGGCCGTCGACGCAGGACGTCCCTGTATCGCCGTCGTCGAGCCGGCACTCGTGCCGCACCCGCTCGACCCTCGCCACGACCTTGCCGACCTCGGCGCCTTCGTCCCCTCCCTCGACAAGCCGCGCGCTCGACCCAATCACCCCGACCGCCTCGTCCGCCGTCAGCCCAGATCGTCGTCGTTCGAGCGCCTCGTCGCCCTCGCTCCACCCGCCCGACTCGCCCACCCTGACTCGGGCTCGCAGTCCCGGGCCGCCGCCCTCCATGGTTTCCGCCGCGGCGCAGGGCACGGCCTCGACCATCCTCTCGACGCCTCTTACGACGTCGACCATCTCGGCGCCGTCGATGGCGTCGCCGAACCGGCTCGGCGGCAAGTCGCACCCGGCGTCGCCCGCTCGCTCGCCGTCGTCGAAGAGCCTTTCTCTGCCCGACGAGCCGAGAGAGGCCGCCAAGCGCACTCGAGCGCTCGGCGACGACGAGGGCGAGGCGACCATCAAGGCGCGATCGTCGGCTCGCGGCGGCGAGGCGCACCCGTCGTTCGTCCCCGGCGTTCCGCTCTACTCGGCGCCGCCTGACGGCCCGAGTCGCGCCGCGCCATCGACAGACTCGAGCTACGTTGCGGCGGCGCGCGGGACGCTCAGTCGAGCGCTCGGCCTCGGCGCCGGCGGGACCGCGAGCACCTCGAGCGCGAGCAGCTCGACCTCGTCGCCGGCGGCAGGATCGCCCGCGCCCGAGCCCAACCTCACCGTCTTCCCTCGCCTACCTTCCCTGTCCCTCTCGCGCTACTCGCCCTTCGCGCAACCCGCCTTGTCGACCCCGGCGACGCACGTGTCCATCTCGGCGTCCTCGGCGTCCCTGCCCGCCATGACCGCCTCGCACCAGCCGTCGCCGCTCGTCCCGCATACTGCGACCCTCACGTCGACGGCCGGCGGCGGCGGCGTGCAGACGATGGAGCTCGACACGATCTCGGGCGAGGCGGCGCCGCCGTCGCTCGCGCTAGTCAAGCCGTCGTACCAGTCGGCGTCGGCGGCTCGCGACGGCGCGCCGGCGACCGACGACGAGGACGGCGACGGGCCCATGATCGACCGATACGGCTTCATCTACGACGTCCGGGCGGGCATGGAGCTGCTCAAGGAGAGCCGGCGGCGCAAGGACGGCCAGTCGACCAAGGCCGGCTCGAGGTCGGTCAAGAAGCCGTCGATCAAGGACCTGCCCGCCGCCACCGCCCTGCAGCAGCCCAACCGCGTCGACACGCTCCTCACGCCGCCGACCGAGCTCGAGGTGCAGCCGCAGCTCGACGCGCTGCGCGAGGCGATCGGCCTCACGCCCACGACCGAGGCCAACAAGACGCTCTCGACGCCCGCCACGCCTGATCAGCGCTCGCCGTCGCCGCGCGACCCGGCCCCGACCTCGTCCGCGACTGGCCCGGCTACGGCCTCGACCTCGAGCGGCCCGAGCGCACGTCCCGCCAAACTCGTCCGCGCGCCTTCATCCTCGACGACGGCCTCGACCGAGTCGAGAGCGCTCAGCGGCACGAGCAGCACGGCGGCGGCGGGGCCGCAGAGCATGCGCGCGCTCCTCGCCCAGCTCCGCAGCATGACGGACGCGGTCGACAAGGTGCAGCAGGACGCGTGGGACGCCTTCATCCGCCGCCGGCAGGCCAAGCTCGCCAAGATCAAGGCGCAGCACCTGTCGGACATGTCGAACGACGAGGTGTCGACCGGCGGCGGCCCCGGCGTCGCGCGCGACCGGCCCAAGTCGGTTTGGCTCGCGGCGGTCGCAGGGGACGAGGCGGCGAGCGCGAGCGGCTCAGGCGGCGGCGAGGAAGGGTGGGCGAGCGAGAACCTCGTCGGCGTCGCGCAGATGGGGACCGAGAAGAAGGGCAAGAAGGAGGACTGGAGCGAGTTCAAGGACCTCGTGCGCAAGGGCATCCCGATCGCGTACCGGCCCAAGTGCGTCCTCTTCTCTCTCTCTCCCCCCTCCTCTCCCGATCCTGGTTGCAACAGTGACCGGCACTGACGTGCTCGACGGCCTGCAGGATCTGGGGCGAGTGCTCGAGCGCCAACGAGGCTCGAGAGCCGGGCGTGTACCAGGAGCGGCTCGCTCAGCCTTCAACGCCCGCCGAGGCGCAGTGCCTCAAGCAGATCGACATGGACTGTACGTCTCCTCGTCCCGTCTTTGTCGCCGTGCGCTCTTTGACAAACTCGTCCTGCAGGCCACCGGACCTTCCCGACCAACGTCTTCTTCGCCGGCAACGGGCCGGGCGTCGCCAAGCTGCGCAACGTCCTCGTCGCCTACTCGAGGCGCAACCCCAAGATTGGCTGTGCGTCGTGCCTGTTCTCCTTTTCCAGCTCTCCTTCTCGACGAGGAGAAAGTCGGACGTCGAGCTCACTCTCTTCCAACCTGCAGACTGCCAGGGCATGAATAACCTCGTCGCGACTCTCCTGTTGACGCACCCTGCCGAGGAGGACGCCTTTTGGGTGCTCGTGTGCATCATCGAGGTGCGCCCGCTCGGACCTTCACCTCGTCCTCGTTCCGGACGAACACTCACCTGTCTCGTCGTCCCGCAGAACATCCTCCCGTCCGACTACTACACCTCGCATCTACTCGTCTCTCGCGCCGACCAGCAAGTCCTGCAGGACCTCGTCGCACGCACGCTGCCCAAGCTCGCCGGACACCTCGAGGAGCAGTGCGTCGAGTTGACGGCGATCTCGTTCGGGTGGTTCTTGAGCCTTTTTACAGACAGTCTGCCCATTCAGGTGCGCCCTCTCTCTCTCCTCTCATCTCTATGTGCGCCGAAACTGACGACCTGTCCGTCCTGCAGACTCTCCTGTGCGTCCCCTTCCGGTTCTCTTCTCTTTCCCTCCTCCTCGACTGACAGCCCCTCGTTGCCGTCACACAGCCGCGTCTGGGACCTCTTCTTCATCCACGGCACCATCTTCCTGTTCCGCATCGCGCTCGCCATCCTCAAGCTGCACGAAGCCGACCTCCTCGAGTGCGACTCGGCCGCGAGCCTGTACGCTCTCCTCGGGCAGCTCCCGGCGGGCCTGTGGAACGCCGACCGGCTCCTCAAGGTGCGTCCTCCTCCCTCGTCTCTCGTCCCTCGTCCCGCCGACTCGACTCGCTCGAGGGCCTCGCCGCACGGACCCTGACTCTTGCACCTCGTCTTTGCCGCTGCAGGTCGCGTGCGAGGACCTCGCGTCGGTCGTCAAGGACCGCGAGGTGTCGAGCCTGCGCAGCAAGCACGTTGCGGCGCTGCAGGAGGAGATGGGCATCGGTGAGGGGCAGCTGTAGAAGACGACTTATCCTCTTGGGCCAGGCGCTCTAGCTTGCTCTCCCTTTCTTGCTGCGCTCTCGAGAGCCGCGAGAGTCTTGTCTAGCTCTCGGTATCTCTCGAGGTCGTCGATGCACTCAGGAGAGGAGCGAGACGAGCGATTGCAGACCGAGAAGGCGAACGAGAGGGAAGAAGCGCAGGGAAGGGGAGCTCAACAAAGACAAAGGCAGGGGCGAGAGAGCAGACTCTAGATGAAAGGGGAGGATCCGTCGAGAGTGTAGTGGCCATGGACGGCGAGTCGAGGAAAGTGTGGCGGATTAAGCGAGGGGAGGAGGGAGGAGAAAACTACGGGTACGCTTGTCGACGTGGGCTTGCTCTGGTGGGCGCTCAGGCGAGGCGGACGACGGCAAGGGCGGCAACGACGGCGAGGGCGCTGCACGAAGTACCGCAAAGGGCCAGTCAGTGCGACGGTCGCGGGCGAGAAAGAGAGGCTCGAGAGCCGCACGCACCCGTTGAACGCGAGCGAGGCGGCGCCCGAGTCCGGGGCGGCCGACTGGGAGGGACTGCAGGACGAGCTCGCGTCAGTACGGTCACGTTGGAGGGGAGAGAGAAAAACTCAGGACGCACGTGGTACCGGTCGCGCTGGCGGTCATGCTGCTGATGGCCGACGACGCCCTGGACGCGACCGACGAGACGGCGTTGCTCGCCGACGACGCGCTCGACGCCGCCGACGACGCAGCCGACTCGGAGGACGACGCCGCAGAGCTCGACTCGGCCGACGCCGACGACGAGGCCTGGGAAGCCGACGACGAAGCGGCCTCGGACGCCGACGACGAGGCGCTCGACGAGTCGGCCGCCGCCGACGAGCTCGCGCCACCGCCGCTCAGGCTGCAGGGTAGGAGCGTGGGTGAGTGATTGTGCAGATCGGGAGCGGCAAAGGGAGCGAGACGCACCACGAGGAAGAGCCGCCCGAGACGGTGGTCGGCGCGCCGTTGCCGACCGCGCCGTTCGTGTCCTGTCGACCGACGTGGGGCGAGGTCAGGCATACTGTGACGCTCTGTGGAAGGAGAGAGAGCCACGCACAGTGATGTAGACGGTGACGCGGGTTCCCTCTGCGACCGAGACGGTCCACGACAGCGCGCCGGACGGCGAGGTGGCCTGACCCAGGTCGGCGATCTGCGCGGTCGGGTCGTCGGAGGGGCGAGCGACGACCGAGCAGGGCGCGGCGCTGTGATGGCGGGCGATGCGGTTCGACAAGAGGAGGAGCGAGAGTGCGGGGAGGGGAGGGGGCTCGAGAGTCAGTCCACCTCGCCCTCGCTCGTACACCGCTCCAGACAGGGTGACAGAGAGTGGGACGCACGCGCAGGTGTACTCAAACGACGCCGGCGTGCACTGGTATAGCGCCGGCGACTGGATCGTCGTCTGCGCAAACGCGGCGCGAGCACCGAACAGGGCGGCGCCGGCGAACAGGGCGGTGGCGGTGCGGACCATGGCGAGGGGGCGAGAGCTGAACGAGAGAGAGTCGAGGTGGAAGGACGAGGTCGCAGGCGGCGAGCGGAGCGAAGGAGAGGAGGGAGAGAAAGGAAGAGAAAGAGTGAGCGAGCTGCCCGAGTCGATGCGACGACCGACCGAGAGGAGGTTCTCGCCCTCGCCGACGAGCGGATCGAGCCCTGCCGAGCTCCGCATTGACGACTGCGAGAGCCCGGGGTAAAGCGGCTCGAGCACCGCTTGATGCGGGCTTCCGACGTCGAGAGGCGCAAGCGAGCTGGTGTCGAGCCTCTCGCTCTGCGAGCGACGTCGAGGTTCCGCAGAGCTTCCTGAGCAGCAGCTGGATCGAATCTGAGCCGTGCGCGCGAGGAAGCGGCAGCAGACGAGGCCCCGGCTGAAACGGACGGGGTGCGAGCGCGCGACGGCAAGCCGCAGCGGTCCAACTACGTTGACCGCGCCTTCGCTCCTCTCGCCTGCTGGCGACGCGCCTCTCTATCGCGGGCGTGACCTGGGAAGAGAGTATGTGCAACCGACGCAACAGGGAGGCTCACACGGCCGCGCTGTTCGCCCGCTCAGAGAACGAGAGGAGCGCGGGAAGCGCGAGCTCGCTATCGACAGCTTGCCTCGCTCTCTCTCGCTCGGTCGCTCACAGACACAAAGGTGCACGAAGGATAAGGAGCGACGCATGCAGTACGGAAGGGAAGAGGAAGGAAAGGGGGCACTACGGGTGATTGAGAGGATGGGCGAGGAACGCGAGGCGAGGATTTCCGTCGAGATGGGGGAGGGGGGCACTAGGCAGAGCGAGAGGCAATGTCCTGGGGATTACGAGGGGCGAGGCTATAAGGGTGACGGTGGGTGAGGAGGCGAGGAGGGAGGGAGGACGCGATTAGGCGGCGAGGGCGAGGGCGCCGGCGACGAACGCGAGCGCCGAGCCAGCCGCGGTGCGGACCGCACCCGAGTTGCCCGAGGCACTCTGCGACGGGGCAGTGCCGGTGGCGGTGGGCGAGGTCGACGACGGCTGCGAGGCAGACGAAGCCGACGAAGCGCTCGACGACGACTGCGACGAGACCGACGACGAGATGGACGAAGCCGACGACGAGGCGGCCGACGAGACGGACGAGGCGACGCTCGAGACCGAGCTCGAGGCGGCCGAGCCAGTCCTGCACGCGAGAGAGCGAGTCAGTGTCTGAGTCCAGGACTCTCACGAGGTCGGGCGAGAGTGGACGCACGACGACTGGATGAGCGACGTAGCCGACGGCGTCGACTGCGAGTTGGTGGCCGCGCCCGACGAGGCGAGACCCGACGACGAGCTGACGCCGAGGCACGAGTTGTCGCCCTGCTGGATCGTGACAGGGGCGGTCGCGGCGGTCGCACCGGTCGAGTCCGACAGGGTGAGAGTGATCTCGGTGCCGGCGGGGATGTTGACGGTCCACGTGAACGACGTGTCGGTCGTCGGCTGCGAGTCGAGGGTGGCGAGGACGCTGAACGGGGAGAAGGATGTCAGAGAGGTCGTCGTCGACGACGAGAGGAGCGGCGGGTAGCACTCACGGGCCCGCGAGCGAGCCACCGGGCACGACGCGCACTGCAGAGACGACGGCGCGTCAGTGAGAGAAGAGGGAGAGGTAATGCAGGCTCAGGACGCACCGTAGTAGGGCGCCGAGCCGCCGGACCAAGTGACGAGGTACGGCTGCGCGAGGACGAGGACGAGGGTCAGGGCTCGTTCGGTTCGAGTTGCTCGCCGATGAGGAACAACGGTGGACGAACCTGGCACTGGAAGAGGGGCTGCGGCGTGTTGATGAGGAGCGCTGCGGACGGAAGGGCGAAGAAAGAGGTCAGTCTCGAGTGCCCGCTCGCGCCCGGCCCAGTCCTGCTCGTCCATTCTGCCCTCCGAGCCCTCGCCGACCGAGTCCAAGGACAGGTGCGCAGGCGCAGGCGCCAATCGCCGAGCGATCCAGCAAGATGCCGAGGCCGCCCTCGCACGGGTTGAGCGATTTGCTCGCAGCGTGCGGCCGCGCAGCTGCCCGCGAGCACCTTGAGTGCATCGCTGGGCCTTATCGTGCGGGTTGGCGAGGCCGACGACGACCGGTGGCGGGCGAGAGACGGCTGCGAGGGCGGGCGAGGTGGGGCTTGGGGAGGAGGGGAAGGGGAAGAGGAAGGGCGAGCGGGGACGCACACGACTGGGCGAGGGCGGTGCCGGCAGCGGCGAGGAAGGCAGCGACGGAGAAGGAGCGCATCTTGCAGGAGGCGGAACTCGAACGACGAGGAGTGGGTGGAGGGAGCGAGAGGGAGGGGAAGGGAGGGGAGAGTGGCGGCAACGCCGCGGCCGCTCGCTCGAGTTTCGACCGAGGCCTTGCCAAGTCGAGCCAGCCTGTCTCATCTCCGTGCGTCGTACACAGCTCCACTTCGCACCGCAGCAGCTCCAAGGACCAAGCCCTCCCTCCTCGCTCAAGCTCCTCCTCTCTCTCGCGCTCGCTCGCTCGTGCAAGGCTCTCGGCAAGCTCTCACGAGGTCGCCCTGTCCGCTTGCTCGTCCTGTCAGTCGTCGGTCCACGTGCCCGAGCCCTCACGCTTCACGGAGGAGGTTGCGGGCCTCCTCGCGACCGTCGACCGGATCGAGGAAGGTCGGCGCAACTCGCCTGCGCATCTTGCAGCTGCACGTCGTCGCTCTCCTTCTGGACGACTCGTCACTGCTACCGCCCGCCTCAGCTCGAGGCTGAACGGCGGACGAGTGACTTGAGAAGGTCGACTCTCGGACCCTCTCAAGTTGCTCGCCCAGCTTTCCTCGCGATGAAGACGACGCCCAGATCGAGAGAGAGAGAGAGAGAGAGAGCGTGCGAGTTGCAGGACTGGCCGCGCCGGGGGAGGGGTACTGATGAAGGAGAATAGAGAGACGCAAAGAGAACAAGGGCGCGAGCGGCTCGAGCACGCTCACATGATAAAGTCCTGCGAGATGGGGAGCAAGGCGTGAGCGAGTGCGTCTGAAAGAAGTGGACGACGAGCAGACGTACCCAGATCTTGCCGTACCAGGTCGTCGCAGGGACGAAGCGCGCCGCCTCCTCGTCGGCGACGGCGTCCTGCACGGGAACGAGAGGGTCAGTGCGACGTTGGGCGCCCGAGAGAGGGGAGGCAGACGCACGAGCTCGCGCTTGCCGGTCGTGTAGTCGATCTCCTCGAGGCGAACGAACTTGGTGCGCTTGAAGAGCTGCGGCACGAGAAAGCGAGGTCAACGTCGGCGTCGAAAGGCGAGCGGGAGGACCGAGGCGCACCTTCCAGAACACGAAGAGGACAGCAAAGATGACGAGCGTGATGTAAGCGACGATAAAGTCGCCCGTGTTCCAGTTGCCGTCGAGGAAGACTGTGCGCGAGAGCGGGCGGGACAGGTGAGTGACGGCTCTGACGCAAGGTGGTCCGGACGAGAGAGAAGGGACGCACCGGTGTAGCCGTTGAAGATGATGACGAGGATGATGGCGACGAGGCCAAAGTACGAGGCGTAGGGCTGAAGCGGCGCCTTGAACGGGAAGTCGTCGCGCGAGATGCCCTGGAACTTGAGGCCGTGGTAGAACCGGATGTAGCTGTAGTTGATGCAGGCCCAGGTGATCAAGCCCGTGATGGACGACAGGCTGAGTGAGAGAGAGAGAGAGTCAGTGCGAGGCAAGGGAAGGAGAGGGCGACCAGGGGAAGGGGCCAGGCAACGGAAGAGAGGGCGAGAGCGGGACGCACTTGGACAGGTAGTTGAACGCCGTCGTCGAGCCCGTCGACACGTTCATGTAGGCGAGGAGGCCGATGGCGGCCGTGATGATTACGCAGTAGATCGGGAGACCGCCCTTGGTGCAGCGGCGGAAGATGGCGGGCGCCTTGCCGTCGCACGCGAGGCCATACAGCGTACGCGAGCTGGCGTAAAGGTCCGAGTTGCCCGCCGAGAAGGCCGAGAGGAGCACCGCAGCGTTGACGACCGACGGCAAGCCCTGGATGCCGGCGTTCTTGATGGCCTGCGGGGAGACGACGAAGGGGCCGCAACGGCAACGACGGTCAGGGTTTGCCTCCTCGGCCCGAACGACAGCGAGACGAGACGCACAATGACCCAGGGCGAAGCGTTGACGCCGTCACCGTTGGTCAGGTTGGGGTCGTCGGGCGAGACGATGAGGCCGATGACGAAGGTGCCGATGATGTAGCTGCGAGTTGGCCGACGACGAGGTCGAGGACGCACGAGAGGAGGCGAGGACGAGTGCGGAGAGAGGGCGCGAGAAAGGCGAGGAGGAGAGAGAGAGCGAAGAAGGAGGGAGTGAGGGGAAGGAAGAGGCGCGAGCGGGGGAGAGATGGTCAGTCCCTGTCTCGCCCTCAAACACCTCGAACGCCCAGGCGACAGACGACCAGAAGGTGGACGCTGTCTCGCCCTCAAACACCTCGAACGCCCAGGCGATAGACAAGAAGAAGGTGGACGCACAAGAAGATGATGCGGAAGAAGACGCGGCGAATGGCTTTGGGGACGTTGCGACGAGGATTCTCGGCCTCCCCCGCAGTGAGAGCCACAATCTCGGTACCGAGGTACGAGAAGGCGGCCTGCACGAGCGTCGTCCAGAACGCGAGGAAGCGGCCCTTGGACCCAGGGATGCCGGACTGCTGCTGAAAGGGGCCCGGTTGGTGCCAGAAGCGGAAGCCGATGGGGTCCGTGCCCGGGACACCGCCGGCCGTGATGATGATGCCAAGCAGGATGAGTCCAATGATCGTGATGATCTTCAGGATAGAGAACCTGGGAGGGAGAGAGTCAGTAACGATGACGGCGACGACCTGGACGGCAAGGACGCACCAGAACTCGGCCTCGCCATAAGCGCGGACGCCGAAGAAGTTGAAGCTACAGATGACGACGTAGAAGACTGTAGACGAGGGCGAGACGAGTCAGTCGTGCCGCGCGAGGGACGACAACGACGACGCACCCGAGATCCAAACGGCGACGTTGATGTCGTCGCGCCAGAACTGAATGACGAGTGCGGCGGCCGTGATCTCGGTCGGCAGGGTGATGGCGTACGAGTACCAGCTGCGGGAGGGAGACAAAAGAGGGGTCAGTGCGCCGTCCGAGAACCGCCTCCTCGTTTCCTGCACACCGAGGGAGCACAACGCACTAGTTCCAGCCGAGGGCGAAGCTGTGTGCGCACGTAGAGCGAGTCAGTCACGTGCGGGACGGTGAGGGAGAAAAGAGCTCGACGCACCCGAGAGCCGGGTCGACGAAGCGCGCCGAGTAGTGCGTGAACGCTCCAGACACAGGGTAGAGCGTCGTCATCTCGCCGAGGGCGACCATCATCGTGCCGACGATGCTGCAGGACAGGAGGAGCGAGGTCAGGCGGCGGCTCGACGAGGAGGAGGGAGGGGTCCGGTGCGCACCAGCCCATGATCGAGTAGCCGAGCCAGAGGCCGAGCGGTCCACCGTTGGCGAGCGCACCTCCAGCGCCGACGAAGAGACCGGTGCCGATGCAGCCACCTGCGCGCGAGGAGGACGAGGTCAGTCCGGCTCGACGACGGCTCCCAAGTTGCAGCGAGTCCGGGACGCACCGATGGCAATCATCTGCGAGACGAGGGATGTGCAGGCAAGGCGGTGTCAGTCGAGGTGCGCCGAGGTTGAGCCCCGGGAAGAGCACGCCGAGATAGCGACGAGGCGCACCTGGAGATGCCTCGACTTGAGGTTGCCTGCGCGGTGAGAGGACACGTCAGGGACGCTCGGCGCATGTGACAGAGTACAAGGAGCGGCGACGCACGGTGCACAGCGCCCTCGGGCGCGTCCTGGTCGAGCCCGCGAAGAACGACCTGCCCATTGGCGGCGACGCCCTTCTCGCCCGTCGCGAACGTCGTCTGGTGGCCCTTCTCCGGGTCGGCGGCGTAGTCGGCCATGTGTGCTCGAGTGCCGCGAGTGGTGTGCGAGGTGAGGGTACGGCGTTCGAAGCGAGATAGCGAGTGGAGGACAGAGAGGGGAAGAGAGGGGGGAGAGGGACCGAACCACGCTTTGCGCCGCCGCGAGCGCGCGAGATACGGACCTATTTTTGGTCGCGGACCGTACGAACGCCGATCGGTTCGAGGGGAGGAGGCGTTTGAGCAAGCCGACCTTCTCAAATCGTCGGCTCTCTGCGTTCCACGGCAGCTCCTCGTTCCTCAGCAGCTCGCGCGGTGCTTGCAAGTATGCCAATCGATGCCCTCAAGCCCTTGAGAGTTGCGCCCGCAAGCCACGCGCTCGAGCACCGCAGACGGTGTCGGCCGCAGACCCGCCCGGCGCACCCGGGTCGATGCCCCGCACACCATGTGACGACGGACGCAATCAGCCTCGCCGCAAGCAAGCGCTAGACTGGCCGTCGCGTCGAGCGTCGAGCGGAAGATGAGGACAAGCGGAAAGCCTCGCACGGACCTCGCGCCCGCGGAACCGCCGAGTCTGCAGCGAGCCAGTCGCCGCAACCGCTCTCCTCGTCGAGCACACACACGGACGCACAGCTCTGATTGCAAGCCGGTCCCCGCACAGCGCTCGCCTCTCGGGAACCCGCACTTTGCGGAGGGAACGTCTGGGAAAAGATTGTGCGCGGTCGGCTTGAAATTGACAGGGGAACTCGCGCGAGCCGGGCTAACTACAGAGAGGAGAGCGCGCCGAGAGGGTCGAGGGATGCGGCTGCTGGAGGGCGAGTTGAGGAGGACGACGAGGGGAGGGTCGAGGCTGGTGCTGGAGGTGCGGGAGGGGGAGGCGCGACGACTGGCGAACGAGGCGGAGCCGGCATGGGCGAGGGAGGGTACGACGCTGCCGACGAGGCGGGCACAGGAGGATAGGCGGCCGAGCCCTGCGAGGAGGAGGTCGCGGGAGGAGGAGGAGGAGAGAGCGCCGGCGAGGGCGCCGGCGGCGTGCGGCTGAGCGACGGGAGCGGCTTGTCGGTGCGCGCGCCGAGGTACCTCGAAGGCAGCGCTGCATCGACACGAGGCGAGGTCGACGTCGACGTCGGCGCCGTGGCGAGATTGGGAGGTCGCTCGACGCTCGACCCGCCGTTCGGGGCTCGTGCGCCACTCGGCGTGGTCGCCGCCGTCGACGCGCTCGCCTGCGAGCCCTGCGACGCCGCACCGCCGACGCCGAGGAAGCCGTCGGCCCTGCCGCCGAGCACGTCGCCGACATGCCGCAACGCATCGAGCGCCGCTTGGACCTCGTCCTCCTGCGCCTTGTCCGGCCCGACCGCCCGCTCGAGCACGCCGACGGCCCTCGCGATGGCCGCACTCATGCCTGCGCTCGCGCGGCGCATCGCCTCGAGGTCGGCAAGGGCGTCTTTGGCGGCGACTGGTGGCGGAGGAGGGGAGCGGTGCGGGTCGGCGGGAGCGGCGAGTGGCGAGGTCGGCGAGGAGGAGGAGGACGAGGGCACGCCCCATGGTGCGCGTTGCGGGATCTGGGAGAAGCCCGAGGCTGAGGGAGAGAGGCGAGCGGCGCGACGGCGCTCCTCGGCGAGCGACTGCGCCTCGGCGACTCCTCGCTGCGGGGAGGCGGGCCCTGGGTCAGGCGCCGAGCTCGAGAGGAGAGAAGGTGACTGAGGGACGCACCTTGATCTCGTCGTACGTGCCCCGCAAGGCCTTGTTGATCCCGAGCGCCTCGGACTTGGCGAGCACGCCCTTGGCCAAGTCGCCGAACACGAGCCCGCCCTCGCCGCCGAAGAAGCCGAGCCCGTTGACGGGCGCGACCGTCTGCGCCCGCCGATGCGCCGGTGCGCCGGCCGCTCGACCGCCATACGGCGCCGCCGCCTCGAGCACCTCGCCGACGAGCTCGTCGTCCGAGAGCGGCTCGCCGATCGCCGTCCCGAGCGCCGCGTTCTCGCGCCGTACGTGTCGTGCGCCCTCGGGCGAGCAGTTGTCGCGCAGGTGCAGGCCCTGGCGGACGAGGAGCGCCGTCGCGTACCCGCCGTCGGCGCAGGCCGGGTACCGCAGGAGGAGCTGGACGAACGCGCCGTAGTCGCCGTCGGTCGCGGCGCGCACGAGCGCGTCGCGGGCGCGGAGGAGGAGCGCGAGCGCGATGTGCGTCACGAGGCGGAGCGAGGTGCCGTCGGTCGCGAGGAGGGCGTCCCACAGGGTGAGGGTGGCCGGGAGGGGGAACTCGCGCGAGAACAGAAGGCGGAACCACCGGATCGCGTACAGCTGCGGCTCGACCTGGAGGACGGTAAAGGCGCGGGCGAGAGGCGGGTCGACGGTCGACAGGAGCGAGTGGAGGTGCGACGAGAGGGCGACGATGGGCTGGACGAGGGCCGACGAGCTCGACGACGGGCCTTGAGCAGGCGCGTGGAACGCGCTCGACGACCTCGGCGTGAGGGCGACGGACGGCGTGTGGTCGTAGAAGATCTTGGCCGACTGCATGACGGCGGCGAAGAGCGCCCACGTGTCGTGCTCGACCCACTCGCGCGCGAGGACGAGGTGCGCGAGCTCGTCGTTGCCGCCGTCGCCGTCTTGTTGCCCTCGATCGTCGGGCGTCGGGAGCGAGTCGTAGTCGACGAACCACAGGAGCGGCGCGAGGAGCTCGTGCATGCCCTGGCGGTAGCCAACCTCGGGCGCGAGCTTGCACCAGATGAACAGGAGGTCGGTCATGCGGTCCTGCGTCTCGGCGCTGCGGAAGTAGTCGACCTCGGGGAACCTGTGAGGGGCGGGAGGACAAGAGAGTGAGCACGCGGTCCGAGAAAAGGAAGAGGCGACGACGCTCGAGGATGGAAAGGGTCGCGACGCACGTCCTCAACACGTCCTTGCGGATCTCGCTGCGCGTCTCGAGGTCGGAGAACCACTCTTGCCACGGGTTGCCGTCGTCGAGGCCGAGCGGGTTGTTGACCTTGAGGTCCTCGACCCTGGCCTGCCCCTTGCCGGCCGTCGCCGGGGCATCTCCCGGCCCGTCTGCGACCCAGCGGCCGTCGGGCGAGCGCAGGTAGCGCTCTCGAAGGGCGGTGTAGGCGGTGCGCGACTGGGCGAGGGTGAGCTCGTACGGCTCGCGCGAGGATGGCGTGGTCGGGGAGGGAGTCGGGGCGGGGAGGAGGCCGAGGAAGTACTGCGCGCGAGGTCGCGGTCAGGTGGCTCGGCAGGAGGGTACACTCGAGGAGGAGGAGGAAGGGGACGCACCCGCCACGACAGGCTCCTGAGCCCGCGCTTGTCGTGCAGGACGCCTTGTTCGGCGTCGGCCCTGAGGGCGACGAGCGACAGGAGCGGGTCGGCAAAGTAGCGCTGCCACTCGTCGACGAGCTGGGCTGGACGAGGGCGAGGTCGCTGCAGGGCTCGAACGGCGAGCTCGTCGGGCGAGGCCGACATGGCGAGCAGGGCGAGGAGGACCAAGTGGGGGAGCGGCCAACGGTCGAGGCGACGACGGCGACGGGCAGGCCAGCTGCTGAGACGGCTCGATGTGCAGGCGGTCGTGCGACAGCTCTTGTGCGGCTGGTGATGAGCCGGTGAGCGAGCGAAGCAGCGACTCGTCGCTCGTCTGCTCGCTCTCGGATCTTTGACCAAGTCGCTCTCGAGGCCGCACGAAAGGACAGCACAAAACCCAGGCCCGAGTTTCCGATGCTCCTCCAGTGACCGCACGACTACAAGCAAAAGAGTACACGTCCCACGCGCTCGCTCGCCCGCCCGTTCCGCCCCGCTCAGGCGCTGCCCTCGGCCGCCGCCGCACCGGCCGCCGGCTGCGTCGCGCTCACCTGCGCCTGCCAGTCGCTCATCTCGGCGTCGAGGCTCTCGAGCGTCGCCTTGGGCCGCTCGGGCGCGCGCTCGCGCGGCTTGCCGGCGCCGCGACGGCCACCGCGGCCGCCGGCACCGGCACCTGCGCCCGGCGCCGCGTTGGCGGCCGCCTTGCGGTTGCCGCGCTGCGACTGGCCACCGGCGGCGGCGACGGTCCTGCACGTGCGAGGGGGCGAGTCAGTGAGCGGGCCGAGGAGGAGGGACGAGAGGGCGAGGGACGCACGACGACTGGGCGGCGCGCGAGTTGACGGGGGGAGCCGGCGCGAGGCGAGCAGTCAGGGGCTTGGCGGCGGCGGCACGCGAGGGGTCGACGATGACTGTGAAGGGGGGAGGGGCGTCAGGACGAGCTCGGGAAGAATGCGAGGAGGACACGAGCGAGACGAGAACGGACCCTCGACACGGATGGCCTTGACTGTGGCGGGTTCGAGGGCGACGTTGGCGGGCGTGGGCGCAGGCGGATGGCGAGGAGAGAGGAGGAAGAAGAACGTGGGGCAGTCGTCAGGACGCTGATCGGGGTTGGGCGGGGCTTTTGTGCGCGCGAGTTGGCGGGTCCACGTTCTCTCGACGGCGGGTCGAACGGCTGAGCGACGACGTCGCTCAGGGCTGCTCCTGCGGCGAGTCGAGCTCTGCCGAGTCCTGGTCCTCGACCACGGCGGCCGACGGCGCTGTCGAAGGGCGCCGAGCAGCTGCAGGTCGACGGCGAGTCCTCGAGCACGGGGTGACCAAGCCCGGCTCGGCTCGATGGTCGTCTCGACGTCCTGCTCGGGCACAATTGACGTCGATCGCTCTCCAGAAACGACGCGCCGTGCGACGCTGGGTCGTACAGGTTATCGCTCGAGCTGCTCGACCCGACAGGCTGCGCCGCCCGGAGCGGGCACGCCGTCGACGCCGACGCTGGCTGACGACGTCGGCTGATGCGGCCGCTACACCGCGGCGTGGCGCACGTGCGGGAGCGCGATGCCCTCGACCTGGTGCGGCGGTACAGGCGGCGGTCGACTGGAACGGGCTCGAGCGGCACCTGCGCTCGGGGGGAAGAGAAAGGAGGGGGGAGGGGGCAGGCTAGAGGAACAGCAGCGACCCACCACCATCGATGAGCCTCTTGTTGTACTGGGCGTAGGCGCTCGTCGCGTGCTCGTACTTGTTGAACTGGACGGTCGCGACGCCCTTGGACTGGCCCTGGGCGTTGTACGACAGCGAGACGGTGCGGACGGGACCGACAGTGGTGGCAAACAGCTCCTGTGGGCGGTGCGAGGGGGCTTGGTCAGCATCGCGAAAGAGGAGAGGGGGAGGCGCAGGGAGAGGGGGGCGCACCTTGATCTGGCGCTCGTCGACGTCGGTCGGGAGGTTCGAGACGATGATCTTGTCGCCGACGTGAGGCGACGACGTGGCGGCGGCGGCGGCGGCGGTGCCGTTGTTGTCGTTGCGCGAGGCGTTGCGCGGGCCACGACCGCCGGCGGCAGGAGCCGGGGCAGCGGCCTGGGCGTGGGTGGTGGCGGGCGCGCCGTTGCGCGAGCCGCCACGGCGAGGGCGCGGGCCGCGGTTCTTGCGCTTCTCGGCGATGACGTCGTCGAGGGGCTTGTCGATGTTCATGGACTGTGCGAGGGCGACGTGTGGGTCAGGAGGGAAGGCCGGGAGGGGGGGAGGGACGGAGACGGCGGCGCACCATGATGAAGAGGCGGCGGGGTGGGGATGTAGTAGACGACGGGGCTGCAGGACAGTGATCGAGGGTCAGTGGACTGCTTGCCGGTGCGCTCTGTTGCGTGGCCGCCGTGTTAAACGGGCGCGGATGGCCGCCTCGTGGGAGGTGCAACAAGGCGGGCCGTTCCGAGGCCAGGGACGCGCAGCGGTGCGGCGGGGTGATCAGAGAGGTTGGGGTGACTCACAAAGGTGGGCTCTGGGTGCTCTAGAGGCGCTGGAGGGCGAGTGCGCGGAGCGGAGTGAGGAGGGAGGAGGGAGGAGGAGGTCCACCAGAGACACGCCTCGTCGCTCACCTCTGCCGGTGTGAGAGGCCACCGTGTGAGGCGATGTAGAGTCTTGCAAGTACAGCAGGCTCAAACAGAAGCGCTCCTGCGATGTGCGGGCCGTCGTCGTCCTCGAGCGAGCCGATGTCAACTCATCTTCGTCCTGCGCACCTCCAGCCCTCAGCGAGACCAGCTCTGCCGCACTCGAGGCGCACGCGTCGAGCTCCAGTGCCTCAGGGCACCGCCCACCCGGTCCTCCTGCAGTCGCTCGCCTCGTCTCCCTCCCCGCCGTCCAACCCCCACCTCGACTCGCCTTGAGCACCGTCGCACCGCCTCGAGCGAGCTCGCCTACAGCACCCCCAGCTACCCAACAGCCCGTCAGTCGCCATGCCTGTCGGCCACGAGCGCATCAACGCCCGCGAGGCTCACCCTGTGCGTGCTCAGTCCTCTCGCCTCGATCGTCTTCGCCTCGGGCCCAGCTCTGCCCCGTACAAGCAGCGCGCGAGGCTTTCGCGATATCGCAGCGGACACTGACTCGCTCGCGCACCCTGCAGAACGACAACATCGTCTTCATCAGCGTCCTCGAGGACCTTCCCGACGCCGACCAGGTGCGCCAGCCTTGCTCTCCTCCTCCCCTACTCGCTTCGAGCGCAAGTCCTGCGTAGCCTGATCCGGAATGAAGAAGCTGACTCTCCTCCCGCCCCGCCCGCAGGCCAAGAAGATCCTCGATGCGCTCGCGGCCCAATTCAAGCCGATCATGACTCGTCCGTCCTCTCCTCTGCACGCTCTCCCACCCACTTGCCGACGCGAGCCTGACGCACACTCGCAATGATCGACGCAGAGTGGGGCTTTGGCGTCAACTCGCTCCGCGAGCACGAGTGGAACCCGACTTTCGCGGGCCGCAACTGGAACGCTGGTGCGTCCTCCCTCTCTCGCTCGCTGTCGAACTGCCCCCTGACTATCGTCCTTCCGCCTCACAGGCGAGGTCATCGAGATCGTGCTCAGGCGTCGCGACGGCAGCTTGTGCGTCTTTGCCTCTTCCCGCCTCGCCGTGCTCGTCGCGCAGCATCTCCTGACAGACCTCGCACGTCGACGCAGCGCCCCGTACCAGTTCCTCCTCTACGTCATGTGCCACGAGCTCGCCCACGTCCGCGAGATGAATCACTCGCACGCGTTCCAGAGCGTCAACAAGCAGCTGCGCGAGGCCCTGTCGGCGCTCCGGGCCAAGGGCTACTACGGCGACGGCTTCTGGTCCTCGGGCCGTTCGCTCAAGTACACCAACGCCACCGTGCCGCTCACGGGCGCCGACGAGCCCGCCTTCACGTGCGGCGGCGCCAACAAGAAGCGTCGCCGCCGCGGCCAGCCTCGCGCGCCGACGGCCGGGCCGAGCAAGCCGCGCGGCGCGCCCGTGCAGCAGGGCGCGACGGGCCGCCAGACGCAGGCGACGTCGATCGCGGCCAAGCCGGGAGCGAGGGTCAGCAGGAAGGGCGCGTTCCCCGAGGGAGGAGGGCAGACGCTCAGCGCCGACCCGGCGCAGAGCAGCTTCAAGTGCGTCCCAGTCCTTTCCCATCTCGCCCATTCCTCCTCATGTGACTCGAAACTGACTCGCTCGACGACTTGCAGGCGCAGGTCGCAGGCCAAGGGCGCCGTCAACGCGCGCGCCGAGGCGGCCCAAGCGCGCCTTGACGCCGAGAAGCGCGCGCAGGCCGCCGCCGCTCGCGCCAGCGCCGTCGGGTCCACCTCGAAGGTCAAGCAGGAGGACAACAAGCCGCGCATCAAGGCCGAGGCGCCGGGCGTCATCGTCCTCGGTGACAGCGACGACGACGACGGGCAGCACTCGCGCTCGGGCTCGGGCGGCGAGGCCGAGTGGGAGTGGGAGAGCGACGCCGAGGGCGACGAGGTCAAGTTCGAGAACGACGACGAGCGCCACTTCCTCGAGGACGACATGCGCGACTGGGCGACGATCGTCAAGCAGGAGGACGACGTGGCCAAGCGCGCCGAGCAGGCTCGCGCCGCCGAGCCGCAACGTTCGTCTTCGTCCTCGTCCGCCGTCCAGGGCAAGGGCAAGGGCAAGGCGTCGAGCTCGCCGTCGTCGTCGCGCAAGCGTCGCGCGTCGCCCTCGCCGCCGGCGCAGGACGACTCGCTCGACGCGCTCGACCTGACGCCGCACGAGCGCGCCATGATCGAGGCCGACGAGCGCGGGTACGACAACGAGGCCGACGGCGTCGAGCGCGTCGGCAAGAAGGGCAGGGTCGCGTACATGGCGGTGCCCGGTGCGGCGGTCGCCGGCGGAAAGGGCGGCGGAAAGGGCGTCAAGGGCAAGGGAAAGGGAAAGGGCAACGGTGCGTCTCCTCGATTCTCCTCCTTCATCTCGTCAGCCTCGACGACTGACTCGTACCGGCATCCACGCAGCGCCGACCGTCAAGCGCCGCTTCCAGACCCGCCTCGACTCGGACGACGACGACGAGTCGAGCGACGACGCTGCGACGGCCAAGGGCTCGGCGACGACGTCAAGCTCCGTCAAGTTGAAGACGCACAAGCGCAAGCACGAGTCGAGCTCGGCCGAGGAGGTGAGCTGACTCGCTCCAACTTCCTCCATCCTCGCGCTCCCTACCTTTCCCCTAGTTGCCGTTCCTCCTATTCTGCGTCCCTCTCCCTGTTAGTCCCCTTCCTCGCGGCGGTCGTCCCTCCTGTACACCCTTTCAGTGTCGCCCTGTAACGTGTCCTGCGCTTTCTCGCCCCCTCGCCAATCCCTCTCTTCGTCGTCTGGCTCCTCCTTCTAGCTCTTTCTCAGCAATTTGCCGCGCCTCGTGTCTCCTCGTACCTTCTACGGCTTCTCACTGACTCGAATCTCTACAGCTGGACCGCTCGTCGCCCTCAAATGCCGCCACCGCAACCCTCGGCTCGTCCTTGTCGACCGCCCGCACGACCGCCAAGGCGCCCTCCTCGAGCAAGAAGAAGCCGCACGCGCTCGACCTCACCTCGTCGTCCCCTGTCGTCCCCAAGGCGCCCGTCAAGGCGCCCGTCGGCGGCGGCAAGGACATGCGCTCGAGCAAGAACAAGGGCAAGGGCAAGGCGGTCCGAGCGCCGGCGCCATCCTCGTCCTCCTCGGACGACGACACGCCTCCCGTCGTCTCGAAGCCCAAGCCCAAGCCCAAGGTCGAGTCGAAGCCGTCGTCCAAGCCGGTCAAGAAGCCTCGCAAGACGCGCTCGGACAAGGGCAAGAAGCGCGGCCCGCAAAAGCCCAAGTCGCCCGCCGCCGGTGTCGTCGCTCGCCGCCACAGCTCGAGCGAGAGCGACGTCAAGCCTGTCGACCCGTTCGAGCGCATGAAGAGGGAGCGCGAGACCGAGGACGTTGAGCTCGACTGGACGGACGAGGAGCCGGCCGAAACGAGGCGCCGTCTCGCCGAGGCGCAGGCTCGTCGTCGCAGCAGCGGCGCCGTCGACTCGGTCAAGAAGCCCAAGCCCAAGGGCAAAGGGCGCGCGCTCCAGCCCCGCGGCTCGCTCAACCTCGACCTCGCGCTCGTCCCGGACCTCAACCTCGACCCGCACGTCGCGCTCGACTCGGACGCCTCGTTCCTCTGCGACCTTCCCTCGCCTCTCTTCCCGTCTTTCACCGCCGCCGGCGGCACCGAGGCCGACGTTGGCGGCTTCATCGGCCTCTCGACGCCCAAGCGCGCACGCGGCATCGCCCTCGTCGAGGCCCAGGTCGCCTACAACGAGCGTGTCGAGGCGCAGCGCGCCGAGCGCAAGAGGCGCGAGGAGCAGACGGCCCCCGAGGACGCGGCGCAGCGCAAGGCGCAGGAGGTCCGAGCGCGCTTGGCGGCGATGGTCGAGGATGAGGAGAAGCGCAACGCGGCCGCTCGCGCTTCGGCGACGGCTGGCGACGGTGCAGCGCCCTCGACTCGCGGTGGAGCAACGGCGGCGGCCGGCGGCGCCGAGGGAGGAGGGCAGAGTGCCGAGGTCGAGGCGGCGTACGCGAGGACGTTGCCCTGCGGCGAGTGAGGGCTTGAGGTGCGTCCTCTTCCTCCTCCTCCTGCCCCTCTCCTTCCCGGTCCCTGACCTAAAGACCATTGTGCGCAGGTGTTGGCGGCCCTGTTAGCGTGCGCGGCTCGCAAGGTCGGCGACGTCGGCGCGAAGCGCGACTGAGTCGGCAGGACCGAGGCTTTCCTTTCCCATTCGCTTTTCCCTCCTTGTCACCCTTCTCTCGCCCTCCTGTAGTCACGCCGTAGCCGCTTATCGTCGTTGTCTTCCTTTCGCAGTAGCAGCCGCTTGTCATTTCTCTGGGTCCGTGCGCTTCCCGGTGCGCGAGAGCAAGTCAGTCCGCCACCTCAACTTGCTCAGAGAACGCTCTCATGACCTGCTCGTTGTGCTCAGGCGGTCGAGAGCAAGCGCGAGAGTGTCCAATCGACCTGATCCTGCTGCCCATCGAGCCCGCTGTCGCCGCTTTCGAAACCAGCAGAGCCAGCGACTTGAGAAGGTCGACATGGAGTCGAAGCTTGTCCTGGCGACGGCGATAATATCGCTGTCGAGCGCTCTCCTCGACACTCGTTGCTGCCTCGAAGCCATCATGGGAGAGAGCGGCCGTGATCCGGCATCGAAAGGTGCCCAAAGTCGGCCTTCTCAAGTCGCAGGCCCGCTTTCGATTTCTCAGTCGCTCCCTCTCGCTCTCACAAAGCCAGACGCGGTGAAGGCACTGCAGTGAGTTTCAGGCTCGCGAGCCTCGATGTCGAGAAGGAGGAGATGAGGGGGTACTGCGCGAAGGGCGAGAGAAAAAAGGGACAACACGGAAAAGCGGCGAGGGGACGACGACAACGACGGCGACGTCGCCCGAGGGAGAGGGCATAACGAGGGGATGGGGGGAATACGAGTAGGGGAGGGGAGGACGAATTAGGCCGAGGGAGAGGGAGAGGAGCACGCCCCGCTCAGAGGACGGCCTTGGGCATCTTGCGGCTCGCCTGGCGGACGCCGAGGTCGGCGAGCACCTCCTCTGCGCCGCCGAGGATGGCGTCAAACTTCTGCGTGCGCTGGAACATCTCGATGATGCCACCCATGCCGTTCTGCGTGATGCCGCGGCCGCCAAAGATCTGGACGGCGTCGTCGGCAATCTCGCCCGCCGCGCGCGTGCACGCCGTCTTGAGGAGGCCGATCGGGCCGGCGAGGAGGTCGGCCTGCTGCGCGTACGTCATGTGGCACATCTGGAACGCTGCCGAGGGAAGGAGGGAGGTCAGGACGAGGGGACGAAAAGGTGGACGAGGAGCGAAAGGGTGCGACGCACTGACGTTCTCGAGGTACGCCTGGAGGCCCTCGATCTTGTAGATCATGGCGGCGAGCTTGGCGCGGATGACGGGCTGGTTGATGAGCGCCTTGCCGAACACCTTGCGCTGGTGGGCCCACCGCATGCACTCCTCGACGATGAGGCGCGAGCCGGCGACCGAGCCGCAGCACATGGCCCAGCGCTCGTGGCTGCGAGGTAGTAGAGTGTCAGTACGTCGACGAGGAGGAGGTAGGTCGAGAGAGGGAGCGGCGGGACGCACTTGAAGTTGGACAGGACGACGAAGAGACCCTTGCCCTCCTTGCCGAGCAGGTTCTCGACGGGGACCTTGACGTTGTCGAACGTGATGTAGGCCGTGCCGGCCGTCGTCGAGTACGACGTCTTGATGAGCTTGGTCTCGACGCCCTCGCCGCGCGGGATGAGGAGCATCGACAGGCCGTTGCCCGTGTTGACCGCCGCCGAGAAGTAGTCCGAGAAGTTGCCGCTGCGCACCGGGCTCGAGGGTCAGGACAAGGACGCTCAGGGGTGCACTGAGAGAGAGGGACGCACTTGGTGATCCACTTCTTGGTGCCGTTGACGATGTAGTGCTTGCCGTCGGGCGTCTTCTTGGCCGTCGTGCGCAGGCCGGCGACGTCCGAGCCCGCGAACGCCTCGGTGATGGCGAGCGAGATGAACTTCTTGCCGGCGAGGACGTCGGGGATGACCTTCTGCTTGAGCTCGTCCGAGCCAAAGTTCATGACGGGTGGCAGGCCGATGCACATTCCGCCCTGGAGGCCGTCGGCGTAGCCTGCGTGGGACGTCGACGAGCATCGTCAGTCTCTCGTGCTGGACGAGGAGAGAGAGACAGAGGGAGCGAGGGACGCACCACGAGCGCCGGCGCGCACGAGCTCCTGCGAGATGATCATCTCGTGGAAGTAGTCGAACTCCTCGGGCTTGACACCGCCGAACAGCTTCTTGCCGTGGAGCAGCTTGCTCGGGCCGAGACGCTGTATGACAGGGACGAGAAGTGAGCTCGATACTCGAAGCCCAACGAGAGAGAGGGGGAGCGAGGGGACGGACCATGGCGTTGAGGTTCATGTCGGGCGAGCCCATCTTCTGGACGAGCTCGACCGTCGGGCGCTTGCCGTCCTTCTCGTGCATCTGGGCGTCCTCGCGCACCTCGGCGTCGACAAACTCGCGCATGGCCTTCTGGAGCGAGCGGTGCGAGTCACGGTAGTAGGGCGACTTGAAGCCCTCGCTGAGCCAGGTCGGCTCGGCGTACGGGACGGGCGACAGGGTGCCGTTGGTCGGGAGGACGATCTGGGGCTTGTCGCCGGCGATGGTGCCGATCAGGTAGCGCGAGTACTTGGTGAGGACCTCGGAGCGGTGCATGCCGAAGAAGGCCTCGGTGGCGTCTGCGCGCGCGCACGAGGACGGGGGTCAGCGACATGCGCCTGAGCGATACCTCGAGCATGCTCGTGAGGGAGGGAGAGAGGGCGGGACGAGAGACTGACCCTTGCCGGCGACCTGGAGGAGGACGTGCGAGCCGCCCGGGTGCATGTCGGCAAACTTGGACACATCGTAGACGGCCGTGTCGACGATGATCCACAGGTCACCCTCCTTGTTGTGCTGCAGGCCGAGGAGAGACAGGGGTGAGCGCTCGATGTCCGGTTAAGCGGCTCGGCGAAGTGTCCGGGTCGAAGGCCAGAGGACGGCGTCGTCGAGGATGGGGGGGTTGGCGAGGGGAGAGCATCTGCCATGCTCGTGCTGTAGCTCGCCGTCGCGCTCCGACCGCTCGTCGCGAGCTGCGCCACTGGACCGTCCCACTCGCGCACCCCGCACTCGTCGAACTCGGCGCGCCCGCCCTCGCCACGAGCCCCTCGAGATCCCTTGCGCCCTCGCCCGTGCACCGCTGCCGCCCTGTACTGCCCCGTCGAGCGCGCACGCCCTGCAACCATGCCCTGCGCGAGCCCAGAGAGAGGCGGCGCGTGAAAGTGACCGGGAGGGAGAGGGGGGGGCGCACCTTGGCCACCTCTGCCTTGTCGAACGACTTGAGCGACGCCTTGTCCTTTGCCGTCTCGGGCACGGTGAGGTACTGGGTCTTGCTGGGGGGGAGAATGGCGGCCGACATGGTGCTGGGGGGGTGTGGTGAAAGGGGAGAGCGCTGAAAGGCTCGCCGCCGCGCGCTCACCGCCAAGTTGGACCGGCTCTCGCTCGACCCGGTCGCCGATCGAGAAGGCCAATCCGCTCGCCGCTCACTCGCTCCGCTCTCGACGCCTCGCCATCGCCTGACTAAAGCAAAACCGGGGTCAACTTGGCCGACCAAAGCGCGCTCAGAGAGAATGCAGGTTCACGAGAGCCGCTACAGCGCCGCGTCGTCGTCCTCCTCCTCGTCGGCGACCTTCTTCCCACTCGCTCCTCGTCCTCCCACCGCTCCCTGCGCCTCGTACAGCCTCGCGAGCTGCTCGGCCGTCGTCGCGTTCTCGATCCCCTTGTCGTCGCGCACCTTGATGAAGCGCGGGAACCGCACAGAGACGCCCCGCTCGCCGCCGAGGGCCGAGCGCGCCGCCGGGTACACGGGCGAAAGCGTAAAGCTGCGGGCGCAGGGAGCAGGGTCAGGGTCCCGCTTCTTCTCGCCTGAGTAGCGGGTCGCTCGTGCCCAACGGGCACGGAGCGCTCGCTGCGGGAAGGCTGAGAGAAAGAGGGACGTACTCGGCACCGCGAATCTCCCACACCTCGCTCGGCTTGAACCACACGTCGGGTCGAAGCGCTGCACATGATCATCGAGTCAGTCGCCGTCGTCGTCGTCGACGCGAGAGGAAAGAGGTGAGGACGCACAGCCTGCTTCGACGTCGGCAAAAGCGGTCGTGTCCGAGAGCAGGTTGTCCTCGTCCGGGCGGTACTTCTCGCGCATCGCCTTGTAGAACGCGCTGTAGAAGACGACGGTCGTCAGTCCGACGTTCGACTAGGACAGCAAGGAAAGAGAGAGAGAGAGAGAGCCGGGACGCACTCGTTGAAGCCCGAAAGGCACTTGGTGACCGCCGTGTACGCGCCCGTCTCCTCGTCGTAGCACGCTGCGGGTTCGTCGGTCGTCGTCAGGCCACTCACTCATCGAGGGGCAAAGGACGAGAGAGGACGGACCGAGGAGGAACGGCGAGAACCACCCGGCCTTGCGACCCTGGCCCCACCAGCCGGCGATGGGCACGAGGTCGAGCGAGTCGCCGATGGCGTCGTCGCCCTCTAAGTAGTCGCGCTTGACCTTGCACCAGCTGTCGGCGCGCTTGTCGGGCTCGTAAGTGGCGGGCAGGGCGCGTCGACGCGACTTGAGGGCGGCGACGGCGGTCGACGAGGAGGTCGGTGCGGCGCCGAGCTTGGGGCTCCGAGTACGAGACGAGCCCGAGTCACTGGCGGTGCCGAGGTCGTCGTCGTCGTCCGTGTGGGCGAGCACGAGGTCGTCGTCGGCGTGGTCGCCCTTGACGAGCTGCTCCTCGACCTCGTCGAGCAGCTTGACCATGATGCCCTCGGCGCGCATGCCGAGCGCCTCGTTGAAGAAGGCCTTGACGGCCGCCGGGTCGTTGTCCATGCACGACGGGATGAGCTCCCACTTGGCGAAGCGCGGGTCGGCGGGCGCGAGCGGCGGAAAGTTGGCGTGGAGCAGCGAGCGACGTTGGCGGAACGGGGCCGAGAGGAGCGACTGTAGACGTGCATGAACGAGGGAGAGTCAGTACCGAGGCAGAGTGAGCGCGCCGGGCGCGAGGAGGGGAAGAAAAGGAGGACGCACCTCGCCGTTGAGGTACATGAGGTCGAAGCAGTAGATGCCGACGCGAACCTTGATGTCGCCGAGCTCGACGTCCTTCCTCGACCGATCTGCAAAGCGCTCGAGCAGTGAGTGATCTGCTGCCGGGAGAAAAGGCCGGCGACGGCGAGACGAGGACGACGAGGACACACACGAGAGCTCCTGGAACGTCTTGAACGCGCCCGTTTGCGGGTCGATGGCGACGACCTCGCAGTCGATGATGAAGCTGTTGAGCTGGTCCTTCTTGAAGACGTCGCCCTCGGCCTCGCTCGCTCCTTCTGGCTCCTGCTTCTCGACGACGGCGTTGGCGCGCTGCACGAGGGCGAGCACGCTGTACCCAATGTCCGGGTACTTGTCGCTCATGTCCTCGAGGTGCCGGCTGAACGCGCGCATCCACACCCTTGCGCCCGTCTCGGCGTCGGTGAAGACGCGCCCGGCGTCGGCGGGCACGCCCGGCGGTCGAGCGGGTGCGGTCGGCGAGGCCGGGACGTAGACGTGGATCTGGCCGCGTTGGCCGTCGAGCTTGGCCTCGGACACGAACGGGCGAGAGCCGAGGCGCGTGTAGATGTCGGACAGGGAGCGCGTGATGGAGCCAAGCATGGGCTCGAGCGGGATGCCTGCGGACCTCGAGATCGTGCCCTTGTCAGGGTCGGGACATCGTGGACAGGATCCGAACGTAGAGAAGGCGAGAAAAGAGGTCGAGGCTGGGGAAGTCGAGGTGGAAAGGCGAGAGAGGGGGAGGAGGAAGAGGAAGAGGAGGAGGGTCGACGCACCGACACTCAGCCCGACTCGCTCCTCGAGCTCGCCGAGACCGCCTGTAAGGAGCGCACCGACGACGTCGCCAAAGTTGGGGTGGCGGGCCCACACGCGGCGGACGAGCGCCTCGGCGCGCTTGAGCTTGTCGTCGACGGCGAGCTCGAGAGCCGAGCGCTGCGCCCGAGGCTTGGTCTTGGGCTTGCCCTTGCCCTTGCCCTTAGCGCCGCCCTTGCCCTTGCCCTTACCCTTCTCGGCCGGCTTGACGTCCTCGTCCTCCTCGCCCATGGCCGCGCCTTCAGTCGCGCTCGCGCCCCCACCCGACTCGCCCTCGACCTCGCGCATGCCCGCCCGCTCCTCCTCGCTCACCTCGTACCGCTCGTCGCGCTCCCACGTTGCGCCCTCGGGCCGCGAGAGGCAGAAGGCGCGCGCGAGCGCCGTGAGGAGCGTGAGGCGGACGGCGCCGATGCGCAAGTTTGACGCGAGTATGCGCACGACAAAGCGCACTTGCTCGTGCTGCGCCGAGAGGAGGAGCTTCTTGACGAGCGACGTCTTCTGCGCGAGGACGCCCGTGCTGCAGAGCGAGGAGAGGGAACGAGGTCAGGCGGGCTCCTCGAGGGAGGGGGAAGTGGGGAAGCTGGGACGCACCCCTTGAGCTTGGCTATCTGGATCAACGTCTTGTACACGCCGTGACACTCGAGCGGCGCGGGCTGTACGAGCAGCCGCACCGACTTGCTCGCCTCGAACGCGATGTCGCCCGGATCGCCGCACGTGCTGGCGAGCTGCTTGAGGCGCTGCGGGCTGATGCCGGACGTCTCCTTGATGGCCTTCGACAGGACCTCTGCGCGAATGAGAGAGTCAGTGCGGGCGCACGAGGTGACGCCTGCTCGAGGCTCGAAAGAAAGCAGAGAGAGAGGGACGCACGCCAGCCGATGCCGAGCTCGGTGTCGCGCTCGTACGACGGGCCGATGCGGTTGCTGCACAGGTACATGACGGCGAGGAGGCTCTGGTCGTCCTTCTCGATGACGGTGCGCAACAGGTTGGTGACGACGAGCTGGATGGCGAGGCGCGACTTGGTCGCGCTGATGAGGACGAGGGCCTCGGTGAAGTAGCTGAAGGGTGTGCGCGAGTGCGGGTCGAACGAGACGTCGGTCGAGGGGTTGAACGAGAAGAGGGGCGTGTCGAGCGGCTTTGACGACTTGGCCTTGGTCGACGACGACGAGGCGTGGCTGCTCGACGTGGCGGCCGACGTGTCGAAGATCGAGATGTTCTTGGTCGGCGACGTCTTGACGACGGGTTTGCGGTCGCCATGGTCCTCGGTCTTGAGCGCGGGCGAGGGAGGAGCCGAGGTCGTCGAGGTCGAGCCAGCGGTCGGGGTGCGCTTGGCGAAGATGGAGGCGACCGGTCGCGGCGGCTTGTCGTCGACGGGCTCGGCCTTTGCGACGAGCTTGCCCTTGCCCTTGATGGACGCGGTCGGGAGGTCGGGCTCGACGATGAGGAGGTCGTCGTCGTCGCCGGACGACGAGTCGTCGAGCGTGACGGTCTCGACGCCCTTGCCCGCACCCTGGCCCGCCTGCTCCTGCGCCTTTGCGCCCGTGTGGCGGCCGTGGACGTCGCGCTTGTCGGTGCGAGCGATCTTGCGAGGTGGTGGAGGCGAGGGGGCTGTGCGCTTGGAGGGCGAGGCGGCCGAGGGGAAGAAGCTGTCGAGGTTGCGGGGTTTGGAGGGGCTCTTATGAGTCTTGGCCATGGCCTGCGTGGGCTCAGGCGAGCTGCACGAGGCGACCTCGGGTACGGAGGAGGAGAGAGAGGACGAGGCCGTCATCGCCGTCCATCTCGTTCCCCCTCAGAGCTGTTCTCCCACCGTCTCGATCAGCGATTCTGCAGCTTCTATCTACTCGTGTGAGCACTCTACACTCTCTCGCCCCCCCTTACCCTTGTCCAGTCGAGGCCCCGTCCCGGTGGCCGTCAGTCGACCCCCACCTTTGGGTCCACCTCTGCCGGCTCGGCCGCACTGGCGCAAGCCAAGGCCCTGCAGCTCATGCAGCGCGCGATTGCACCACTGGCGTACCTCCCATCGTTCTGCCGGATCCCGACCTGACCTCGCCCTTCCTCACACAGCCGCCCCATCTCGACCTCCCTTCCAGCTTGCCCAACCGCGACCATGACTGCCACCGTCACGCTCGAGAACCTGCCAGAGCTCCTCAGGGACGATGACCGTGTCCAGGTCGCAAGTGCGTCCTCCCGCTCTCTGTAACTCCCCCAACCCGGAGCCGTTTCGACCGCTCACTCGCGCTCTCTCCCTCTCTACAGTCGTCGACATTGACGGCGTCATGCGCGGCAAAATCATGGCCAAGAACAAGTTCCTGTCGGCGGCAAAAGATGGTCCGTCCCTCTCCCTCGCCCTCGTCCCCAGCGCGGCCGGTAGCTCACCTCGCACGCCTCTCCGGCCGCAGGCTTCGGCTTCTGCTCGGTCGTGCACGGCTGGGACCTCCACGACAAGCCGTACGAGCCCGAGCTGTCGGTCTCGAACCTCGCCAACGGGTACCGCGACCTCGTCGCGCGTGTCGACCTCGAGACGTACCGCCGCACCCACACGACGCCGTCGATCCCGCTCTTCCTGTGCACGCTCCTCGACCCCGAGACCAAGGAGGGCATGTACGCCGACCCGAGGGCCGTCCTGCAAAAAGTCGTCAAGGACCTCGCGACCGAGGGCTGGGAGGCCATGGCCGGCGCCGAGGTGCGTCTCGACTTCCTCTCTCTCTCCATCTTGAGCGGGAGACCTGACTCGACCCTCTCGACCCGCAGTTCGAGTACTTCCAGTTCAAGGAGACGCCGACGTCGCTGTACGAGAAGGACTTTCACAACTTGACGCCGCTCACCAAGGGCATGCACGGCTACTCGGTCCTGCGGCCCGAGGTCAACGGCGCCTACTTCCACGACCTGTTCGACAACTGCGCCACCATGGGCATCCCGATTGAAGGTGCGCCTTCCGCTCTCTCTTGTCGTCCCCGTCGAGCGTCAACCTTCCCAAACTGACCTCTCCTCGAGCAGGCCACCACACCGAGACGGGCCCGGGCGTGTTCGAGTCGGCGCTCGCCTACTGCCCGGCGTCGCGCATGGCCGACAATGCCGTCTTGTTCAAGCACGTCGCGCGCACGACCGGCCTCCAGCACGGCATCGTGCCCACCTTCATGGCCAAGCCGTACGGCGACCAGCCCGGGTGCAGCGGGCATGTGCACCTGAGCTTGCGCGACAAGGAGGGCAAGAACGTGTTTGCGGTCGGTGCCGACGAGGTCGAGAAGGGGAGGGAGGGCGCGCCTTACGAGGACGTCAAGCGCATCAGCCAAGTCGGCGAGTGGTTCCTCGCCGGCATCCTCGACGGTCTGCCCGACATTGTGCGTCCACCTCTCTCTCTTACTCTCACCTGTCTCGCCCTACTGAATTGTTCGTCGCGATGCAGATGCCCTGCCTCGTCCCGACCGTCAACGGGTCCGTCGCCTTCCTCCCTGTCTCCTCACAGACCGTCAGGCTCACTCTCGGTTGTCGCACACAGCTACAAGCGCCTCGTCGAGTCGTACTGGGCGCCGACGACCGTGTCGTACGCGTACGAGTCGCGCCTCGCCTCGGTGCGCGTCATCAGCCCGCCGCTCGGCGACGCAAAGGGGACGAGGCTCGAGGTTCGGGTCCCGGGAGCCGATGTGCGTCGACTCGTTTCCCCCCCCTCTGTCTCCTCGAGATGCCTCGTCCAGCTCGGGACAGCGTACTCACACTGTCTATCGTCCTCCTCCCCCTCTTCCCCCACTCGTGCCCGTCCACCTCGTCCTCCCGGCCCCGCCTCGCCCATCCCGACACTGCCTCGCACCCGCAGATGAACCCATACCTCACGTTCGCGTCGCTCCTCGCCCTCGGCCTGCGCGGCATCCGGCAGCAGCTCGCGCTCCCAGGTCCGCCCGTCGGCCCGCGCACGGACCGCGCGTCGCTTGAGCGCCTGCCCAAGAGCCTCGACCGCGCCGTCGAGCGCATGCTGCGCGAGGGGAGCGTCGCGAGGGAGGCGCTCGGCAGGGAGACGGTCGAGCATCTTGGAGCGACGAGGGTGAGTCGGGTTCTCTCTCTCTCTCCTCCTTCCTCTCGGTCTTTCCTTCCCTCCCGAGGGCCGCTCTCTGTATCTCGACCCCGACGTACTGACTGTCCTCCCTCATCCCTCCTTCTCCTCGCCGCCGCCTCTCGCCGTCCCCTCGCCCTCCCTTTCCCTCGCTCGCCCGCACGCAGCAAAACGAGTGGGAACTCTTCTCTCAGGCCGTGACGAATTGGGAACTCAAGCGCTACCTCGAGCTCGCGTGAGTGTGGAGCTGAGGAGCTGGACGGACGACGGCGGGGTCGTATAGCTGACGAGGTGCGAGCGGGAGGAGGTCCGAGTAGCTGAGCCTGTATCATCATTTTTCTCCGCCGACACGCTCTCTCTATCTCGTTACGCCTCGAGAGGATAGACAGGAGAGCAAGAATACCTCGCACGAGAGCGACTCTACAGCTCGCCCTCCTCGTCGACGATCCTTCTCCTCCTCTCGGCCCAGCGCGGCACCATCTCCTCAAGGCCCTCCCTCCCCGCAGCCCTCGCCCGCTCCACTTCGTCGCCCGTCATCCCAAACGCGTCGCACATGGCCTCGTACGAGCGCGCCTGGTTCATGCGCAGCTTGAGGTCGCGGTTGCGCTCGCGCGAGGGGGGCGTCGGCGAGGAGTGCAGGTTCATGGCGTTGAGGATGTACTTGGTGTTCGAGTAGTGGTTGTTGGTCGCGAGAGCCTGCGAGAGGGTGAGGCGGCCCGAGGTGAGGGGGAATGGCGGACGAGGATCGAGCGGGAGAGGGAGGGGAGGGCGACGAGAGCGAGAGGGGGACGGCAAGGGGATCGAAAGAGCTGTCAGTCCTCGCCCGTACCGTCGCAAACGAGAGGGAGAGAGAGAGCGGAGGACGCACGACGCGCAACAGCTTGGGGATGACGACCTTCTCCGGGTCCTCGAGGCCGCCCTCGCGCCGGAAGCAGCTCACGTTGGCCTCTGCCGACCTCGCGAGCATGACGGCGTCGACGAGGCGCGCCCGCACCGCCTCCTTGGTAGCGCCCTCGCCCTCGCTCTCTCCCTCGCCCTCGCCCTCGCCGTCGCGCTCGTCCACCCCGCCGCTCTCGCCGCACGTCGCGTCAAAGTTGGCCCAGCCGTCGCCGTCGCCGTTGCAGACGACGGGGACGCCGGCTTCGTGGCACAGGCGGGCGAGCGGGCGCATGCGACGCAGGAGGGCCGGCTCGCTCGAGCGCATCGTCTGGGTGCGGCAGTGGACCGTGAGGTTGGCGATGCCGGTCGCGAGGATGCGGCGCACGAGGGGCACGGTCGGCTCGGCGTCGAGGGCTGGGTCGGCGGCGGGAGGAGGGAGCGCCGAGGGTGCGTCGGGTGCGGCGGCGTCGGCGGCGGGAGTGGAGGAGGAGGGCTGAGGGAGGGGGAGGAGGCGGATCTTTGCGTCGATGGGGAGGTCGGTCGCCTGGACGAGGGCCTCGAGGATCTGCGCAAGGGGATAAGAGTCAGTGACCGGGGGTACGAGGAGAGAGAGAGAGAGTGGGAGCGCACCGAGCAGAGGCGGTCGGGCTCCTTGAGCAAGGCGGCGCCCATGCCGCCCTGGAGGCTGAACGACTTTGGGCAGCCGCAGTTGAGGCCGACGCCGGCGACGTCACGCTCGACGACCTTGAGGGCCTCGACGGCGAGCTTTGGGTCGGCCGACCCGAGCTGGAAGATGAGCCGGGGCTTCTCGAGCGGGTGGCACTCGAAGATGCTGCGGCCGTTCTTGACGAACGAGACGACGCCCGTGTTGTGGTCGACTTGGCGGGTTGCGCCGATGATGGCCTTGTCGACGATTTCGGGTCCCCAGACGAGCTGAGCGCCGTAGTCGAGGGCGACGAGGCGGACGGGGAGGGTGCCGATGCGGACCATGGGGGCGAGGTGGAGGCCGTGGGCGTAGGGGAGGGTGCGCTTGCGCTTGGTCGGGGTCAAGGTGTCGGTGTCGAGGGCATGGTCGAGCTTGATGCGCTTCGAGTCGCGGTGTTGCGAGTCGGGCGAGGTGGACGAGGGCGAGGCCGGGGTCGAGGGAGGCGAGTGGGAGCGGGTGACGGGGGCGGTGGCCATGGTGGCGAGTGGGCGCAAGGTGTGGTGGTTGAGCAAGAGCGTGGCTCGGCTGAGCATGCACACGAGCGTGGCGTCGACGAGGGAGAGAGCGACGGTCGAGGCAGAAGTTGGCGTCGGCCTTGCTCTCATCTGCTCACTGCCCCGACCTCGTGCAGACTCGTGCACCGACTCGTTCGACTCGGCACAACCTCTCAGCGACCCTCGACACCCGAGCACCTCGCCCCTCGTTGTCGCCGACCCGCCTCGCCGACCCCGTCCTCCTCATCTCTTGAACCCTCCCAGGCTCGCACAGCCACCCGCCTTCACCCACCCCCTCGTACACCCGCCATGCCGCCCAAGAAGCAGGACAACAAGCCCAAGAAGGCCGCCGTCGACAAGGTCCGTCCTCCCCTCTTCTCGCTCCTCCCCTCGCTCCTCCCAGTGACGCTCACCGACCTGCAACCCCCCCGCTCGCAGACGTTCGGCATGAAGAACAAGAACAAGTCGACAAAGGTCCAGCAGCAGGTCAAAATCATCCAGCAGCAAGAGGCCCAGAAGGGCGTCAACAAGGACGTCCTCGCAAAGAAGGCCGAACGCGAGCGCATCGACAACAAGAAGAAGCAGGAGCAGGCCAAACGCGAGCTCGAGGGCGACCTGTACGGCGGCCTCGACTTGATCGTCCAGCCCAAAGTCCCCTTTGGCGTCGGTCCGTCCCGCTCTCCCTCCCTCTGTCTCGCCCTCGCCCTTGCACCCGGCTCACCTCGCTTCGTCCCTTGCCCACAGACCCCAAGACGGTCCTCTGCGCGTTCCACAAGGTCGGCAAGTGCACCAAGGGGTGCGTGTCTTGTTCCGCTCTCCTCTCTCGCCGCCCCTTGACGCACGGCCCCCTCACGCGACCGCACCCTCGCCCGCAGCTCAAAGTGCAAGTTCTCGCACGACCTCAACGCCGACCGCAAGGGCGCAAAGGCGAGCGTCTACGCCGACCAACGTGACGAGAAGAAGCAGGGTCCCGCAGAGGGCAGCAGTGCGTCGCCGTCGTCCCCTTCCCCTCGTCGTCCGTCGTCGAGTCGAGGAGACCCTGCCCTGACGCTCTCGCACCCCTGCAGCGATGGAGAACTGGACCGAGGAGCAGCTGCGAGAGGCCGTCAGCAAGAAGGGCAACCTCAAGGCGACGACCGACATTGTGTGCAAGCACTTCCTCGAGGCCATCGAGGACCAGAAATACGGCTACTTCTGGTGCGCCCCCTCTCTCTCCCTCTCTCTCCTCGTCGAGGTCCGAAGAGACTGACCCGTCGCACCCTGACCCGCAGGCAATGCCCGAACGGCGAGAACTGCATCTACCGCCACGCCCTCCCGCCCGGATTCGTCCTCAAGAGCCAGCGCAAGAAGGAGGACGACGACGCCAAGACCCGCGAGATCTCGCTCGAGGAGTTCTTGGAAGTCGAGGTGCGCCCTCGTCTCTCTCTCTCTTTGTCGCCTTTGCGAAATCTCGAGGGGCTCGACCTGACTCTCTTGCCTCCCCCTCTCGATCCCGCCTCACCCTCTCGCTCTCCCCCCCCCCTCTCTCTCTCCCGTTCTCTCTCGCCGCCTTCCTCTCGTCGCCTTCCTCTCGCCGCCTTTCTCACCCTCTCTCGCGCCGCCTCGCACATCGTCATCTCGCTCCCCCTCGTCACCCGCGTCCCGCGAACCCGCCTTCCCGCACCCGCAGCGCCACAAGCTCGACCAGTCCAAGCTCACGCCGCTCACCAAGGAGTCGTTCGCCGAGTGGAAGAAGACGCGCGTGTCCAAGAAGGAGGCCGAGGAGCAGGCCGTCCAGTCGGCCAAGTCGGCGACGGCCGCCGCGGGCAAGCTGAGCGGCCTGAGCGGCCGAGACCTGTTCACGTTCAACCCGGAAATGCTCGGCGCCGACGACTACGACGACGACGACGCTGGCGACGACGACGACGAGTGGGACCTGGACGCGCTCCGGGCAAAGACGGAGCGTGCGCGCGAGGAGCGCGAGCTCGAGCGGTCCGTCCCTCTCCCTCTTCCTCTCGAGTCTCTTTGCGGGTTCTGAGACTGACTCTCCCTGTGCCCGTCCCTGCAGCATTCGCGTCCTCGAGGGCGGCGTCGGCAGCCTCAGCGTGTCCGAGCCTCCAGCCGCGTGAGCGGGCTCTCGTCGAGCGGCAACATCTCGAGGGGGACGAGAGAAGGGTGGGAGAGGAGGGTGTGCATACTCTGCAAGACTGCTTTCGTCGTTTCGTCGTCGGCGCGCGAGAGGGTCGAGCTGCGGCGACGAGAGGACGGCGCTCGGGCCTCGAGCTTGTCGGCTCATTCTCTCGCGCTCTCGGCATCGCTCAGCTTCAGCTTCAGCTTCAGCTTCTCTGCGGCTCTCGACTCAGCTCGAATCCTCTCGAGCACGCCCTTGCACCTCGCGCCCTCGCACCCGTCCCGCGCCGTCTACTCGCCGCCAGCCGGCCGCACCAGCACCTCCCGCCGCAGCCCCCCATCTCGCGCTTCAGGGCGGTACGGCGCCTGCGGGAGCGCGTCCGCGAGCGCGCCGAGGTGGTGCAGGCCCGCCTCGGGCGGCCCCTGGAGCCGCGCGTGCTCGGCGCTCACCAGGTCCGCGAAGCTCGTCGCGAAATGCGAGCCGGGCATGTGCGGCGCCGCGTGCGGGTAGAAGTGCGCTGGCGCAGGCGGCGGCGAGGGGGCGCGCGGCGCCTCGACGAGGCTCGACGGGTCGAGGACGTCGCCGTCGTAGTTGACAAAGGGCGAGCCGAGGAGAGAGCTGCGGCGCAACTTCGCACGTCGGTCGGCGCGCGAGGTGCGACGGGCATGCGGCGAGTGAGGGGTCCGCTGCGAGTCGAGACGAAGTGTCAGTGCTGCACCGGGCTCGTGCGAGGTTGCTCGTCTGGAGAGAAGAAGCTGCCGCTCACCTCGTCTCGGGAGTGACGCCCGTCTCTGTCGCTCGATGGCGGTCGGGGAAAGACGTCCTCGAGGGTCGGCTGCGAGGAGCGAGACTGAGCGATAGCGTCGAGTAAAGAGCACGAGAGAGTGAGAGAAGCCGGCGCACAAGTTTCCGCTCGGACCCCCCGAGACGCTGCAGCACCTCTCGACGGTCGGCGGCTTTCATGCCCTCAAACAGTGTCCTGAGGACCGGTGCTGTGAAGCTGCTGTCCCAGTTAGGCGGCGCGCGGCGCGTTTTGGCGACGTAGCGGAGCTCGTCGAGGTAGTTGGCCCAGCTCGGCTTGGCCGGGAGCTGCGTGGAAGAAAGCTGATCAGTACGCGAGCGACAAACCAAAGAGAGCAGACGACTTGCCTCGCCGTACTGATCACGAGGCGGCATGAGGCGGAAAGTTGCGAGAGGGGAAGCGAAAGAAGAGCGCGCGCCGCAACCGCCTACAGCTTCGGCTTGCTTGAGCCGATGCGGCGACGCCGAGCTTCCCTTGATGCGGACAGGAGAGCACCTCGGTCGTCGGCGCGGACGAACACTGCGGCGGCAACAAGCGAGCGGACAATCGAAGCCGCACGGACCCGTGGCAGCTGTGCCGCGACTCGGAGCGGTCGAGCCGAGCGAAACAGAGGCGCATGCTGCGCTTGCGTCGTCGAGCCTCTCGAGTGGTGCGCTCGGTCCGAGCTTGAGAGCGGGCAAGTCCGTACGAGCGAGCAGGGGTCGAAGGCAGCGCGAAGAGCAACTTGAGAAGGTCGCCAAGAACACGGTCTCGCTCTCTGACAGCTCGACTTGCCCAGCTGACTTGTTACGCAGGAAGACTCGCGAGCTATCGTCCACGCTCGCTCCGCCCACCGCCCTGACCCTCCTCGCGATCCCGAAACACGGACCTTTCCTCCGGCCCGTCGCGCTCGCGAGGGTTGTACTCGTCGCGCGTCCTCGGCGACCGCGACCGGCCGTCCCGTCGACGCTCAGAAGCTCGTTCGTGTGGCTCGCCGTCCTCGAGGGCGTCGAGGAGGCCGTCGGTGTCAAAGCGCGCGTCGCGCTTGTCGAACGAGAAGTTGCCGAACGGCGAGCTTGGCGGCGGCGCCTTGTACTGAGCAGGTGCCGGACCGAGCGCAGGGTGCCGTGAACGCCTCAGCGAGCTCCGGGAATGGAGCTCGTCGCCGTCCTGGGCAATCCGGTCGAGCTGTTCCGCGAGCTGACGGGGCTCGTTCGCGCCCGGGTCTGAAGCGTCTCGGCTCGAACGGCGCGGCCTGTCGGGGTGCGAGAACTGTATTACGACAGGTAGAGAACGTCAGGACCTGCATCGAGAGTGATCCAGAGGCGGGCTCACCTCGCGGTTCGGGTCCTCCTCGCGACGGCTGTGGCCGTCAGGCTCAGGCAGGTGGCGCCTCGTTGGGCTCGTCTGTGGGTAGATAAAGTCAGCTCCGAATCGTGCATGAGGTGAGCTGTGCGGACTCACAGAGTTGCGCTCTTGCTGCTCGTCGGCAACGTGGTCTGCTCGACCGTCGACTGCGCCGCGTCGGGGACGCTGAGGGTGTTGTCCCTGCGGATGCGGGCGTCAGGAATGCGTGCGCGAGGGTCGAAGATTGAGCGCACCTGCTGAGGACCGTAGCCGGACGGCATGACGAAGTCAAACCGCAAGATGGTCGAGGAGGTCGAAAGTCGCTGCGACCGAACGACCAAGGCGATCGCCTCCCGTTCCCGCTCTGCGGAAAGTCCGGTACGTACATATCGACGTGCGACGCCGCAGAGGAGAGCTCTGGAGCGACCGGCGATAGAGAAAGAGCCCGTGCACGGACCGGGGAGCAACAGCGGAACCTCCGCCGGCCCTCCCGTTCGCAGCGACAGCGGCGAGCGTTTCTCGTCTCCAGAGCGACGTCAGAGGGACACGGCGCTGTACGAGCGCGACGCTGAGGCGCAGCGCACTCGCCGCTGTCTGCGGTCGACGCAGACGAGCCGCCAGTCGAGATCAGAATCGGGCGGGCGGGCGCTGCGGCGAAAAGCCGAGGCAGCTCGAACCAGCTCGCTTCTGCTGCTGGCTGAGAGATGAGCTCGTCAGGCTCTCGCGCTGTATGCCACTGAAAGGCGAGAGCATCTGCAAGCCGACCTGCGGACGCGAGCGACAAGCCGGCGTCCGGCTACCTCGCTTCACCCACCCGCACTCTCTCACTCGCACAGCGCCAGCACTCACCAGCCCGCTTCACGACTAGCGAGGACTGCGTGCAACCCCGGCACCGCACCGACCGCCCAGAGCCGCCCTCGCCCTCGCCTCTCCCCTCCTCGTCTCGCCCTCCTCCTCGTCTCGCCCATGCTCGCCTCGATCCTTGCCCTGCCCTCAGCGGCCGTGTCCGGTACGGCCAGCTACCTCAACAACCGCCGTCGCGGCCTCGCCTACACCGCCGGCGCACTCGGCGGCGCGTACGTCCTCGGGCAGTGGGCGGTGCAGCGTGTTGTCGAGGGGGCGGAGAAGGGCCGCAAGGAGACCACCGAGCGCGACGAGTGCGTCCTACACAGCTTTCCCTCGGCCTCTGTCATGGCCTGCGACCGGCGCCGGACTCGCACACTGACCCTCTCCTCCCCACCTCGCCTTGCCGCACCTCTCAGCCTCTCTCGTCGCTTCTCGCTCAACCTCCAGGACAGCCAGTTCACCGTCCTCGCCCTCGTCCCGACTCTCGCCTCTCAGCTCCAGCAAGAGCTCGACGTCGAGGCGCGGTCCAAAGCGTTGAGCGACCTCGCGCGGCGGGACAAGGAGCGGCGAGCCGACGAGGCCCGGCGGGCGCAGGAGGCAGAAGCGGCAGAAGCGGCGGCGCGACAGGAGAAGCAGCGCAAGGAGGAGGATGAAGCGCGGGCGGTCGAGGTGGAGGAGCCGAACGGCGGCAAGGCGGCTGATGCTGCCGCCGCCGACCCCGAGGTGCCGTCGGTCAACGGCCACGACGGCGAGGGCGACTCGCCGGCACCTGTACCCGTCGAGCACGGTACCTCTGCGCCGAGCGGCGCCGACGACCCGCACAAGGCGCACCCTCCTGCGCAGGTGGACGCGTCCTCCTCCCCTTCGAGCCCACCTCCCTCCTCGACCTCCCTCAACCCGTCCGCCGCGCCTTTCCAGCCTCGCTCCGCCTCTCCACCCGCCAATGTTGCTCCACCCTCCGCCACGTTCGCCGAAATCGACCCGTCGTCGAGCGTGCTGGGCAAGAGCTGGGCCGAGATCGTCAAGACGACGCCGCCGGCGCCCGAGGCGCCCATCGTCGAGCCGGACGCGCCTGCGCCTGCATCGAGCGTCGAGGGCACCCGCGTCGAGGTCAACGGCGAGGCCGAGCCGGCTGCCGCTGCGCAGCCGAACAGCGCGCCCGATGGCGAGGCGGACGGCTCGAGCCCGTCGGCGCCGTCCGCCGGGTCGTCGGCACCAGCTCCTGAGCCGGCAAGTGCCCCGACAAAGAGCAAGGCCGAGCTGTGGAACGAGATCAAGCTTCACTGTGCGTCCTCGGTTCTCTTCGAAGCCCCTTCTCTCCTCGAGCGAGTCCTGACCCGTGACCCTACGCCAAACAGCCTTCACTCGCCTCGTCACCTCCCTCTACGCCCTCGTCCTCCTCTCCCTTCAGACCCACGTCCAGCTCGCGCTCCTCGGCCGTGCGAGCTACGTCGACTCGCTCGTGTCGTCCCTCCCTCCCCGCACGCCCTCGCCTCGATCCGCCGCTCCCCTCCCTCTCCCCGACTCGACTGCGCCCGAAAAGCCTGTCGGCCCCGACTCGGACGACCACGACCTCGAACGCGCGCTGTACGAGGCCAAGCGCCTTCCGCCGACGGTCGACGAGCGGCGCGAGGAGAAGGAGCGCGAGAGGAAGGACCTCGAGCGCAAGTACCTCACGTTCTCGTGGTGGCTCTTGCACGAGGGGTGGAAGGTGGTGCGCGAGCGGGTTGAGCAGGCCATCGAGGCTGTCGTCGGACCGTGCGTCGCTCGTCCTCTTTGTCACGGCGCGCGCGAGAGAGCAGAACTGACCAGCCTGGACCGTCCCGCAGGATGAGTCTCAAGGCGCCACTCGTGTACGGCGAGCTCGGAGCCATGTTTGGCGAGATCCGCAGGCGGATCGAGCTGGATGCCGCCACGGGCAAGCCCTTCGAGTCCGTCTCTTCCCCCGTCCTCCTCTTCTCGAGGTTCAGAGACTGACTCTCGTGCTCGCGCAGCTTTTCGTCCGCCAATCACCCTCCAACCTGGGCTCTCGAGATCCAGACGCTCGTCTCGGGCGGCTCCTACACCCCCTCGCCTCCCTCTACCTCGACCTCTTCCTCCTCCTCCTCCTCCTTCCCTCCCTCGGCACGCCGCAGCCGACCCGACCCGATCACGCCCTCGCTCCGATCGCTCCTCAACGAGACCAACGACGCCCTCGACTCGCCCGACGGCGCCCTCGTGCGCGCCCTCAGCCTCGACCGCCTCTTTGCTCTCGTCGTCGAGCGGCTCGAGCCCGCCTTCTCGGCGCCCGGTGCAGCAGGAGCGTCGGCCGACGAGCGTGGTGCGAGGTTTGAGGACGTGACGGAGAAGCAGGCGAGGCTCGCGACCCTGCTGCCGCTCGTCACGAGGTTGTCGTCGGCGGACGGCGGCGTTCTCTCGAGCGGCGTCAACTCGAACGAGTTTGTCGAGGCGCGTCCCTCCCTTTCTCTCTCTCTCTTCCCCTGCACCCGTTCTCGACGAGCATGCGCGACAACGTGGCCTGACACGCGTTCGTCGTCCCCTGCAGGCGCTCGAGGAGGTTCGCGAGCTGCGCGAGTTCAGCGCCGTGCTGTACGGCAGCTGGGACCGGGACAACATCGACGCGAGCTGTGTGCTGTAGCGAACGCTGTCGAGTCGTGCACTGTATCTGTCCTTGCCTCGGTTTTCTCGTCGTCGCCGTCGCCCGTTCTCGATCGAGACTCTCCTCTTCTCTCGTGCTCGTCGTCGAAAGCCAGACTGCCGAACCTTTCTGCTCTCGAGAGAAGACGACTCTGTGGATACTGCGCAAGGTTCCAGGCTCGAGGCCACGTGACAAAAGGCTCTACTCGACGTCGACCGGGTTCCACGAAACCGCAAAGCCCTCGTCGAGCTTGTCGAGGGCGCCAAGGTCGCTCGCGTCGAGCTCAAAGTTCTCAAGGTCGCAGTTCTCCTGGATGCGGCCGGGCGTGTCCGACTTGGGCAGAGGAACGAAGCCCTTTTGCAGGGACCATCGGATGAGGACCTGCGCGACCGAAGCGCCGTGCTGCAGAGGCGAGGACAGGGTCAGAGTCCTTGCTCAAGGTAAAGGCACGAGAGAGGTCGAAGAAAAAGAGAGGCGACGAGCGGGAAAGGGAGAGAAGAGAGAGGAAGGGAAAGGAGGAGGAGGAAGAGAGCGGGACGAGCGTCGACGTACCTTGTTAGCGAGCTTCTCGAGCGTCGGGTCGTCGAAGCGCTGTCCTCGGAGGATCGGGCAGTAGGCTGTGCGCGAGGGGGGAAGGACTCGGTCAGTGAGGCGCCGCCAAAGAGAGAGAGCGGGCAACCGTGCACGGACCTTCGACGACGATGCCCTCCTTTGCGCAGTATTCGACGATCGGCTTTTGCTGGAGGAACGGGTGCAGCTCGATCTGTGCGGCGCCGACTCGTCAGTCACGAGCAGGAGGGAGAGACGGCAAGGGCGAAGCGGGCGCACCTGGTTGACCTCGGGCAACTCGAGGCCGGCCTCCTTGATCTCCTCGAGGTGCCGAACGCCCTGCAGGTTGACGTCCGTCAGTTCACGAGCTCGGCAGAGGACAAGGCGTCAAAGGTGAGCCGTGGGCGCACAAAGTTAGACACGCCCGCCGACTTGAAGACGCCCTGGTCGCGCTTCTCGAGAAGGACCTTCCACGCTTCGAGCCGCTTCTGCTTGCCGGCCGTCGGGTCGTGGAGGAGGAAGAGATCCTGCGGGTCGGCGTGCGATCAGGCTCTGAGGCAGGCGATCCGAGAGCGAGAGGAAGGAGGACGGACCCAGGTCAAGCCGTACCGCTTCGCGATAGCGGCGCTCTCGTCGACCGCTTTCGCGGTCGCCGCCGTCCCATGCTCCTGGCCCTGGACCTTGGTCGTGAGCCACACGGCGCCGTTGCCCTCGTTGGGCATGCCGTCCTTGAACTTGTGGACGGCCGCGCACACCTCGTCCTCGTTCTGCACGAGGTACAGTGTCAGCGGGTCGCCGGCAAGAAGGACGAGCGAGAGAGTGGGGGCGCACCTTGTAGTAGCGCGCGCTGTCGACGTGGCGGTAGCCCATGGCGAGCGCGTGGATGGTCGACGCTTTGGCGTTGCTCGACTGGAAGACGCCGAAGCCGAGGCGGGGCAGCTGCGCGCCGCGGCGTAGCGGGATCTGGCTCGCGAGCGTGAACGGCTGGGCGACGGCGTGTTCGGCTGGAGGTGAGGACGGCGAGAGGTCGAGTGGAGGCGAGCCGGGAGGTGGGGGAGGAGAGGGACGAGGGAGACGGCGCAGGCGCGCAGATCAGCAACGGATTGATCCATCCAGTGAAGAAGAGTGTAGGCGTACCTCCCATAGCTGCTGCAGAGTCCTTGAGTGAGGAGACGACGAGAGCGAGGACGACGAAGCACCGCAGAGCGAAGTCGGGCGAGACGCGGCTCACGTCACTCTTTGGTCCGCCTTTTTGTCACCGTGCGCTTGAGCCTGTCGATCGGCTCCCCGCACGCCAACTTCGCAAAGGAGGGGACCGCTGGACGAAGAGAGAGAGGCTGTGAGCGGAGGAGGCCTGAGCGCGCAGAGGGCAACTTGAGAAGGTCCTCGTCGACCATGTTACGGGCCAGAGGGACGATACCCAGCGTTCTCGGCCTTGTGGACCTCACGGGATGGCTACCTGGGTGTGTCTGAAGGCGACTCAGGCCGTTCGCGCCGGCGCCGCCGGGCAGAATGGCAAGGCGGCGAGCCCAGGCGCGCAGCGGAATCTCGTGTCGCGGTCGCTACAGGTCTCCGGCTAGCTTCGCGCTCCCCGTGCTTAATCTGTCCGTCAAGGAGGATAGAAGTTCGACCCGGTCGACCATTGCGAAGGACATGCTCGAGGAGGCACACCGGACCTCGACTCGGAACGGTCACTCTCGCACGCGAAGCGCCTTGATACGAGCCAGCTGGCGGTCAGAGCCTTGTCCTCCCATCTGTCCAGGGATTCGAGAGTCTGTGAGCCGGCGGGCAGCTAACAAAACCTCGCGAGGGAGACTCAGGGCGAGGCGAGAGAACCGACGGCAGAGGTTGACGCTCGATTTCGCGGGCCCAGCGAGTCCTTCGGCGCTACGGCGCTCGTCAGGATCGTCCGAGCGCGGATAAAACGCCTGAGCTTCGCGGCGAATCGAAAGAAGGGCCGCTGCACGCTCAGGAAGGAGCGAACACGCGAGCGCGCCGCTCGAGCGAGGGAAGCACGTGTCGCTCTCGCTCAGCGGGGCACACAAAGGGGGCGTAAGCAAGATGCGCAGTCTCTGGAGTGTACTGCACGAGTCATCAAGCCGCAAGAGGCTGAGGACGAGTCGCAGAGGCGGTCGGCTCCACTATCTCCTCCTTGAGATCACTTCTTGCTCCTACACCGTGCCCGCCCCCTCTGCTGGGCTGCAGTGCACGGCCAGCCCTGCTGTCGCCCGACTCGGCCACCTCCCAACCACCGCCCGCACGCCCAGAGCGACTGCCGACCTCGCATCGCCTCATCACCACCGCCGATAAGGCCGACTTCCACCTCGGCCGCAGACCGCTGAGCGCATCCGCGCAAGCTGGCCGGCGTTCCTCCAGGTGCGTCCACATCCTCTGCTCCCCTCCACACGCGCTCGCAGAGGGTGGTCGTCGAGCTCTCCTCCGACCCTTCCCCAGCTCCCACTCCCCGCCGAACCCAGCTGACCAATTCGCTCCCCGTGGACCACAGCTCGTCGCCTGGCATGCCCCATCTGGACTCGACACCCGTGCAACCAGCCGAGTCTGCTCAGCAGGTCGCGCCGAGGTCACGCGCTGCTCGCCTCGACGTTGGTGCTCCGCAGTTGGCTCTCCAGCTTGCCCGCGCTTGTCCACAACGGGCTCCGCACCGAGATCAGCTGAGGCCCGCTTTGAGTCACCAGCACAAGCTCGAGCGCGCATCTCCATCCGCAAGCTCCGGCACCCGCTTGAGTTCGGAATCCGCCGCTCGGCCAAAGTTCTTTCGCCTCTCGTTCTCGCTCCACCCGCTCGACACCGCCACCTGCGCTCGCCTGCTTCGCGCACAAACCCGACACGGCACCTTCGACGTGCGTACAGGCTGCCCCTCCTCCCACCGCGACCCCGTCCACCTCGCCCGCCCTCGCCCAAATGTCCGCCTCCTCATCAACCTCGCTGCGCGAGGAGAAGCTCTCGCGCTCGACCAGCGCCGCCTCGACCGCGTTCCAGAGCAGCCGAGCCGACGGCAAGGACAGCGTGTCGCGCTCGACGAGCCTCCTCGGCGGCGTTGGCAAGAACAAGAAGGACGGCAAGCCCGATGTCACGCAGGGCGAGTTGGGCGCGATCGAGGAGGAGGTCGACGGCGTTTTTGGCGAGCAGGGCGGCGCCGACACGATCGACTACCGCAGCGTCGGCTGGGTGTGGACGTCCATCATCCTCATGAAGCTCCAGATCGGCCTCGGCGTCCTGTGCGTCCTCGACCCTCTCCCTCTCTCCCTTCCACTCGAGCCCGGCTTTCGGGCCGTCTCGCACGCACACGTCGACGCCCTCTGCGACGGTGAGAAGGCAGGACTGACTCTGCCTCGAGCGCCCCCGCAGCAACATCCCCTCGTCGCTCGGCACCCTTGGCCTCGTGCCGGGCCTCATCATCCTCATCCTGTTCGCGGGCCTGACTGGTTGGACCGACGTCGTTATCGGCAACTTCAAGCTGAACCACCCGCAAGTTTGTGCGTCCTCTGCTCTCGTCGCCTCGTACCAGCTCGCCCGGATTCTGACTTTCCGAACCTCGCAGACTCCCTCGCCGACTGTGGCAGGCTCATGTACGGCCGCATCGGCGGCGTCGTGTTCGGCTTCGCTACCTGGATGTGTGCGTCGCCTTTTCGCTTTCGCGAGGATGCGGGAGGACGAGTCGCCAGAGTACGAGGGCGATCGAGCTCACGTTCGGCTTGCGCGCAGACATGGCCATGGTGACGGGCTCGGCGTTCATCGGCATCTCGACGGCCTTCAACGCCATCACGCTGCACGCGACGTGCACCGCCGTGTGGGTCATGGTCGCCGCCGTGGTCACGTACCCGCTCGCGTCCCTCCCCAAGATCGAGTCGCTCAAGGTCCTCGGCTGGATCGCCCTCGTCAGCATCGTCTCGGCCGTCATGATCGTCGTCATCTCGGTCGCCGTCGGTGACCGCCCGGCGCTCGCGCCGCAGGACGGGCCTTTCACGCCCGAGATCAAGGCTTTCGGCACCCCCACGTTCGCCCAGGCCATGAACGCCGTCGCCAACCTGCTCCTCGCGTTCGCCGGCACGCCGGCGTACCTTCCTGTCGCGTGCGAGATGAGGAAGCCGAGCGACTTCCGCAAGGCCGTCATTTTCAGCCGTGCGTCGTCCTCCTCTTCCTCCTCTTTCGGCCCTCGAGACCCGTACTTACGCCTTTCACCTGCGCAGAGACCGTCATGACGGCCTTCTACATTGTCGTCGGCGTCGTCCTGTACACCTACGCGAACCCGTACATCGCGTCGCCCGCGCTCGGCACGGCCGGCGTCCTCGTCAAGCGCATCTCGTACGGCATCGCGCTCCCGGGTCTCTTCTTCACGGCCATCATTTACAACCATCTTGCGGCCAAGTTCATCTTTGTGCGCGTCCTGCGCGGCTCGCACCACCTGAACCACCCCACGGCCAAGCACTGGGCCGTGTGGCTCTCGTGCACGGGCGCGTGCCTCCTGTTCTCGTACATCGTCGCCGAGGCCATCCCGGTCTTCAGCGGCCTCGTCGGCCTCGTGTCGGCCCTGTTCGGCACCATGATGGCGCTGCACGCCGAGGTGCGTCCCTCTCTCCTTGTCGCTCGGACCCCTCTTTCGCTCCCTCTCTCCCACGACGCATTCCTCTTCGGCCGCCTCGCCCCTCCTCTCCTGCGCCTGTCTCTCATTGTGCGCCTGACTGACACACCCTGCGTTGCACGGTCTCGCAGGCCCTCATGTACCTGTACGACACCTGGGCCGTCTTCAAGGTCAAGGAGCGCCGCACGCCGCTCATGTGGTTCGGCATCTTCTTCAACCTCGCCATCCTCGTCATCGCGACGGTCGTCATGGGCGGTGGCACGTACGGCAGTGTGTGCGTCTCTCGTTCCTCTCGCTCTCGCCCCTCCTTTCCTCCTCTCGTCCCCTCTCCCCTTGCGCTCGATCCTCGCCTCTTGTTCCCTCGCCCTCGACCTCCCCGTGACACATACTGACACGGTGCTTCGACGACAGGCTCAACATTCGCGACGACTACTCGACGAACGGCGGCCGGCCATGGTCGTGCGCCGACAACTCGGGCTCGTCCTGAGCGTGCCGCTCGCTGTCGATGTTCGAGCGGCGGGAGGAGGCGAGACTGTAGAGCGGTGCGAGGTAGATTTAGAAGAAGCTGTACATCGTCGTAGAACTGCATCATGCATCGAGCATCATCGCCTTTCACCTCTCCTTGGCTCGAATGTTGCGCGAGCGAAGCAGCGAGAAGAGCGAGCAGCACGAGTCGAAAATCCTCGCTCGTTCTCGAGCTGCTCGTCGACCGAGGCTTGTCGCGAGGAAGAAAAGGCCGAGTTACAGTGCGAGAGGGAAGTACAACAACGTCGACGAACGCGTCCTGCCACACCCGATCCGCCGCTGCGCCCAGCAGCTTTGCGAGCAGCTCCCGCAGACGCTCGAGGGCGTCAAGAGAGGCCTCCCACCTCGTCCAGGACCGTGCCAGGTCGTCGCCCTGCTCAAGGAGGCACTGTCGTGCGGCGAGGTCGAGGGAACCGAGGTTGAGGCGTGAGGGTTGGGTCTTTGAGCGCGTCTGGTGGTCGCCGGGGTCGTGAGAATGCTGGAAGAGATGGCAAGCGATAGCGTGTCGGCCCTTGCGGCGAGTTGGGCGTGTCGGACTTCATCTGGTCGGGTCGAGGTCGAGGAGGAGAGGGGGACGGCGCGGCTCGAGGGGAGCTTGTGAAGGCGGCCGGCGTACTTGTTAGAAGCTGTAGAGCAGTCGACAGCTCTCGCTCAGGCTCTAGCGGTCGAGGCAGGAGGACAACGACGCTGTCCCCGCAGCCTGGCAGCGGGGCACTGTTCCTCTGCCTCTCCACGCGCGAGCCAGGAGTTGTCTGCCGCTCAGACGCAGCGCACAACTCGCTTGTGTGCCTCTCCACCTCAACGCCGCCCCTCTCGCCGCGTCCGTCGCCACTCGGGCCCGTCCTCGTCCTCATCTTCATCTCGCTCGCCGTCTCTCGCCGTTGTCGACGCCCGCCAGCCATGGCCGACTACTGGGTCTCGCGCGACAAGTATTTCTGTAAGTATTGCAAAATCTACATCGCCGACGACAAGCCTGTGCGTCTCCCCCTCCTCCTCCGCCTTGCCCTCGAGAGCTGACCATCTCTCCCGTTCGCAGTCGCGCATCCACCACGAGACGGGCTTCCGACACAAGGGCAACTATGAGCGCTACATCCGCGAGGTGTACCGCAAGGGCATGACGGACAAGAAGGACCGCGCCGAGGAGGCGAGGGAGCTCGCGAGGGTCGAAGCAGTGCGTCTCTCTCTCTCTCCCTCTTTTGCTCGGTTGCGCACGCGCAGTGTTGACACTTTGGTCCCGCAGGCTGCCGCCGCCGCCATGGGCCTCCCGCCACCGGCACCCGCCGACGCCCCGTCGTCGTCCAAGCCGAAAGCGACCGCGTCCGCCTCGACCTCGTCCGCCGCGCCCGACCCGTTCGCCAACTACTCGACGGCGGCGCAGCTCGGGTACCGCGACGAGGCGGCCGAGCGCGCGGCCGAGGAGGCGGGCAAGGAGGCCGACGAGGCCGAGCTGCGCAAGAGCGAGGGGACGATCGGGCAGTGGCAGAAGGTGGCCAAGCCGGGCCCGGTCGCGCCGCCGGCGTGGGCGACGCAGGGCAAGGGCAAGGGGCGGGCAGAGGAGGGGTTCGTCGGCGCGGCCGTGCTCGGGAGCGCGGCGGCGGCGGCGGCGGCGGCCGGCATCAAGCGCGAGCAGGGCGACGGCGCCGACATCAAGCCCGACCCCGACGTCAAGCCTGCACCTCTCGCCGGCCAGGACGACGCCGACGACGACCCGAGCACCTCGACGGCCGCGACCAAGAAGCGCCGGGCGTTCCTCGCCGAGAAGTCGGCCATCCCCGACGACGACGACGACGCCCTGTCGGACGGCGGCGCGCCGGCGCTCGGGCCCATCAAGCTCAAGAAGCGGCGCCTGACGGTCAAGGAGCAGGCGGCCGAGGCGGCGGCGCTCGAGGCAGCCGAGCGCGAGGTGCGCGAGCGCGAGGAGCAGCGCGCGGCGAGGGCCAAGGAGGGGCGCAAGGCCGGGCAGTGGGAGAGCGTCGAAGTCGGCGCCGAGGGCGAGGCGGCGCTGCTCGAGTTTGAGCCGCTGCCGCCGGTTGTCGGTGAGGCGCAGGAGGGTGGCGAGGCGGGCGCGGTGGAGGACCGGGAGCAGGACAAGCCCAAGGTGGCGCCGAGCGCGTTCAAGAAGCGCAAGATGCCCGGCGCGGCGGCGAGGAGGAAGTAGAAGACGGTGCAACGTGTGCACGAGGAGGACGTGCGCCGTCGCTCGCAGCATCGTCGCGAGCGAGAGGACCGAGCGAGGCGGAGAGGCAGAACAGCTTGCGACTCTGGCTCGAGGCTCGCTCCGTGCTGCTCGGTCGTGTAGTCGGTACAACACTGTGCTCGTCTACAGTCTATCCAGCACGCTTGCCCTCAGCTGCTCGCCTTCTCGCTCTCGTCGCCGACCTTGTGCGTCTCGTCGCCGCCCTCGCCAGTGCCCTGGTGCGGCTCGAGTGCGCCGAGCAACGAGTCAAGGTTGGACAAGAGGCCGTCGAGACGGCCGTCGAGGTCGTCGATTGCGCCCTCTGCCTGGTCGAGTTTGGCGAGGAGCTGCGAGAGGGCTTGCTCGTCGAGGTCGTCGCCGTCGCCACTGGTCGCGGGTGCATCGGGGTCGGCGTTCATGAGCGAAGACGATGCGAGGATCGAGGTGGCCGAAGCCGAGGTGGACGAGAGTGTGGCGAGGAGCGATGCGAGGTGAGGAGGGACGGAGGTGGGGGAGGGGGAGGTCGACGGCGCGTCTTGTTGCGAGGGTGGTTGGCTCGACACGGGTTCAGAGGATGCTGGAGGAGAGTGCGCGGTCTCAGGAGCTTGGCCGTTGGGTTGGTGAGGGTGTGCGAGGGATTGGTTGAGGAAGTCGAGGTCCGAGAGGGAGCTCACTGCGAGAGGGGCGCGGCGGGTCAGTTCAAGGGGTGGGGGCTGTCGCAGAAGGTGTGCAGCTCACTGGTGTAGGTATCGTGGTCGCTCCAGGTTGGGAGAGAGAGAGTTGGCTCGCTCCTCTCGGTTCGGTTCATCCTCCTCATCTCTTGTCGCGACCACGCACCTCGTCGCCGCCCTCGATGGACCCGTTCAGCCTCCCGTCGGCATCCACGAGGGTCTCGGGCGCACCGGATCACCCCTCACCGACCAAGCGCCGCAAAGTGGGCCCGCCCGCACCCACCGCCGCGTCCTCATCGCTCGACGCGACCCTGTCGACCTCGAGCCTGCTCGCGTTTGCGCTCCCGTCGAGCTCGACTACCGTCGTGCAACCACCACTCGCCCGTGTCCCCGCACCCGTCGCCCTCATCGCCCTCGCCGTCTCGCTCCGCACCTCCGCTCAAGCCCTCCTCCCCGCCCTCGCCAAACGGCCCTCGTCCTCCTCGACCTCGAACCAGCACCGCTACGCCCTCGCGTGGGCAGACTACTCGCGCACCTCGACCGCCGCCATCCTCGCCCTCCGCGCCGCCGTCCACCTCACCGCCTCGGCGAGCGACTATGCCGGCGGCAGGCTCGAGCTGCGCGCGTGCGCCATGCTCGCACAGGCCCTCGTCGACCTGTACGACGGCTCGGGCTCCGAGCACCTCGTCGCGCCCGAGGCGGAACGCGCTCTCAGTCGCGCAGTGCGTCCCCCTTCCTCTCTCCCTCGAAGACTCGACCTTGGAACAGCAACTGACTCGTCTCCTCGTCACCGTGCAGATCGCCATCTCGCAGAGCGTGCGTCCCAGTCCTCTTCTATTTGTGACCCGGCCGGCGAGCCCGACTGACCGTCGAAGTTGCCGCCCGCAGCACCCGTCGCTCGCACCCTACTCGTCCGCCCTGTCGCTCCTCCACCTGCGCCTGTCGCTCTTCTCGCACAAGCCCCTCAAGTACATCCGCACGACCCTGCGCCGCCTCGTCCAGTCGCTCCCGCCACTCTCGCCGGCCAACGCGTCGTCGTCGTCGTCACCCGCCCACCTCTCTCGCGCCGCGCCCGCCGCCTCGGCCGCCGTCGCCGCCGCCACCTACGCCTCGCACGCCATGACGGCCGCTATCCCTGGCGCGACAGCCCTCGAGGCGCTCTCGGCGTGGGACACGGTGCGCGAGCTCGCGCACGACCGCGGCGACAGCGACGTGCGCGTCGTTGCCGCCCTCGCCGGCGCCCGGCTCGCGCTCGAGTGCGAGGACTATGCGCGGTGCGGCGTGCTCCTCGGCGAGCTGCGCGGCGCGTTCGGCGCGCCCGAGGGCGAGGACGAGGGCGCGGCGCAGGGTTCGAGTGCGCACGAGCCGCCCGCGAGGAGGCCGATGCCGCGCCTGCTCGACGTCCAGTACCGCCTCGTCGCGTGCCTGTACCAGTTCCAGGTGGGCGACGCCAAGCTCGCAAAGGAGACGCTCAAGCGCGCGCATGCGCTCCTCGACGCGGTACCGGCGGCGGGTCAGGGTGCGGGAGAGGGCGGCGAGGTGACGGTGCGTCGCGCTGTTCCACTCCTCTGGTTCTACGTGCGCTCCAGTCCGAGCGCGAGCTGACCTTGCCCCCGTGGAACCCCTCGCACAGGTCGTCGTCAATGCGGCGCCGGGCTCGTCCGACTCGGCGGCGACGCTCCGCTTCCAGGTCCCGTCGCAGGCGACGCTGTACCCGTTCGCGTTCCTCGCCTCGGCTGTGCGTCCCGTCTCCCTCCCCTCGTCCGTTTCCGGAGCCGCACCTCGTGCAGGGCGAGTACTGACTGGGTGGAAACGGGTGGGCGCACAGGCCATTCACCTCGACCCGCAGGGCAAGACGCCGCGCGCGCAGCTGTTCGGCGAGGAGGGCGTGCGCATCACGGAGCAGAGGCTTAGCGGGCGCGAGGGTACGTCCACGCTCTCGCCCTTCCTCGTCCTCGAGCCGAACCTGACCTTGGCCTTCTCTCTTCCTCGCCTTTCTTCGCCACCTCTCTCGCCATCCCCGCCACCCTCGCGCAGTCACCCTCCCTTTCCCCTCTCTCCGCTCCATCTCGACCTCGCTCACCCGCGCCGCCGCCCTCCAATCCCGCCTGCACCTCCTCCTCTCGTCCCTCTCGACCCTGCGCTCCGAGTACCCCGCCGCGCACGCCCACCTCGCGCGCGCCCTCGGCGTCGCGAGCGCGTACGCCGACGCCCACGGCGACGACGCACGGTGGGTCGACGAGGTGCAGCTCCGGGCGGCCCTCGCGTGGGCGCTCGCGCGCTGTGCGAGGGCAGCGCGCGACGGCGCCGACGAGCGCGACGCCGAGCGCGCACTCGAGGCCGTGCTCGACGCTGCGTCGTCGTCGGCAGCTGCGGCGGCGGTGGCGTCGGGCGCGGGCGCGGCGGCGAGGACGAGCGGTCCGAGCGCGCAGATGGCGCACCTCGTCACGGTCGCGCGCCTAAGCCTCGTCCTCCTGCGCATGTCGGCGCCGCCGGGCGCACTCGCACCGAGCCCCGTCACGACGACCGACGCGCTCGTGCGCGCGCTCGCCTCGTCGTCGTCGTCGTCGTCGTCGTCGTCGTCGTCGTCGAGCGCGGCTTCGTCGCACGCGCGCCTCGCGTCGGCGCTCGCGACCGCCGTCTCGGCGCGCAGCATCACGGCGACCAAGGCGGCGTTGAGCCAGGCGCTGTCGCTCACGAACCAGATGGGCGCGACGCACGCGAGGGCGGGCGTGCTCGCCCTGCTCGGCAACGTGTTCCTGTGGACCAGGGAGGGCGAGGTGCGTCTCTCAGTCTCTCTCTCTCGCCTCTTTCGCCGTGCGACGACGTCGACGTCATCGTCGTCGAGCTGCAGGCGAGAGCACCTCACTGACTCTTTCCCCGCATTTTCCCGCTCGGACCCTCCCCCGCATTTTCCCCTTCCGCCTCGCCCGCCTTCTCTCCTCCCTTCCTCGCAGGCCCAGCGCATGCTCTCGTCGGCGCTACGCCTCGCGTCGTCGTTCGGCTCGCCCGCGACGCGCACGGTCGACGGCGTGCCGGTCGGGCATGCGCGACTGAGCCTTTGGCTCGGACAGCGCTTGGCCGGTGCGTCCGCCTCTCTCTCTCTCTCTCTCTCCCTCTCTCTTGCCCTCTCTCGGCGCTCGACGAGCCTTCCACTCGAGGCACGCCCTGACATCCGGCGCCTCGCGGTCTCTCTCGCCCGCGCAGAGTCGTACCGCGCCAACCCGCAGAACACGCCCGAGGTCCTCGCGGCGCAGGAGCGCGCGACGGCCGCGTGTCGGCTCATGCTCGAGCGCGAGGCGCACGAGGCGCAGCAGGACGAGGAGCAGGGCGCGAGGACTGGCGGCAGGGACGCCGAGATGCGCGAGGCCTGAGCGGGCGGTCGAGGCGTGAGGCGATGCTTGTTGATTGTGAATACAGACGACAGGGTCCGACAAGAGGGGTGTGCGAGAGAGCTATGTGCGAGGGGAGAGCGCGAGATCTACAGTCGCAGAAGAAAGAGAGAGGGCCGCTCTACCTCCCCGCCGTCAGACTCAGCGTCACCTTGCCCTTCCTCCCGCCGCCGCCCTTGCCCTTCTTGCCCTGCCCGCCGCCCTCGCTCACGTTTACGTTGCGCGCCGGCGTGCCCGCACTCGCCGGCGACGGCGTCCCTCCACCCGCTGCGCGCTGCCGCCCGAGCCGCTCCTCGAACTCGCCCCACCGGTCGTCGAACGCGTCGTCCCAGCTGCTGCTCGCCCCGCCTCCTGCTCCTCCTGCTCCTCCTCCTGCTGCAGCCGTCCACGACGGGCGCGAGCTCGCGTGCAACGTCGAGGCAAAGCTCGGTCGGCTGCGCCCGCCGCCACCGCCGCCGCCAGCGTCCTCGTCGCCCGAGGTCGGCGCGGCGGCCTGAGCGCCTCGCGCCGCCGACGGGGGCGCCGGGAAGGCATGCACGTCGTCCCAGCTCGACGAGTGCGCGGCGGCAAAGCCCCATGGCAGGCCGTCGCTGCCGGCCGCGCCGTACGCGCCGAACGACTCGGCGAACTGCGGCAGCTGCTCGCGCGCCTTCTCCTCGGCGCGCACCTTGGCGCGGTCCTCCTTGCGCGCCTTGTCGCGGCGCTTGGTGCGACGCTGCTTGAGCGCCGTCTGGAACGGCTCCATGGCGCGGCGCGACACGAGGTGCGACAGGTCGGCCTCGACAAAGACGACGTCGCTCGACAAGGGCAGGTGCGCGAGCCACTTGCACCGGCGGCGCAGCTCGGCGTTCATGCTGCCCTCGTCGGCGCCCTCGATCGGGACGACGAGCTCGTCCGGCATGGCCTGGTACGTGCCAAAGTGCGACTTGAGGATGCGGATGTCGAGCGGCTGGAGGAAGATGGGCTGGCCCGACGCCGCCTGGTAAAAGTAGTACGCCGGGTCGTCCGACTCGGCTGGCGGCGGGTGCACGTTGCGGCGCTGGTACGGCGACTTGCGCGGCGGCGAGAGCGGCGCGACGGGTGGTGCGAGGCTCGAGCTCGTCGTCGTCGCCGCGCCGCCGCCGCCGGGCACGAACGGCGTCGCCGTCGACGACAAGGCGGCGAGGCCTGGCCCGCTGCCGCCGCCGCGCGAGTGCAGGAAGTCGAGCGGGATCGGGTCGTGCACGACGGGGACGGGCGGCGCAGGAGCGTGCACGGCCCTCGCCTCGGGCTCGCCGTCGAGCTCGCTCGCGCTCGTGTCGGTGACGGGCGGGAGCTGATGCTCGCTCGAGCCGGCCGCGTGGCGCTCGACGACGGCCTGCAGCTCGCGGAGCGTCTTCTTGCGCGCCGTCATGACGCTCGTCGTTTTGAGAAGGTCGCACTTGGCGAGCTGCTCCTCGACACGACGCAGGGCGTCCTCGACAAAGACGACGCCGAGCTCGTCGTCGCCGGCGCCGGGCCCACCTCGAGCGCGCAGGCGGCGCAGGCCCGCCAGCTCGCGCTCGAGCTCGCCACGCTGCGAGACGAGCTCGTCGTGGATGTAGTCGGGCGCGCCGAGCATGAACTTGGCGTAGGCGAGGGCGTCGGGCGTGAACTGCCACGGCGCACGGAGGGGAGGGACGGCCTCGGACGGCCAAGAGGGGGAACGAGGGAGGGCGAGCGTCGTGATTTGTGGTCGGCGGATGAGGCGCATGCGGAGCGTCTCGCGCTGTTGCGGTGCGGGGGTGCTGGACGACGGGAGCGAGTCGAGTCGGGAGAGCTCGAGGGCTCGGGCGAGGTCGGCGTCGATATGCTCGGCGGGAGGAAGGCTGGGAGGAACGGCGGAAGGAGGGGAGGACGGGCGAGCCGAGCTGTTGGCCGGGTCGAACCACTTGACCGACTTGAGGTCCTTGGCGTGGATGAAGCTGTGGGACAGGCGAGTGAGCTGGGGTTTGTCGTGCTCGTGGGCGAGGAGGACGAGCGAGGACGCACTCGTGGCAGACGGGGCACTTGCGCGACTTCGTGCCCGGGTCGGCGAGCGCGAGGTAGTGCAGCACGCACGGGTAGCAGAAGACGTGCCCGCACTTGGTCTGTCGAGGGAAGGGCGAGGTCAGTGACGGGGAGAGAGGGGCCAAGGGGGAGACGAGGGGACGCACCATGCGGGCAGCGGTCGGCTCGCTGAGGCAGATGGGGCAAGCGGGCCTGCCGCCCTCGCCGGCCTGGTCGAGCTTGGCGGTGGCGACGGCGTTAAGGGCGCCGCCGCCAGTCGGGAGGATGACCTGGAGGATGTCGGCCCACTCGAGGTGGATGTCGGGGTCGGCGAAGTGGGCCGTGTAGTCCTTGTCGGGGGCAACGACAAAGCGGAACTGGTGGACGAAGCGAGCGCGCGTGTAGGCCGCAGTGCCGTGCCCTGCGCCCGAGTGAGACGCTCGGCGGGTCGAGCGACGAGGGAGGTGCGTCGGAGGTGGAGGTGGCGCTCGAGGGGGCAGCGTGAAGCCGAGAAGCTGCGGCGGGCTCGACGTAGGGTGAGTACACACTCACTGCAGCTGCCCGTGCCCTCTCGCCTGCCTCGCGTCCGCCACAGAGAGCGAGTGGCGCCTCGTCGCCTCGCTCATCCCGAGGCGACCTCGCGCATCGTCGGCCCGCTGTGGGACCAAGAGAGAGGTGCACGCACATGGCTGACGTCCTGCTGCTCGCGTTGGCGGTTGCCCCTGCGGCCCTGCGCGGCTTGCTGGACCGAGGCCGGCGGCTTGATGGGGGCGGCGTCGAGCGGCATCCTCGCCTCGTCGTGAGAGGTTCGAGGGAAGGTCGTGAGGTGGCGCGAGGTCGTCGAGTCGACAGGCAAGCACAATGACCCGGCCAGAGACAGTCAAGTCCCCGGCGACGAGTTGTCGAGGGGGAGAGCAGTCAGCCCGGGGGCGAGAGTCGGCTAATCGGGCGGCCGGCCTCAATTCGTATTGCGGATAACTATTCGCCCCTTGCGCAATACGATTCCGATCTCGCCCAAACCCTCTCACTTCTCTCCTCGCTCGAGCCCTCGAACTTCGAAACCTGGCCTTGCAAATGACAGCACAACAACGACGATAACGACGACGCCCCACACACATCTACATGACGAGGCACTTGTCCTCCTTCTTGCGCCCCTCAGCCGACCCTGCACTGCGCCGGCTCAGCTTCCTGCCCGACGCTTCTGCTCCTCCTCGGCGCGGCGGCGGCGGCACGCTCGACTCGTCGACCCGCACCCGTTCAACGGGCGCTGACGACGGCGCAGGAGGCGCGAGCGGCGTCGAGGTGGGCGAGGACGGACGGGCGGACGAGCGCGCGGCGTCCTCGGCTCGTGAGCGCTCGACGAGGCGGCGCTCGTGAGCATCTTCCTCGGCTTGAAGCTGCTGCGCGAGGGCGATGCTGCACGAGAGCGGCGAGTTAGTCATCGACTGCGAGTCTGTGCCGGGCGAGAGAGTGAGAGAGGGACGTACTCGGCCGCATCGTGCACTCCCTCGTCGCGCCCAACCCGCTCGTCCCTGTTCCTGCTGTGGTCGCCGCCGCCGCTGCTCCCACCCGACCCGACCCAGTCCCCTCCTCTCACACTGCTCCGCCTGAGCGCCGCGTCGAAGAACGCGCACTCGGCCCCGTCGACGTCCTCGAGGCTCTCCCACACGATGCCCTCCTCGCGCGCGAACGCCGCGTCCGTCACGAGCGTGAAGAGCTCGGGACCACTGGTGGAGGCCGAGGGCGACGACGTGGAAGGGAGAGTCGGGCGGCGGTAAAGGACGGAGAGGTGCGAGTTGCGGAAGAGGGCCGCGAGGCCGGAGGGAGGGAGGAGGGACGGCGAGGTGCAGAGCGCGGACAGGCCAGGGTAGGTGAGCTGCGTCGAGGTAGACGACAGGAAGGTGTTGATGAGGTAGGCTGTGTACGTCGAGCAGGTCAGTGCTGCTGGACGAAGAGAGCGCGGGACGAGGACGAGGTCGGCGGACGCACCTCGTCGAACCTTGCGCGCCTGTTCCTCCGTCCACCCACTCCTCAACTCCGCCTCCCTGACCATCTCCTCGTCACTCAGCTCCTCCTCGCGCACGTCGAGCCGTCCTGCCCCACCGGCCACCTCTGCCCCCTCGACGACGCGCTCGAGCGCCGTGTCGTAGTCTCGGCACCCTTCCTCGCCGACGAGCGCGTCGTAGGCTTCGGGCTCGGCCGGATCGGCGAGCCAGCCGTGCAGGAGCGGGATGCGCGCGAGCGCGAACAGGGCGAGCTCGCCCGACGAGGTCGCCGCCGCCGACGATGACGAGGACGGGGGCGAGGCGAACCCGTCGATGCGGTCGAACCGAGGGTTGAGGTTGAGCCCGTAGCGGGTCTGGGGGAGGATCGAGAGCGCCGCCTCGAGCGAGAGCTCGTGGCCGGACGGGGTGGCGGCGGACGAGGAGGACGCGCGGAGGAAGTAGTCGGCGAGGAGGTTTGACAGGTACGAGTACGTGACGCTCGTGCGCCCGGGTGCGACGTCGAGGTCGCCGCGAAGGATAAGGATGTTGCCTGTCCGGGGCGGAAGAGTCAGGCGGTCCGCATCGGCTCGACGAGAGAAAGGGAGAGACGTACAGAGGGCGATGAGCGAGCAGGGCCCATTGGCGTTCTGGCACACGACCTTGACCCGCAGGCGCTCGTCCGTCTCGAAGCCGTGATGGTGCGACACGTCGCCGTCGTCAGGGCTCGCCTCGAGCGGCGTCGGCGGAAGAGGCGGGAAAGCGATCGTCTTGAGGAGCCACTCCTCCTCGTCGACCTGGCCCTCCCGCTCGACGACGTCTCGCTCGGTCGGGTTGGCCGGCGAGTCCGAAACTGGAGGCTGAACGCGGAACGAGGCGAGCTGGCGGGCGAGGTCTTGGGGCGAGGCTGGCGCAGGTGCGGCGGAAGGAAGGGCGTCGGCGGGCGACGCGGTTGGGGGTGATGCGGTAGAGCTACTCGGCGGTGCTGCGGGTGCGCTGGCGCGTCGCTCGTGCGAGGCGGGGGCACGCTCCCCCACCGCAAGCTGGCTCGGCTCGAGGATGGCGGCAGCGGGGGGTGCGACAGGCCGTGGGCTGGCAGGACTGTCGTCTTGCGCACTCATGCTCGAGCTCTGCAGCCAGGCAGTGCGAGCAGCTGGTATGCGAGGAGCGACGAGAGCTCGAGCGACCAGATGAGGGTCGGGCCACTTGCCCTTGCTGCCTCGGCCGCCAGAGCCTGCGCCAGAGCTACCGACTGCTCTCCAGCCTGCACCAAGTCCACCAACTGCCCCGGCGAGCTGCCCCCAAGCCGCGCCGTCCCCCACTCCTCCTCGACCTCGACCCGACCAGATGAAGTCCGCCAACGGCCACCTCGCCGCAAGGATCGACACGCTGTCGCTCGCCATATCATTCAGCACTCACACGACTACGGCGACCACCAGACGCGCTCAAAGACTCAGCCCTCACGCCTCGACCTCGTTTCCCTCGGCCTCACCGCGTCGCAGAGCCGCCTCGAGCACGGCGGATACCGGGCATGGTCCAGGACAAGGTGGGACGCATCTCTTCACGGGCTGGAGCGCCTGCGGGAGCTGCTCGCAAATCTCCTGGGCGCGGCGGCGGAGCGGGCTCAGCAGGACGCGGACCTCGACGTTGTTGTACTCCCCCTCGCATTGTAACTCGGCCTTTCCTACTCGAGACAAGCCTCAGTCGACGAGCGGCTCGAGAGCGGTTCGAGAGCGGCTCGAGAGCGAGCGAGGACTTTCGACACCAGCTGCTCGCCCTTCTCGCTGCTTTTCTCGCGCTCTCGACGTCGGCCTCTCGATGCGCAGCATCGACGCACGAAGAACGATTGGACATGACACAGAGAGGGCTCGAGCTCGTCGAGCACCTCAAGAAAAGCTGACTGCGACCTCGACAAGCGGCCCTCGACAAGCTGCGAGCAGGACGAGAGAGAGTCAGGTCACGCCGGAAGAGCGTCGCGTCCTCGACGCACACGACGAAAGAGAGAAAGTGGGACGCACCGTACGCCCACCTCGCTCAGTTCCTCCTCGGGTTCGAGTAGCCCGGCCGCCGCTCGTCCCTGAACTGCCTCTTCCTCCTCTTCATGTGCTTGTCGAGCTCGACGAACGCGTCCGCCCCGCCCTTCTTCTTCTTCCTCCTGCTCTTGGCCGCGCTCGAGTCGTCGTCGTCGTCGCCCTCGCCCTCGCCGTCCGACGACGAGAAGGCCGACGTCGGCGGGCTCGACATCTCCTCGCGCATCTTGCGACGAGCGAGCGCCGCACGAGGGTCGACAAAGGACGCGATGCCGAGGTGCGAGTAGTCCTGCGTCGGCGGCAGCGCTTGAGGCGGCGGCGAATCGGAGCCCGAGCGCGCGCGACGACGACGAGGCGGTGGCAACAAGGCGTCCTGCTCCTGCTCCTGCTCCTCCTCGGCCTCCTCCTCGAGCCGCCTGCCGCCGCCGCGTCGCGCCCCACGCAGGCGGAACGTCCCGCTACCGCTCCCGCCCGTCGCGATGACGGTCCCGCCGCCCCACCTGTCTGCCTCGCGCTCGTCGTCCGAGTCGTTGATGAAGGCGCTGGCGCTCCGGCCCGAGGTGCGCGCACGACGCTGAGCACGGGCGTCCATGTGCTTCGAGGTCGAGGTCGAGGGATGGGGCTGTTGGCGGGCGCAAGGAGCCGGGCGAGGGTCGGAGCGCTGCACGAGGGTGGCGAGGGAGGGGAGCGAGTCGTCGCTGTCGCGATCGAGGTCGTCGTCGTCCGACGCCGGGTTGAACAGGGCGACGCGCTCCTTGACCTTGCTCTTGCCCTTGGCCCTGCTCGTCGAGGCGCGAGGAGCGGCAGCACCGCCGCCAACCTGCTTCTTGCGGCGGAACGCCTCGAGGTCCTTGAGCGCCGCGTCGTCGTCCTCGTCGCTCGGCTCGTCGAGCGTGCGCCCCTTGGCCTGCCCACCCTTCTTGCCCTTCTTGCCCTTGCCCTTGCCCTTGCCCTTGACCGCGCCCGCCGCTGCCGTGCCGCCCGCCGCCCTCGCCGCCGGCGCGCGCACGAGGTTCGGGCCCGCCGCGAGGCGCTCCTGCTCGGCCTCGGCCGCGCGCTCCTCGTCGTCCGAGTCGAGCACCTCGACGACCTTGCTGCGCTCGATGCGGCGCGCGGCCGCCTCGGCGCGCAGGCGGCGCATCTCGCTCTGCAGGTCGTCGGCGCGGTCGCGAGACGGGCCGGCGACAGGAGCGGCTGCGACGGTGCGCTTGGCCGCCTTGGCGCGAGCGACGCGGGTCGAGTCGCGGTCGGGGTCGTCCGAGTCGGGCTCGAGGTCGGACTCGTGCGCCGAGGCGACGGCTTTGACGTCGAGGTCGGACGAGTCGAGGAGGTCGAGGGCGAGAGGGGCGGGGTTGAGGACGCGGGTCTCGGCAGCAGTCGAGCGGGCGAGCTGTGCGGCGGAGGTGGCGGCCGTGACGCGGCGACTGGGCGAGGGTGGAACGGAGGAAGGGCGGCAGCAGGTCAGCGACCGAGGAGGAGAGGCGGACAGAGAGGACGTGGGCGCACCGCTTGCGAGGCAGAGGGTCGCCATCCGAGTCAAGCTCGACATCGCTGCAGAGTGCACGCAAGAGTGTGTCAGTCTCGGCGGCTTGGACGGCTTCGTCCCAGGGCTGCACCGCCTCCTCGACCAACCTCGACGAGCCGCAGGCACCTCGTCTCGGGCTCGTGTACAGACAGGGGAGAGGAAGAGAGAGACGCACCTGCTGAGCACCAGCTTGGCCCCCTTGGTCTCCGGGAACGCGCCCTCCCTGCTCACGCTCCCCTTGCCCGCCGCCGCGCGACGGACCCCCCAGCCGCTCGACGGCGCCTTGCCCTGCGCCGCGAAGGTCGGCTGTGGGCCCGACAGGCCGTAGCGCGAGCGGAAAGGCTTGCGACCCATGGCGGGCGGCGGGCGGGCGTGTGGGACGAGGGAGAGGGAGGGGAAGGACGAGGAGAGTGATGAGGGCAACGGCGAGGGGACGGGCGAGGGCGGTTGCGGTGGCACTGGGTCGAGAGAATGAGCTGTCAAGAGCGCGCTCGAGCAGCTTGACGCCGCGGCGGGCGAGAGGCGAGGTGTTGAAGAGCAAGCAAGCACGCGCAACCCGGCCGCTCGAGGAGACGCTCGCGCTCTCGGCTCGTGCTCTCTCTCTCGCCAGTCGAGCTCGACCGACAACAAGTAGCTCGTACATTCTCTGCACCCGCTGTCCGACCGCGCGACCCTCAGTACCCGCCGCCGCCCTCGCGCCCAAAGCCCGCCATCGTCCTGCGCTGGTTCTCCTCGAGCTTGGGACAGTTGCGAATCGTGTGACCGAGACCTGTGCGCATCGAGGACTCGAGTCAGTGCTGCTCGCGCCGAGCGAGAGGAGAAGAGAGAAAGAGAGAGGACGCACCGCCGCAGTTGGTGCAGCCCACTGGCTTGCCGTCCGCGCCCAGGTTCGGGTCCTCGATCGACGTTAGGAACGGCGGGACCCTGCGCGCGCACAGAGGCGGTTAACGACGTGCTCGAGTCGGCGACGAGGGGACCAGGGCGCAGGAAGGAGAACGAGAGGGAGAGCGGGACGCACTTCTGCTTGGCCTCCATGAGCAGGTACTTGAGGTCGAGCAACGTCTGCTCGGCCGTCTGCATGTTGACGAACGTCGTCGCGATACCCGTCTTGCCCGAGCGACCCGTGCGACCGATCTGGTGGACGTAGTCCTGCGGGCGTACGCGAACGAGAGGGAGTCAGTCGCCGTCTTTCTCTCGACCTGTCACCGCGAGAAACGGGAACGGCCGGGACGCACCTCGATCTCCTTGGGCATCGAAAAGTTGATGACGTGCTGGATCTCGGAAAAGTCGAGTCCCTTGCTCGCCACGCCCGACGCGACCATGACGTCCTTCTTGCCCGTCTTGAACGACTTGATGGCGTACTCGCGCTCCTCCTGGGCTGCGTGCGGGTTCGTGAGGAGGGTCGGGACGGCGTCAAAGAGGTGAGGAGACGCGAGAGGGAGAGAGAGGACGCACTCTTGCTGCCGTGGATGGCGACCGCCTCGACGCCCTTGAGGAGCAGGTACTCTTGGATGTCTGCGCTCGCGCCCTCGAGTCAGTACCTGCTCGCCTCGCTCCAAGAGAGAGCGTGAGAGGGAGACGCACCGTCGACCTCGTTCTTGTTGTCGCTGAAGATGATGGTCGGCGGCGCCGTCTTCTGGAGGCACTCGAGGAGGTAGACCATCTTGGCCTCCTGCTTGACGTACTCGACCTCCTGGATGATGTTGAGCGCCGCGGCACCGGCACGACCGACGTTGACGAGGATGGGCTGGACGAGGGCCGACTGGGCAAAGTCCTGGATGCGCTTGGGCATCGTGGCCGAGAACAGGAGCGTCTGGCGTTGGTGCTGTGCGCGCAAGGGAGAGGGTCAGGCTCATCAAGACGTTCAAGACTTTCTACGACTGGTCCCAGCGAAGACGACAACGCCGAGGACCGGCCGAGGACGAGACGCCGGAAGCCGACGCACCTTGAAGAAGCTCATGATGTTGCGCACGTCCTCCTCGAAGCCCATGTCGATCATGCGGTCGGCCTCGTCCATGCACAGGTACTTGCACGAGTTGAGCGTGAACTTGCGCTTCTCGAGCATGTCCTGGAGCCGACCGGGCGTCGCGACGACCATGTGGAATCCCTGCGACAGGACCTGCGCCTGCTCCGACATGTTGATGCCGCCGATGCACAGGAGGGCGCGGACTCTGCGAGAGGGAGGACGGGATTGAGGTCAGTGAGAGGTCGAGAGGGTGGCGGACAAGGGGAGGGGGAGGGAAAACGGGACGCACTGAGGGTAGCCACCCTGCTCCATGAGCTTGGCCATCTCCTGCAGGCCCTCGTACGTCTGCCTTGCCAGCTCGCGCGACGGACACATGATAATGCCGACGGGACCCTCGCCCTGGACGAACGGCATGCGCTTCTCCTCCTCGAGCGAGAACATGAGGAGTGGGACCGAGAAGGCGAGCGTCTTGCCCGAGCCCGTGAACGCGATGCCGATCATGTCCCGGCCCGAAAAGCTGCGGGCAGAGCGCGAATGTCAGTGTGTGTGCGAGAGGAAGGGAGAGAGGGCGAGGACGCACACGACGGGGAGACCCTGGAGCTGAATGGGCGTCGGCGCCTCGATCTTCTTCTTCTTGAGGTAGTCGAGCAGCGGCCTCGGCAGCTTCATGTCCTGTGTCGCGTCGCCGACGGTCAGTCGACGAGGGAAGATATAGGAGGCGAGAGAGAGAGGGGGCGCACCCGGAAGTTGGGGATGGGCGGGGGAATGTCGTCGCCCGAGACGAGGATGTGGAACTTCTCGCGGACGGCGTCGTGCTCCTCTTGCGGCTTCGCCAAGATGTAGTGCGGCGCCTTCCATCTGCGAGTGAGAGCGACGTCAGTAGGGCTCGGGGGAGAGAGAGAGGGCGCAAGGACGCACGAGGCGTGCATGCGCTCGGTGTAGACGATGCCCTTGGCGAGCTCTTCTGCGCCGGCGAGCTGCTTGCGGGACGCTTCCTGGGCAAGGAGGATCTGAGCCTCCTCCTCCTCGATCTTCTGCTTCTCGGTCTTGGCGGCGTCTGCGAGCGCGGATGGAGCGAGTCAGTTGGGGTCCAGGGAGGGGGAGCAGAGAGGGTAGAGAGAGAGGGGAGACGGACCCTCGATGGCCTTGCGGCGCTTGACCTCCTGTGCCTCCATGAGCAAAGTCTGGGCCTCGCGTTTCCTGCGAGCGCGGTCGTCGTCGTCGCGCTGCTGCTGGAGGCGGGCGTCCTCCTCCTCCTCGTGGCGGCGCTTCTCGGCTGCGGCGGTTGCGCCGCCGCCCTTTGCGGCGAGTTTGGAGACGAGCTGGTTGCGGCGCTGCTTTACGGGGACGTAGAGGGGCGCGTCGTCGTCGTCGCCGTCGACGGCGTACGGGTCGGGAGGAGGAGGGGACGGGGTGCGGCGGCGCTTGGTATAGGTGGATGGCTGGTGCGAGTCTGCCATGGTGCGCGTGGCTGTGCTTCTGCTCGAGCTGGTCGAGCCGTGTGGCGGCAGAGGAGAGACGTCGAGCTGATCAAGTCCGACGACGACGACGAGCCGGGGCTCTCGCTCTCGCCTACGAGCTCGTGCGCGACATGCTCCGCACAGTCCCGACACTGCTGCCTAGGCGGGTACTGCGCTCGCCACCCGCCTTGAGCCGCTTCGCTTCGACCGCCTCGTCGTCGGCCTCCTCCCCACCTCGACCTCCTCCGCCAACACCGCCGCATCCCGCCAAGCCCAGGCCGTGGGAGCCCTACCTCGCCCGCCTTCGCCACGACTACCCGCACGCCGACCCGCCATCGCTCGTCATCGCCTTTGTCGCCCTCCACGAGCTCACCGCCATCGTCCCCCTCGTCGCCCTCTTTGCCCTCTTCCGCCACGTCGCACTCGGTACCGCTCTCGTCGCCTGGGTCGTCGCTCACTCCGACACCGACGACCGCGACCAGAGCGGCGAGGGATCGACGCCGGCCACTGCCGCAGCGTGGAGGGTCACGGCGCGCGACTGGCTCAAGGAGGCCGAGGACAAGGCCGAGCGCGTCGGGCGACGCTACGGCTGGTTCGGCTGGCCCAAGGAGTCGCGCGACGAGCGAGCCGCTCGCAAGGCGCACCTCGCACAAGCCGCCGAGGACGGCCGCACCGCCGTCGACGAGCGCACCTCGGCCGACCAGCTGCGCGTGTCGGGCGACGTGGCCAACGCCGCCGCCGCCTATCTCGCCGTCAAGGTGCGTCACCCTCTCTCCCCTGTCCTGTGCGCGCGAGCCCTCGCACGTCGTCCTGACCCGTCTCGCCCCCACCCGCACAGGCCCTCATCCCGCTCCGCATCCTCGTCTCGCTCCGCCTCTCGCCCTCGCTCGCCAACGTCATTGCTCGCAACTTCACCGGCCTGCGACAGCGCGGCAAGCGGTACCTGGCCAAGGCGGCGCCGGCAGTGCGAGATGGAGCGGCAGACGTGGGTGGCAGGGGTCCGTGAGCGGTTGAGAGGAGGGCAGTGTAACGACGGGCGTTCTCTCTTGTGCGTTCCTGCTCTCTCCAGCGCCTTCTAGAGAGCAAGACTCTGTTGCTCACGCTTTATCTCGCTCGCAGGCGTGCTCCGGTCCCGCTACACGGCTCGCCCTCTTCCGCCTGATCTCCCTCCTCGCCCGACGCCCCTCGCCCTTTCCTCCTCCTCCTTTCACCAACCACCTCCGCACTCGCTCGCACGGGATGCAGACCCTGCGCCTCAAGCGCCTCCTCGTCACGCACTACTCGCTCCTCGTCCCCTTCCCGCCGCCGCCGCCCTCGCCTCGTCCTTCGCCGCTTCGTCTCGCCTCGTCGGAGCACGCCCTCGGGCCCTCGCCGCCGCTCCTGCGCACGACGACGTTTGGCAGGCCGGGTTCGGGCTCGTGGCGCCGCTTGTACGGGCGCGGCGGAGCGGCCGTCGAGGGACGCGAGCGCGAGGCGGCGGGCGACTCGAGCGGTGGGACGGGGCCGGGCGCGCTCGACACGATCGAGGAGCTTTCGGAGACAGCGCCTGCAGCGGGGGACGAGGGCGACGAGGAGGAGAAGGACGGCGGCGGACCGAGGTGGGAGGGAGAAGAAGGCGGAGGGCCCGTTCGCCTCGTCGGGTTCTCGGACCCGGACCCGCTCAACCCGCAGGTGCGCCTCATCATCTCCCTCTTCCTCTATGATCGTCGGAAGGACGACGCGCTCACCCTTCTCCTCGGCGCCCGCAGGGCTGGTCGACAACTCGCCGCACCCTCATCACGCTCCTCCTCGCCGTCATGTGCACCTGGGTCGGCGCGTGCTCGTCCATGAACGTCGAGCTCGCGCACCAAGTCGCCGCCGACCTCGGCGTCGCGAGCGAGACGACGGCGCAGCTCGACACGGTCCTGTTCCTCGTCGGCTTTGGCGTCGCCGCGCCGCTTTGGGCGCCTTTGTCTGAGCTCGCAGGCCGGTACGTCTCCTCTCCATCCTCCCCTCTCACCCTCACAGCACGATAGGCCTGACACCAACCTTCCTCTCGTGCAGCACGCCGATCTACCTCGTCTCGCTTGCACTCCTCGCCCTGTTTGAGCTCGGCGCCGCCCTGTCGCCGACCTTTCCCGCCCGCGCAGCCCTGCGCTTCCTCGCCGGGTGCGCCGCGACGACGCCGCTGTCGAATGCTGGGGCGGCGGTCGGCGACCTGTGGGACGAGGACGAGAGGACCGTCGCGTTCGGCGTGTTCGGCGTTGGCGGCTTGTGCGTCCCGCTCTTCCTCCTCTCTCTTCCTGCCAACGCCCCCACTGACCTGTCTTCTTCCTCCACAGTCTCGGGCCGTGTCTCGGCGCGTCCACGCTGTCCTCGATCGTCGCGCGAGGGAAGAGGACTGACGGCGAGACGAGGCGACGCAGGACCGGTTGTCGGCGGCTGGATCGCGCAAAGTGGCTGGAGCTATCGGTGGGCCGACGGGGTCCAGGCAGTCGGGTGCGTCCTCCTCGCCTCTCACGGCCCGAACGAGCGTGAGCTCACCCCTCGTCGTCCACAGCGCGGCCGTCCTCCTCGTCATCTCGTTCGCCCTCCTTCCCGAGACCTACCCGCCGACGCTCCTCGCCTTCAAGGCCGCCGGTGCGTCCCCCTCTCCCTACTCAGATCCAGTGAGAGAGTCACTGACGCTCGACGCCCCGCCAGCGATCCGCCGCCGCACCCGCTCGTCGGCCTACCTCACGCCGCTCGAGCTCGCTCGCCGCGAGACTTCGTTCGCGCACGACTTTCGCCGCACGCTCGCGAGGCCGTTCGTCATGCTCGCGAGGGAGCCCATCGTCGTGTGCTTCTGCGCGTACCTCACGCTCGTCGTGCGTCGTCTTTTCCCTTTCTCTCAAGGGGGCTCGAGCGAGCGCTCATGACCTCTGCCTCCTCTCGCAGTTCATCATCCTGTTCGGCAACCTCACCGGGTGCGCACCGCTCCCTCTCCCTCTCCCTCTCCCTGTCCTCCCCGACTGACCGCCCTTTCTCGCGTTCTGCGCAGGTACCCGTTCATCTTCTCGCCGCACTCGCTCAGCCCGGGCGAGTCGGGCACCCTCTTCCTCTCGATCGCCGTCGGCCTCTTCCTGTGCGCCGTGTGCACGCCGGTCATGCGCTCGGACTGGCGCCGTCGGGTCGGGCGGGCGCACGCGAGGGGGCAGGCGGTCGCGCCCGAGGAGCGGCTCAGGGTCGCGGTCGTCGGGACGTGGGCCGTGCCCGTGTCGCTGTACTGGGCGTGCGTCCCTCTCGTTCCTCTCTCCCTCTCTCTCGGTCCAGGGCGACGAGCTCACGCGTCTTCTCGATCGCTCGCAGCGCATGGGTGTGCCGCCCCGGCGTGAGCATCTGGGCGTCGCTCGGCGCTCAAGCCCTCTTCGGCGTCGGCATCTGGTCGAGCTTCTACTCGGCCTTCCTCTACTGCATCGGTGCGTCTCTCTCTCTCCTCTCTTCCGGCGAGGCGAGGCGAGACCGACCTGACCCGCTTGAGCGAGCGCGCAGACTCGTACGGCCACAAGGCGGCGAGTGCACTCGCAGCCCTGACCTTCCTGCGGTACCCGATCGCGGTGAGCTCCTCTCGTTCTCTCTCTCTCTGTCACGCTCGAGCCGAGCGGTCCGCTCACGATCCTGGTCGCAGGGCGCCGCCGTTCTGTTCACGCCTCCGCTCTACGAACGCCTCGGTGCGGCCTCGACCTCTCTTTCCCCGCCCTCTCTCTTCCTCCTCTCGCGTGCGGCCGTATCGCGCGCCGTCCAACTCGCCGGACTGACCCATTTGCTGCCCGTCGAGCAGGTCCCCACCTCGCCCTCACCCTCCTCGCCTCGCTCTCGCTCCTCGTCTCGGTCATCCCGCTCGTCTTTTACAAGTGGGGCGCGCGCATCAGGTCGTGGAGCAGGGACGCGGTGCACTGAGGCGGCGGCGGCGTCGGCGGCGGTGGTGGTGGGAGGGGAGGGAAGGACGGGCTCGTGCGCAGGGAGGAGGGCGAGGGCAGGAGGAGCGAGAAGTTTCGCACGTCGAGGAGCTTGCATGCGCTTGGTCTCTCTTCACGTTTTTGCGCGAGAGGAGAGCTGCCTGGCTCGTCGCGAGAGACCGAGGACACGACGAGGAAGCGAGCATCTCTGGCGAGCATGCTCGACCAGCGGTTTCCATTCCGCTCTCCCTTGCCGCTCGCCGAGTCTCTCCTGAGCGATACACAGCCCTAGAGGTCGACACGAGAAGCCGTCCTTGCACCCCTCAGTCCCTCACGCTCTCCCTTCGGCCCGCCGGTTGTACTCGCACAGCTCGTCGAACCGGACCTGCTCGCCGCCAAAGATGTCGAGCGCCGAGCCGTACGTGAGGTCGACCTTGCCGTGCGAGAGGCGCTCGACGAGCGACAGGTCGGTGACGCCTGCGGCGAGGAGAGGGAGAGGGAGAGAAGGAAGGGGCGCGAGCGCGGGTGAGTCGGCGGCTCGAGCGGTGCGAGGAGAGAGAGCGGGACGCACTGCGAGCGCCGCCGGCGTACGTCGTCGGGATCGTGACCCACTCGCCGAGCTCTGCGCGCGCAGGGAGAGGCAGGTGAGGCGACGGTCGGGGGTGGAAGGAGGGCAGGACGAGGGAGGGACGCACTCTCGACGAGCGCCTCGTCGATGCCTTGACACAGGCCCTCGACATCGGCGGCGTGGATGAGGAACTCGCTGCAGTGCGGGGAGGAACGGTGTCAGGGCCCGCAACGAGAGAGGGAGGAGGACGAAGCGAGAGGCGATGCACCTGCAGTACTGCGTGAGGAGCGCGAGCGATTCTGCGAAGCAGGGAAGGGATTGTGAGCTCTTTGCGCTCGTTACCTGCGACGAGAGGGAAAGAGGGCGTACCTGCGTTGACCTCCATGTCGGTCATGACCTGCCACCGGTCCATGGCGACGATCCACTTGTCGCCTCGTCGCCGGCAGCTGCAAGGTCGAGAATCAGTGCTCGACTTCTCCCGCGAGGAGAAAGAGAGAGCAGACCGGGACGCACCTGACGTCGACCACGAGCCTGTCCTTGCCGACCTGCTCGGCGAGTCGTCGCAGCCGATCCTCGTCGAATTTTGCCGCCGGGAAGAGGTACGACGTGACGATAACCTGCGCGCATGCGTGGACATCGAGTCAGTCGTGCTTGTCGGGCTGTTGTGGGCGCACGACGAGCGCACCTTCTCGGCTCCTGCGTCGAGCCACTCTTGCGCGTTCGACTCGTTGATGCCGCCGCCGACCTGGAGGCCCTCTGCGGCAGGCAAAAAAAGCGTCAGGGTGGGCTCCTCGCGTCGAGGTGTACGAGGAAGGCGGACGCACTGGGCCACGCCTGCAGGGCCGAGCGCGCCGCGTCGTCGTTGCCCGGGCCCAGCTTGATGACGTGCCCGCCTCGCAGCGCGTTCTGGCGATACAGGTCGGCGTAGTAGGCGCTCGGCTTCCTGTGCGCACGTTGAAGAGGGTCAGTGATTTGGAGGAGAAGGCTTGCGAGGGGAAAGAGGCACAGGCGCACTCGGAGACGAAGTTGGTGCGGAGGGACGAGGTGTCGAGGGTGCCGCCGACGATCTGCTTGACGGCGCCGTTGTGAAGGTCGATGCAGGGGCGGAACACGGACGGCATGGGCTGTACGGAACAGGTGGGTCAGAGTGTCTTCGAGATGGACGAGCCGAGGGACGGAGAGGGGGAGGAAGAGGAGGAGAGGGGAGCTCACAGTCGGTATAGCTGGGGTGGTGAGGCGCAGGTAGGAGCGTGAGACCTGACAGACAGGTCGGCGAGATCCAGGAGCAGAGCGAGAGCGAGTGCAGCTAGGTTGGCCAGAGGGAGAGGAGGACGAGGTCGGTCCTCCTCCTCCACTCGCTCTCGCCCCTCAGACCAGCTCTGACGCGTGCCAGCTGTACCGAGCACCCGCTTGTGCACCTCGGCGAGCCAGCCCGCAACCCGCCCGTGTCGCTGTCGCCGTCGCCCGCGCCCTCATCTTCATCTCGACGCGTTCCCTCTCCACCTCGCAGCCTCGCAGCCATGGCCACCGAGGCAGACGAGACGTCCACTGTGCGCTCCACCTCCCCTTCCTCTCTCGACGCGATCCCCTACTGACTCGGACCCGCCCGTGCAGCTCTACAAGAGCATCAACGAGGTGCGCCTCCCTCCAACCAGCTCCCCTCCTGCCCAGTCTGCCCCTTTGCTGACACGAGCTTGTCCATACGCAGGAGTACAAGATCTGGAAGAAGAACTCGCTGTTCCTGTACGACCTCGTCATCACCCACGCCCTCGACTGGCCCTCGCTCACCTGCCAGTGGCTCCCCGACGTCGAGACGTGCGTACCCTTGTCTCTCTCTCTCTCTCGGGTCGGCTGTCCCATCGGCGGAACCTCGTCCTGACACGCCGACGCGATGCACCCAGGCCCGCCGACAAGGACTACACGGTCCACCGCCTCCTGCTCGCGACACATACCTCGGGCGAGGACAACAACTACCTCCAGATCGCAGAGGTCCACCTCCCCAAGCCCCAGGCTGGCCTCAGCCTCGACAAGTACGATGACGAGCGCGGCGGTGCGTCCCCTCGTCTCGCCCCGCCCCCCCTCTCTCTCTGCCCCGTCCCTCCCTCGCTCGTCGACCTGACCCTCCCTCCCTCTCTGCAGAGATTGGCGCGCACACGGCGACCGAGCCCCGGGTCCAGATCACCCAGTCGATCAACCACACGGGCGAGGTCAACCGCGCGCGGTACATGCCCCAGAACCCGGACCTGATCGCGACCAAGACCGTCATGGGCGAGGTCTACGTGTTCGACCGCACCAAGCACCCGTCTCAGCCGAGCGGCACCGAGTGCAAGCCCGACATCACGCTGCGAGGACACACCAAGGAGGGGTACGTCCTCTCCCTCCCTCTCTCTCGTCGTCGTCGAGCGTGCGGCTCGCTCGCGCACGAGCCCTTACTGACCTTTCTTCACTCGCGCGCAGATACGGCCTGTCGTGGAACCCGCTCAAGGCCAAGGAGGGCCACGTGCTGAGTGCGTCGGAGGACACGACCGTCTGCCACTGGTGCGTCGCTTGCTCGCCGCCCTGTTCGCCTCTCTCCCTCTCTCGAGCGCAAGAAACTGACTCGCCCGTCGCCACCAGGGACGTGCGCGGCTACACCAAGGGCAACACGTCGATGGACCCGCTCAACGTGTACCGCGGCCACTCGGCCATCGTCGAGGACGTCGCGTGGCACAACCTGCAGGAGGACGTCTTTGCCTCGGTCGGCGACGACCGCATGCTGTTGCTGTGCGTCTCTCGTTCTCTCTCTCTCTCCCCTCTCTCGTGCGCCTGAACTGACTTCGCGTCGGTCCACGTGCGCGCAGGTGGGACACGAGGGGGCAGTCGGGCCAGATGAAGCCGACGGCGAGGGTCCAGGCGCACGAGGCCGAGGTAAACTGCGTCGCGTTCGCGCCGCACAACGAGAACATCCTCATCACGGGCTCGGCCGACAAGGTGCGCCCCCTCACTCCCTTCTTCCCGTCCTCGCCTCGCCGAACGACGCACTGACCCGCCCTCTCGCCTCGCAGACGGTCGCGCTGTGGGACCTGCGCAACCTCAAGCTCAAGCTGCACACGTTCGAGTCGCACCAGGAGGAGGTGCTCCAGCTCGCGTGGTCGCCGACCAACGAGACGGTGTTTGCGTCGGCGTCGGGCGACCGCCGCATTAACCTGTGGGACGTGTCCAAGATCGGGCTCGAGCAGACGCCCGAGGACGCCGAGGACGGCCCTCCCGAGCTCATGTTTGTTCACGGCGGGCACACGTCGCGCCCGACCGACCTGGCGTGGAACGCCAACCAGGACTTCTGCATGGTGAGCGTCGCCGAGGACAACGTCCTGCAGGTGTGGAGCCCGAGTGCGACGCTCGCCCAGGCCGACGTCCCGGTCGACGAGGTCGAGCTCGAGTAGATGGCGCGCTTGTATTACCACTTCGTCTGTCCCTCTCTCTCGAGTTGCTTGTATCAGAGAGACAGAGCGTGCCGAGGAGCAGCTGGGCGGACAAAAGGGGGCGAATTCGGCCGACCCGGCTCGTTCGCGCGTGCGCGTGGGGTCGACCCTTCCCTCTCCCTCTCGTCCTCCTCCTCAACCCGCTGCAGCTTTCGACGACCAGAGCCAGCGCCATGCTCTCGCTCCCGACCCGCACCGCCTCGCGTGCGCTGCGCCGCTCGCGCCCTGCCGCCCGCCCCACCGCAATCGGCGCCTCGTCGCCTCGCCCGCTCTCGTCGACGGCATGCCTCTCGGCCCTCGCCGACCTCGAGGCCATGTCGGCGCTCAAGCCCTGGAAGGGCACGCAGACCGCCGGCGGCGACACGACCCACTACCTCGGCGGCGAGTGGACCGCGGGCGACTCGTCCCACTTCATCCCGGTCAACGACGTGCGTCTCTGCCGCTCTCTCTCTCCCTCGGCACGCGTGGGCCCAAACTGACTGCCTCAAGCCCGCACGCAGCCGTCGTCTCAAAGGGTCCTGACGCGCGTCCCGGAGGCGACGCCCGCCGTGCTCAAGCTCGCCGTCGACCGTGCCGAGGCGGCGTTCGACGAATGGAAGGACTCGAGCGTGCTCAAGCGCCAGGCCGTCATGCTCAAGTGCGTCCCCTGCTCTCCTTCTACCGCCCTAGGCGTAGCCCGCCATCCTGCGCCGCCGTCTCAGACCCCCTCCTCCTCGAGCCGGCCCCACTCGGCAACCCGTGCCGAGAGCTCACCTCGCCCCCTCCTTGTGCGCAGATTCCAGTCGCTCATCCGCGAGAACCACGACGAGCTTGCGAGGTCAATCGTGCTCGAGCAGGGCAAGACGTTCGCCGACGCCAAGGGCGACGTCCTGCGCGGTCTGCAGGTCCGTCCGCCCGACTCTCTCTCTCTCTCTCTGCGGCGACTCGGTACTGGCGCGCCGGGTCCCTGCTACGGGATCACGGCGTCGATCTGACTCGTACTGTCTGTGCGCAGGTGGTCGAGGCCATGTGCGGCGTGCCCTCGCTCCTCCTCGGCGACAAGCTCGAGGTGTCGAAGGACATGGACACGACGACGCGCCGCCTCCCTCTTGGCGTCGTCGCCGCCGTGTGCCCGTTCAACTTCCCCGCCATGATCCCGCTGTGGGCCATGGCCATGGCGACCGCGACGGGCAACTCGCTCATCCTCAAGCCCTCGGAGCGCGACCCGGGTGCGACCATGATCCTCGCCGAGCTCATGGAGCAGGCCGGTGCGTCCCGCTCTCTCTCCCTCTCGGTCGTGTGTGTGCGCGCGAGCGGGGCACTGACTGTCCTCGTCCGCCGCAGGCCTCCCCAAGGGCGTCCTCAACGTCGTTCACGGCACGATCGCGCCCGTCAAGTTCATCTGCGAGGAGCCGCGCATCAAGGCCATCTCGTTCGTCGGCGGTGACCGCGCGGGCCAGTACATCTACGAGACGGGCAGCAAGAATGGCAAGCGCGTCCAGGCCAACCTCGGCGCCAAGAGTGCGTCGACCTCTCGCTCTCGCCCTGGCACGCTCGGCCGCCTCGTCGCGGCGGTCGGCTCGCCTAGAGGTCTTAGTCGACGTTACTGACCCTCATCGCCTCCTCGTCCGCCCCAACAGACCACTGCATCCTCATGCCCGACGCCAACCGCAACTTTGCGCTCAACTCGATCGTCGGCGCCGCGTTCGGCGCCGCCGGGCAGCGCTGCATGGCGCTCTCGACGCTCGTCGCCGTCGGCGACTCGCAGGAGTGGATCGACGAGCTTGTCAAGCGCGCACAGGGGCTCAAGGTCGGCAACGGGTTCGACCCCGACACCGAGGTGTGCGTCGCGCTCGTTCCTCTCTCTCTCTCTCCTTCTACTGTCCAGCGGCAGGGACTGATAGTCGCGTGCGATTCGCTTGCAGTGGCCCGCTCATCACGCCGGCCGCCAAGGAGCGCGTCGAGAAGCTCATCCAGACGTGCACGGATCAGGGCGGCAAGGTCCTGCTCGACGGGCGCGGCGTCAAGGTCGACGGGTACCCGAACGGCAACTTTGTCGGCCCCACGATCCTCGAGGCGACGACCGACATGGACTGCTACACGTGCGTCGCCTCGTCCACTCTCGAGCGAGCGCGAGTGCTCCCCTCAAGTACTGACTCACCTCGCCCCTGTCTTTCACCCACGCAGCCAGGAGATTTTCGGCCCGGTCCTGACGATCGTCAAGGCGGCGACGCTCGACGACGCCATCAAGGTCATCAACTCGAACCAGTGTGCGTCGCCGTCCTGCCGCATCTCCTCCCCTCCCTCGCGCTCGCGTGAGCTCGACTTGGAGCTGATCTTCGTGCCGATTTACCGCATACAGACGGCAACGGCGCGAGCATGTTCACGCAGAGCGGCGCGACGGCGCGCAAGTTCGAGAAGGAGGTCGAGGCGGGTCAGGTCGGCGTGCGTCCACCTTCCTCCTCAGCCACCGCTCGAGGTCATATACTGACAAGCTCGCCGCCACAGATCAACGTCCCGATCCCTGTCCCCCTGCCCATGTTCTCGTGGTCGGGCAACAAGGGCTCGGTCCTCGGCGGCGCGTCGCTGTACGGGTCCGTCAACCAGCTCTCTCTCTCTCTTCCTTCTTGGCCCGGATCCTGACGCTCCCTCTGCCCGTACACAGTCCTCGCGGTCTCGACTTCTGGACGCAGCTCAAGGTGCGCTCCCTCTCTCTCGCTCGTAGAAGAGGGCAAGAGACTGACCCTCGTGCCCTCGTCCGCAGACGACGACCTCGTACTGGAGCTCGCAGGACGCGCTCAGCGCAAAGGCGACGACGTCGATGCCGACGCTCAACTAGTGCCCTCGCGTCGACCCTGTCTTGCTGTAGGAAAGCCTCGTTCTCTCTTTGTCACGCAACTCGCATCGTTCAGTGCCCTCTCCTCGCCTCGCCTCGAGATCTGCTCCGCTCGAGCAAGCAGGAAGTGCTCGAAGAGATGCTCTACGAATTGCAAGCGCGAAAGCTACGTCATCGCCCGATGTCGTCCTGGTCCCTGCTCCGCTTGGGCTTGCCCTGCTCGCCGGCCATCTCGTCGGCGGTCCTCGCCCTCGTGTGGGCGCCTCCCGCCTGCTCGTCGTCGACGCTCATCTGCTCGCCGATGGCCCGGCCCGCCTCGAGCTGCCCGCCGACGGCCTGCTCGACGACCTCGCGCAGGAGGTCGTCCGTCTCCTGCTCCGAGATGTCGCCCCGCTCCGAGCGCTCCATGATGGCGCGCACGGCCTGCATGAGGGCGTCGGTTGGTGCGTCGAGGTTGGGCTGGGGCTGACCGGGTGCGGGTGCGGGCGCGGAAGGGTCGAGGGGGGCGGACGCGGACGAGGGCGAGGGCTCGCCGGTGAGGGTGCGCAGGTACAGCGCGATGTGCGGGTGCTCTTCTTGAAGCACCGCTGCGGCCTGTGGAGGGTGTACGGGTGAGCTCGTGGTGGCGAGGTAGAGGCCAAGAGAGAGAGAGAGAGTGGGCGCACGGTGAGGCCCTCCTCGTTGACATGGCGCGGGTCTGCGCCGAGGTCGACAACGAGCTTGGCCATGGCGATCGACTCGACGACGTACAAGGGGGTGTCGCCGTCCGAGTCTGCGAGGTTGATGTCGCCGCCGTTCGAGACGAGGAAGCGGAGGATGTCGCTGTGGCCCCACGAGGCGGCGGCGTGCAGGGGCGAGTACGAGTTGTCGTCGAACGCGTTGGGTGAGGTGCCTGTTTGGATACGAGAGAGTCAGTGACGGCTTTGAGCGGGTGGAAAGGGTTGCTCGAGGTCGTGGTGACGACGAGTGACGGCGAGCTGATGAAGATGAGGGAGGAGGAGGAGAGGCAGAGCTCACCCTGCTCGACGAGCTCACGGACACGGTCGAGGCTGCCCTCGCCGCCTGCTGCGAGCCAGATATTCTGCGCCATGATGGTCTCGCGTGTGTAGCGTCAGGGAGCGTCGTGCGAGCAAGAGAGAGGCGAGGAGATGGGCGAGGCTAACTCTCCCTCCGCGCACAATCACTCGAGCTGAGCTGCACGTACCATGAGCTCGACCACGCACAGCTCTTCGCCTGAACCTGCCGGCCCGGCCACCTCGCACCCCGTGTCCTCGCCTCCTCGTCCTCCTCCCCCTCCCCGCACCGACGACGCCGACCAGCAGCTGGCCCCCTTCCGCCTCCTGGATTTGCCCGCTGAGCTCGTCGTCCATGTCGCCCATCTCGTCGACGAGCGCGACCCCTCGCCCACGTTCCCGAGCGGGCCCTCGAGCGAGCTCCTCGCCCTGTCGGCCACGAGCCGCTTCTTCCACGCCGTGTGCCAGCCCCTCAAGTGGCGCTCGGTCAAGTTCGTCCCCGACACGGTCCTGCGCCCACGCGCCTACCGCAAGAAGCGCGACATGCGCGCCCTCGAGGCCATCCTCCGCACCCGTGCCCACCAGCAGCAGCCGCTCCCCATCGTCGCCCTGTGCGTGTCGGACCTGTCGGCCGACAACGACGAGCTGTGGGACCTTGACGACGAGGACGAGCTCCCAAAGGAGGAGGCCGCCCTCGCCCGCGTCGTCGAGCGCCTCGCCGCAACCTCGCTCCAGGTCCTGTTCCTCAGCGGCTTGGAGCTCCACCGCGACCTCGGCGACTCGATCCTGCGCGCCATCGCCACGTCGCCCAAGATGTCGGCCGTGCGCTTCAACCAGGTCGACTTCTACCCGGACGAGCCGCGCTGCGTGCGCGACTTTGCCCAGCTCGACCACATCAAGACGCTCCAGATCATGCACTCGGACTCTGAAATCGTGCGCCCACTCTCTCTCTCTCTCGTCCTTGTCCGCCCTCTGACCCTGTATCGTCCCCCCTCGCAGTCGGAGCTCGTCGCCAAGTGCCCAAACGTCGACAGCCTCCTCCTCTGGCCCTCGCTGCGCCGCGTCGGCCGCCACATGCCCGCCGTCAAGAGCTTCCTGCCGCACCTGCGCAACCTGTCGCTCGACTCGGTCCACGAGGCGCGCGTGTTCCGGGTCATCGCCGACGAGATCATCGTGCGCCCCCCAGTTTCGCCCATCTCGTCTCGCACCTCGATCGTGCCCAGACTGACCCGGTCTGCCCGTGCCACAGCGCCTGTCCGACAGCGGCATCGACCTGCCGCTCGAGGAGCTCTTCCTCGAGGGCCCTTGCGTCCCGGAGGACCTCGCCGTCCTCGTACAGGCCGTCGGCCGACTGCCCTCGCTGCGCCGCCTCGCGCTGTACCAGGCGCAGGAGCCCAGGCCCGCACTCGTCGCCGACCTCGCCCAGGCGGCGCCCCAGCTCGAGGCGTTGACGCTCGTCGCCGGCGACTGCCAGGAGGCGGTCTCGTGGCCCGCACCCCTCGTGCGCTCCCCTTCCACTTTCTTCTCCCCTGCCCAGCGCCCCTGATACTGACCTCTCCTCGCCCTCGTCGACCCGCAGGACGCCTACCTGACGCAGCTCGCCAAGTTCACCAAGCTGCGCTTCTTCGCGTGGGACCGCCTGTCGCCGCGCGGCCCGCTCGAGCAGGACCGGCGCGCCGTGCGCCAGCTGCAGGTCGAGTACGCGACGCTGAGCCGGCTCGGCGGGGTCTGCAAGAGCCTGAGGGAGGCCGTGTGCATCACGAGCGACGTTAGCGAAGGGTGCGTCCCGCCTTTCTCTCGCGTTGTCGGCCTCGTTCTGCCTTGCGAGGCAGGGGAACTGACTTGAGCTGCCGTCCCTCTCGCAGGTCGTCCGGTTTCTTCGCGACGTACACGAGGGAGAAGGGCGCCAGGGTGCGCATCGCCGTCAAGCAGAAGACTGTCAACGTGCGTCCGCCTTTCGCTCCTCGTCGTCCTCCTCCTCCTGTGCTCGAGCCTCCCTGCCGCCCGACTGACCCTCGGCACTCTGTCGCGCGCAGGACTTCTTGATCGCGTACGACCGGTGGATCAAGGTGGAGGAGGACTGAGCGAGTGCAATGCCTGTGCGAGCGAGCTTATCGTCGGCGGCGAGGAGGGCGAGGCAAAGGTCGGAAAGCTCGCCGCGTCTCGGTACGGCTCGAGAGAGTGCTCGCTGGCCCAGAGAGTGCATAGAGCGGGCAGCCAAACTCGACCACAGCGCGCACTCGAGGCCGAGGTGCGCCATCTCTCGTGAGATCAGTTGAATCTCGTGCTCTTCGTCCGCTCTCCCGTCGCTCGCCACCATGTCATTCAAGCTGGCTCTCGGTGAGCTCGTGTGGTCCACCAACAACTTTCTGGCCCTGCGCTGACCCCCCCCGGTGCCGGATCGCGCTTGATCTGTTCCCCCCGTCCTCCCTCTCGCGCAGCCTCGTCCCAGCGCGTCGCCCTCCGCGCCTCGGCCCAGCCCCAGGCGCGCGCCTTTGCCCTCCAGGCGACCGCCCAGCTCCGCCAGGACCTCCCGCGCGCGACGGCGACCAGCAACCCGCCGCCGTCGAGCCCGCTCTCGGCGACGCCCCCTCTCCCCGTCGGCGGCGCCCAGACGCTCCCGCTCGCGCCCAAGGTCGCCCCGGCCGTCCCTGGCGCGACTGGGTCCGGCCCGAGCCCCGGCGGCAAGGGCCCGAAGAAGCCCAAGCACCGCCTGCGCACTTTTGGCCGCACCGTCCTCGTCACGGTCCTCGCCGCCGGCGGCTACGTCGTCTGGCGCTCGTACGACCAGCGCCACCCGGGCGAGCAGCTCCCGCACGACCCGACCCTGCCGACTGTCGTCGTCCTCGGCAACGGCTGGGCCAGCACCGCCTTCCTCAAGGAGCTCGACAACCAGGGCTACAACGTCGTACGTCCTCGCCCTCTTCCTCTTTCCCCTCCTGCGGGACCCAGAACTGACCCGAGTACCCCTCGCCGTCGTCCAGGTCGTCATCTCGCCGCGCAACTACTTCCTCTTCACCCCGCTCCTGCCCTCGGTCACGGTCGGCACCCTCGCGGCGCGCTCCATCCTCGAGCCGACCCGGTTCCTCACCCGCCACATGAAGCGCAAGACCGAGGTCTACGAGGCCGAGGTGTACGAGGTCGACCCGATCAAGAAGACGCTGCGCTTTGTCGGTGCGTCCACGTCCTCCCGAGCTCTCTCCGTCCGTCGCTCGGTCGTCCCGCGAGCGACGGCACGGTGCGGTTCTGGACGATCAGCCGCTCACACACCTTGCACGTCTCGCAGACAACTCGGACATCAAGGGCGAGGTCGCCGGCACCGAGATCGCGTACGACTACCTCGTGTACGCCGTCGGCGCCGAGAACCAGACGTTCGGCATCAAGGGTGTCAAGGAGCACGCCTGCTTCCTCAAGGAGGTGTGGGACGCCGAGAAGATCCGCTCGCGCATCATGGACAGCATCGAGTCGGCCAACTTTGCCGGCCAGACCCAGGAGGAGATTGACCGCCTCTTGTCGTTCGTGCGTCCTCGTCTCCCGACACCTTCAGCCTCGACAGCGTCACCCTGACCCTTCTCGCACCCGCAGGTCGTCGTCGGTGGCGGCCCGACCGGTGTCGAGTACGCTGGCGAGCTGCACGACTTCCTCATGGAGGACCTCGAGAACGTGCGTCTCTCGCTTTCCCCTCGCCTCTCTTTCGCCCGCCCGCATCACTGACCCTCCTCTTCTCCCTGCAGTGGTACCCGGAGCTTGCCGACCGCATCAAGATCACCCTCATCGAGGCGCTGCCCAACGTGCTCCCGATGTTCTCGAAGCAGCTCATGTGCGTCCTCTCTCTCCCTCTCCCTCTCACGTCCTCGTCGCCCAGGTCCCTGACTCGTCCCTCATGAGCAGCGACTACACGATGTCGACCTTCAAGGAGAACAAGATCGACATCAAGACCAAGACGATGGTCAAGGAGGTCCAGGAGAAGAAGATCATCGCCCAGAACGAGAACAAGGAGCTCGTCGAGTACCCCTACGGCCTCCTCGTCTGGTCCGTCTCGCTCTATCTCTTTCTCTTTGGTGCGCCAAACTGACGCGCCTTCGTCCCGCAGGGCCACCGGCAACACGGCTCGCCCCGTCACGCGCGACCTCATGAACCGCATCCCCGAGTCGCAGAACTCGCGCCGCGGCCTCCTCGTCGACGAGCACATGCGCCTCGTCGGCGCCGACGGCGTCTTTGCGCTCGGCGACTGCACGGCGACCAACTACGCGCCGACGGCCCAGGTCGCCGCCCAGCAGGGTCGCTACCTCGCGCGCGTATTCCAGAAGCTGCACAAGAAGGAGCAGCTCCTGCAGGAGCTCGAGTCGGCCAAGCAGGCTGGCGCCGAGCCGGCCAAGCTCGACTCGCTCGCCAACGCCGTCATCCGGGCGAGCAACATTGCGCCGTTCAACTACTCGCACCAGGGCTCGCTCGCCTACATCGGCTCGGACAAGGCCATCGCCGACCTGCCCATGATGCAGGGCAACCTCGCGGCGGCGGGCTTTGCGACCTACTAGTGCGTCGCCGCCCCTCTCCCTGTCTGCTCGTCGAGCAACTCGCTCACCCCGCACGTCCCCTCCCACAGCTTCTGGCGCTCGGCCTACATCTCGCAGCTCTTCTCGCTCCGCAACCGTGTCCTTGTCGGCGCCGACTGGCTCAAGACCAAGGTCCTCGGCCGGTGCGTCCCACTCTTCCCTTTCCCTCTCGGCCGCTCACTGACGCCTTCTGCCCCTGCAGCGACGTCTCGCGCGCATAAGCGCCTCTCTTTCCCTTCCTCCTCCCCATTCGTCTCGACACACGCCGACCTCCCGCATGCCGCCGTACCCGCTCCGAGCGGACCGGCCCCCCTTTTCGTTCTTCCTCTCTTACTCGGCCGCCTCCCTCTCTCTCTCTCCCTCTCTATCCCCGTATCCTGTTCTTGTCTCTGCCACATAGAAGCATTCTGTCACGCCGCCTCGAAAGGGTGAGACGCGCTCGGTGTCGTCAGGAGAGCGCGTCCGTCGCTCTCGAGCCTCCTGCCCGCTCGGCCGTTCTCGCTCGGCCTTTCCGCGGCCCTCTTCCTCGTGTCCGCGCTCGCCCACATGCTCGCTTCTCCTTCAGCCGCCGAGCCTGCTCACACATCCCCGTCACCATGGCGCTTGCGCTCTTCGACGGCCTCTACAACCTCGCCGCGCCGCTTGAGGGCGGGGCGGAGCTCAGCGGCGACATAGCGCGCGACAAGCACGATCTCGAGTGGCTCGCCGCGCAAGACGTCCCTGGTGCGTCTCTTCTCCCTCCCGTCGTACCCGAGGTCCAGAGACTGTCGCTTACCCCTGGTCCTCACGCAGACAAGGCGAGCAAGTCGCACTCCCTGCCCTCGTCCCTCTTGCTCAAGCGGGTCCACTGACTCGTCGACTTGCAGGTCAGTCCAAGCGGCTGCAGCATATGATCGAGCTCGTGCGCCGCATCGAGGACAACGAGATCAAGATGTTCAAGATGCACCTCGACGAGCAGCAGAATCGGTTGCCGGTGCGTCCGCTCTCTCTCTTTATCCTTCCTGCGCCTACGACAGAGCTAAAGGTCGACTTCTCGCAGGCCCAGGCCGTACTCGAGCTCGAGATGGTCATCGAGGCCACCAAGAAGCTCGTCGACCAGAAGGAGTCGGCGTTCGCGAGGGTCGCGCACGTCTGGTCCTGTGCGTCCTCGTCTCGCTGCATGGACCTCTACGAGACGAGATCGACCTGACGAGGACGATGTACCCTCATCGGACCCGCATGCGCGCAGATCGCAAGAAGAGCGAGCGCGCGAGAAGGTGGAATGCCGCTTTCGAGCAGGGTGAGCAGCTCTCGCTTCTCCTTTCTCCCTCCTGGTCCTTCTTAGCCGCTCTGTCGAACCCGCTTTGACATCTTCTGCGCCATGCAGCCGCCGACAACCAGTACATCAACCTCGAGCTGTTCCGAGCCCGCTTACGCGCACTCGAAGAGCTCGCCTCGCACTATCGTCGCCTCTCTCGACCTCAGCGTGCCTCGCCGGAGACGTTGCTTGTCCCTGGAGCCGAACCCGTCGAGCGCGGTAGGTCCGCCTCGTCGGCCAAGCCGGACCTCGAGAACTACCCGCGCGAGTCGGCAAGTGGGCGCAGCAGCACGCCCGTTCCACAAGGGCTCGACGCAGGGCCTCGCAACCTGGGCCCATACACGCCTGGCGCTAGGACCGGGACCGTCCGGACGGCGCTGGCCCAGCCGAGACGAGCGAGCGAAGGTGCGCTCGAGCCTCTCTCTCTCTCCTTTCCCCTCTCTCTTTTACCCTCTCTCCTTCCTCTCGGAACCACGCGTGACATTCGGCCGCCCGTTACAGACATCCGTCGTCCCACCACATCTGCCCTGCTCCCCTCGCCTTCATCCCCCAGCCACCCCGCCCTCGCTGCACCCGATGCCGCTTCTCCTGCGCACGCTCGACCTTCGAGGCGCAAGCACGCTCGCGACGCCGTCAGGGGCATGAGGCGGATCCTCGGTTCCGGCTGAGGGCTGTGCAGCCCGAGGGAGCGGAGCAGGAGCCGGCCGTCGGCGTCGAGCAGGGTGGGCGGGAACGGGCGAGGGGAGGTCCATGCGGCAGAGTCGCTCCTTCTTCTGGGCAGCACTCGATCCGTCTGCAACGTCGTTACCTTATGCGTGCTTGCACGTGTCGAGCGAGCCTTGCGGCGGTCCTTCCTGAGCGTGCTCGCTCGTCGAAGCTCGAGCAAAGAGAGCTGTGCTTCCCTCTGCTCACAGAAATTGGCAACTCGCCTGAAGAGACTTCTGAGAGTATAGCAAGCCTCACTGAGCGCAACACAGCCCGGTCAACGCCGCTCGAGAGGGAGCCAAAAGTCTCGGAGCGTGCCATCTCTCGCATGCTCCTCCTCCGACTCTCCCACCTCAACAACCATGGCTGCGACCGCCCGCACTGCAGCAGCTCCTCTAGCACGGTCACTCGCCACCCAGGCCGCCGCCCCTGTCCGCCCGCGGCGACTGAACCGCCGCACGGCGCGGTCCTCCCCCCAGGCCGCCCTCGCAACCCTCACCGAGCTGTACCACCTCGCGCCGACCTTTGTGCCCGCCCACGAGCCGTCCACCCTGTCGTCACACATCACCTCGACTCTCGCCACCCCAAACGCGGCGTCGTCGCGCCCGAAACCCCACGACCTGCGCGACCTCGTCCTCGCGCAGACGCTCCTCGACGTACAGCGGGTCAAGCTCGACGCAGGCGGGTCGACGCACACGGGCATCCTCGGCATCGACGTCAAGCTGCCGAGCAACGCGGCCATGTCGTACGGGCACCTCGGCGAGGACGACCAGTTTGACCACCGGGCGTCGTTCTACTCGACGTACGCCAAGGGCGCCGAGCCGCCACTCGCGCAGCGCCTGCGCAAGGTCGTCGATGCGTTGCACGGGACGCAAGCCGGTGGACGGGCGGGCCCGGCGACGCTGAGGGAGCAAGGGGCCAAGGCGGTGCAGTGGAACGAGGGCCTCGAGCGGGCGCGGCGGGCGGCGCAGGAGCAGGAGCGCAAGATGGACGAGGAGGCGCAGGCGTTCGCCGATGTGTTCGAGGAGGACGAGCGGCGGGCATAGATGCGGCCGGCGGGACGGAATTTCGGAGGAGGAGTGCGAGCTGCAACCTCGACAGGGTCGCGCTCTCGTTCTTTTGGCCGGCCGAGAGCGTCACTCTACTGCGAGCGCATGCGTGCTCGTGACTGTCGACTCGAAACCCTGCACAGAGAGCGAGACGGTGGTACCGACCGAGAGTCCAGCCTCGCAGCGAAGCTCGCGGCGGCTCTCTCTCGGTCGACACCTCGCTTCGTGCGAGCTCCGCCGCTCGCCTGCGCCAGTCCTTACAGCAGGACGAGCCTGTGCCGCAACCAGCGCGTGCCGCCGCCAGCCGAGAGCGTCCCTGTCGCCCCGCCTCGCGTTCCCGGCCTCGTCTCTCGCCCGCCCGACTCGACGACGACACGCCTGACGGGTGCGCAGGAGCTACTGAGGGTGCAACAGTGCGTCCAACTCCCCCTTTGTGGCGCGGCGCATCCCCCCAGCCGCTGCATCTCGCACCTCGAGCTCCCCGTCTCACGGACGATGAGCCGGCTCAGCGGCTGCCACACGGCACCTGGGGCCTGTGCGACTCTTGCAAGGTCGCCAACAGCGTGCTCATAGACCCATCTCTGCAGCTCCAGCACCTCGACCTGCGACTTGCGCTCGACCTCGTCCTCGTCCTCATGCCGCCTCGCCCGCCGCCATGGACCCAGGGTCGCAAGTTCGGCGTCGTCATTGATGCCGGCAGCAGCGGCTCGCGCATCCAGGTCTACAGCTGGATCGACCCCGACATCGCCCTCCACGACCGCAAGGCCCAGGGCAAGAACGTCGACGTGCTCAACAAGGTCGAGAAGGGCGTCGAGGACGGCGACGGCTGGCACCTCAAGGTCGAGCCCGGTGCGCCCACATGCTCTCTCGTATCTGTGAGAGACGGACGCAGAGCGCCGGCGCCACAAGAGACGAGCTGACCTCGACTCGTCGTGCGCAGGCATCTCGACCCTCGGCGCCAACCCGGACGGCGTCGCCGCGTACCTGCGGCCCCTCATCGAGCATGCGGCGTCCATCATCCCGCAAGAGCAGCTCTCGTCGACCCCAATCTACCTCCTCGCGACCGCCGGCATGCGCCTCCTCCCCGAGCAGCAACGCGACGCCGTCCTCGCCGCCACGTGCTCGTACCTGCGCACCTTTCCCTTCCACCTCCCCGACTGCGCCGACCAGGTCCGCGTCATCTCGGGCGAGGAGGAGGGCCTGTACGGCTGGATCGCCGTCAACTACCTCATGGACGGGTTCGACAAGCACGAGCACGCGGCGGCCGGCGACCGCAAGCCGAGCTCGACGTACGGCTTCCTCGACATGGGCGGCGCCTCGACCCAGATCGCGTTCGAGCCATCGGCCGTCGAGCAGGTCAAGCACGCCGACAACCTCGTCGACATCAAGCTGCGCCTCCTGAGCGGCAAGGTCGTGCGCCACCCCGTGTTCGTCACCACGTGGCTAGGGTACGGGACCAACCAGGCCCGGACCCGCTACGTCGACCAGGAGGTCAAGAAGCACCTGCGCGCGGCCGACAAGGAGCACGTCGGCGACGGCGAGGGTCAAGAACTCGGCTCGGCCGCCGCGCTCGTCGTCGACGACCCGTGCCTGCCCAAGAGCCTCCTCCTGTCGGACGGCCGCCACTCGGGCTACACGCTCAAGGGCACGGGCGACTTTGCCCAGTGCCTGCGGCGGCAGGCGCCGCTCCTCAACAAGGAGGTCAAGTGCCTCGACGAGCCGTGCCTGTTCAACGGCGTCCACGTCCCGCCGATCGACTTTAGCGTCAACCACTTCATCGGCATCTCCGAGTACTGGTACTCGACGCAGGACGTGTGGGGCGCGGCGCTCAACGGCGCCGGCGGCGTGTACGACTACGTCGAGTTCGAGCGGGCCGCCATCGAGTACTGCGGCCGCGAGTGGGACGACATCATGGACGACGTGCGCGCCGAGCAGGGCAAGTGGCGCAACGGCGTCGAGGTGTCGAGGCTCCAGTCGCAGTGCTTCAAGGCGGCCTGGATCGTCAACATCCTCCACGAGGGGATCGGCATCCCGCGCATCATCGACCGCGGCGGGCGCGGCGACGGCACCAACTCGACCGAGGAGGGCATCTCGAAGGCGATCGGCAAACACCTCGTCGACGAGCCGCCGAGCTTCCAGTCGATGAACGAGGTCAACGACGTCGCCATCAGCTGGACCTTGGGCCGCATGGTCCTCGAGGTCGCCAAGGGCTCGACCGAGCTCCCCTCGTCGTCGGCGCTGTCGCCCGACTCGTCCGTCTACAGCTCGCCGACCTCGTACGCCAACCCGTACGGCGCGTTCCGCATGGGCGACTGGTCCGGCCACATCCCGTCCTGGCGCGGCGACGTCCGCAACACGATCGCGTCGGTCAAGGACTCGGCGGCCCTCCCGTTCCTCGGCATCCTCGCCGTCGTCGTCGCCGTCTGGTTCTGCTACCTGAGCCCGGGCTCGGGTCGCCTGCGCAAGTCGCTGTGCGGCTCGTTCGGCCGAGCCGGCAGCCCGAGGCGAGGCGACTTTACCCTGCTCGGCCAGGACGACGCCGCAGGTCCGACGAGCAGCGGCGACTCGTCGGGCAGTCGCACGCCGCCTCGCGGCGGGCGGCGAAAGGCCAGCGGGCTCGGCGCGCGCGTCTTTGGCCCGCTCCGCCACGGCGCCATCCGGCTCTCGGCCGTCGTGCGCTCGCTCTCGCGCGGTCGCGCTCTCGGCCGGCCCGCCTCGAGCGGGTCCATCCTCCCCATGTCGCGCGTTTCGAAGCCCGACGCCCCCTCGGACGGCCTCTTCCGCCCTCGCCCCATCCGCACGTCCAAGTCGACGCCTTTCCTCCGCACCGCCACCGTCACCGTCAACGTCCCTCCCGCGTCGGGCTACTGGAACGATACGCCCGACGCGCCCCTCTCGGCGGGCCCTCGAGTCGGGCCGGGCGGCTCGTCCTTGGCGGGCCGCGCCTCGTCCGACATGCCCTACTCGCTCGGCCGCCCTTCCTCCCCGCCGCCGATGGCCATCATCCCGCCCTCGCCCTACTCGCGCCCGACGACGCCCGCATCCGGCCGACCGGCCCTCACCAAGCTCACGTCGCGCAGTGCGCGCGAGTCGCCCTTGTCGGTCGACGACCTCCCGCTGCGCAGCGCCATCTCGGCGAGCGGGCGAGCGTCGCCGTCGCCGCACAGCGCCGGCGCCTACTCGCACTCGGCGCTCTCGGGCGCAGTGTGGGACTCGCTCGGGCCCTCGTCGTCGTCGTCGTCGGCCGGCGCTGTCGCAGCAGGAGCAGGAGCGGGAGCAGGAGCCGGCGACGCGCACGCCGGCGACGAGCCAGCGTCGGCGCCCGGCGTCGCAGCGTCGCTCCTCGCACGAGAAGGCGGCGGCGCCAAGCTGCGCGCGTCGAGGAGCGCCAACAACTCGCAGGCCAACCTCGCCGGGTCGGGCGGGTACTTTGGCGGCCTGCATCCGGGCGGCTCGGGCGCGTCGTCGAGGAGAGCTGGAGCGGGAGGCGCAGCAGGCGGCGGACTCGGAGCTCTCGGGCTGCAGGCGAGCGCGAGCTCGACGAGTCTGAGCGGGGCGAGCCCGGTGGGCACGCCAGGGGCAGACTAGCGGCGGCTCTCTCTCTCTCTCTCTCTCTCTCTCTCTCTCTCTCTCTTTCCTTTCCCTTTGTTGTACGCCGTATCTTAGCTGTCGTGAATGTGCTCCTGTATTACGAGCCCGCATCCCCTCCTCTGGTCCGTGCGAGAGTCGCAAACTTGACCTTCTCAAGTTCGACCTGCTCCTCGCGGCTGCTCTCTGGTCCTCTCGAAAGAAGCCTTTGCTGCATACGCTCGATCTTCTGGCCTTTTCAGTCACGTGCGCTGCCGACGTAGCGTCACGGCGAACGAGGTATGGCAGGCTGAGCGAGGAGAGCTGTCGACGGCGGGAGCAAGGAAAACGCCGCTCGAGCCTCTTCTTCGCTCGCTCTCAAAGCTTCCAGCTTCTCTCGGGGCATCGCTCAGAAGGCACAACGCGATCGATGACAAGAGTAGGAAAGACAGAGAGAGGACGAAGGAGCTACAGGCGGTTGCGCTGGCACCGGACGCAGGCGGTCATTTGGCAACCTCGGCAACGCTGTCGCCGCCGGTCGCGCATCAGCGCACGTCGAGAGAGACGAAAGACGAGGACGCACAAGAAGGTAGCCCCTCAGGTGGTTGTAGCAGCTATGGCACTGCCCGCCGCCCGGCCGGTAGCACCACGAGCGGTGCGCGCACTCGTGGTTGACGCGCAGCTGCTCGACCATGCGCTCGACGAGCTGCGGAGCCGGCCGCACGTGCGGAGCTTCGGCCTGCACACGAACCTCTGCCGCGCGCACGAGACGGTCTTCGTCCCACTGAGGGCACGTGCACGTCTTCCACGGCGCGGCGCAGAGGTAGCAGAACTGGGTGCTGCACAGGCACGTCTGCGAGCGAGAGATCTCGACGAGTCAGGGGCACGCTCACTCACTCGACGACGAGAGGCGAGAGAAAGCGGGACGCACCATGTGGAAGCAGCCCGTGTCGAGCTCGACGACGCGGCGACAGCCCGGGCAGCGGCGGAAGTGCATGTCGCGCTCGAGCAGAGCCGCTGCCTCGTCGTCGCCGCTCGCGCCACACAGCCCAAAGAGGCCGTGCCACGGCGCCTTGCAGGCCTCGCACGTCTGGGCGCCGCACGAGCCGCACTCGACGCCGCGCTTGGTCTCGCTCGTCGGGCCGAGAAACGCCGAGCACGTCGCGGTCGCGCAGTACAGCCGGTCGGGCGTGCGGAACTCGATCGCCTTCTTCTCGAACGCGGTGAGGTCGGCCGGCGACAAGTGCGGCGCGACGAGGGCGACCGGGATCGGGACGCCGTCACAGCGCGGCGGGAAGAGCGACTCGTCGCGGGTGGCGGCCCGGAACAGGGCGCACAGGCACTCGGCGCAGTAGACGTGCTGGTCGGCGCACGGGACCGTGACGGCGCTGTGCGACGCGACGCGCTCAGTGCAGATCACGCAGGGCGCGCGAGGGCCGGAAGTCGACGGCAGAGGAGGAACAGGAGGCGCGTCGAGCCCGGGTGACGGCGACGAGGTGCTCGGGCGCGTGAGCGACGTCGAACGACTGGCTCGAGACGAGGCGGAGCACGACGAGGAGCGCGACGCCGTCGCCGAGCGACGGGCCTGCTCGAAGGTGCGGCCTCGAGAGACGGCGACGGCGATCTCGTGGTCGTAGCTCGCCACCTCCTCCTGCGCCGAGAGCTCGTCGAGAACGGGACCGTCGGCGTGCCCGGCCGACTCGAACGAGAGCGCGAACCGACGGTCGGCCTCGACCTGCTCGACCGCCTCGAGCTCGCTGGCGTACATGGCGCACGCGCACTCCTCGTCGTCGACCTCGCCTTGACGCGCCTTGCCCTTGCGCGAGTCGCCGAGTGCCGCGAGGTCGGACAAGTGGAGCGACGCGATGAGGGCCGCCAGCTCGAGCGAGAGCGGCTCGTCGCTCATTTTGCGAGTCGGGAGGGCCGGCGAGCTTGACGGTAGGCGGACGGCCTTGGGGGGAGGACAGCGAGCGCCAAAGTCAGTCTGACGAGAAGAACGTGGGCAGGCTTGGTGACGACGAGTACGAAAGCGAGAGCGTCGAGAGCGCCGAAGCCGCCCTCTCGCCCGCTCAGGGCGAGGCAGGGAAGGGGGCGCGCGAAGAAGCAGCCCCTCTTCGTACCCGAGCTTTGTTGGGCAAGCTTCGCGACCTCGAGAGAGAGCTGCGTCCCTTCTCAGAGCCGGAAGCGGGAGCGCGGGAGGAGGAAGACGGAGCAAGAGGCGCACCGCCGTGCGCTCCAGTCACGCCCGGGACGGAGCGTGGAACCGACACATGCCACGTTGTGTCCTCGCACGATAGCGCAGACGCAACGGCGCGGTGCTCAATACGCTCGCTGAGCGAGGGCTGAGCCGCGACCGTGACGACGGGAGGTGGGACGGCGCAAGCCCCTCTGCGCCGTTGCGATGCTGGGAGACTGAGCAGTGGGAAGTAGCACATGCTCTGGTGCGCACCGCGAAGCAGAGCGTGGGGCGTGAGGGTCGTCGCCTCGTCGACGGGGGAGGGAGGAGGAGGAGGCGGGGACGAGCCGTTTGTCGCTCTGCAACCACCAGCGCAGCCCGTCCAAAGCACCGACTGGACAGCTGCACCACCCCACGAGCTACTCGCACAGCCCACATACCAACTCGCCGCGTTCGCCCTCACCCTCGAGCTCTCGCCCCCACCTCGTCCTCCTGGCCCCTCTCGCACCACACCGCCAGCCATGGCCTACGCTGCCAAAGGTCCGCTCTACCCGGTCGTCAACCACGACCCGAAGGCCGTCCACTTCCGTGGCCTCACGCTCGGTGCGTCGTCGACCTCCTCCTCCCCCCTCCCTCTCCACATCCGACCCCGACTGACGAGTGGGGGGACCGTCTCTCTGTGCGCCTCGCAGGACGTCTCGACCAGTTCGAAGGCGGCAACTTTGCCAACATCACGAGCGTCCTCTTCAAGCACCGCCTCGATGACAAGGACCACGTCTCGCTCGAATACTGGTCGTCGCCCGGTCGCGAGAAGGTGCGCTCGCCTTTCCTCCCCACTGAGACTCGCCAGATCCCCTCAGACCTGACCTCGCCTGCCCTACAGACGCCCTTCAAGGAGGCCATCCGCAAGCCGTTCAAGCACGCCGCCAAGGGGCTCAGCCTCGGGCCTTCCTGGACCAAGTGCGTCTCGCCCTCCTTCCTCACCTCTCTACCCGTTGCCTCCTTTTCCTCGATGAGGACAATCCACTCGCGGTAGATGGCGGCGAGAGGCCGTACGTGAGCTCACTCGGCCTGCGGTCGCCCGCAGCCACTGGTTCCGCATCACGCTGCACGTCCCGCCCGAGTGGAGCGAGGCCGAGCGCGTCCAGTTCGAGTTTGACCCGAGCTGCGAGGCCATGATCTTCGACACCGAGGGCTGCCCGATCCAGGGCATCACTGGCGGGTACGGCGGCGACCGCCGCGTCGAGTTCATCTTGCCCAAGGCCAAGAGCGGCACCTACAAGTGTGCGTGCGGATCCGCCTCTATCTCTCTCTCTCTCTCGATCAGGAAGACATGAGATTGACTCGTTCGACGTGTGCGCAGACTACGCCGAGGTCAGCTGCAACGCCATGTTCGGCAACGGGCTCGGCGAGACGAACGGCCCGCCCGACATGAACCGCTTCTTCCGTGTACGTGCGACGGCCCCCTCCTCGCCTCTTCCATCGAGCCTGACTCGCTTCTCTCGCCGCAGCTCGAGAGTGCCGACCTCGTCGTGCCCCGCATGGAGGCGTGGCGCCTGCTCTGGGACTTCCGGTTCGTCCTCCTCCCTCTCTAGTCGCTCGCGTCCCTGAGCTCGCCCGACTCACCTTGCATTCGCCTGCAGCGTCATCAAGGACCTCGCGCGCGAGCTCCCCGAGCGCTCACCGCTCGGCAACAAGTGCCTCGAGATCGGCAACGGCACGTCCCCCTCCTCAGCGACTCGAGCCCACCCTCTCCCGAGCGCCTGACTGACCTCTCATCGTCCTCGCACAGCCATCATGAACACGTTCCGGGCGTCGGACCTGTCGACGATCGCGACCTGCCGCAAGATGGCGAGCGCGCTCTTTGGCGGCGAGGAGTGGGAGAAGGAGGGCGCAAAGGTGTACGGCAAGGACCCGGTCAAGGACGGCGTCAGCAGCTGGGCGATCGGCAACTGTCACGTACGTCCCTCTCGCCATCGCCGCCGAGTCGTCTGAACTCGACTTCCTGCCGGACCGAGACTGACTTTCTCGCCACGGGTCGCAGATCGACACGGCCTGGCTCGTCCGTCGCCTACCTCTCGACCTCGGCTTCTTCGAGACCTTATGGAGCGTTCGCTTATCCTGTCCTTCCCTCGTCGACGCAGTGGCCTTTCTCGGTCACTCGCCAAAAGACCGCTCGGTGCGTCACCCTCCCTCCCTCCCGCCCCTCTCCTTGTCGTGCTCTGCCTCTGACTGACCCAAATTCGTTCTGTGCAGCTCGTGGAGCACGCAGCTTGACCTCATGAAGCGCTACCCCGAGCACCGGTTCGTCGCGAGCCAGGCGCAGCAGTTCAAGTGGCTCGAGGAGGACTATCCGTGCGTCGCGAGCGCTCCTCTACCGCTCTCTAGAGCACGCCAGCTAACAGTCCTTGCTCCCGCTGCAGGCTCCTGTTCGACAAGATCAAGGGCAAGGTCCAGGACGGCCAGTTCCTCCCCATCGGTGCGTCGCCCTCTCCCTTCCCCCTCTGCCCGACCCTCACGGCGGCAAGCTCACGCCTTCTCTTTCGGCGCAGGCGGCATGTGGGTCGAGTCGGACCAGCTCCTCCCGTCGGGCGAGTCGCTCGCCCGCCAGTTCATCTACGGACAGCGCTACTTCGCCTCGCGGTTCGGCGCCCCGTGCCGTGTCTTCTGGCTCCCCGACTCGTTCGGCTACAACTCGGCCGCACCTCAAATCGCTCGCCTCGCCGGCCTCGACTTCTTCTTCACGCAAAAGACGAGCTGGAGCCAGTTCAACGAGTTCCCGAACACGAGCTTCCGGTGGCAGGGCCAGGACAAGACGCAGATCGCCGTCCACCTGTGCCCGCAGAACACGGTGCGCACCCTCTCTCGACCTCGGTTCTCGAGCCTACCGGCGACGTCGTCGAGCGCCCGACTCACGCTCGACCTCGCCCGCAGTACACGGCCCAAGCGTCGGTCTCGGACGTCCTCAACACGTTCCGCAACCACAAGTCGCTCCAGTCGGGGGCCCAGACGGGCCTCCTCACGTACGGCAACGGCGACGGCGGCGGTGGCCCGCTCGCGCCCATGCTCGAGAACCTGCGCCGGTGCCGCGCCGTGTCCAACGACGCCAACCAGGGCGGCGGCGAGTTGCCCAAGGTGCACATGGGCGCGACGGTCGAGCAGTTCTACGAGGACATGTTGAGGAGGAGCGACGGCGGCAAGCAGCTGCCGACCTGGACCGGCGAGCTGTACCTCGAGCTTCACCGGTGCGTCCTCACCCTCCCTCTCTTTCCCGCCTCGCCGTCGCTCCGAGTGGGCCTCTCACCCCTTGCGTGACACGTCCCGCAGCGGTACGGCAACGTCGCACGGCTCGATCAAGCGCCACAACCGCCTCACCGAGGTCCTCCTGCACGACCTCGAGTTCGTCGCGACGCTCGCCTCGACTTTCGGCGGCAAGACGGCCAAGGGCAAGGCGTACGTGTACCCCAAGGACGAGCTCGACAGCCTGTGGGAGCGCGCTCTCCTGTGCCAGTTCCACGACGTGCTGCCCGGGAGCGCCATCGGCCTGGTCTACGACGACGTCGAGCAGGTCCGTCTCTCCTCGCCTCGCCTCGCCTCTTCTCTCGCCGCAGACTCACTGACTCTCTCTCTCTCACCAGATCTACGCCGACATCACCAAGCAGGGCGTCTCGCTTCTCGACAAAGCGCTCGCGGCGCTCGTCCCGTCGTCGTCGGCCGCGCTCGACAGCTTTGCCGCCGGCGACCGCCTCGTCGCGCTCGACACGTCGGCCGTCTCTCGCCGCCAGCTCGTCAAGGTCCCGCTCGCCGCTGCTCGTGCGCTCGACGAGGCGGCTGTGCAGCGCAGCGCCGACGGCGGCGCGTGGGTCCTGTTCGAGGCCAAGGGTGCGACGGCGCAGGTCGTGCACGCCGAGCCCGTCAGCGTTGCCGAGGTCGAGGAGCTTACGTCGCGAGGTGCGTCCTCTCTCTTCCTCGTTCCTCCCGAGCGCGACGAACCTTGACCCCTGTCGTCAACAGCTCGCGCCGTCGGCGACGACTTTGTCCTGTCGACCCAGAAGCTCAAGGTCACGGTCTCGCGCGAGGGTCGCATCACGAGCATCTACGACAAGGAGCTCGAGCGCGAGCTCATCCTCGAGGGCCGCACGGCCGGCTTCGTCATCTTCCAGGACCAGCCGCTCAACTGGGACGCATGGTGCGTCTCTCCTCCTTCCCGTCCCGCCCTCTTTCGCGATCTCGCACTTACTGTCGCCCTCTTGCGCAGGGACGTCGACGCCTTCCACCTCGAGACCAAGCGCGAGGTCAACGCCTCGAGCGTGCACGTCCTCGAAGACGGTCCGCTCCGCAGCTCGCTCCAGGCCACCTACCACCTTGGTCAGAGCGTCGTCAAGGTGCGCCCACCCTTCTCTCTCTCTCCCTCTCCTCCCTTTCCGACACTCTGACAGCGTCGTCGACCGGCAGGCCACCATCTCGCTCGACGCCGCCGCACCGAGCACGAGCGCCAACGCCCTGAGCCTCATCCGGTGGGACGTCCACGTCGACTGGCACGAGCGTCACGAGTGCGTCCCGGCTCTCTCTGTGTGTCTCTGTACGACGGCGCTAATTCGGGTGTCGTGCAGGTTCCTCAAGTGGGAGATCCCGCTCGCGATCACCCCAACCGGCGACGTCGCGTGCGTCCTTTTCTCCCTTCTTCTGCCTCGCCCTACACGCCTCGTCTGACGCCACCCTTGCCTGCAGCACGTACGAGAACCAGTTCGGCTTCTGCCAACGCTCGACGCACCGCAACACGACGTGGCAGCGCGCGCAGTTCGAGGTGTGCGGTGCGTCGACCTCTCTCTCTCCCTCTCTCACTTTCTCTCCGAGCCCGACTGATCCTCGATCGTCTTGCGCCCAGGGCACCGCTTCGCCGACGTGTCCGAGTTCGGGTACGGCGCGGCCCTCATCAACGACAGCAAGTACGGCCACGCGTGCGAGGGCAGCACGCTCCGCCTGTCGCTCCTGCGAGCGGCGACCATCCCGGACGCCGAGCAGGACCAGGGCACGCACAAGTTCTCCTTTGCCGGTGTGTCCTCTCGCGTTCGGCCCCTGTCTCCTCGTCGCGTGGTCCTGACCGTCGTCGTCCCCAGTCCTCCCTCATCGCGGCGCTTTCGCCGAGTCGGACGTCCCCTCGGTCGCTCGCGCCTACAACTACCCGCTCCACCTTCGCCGCATCCCCTCGTCGCCCAAGAACGCCCTCTCGCTCGTCGTCGCCGACGCCAAGCACGCCTCGCCCTTCTCGCTCTCGGGTGACCGCAACGTCGTCCTCGACACGATCAAGCGCGGCGAGGACGACCACTTCTCGGTCAAGGCCAACGAGCAGACGGTGATCCTGCGGCTCTACGAGGCGTACGGTGGCGCGGGCAAGATCAAGGTCGTCTCGAGGCTCGCCGAGGGCAAGAAGGTCGTCAAGGCAGAGGTCGTCGACGTGCGTCCCTCGCTCCTCTCTCTCTCTCTTTCCCCTTCCCCTTCCCCATCGTGAGGCGTCGACTGACTCGGATTGTCCGGTCCTGCAGCTCCTCGAGCGCCCGCTCAAGGACCTCTCCCTCTCGACCTCGACGGCCGGTCCCGCCGGTCAGCAAGAGATCGTCGCCGACGTGCCGCGCTTGCGCGCCTTCGAGGTCCTCACCGTCCGCCTCACGCTCTCCTGAGTACACATCTCGGCCTTGCGCGCCGTCACCCCCTTCCTCCCTCTCTCGCCCTCTCCTCGCAGCCTGTCGATTCTCCTCCTTCGCCGTCTTGTCGTGCAAAAACGTTTCCGTGTCTGCCCTGCGTCGTCGCCGAGAGAGAGAGAGAGCCTTGCTACGTGTAGCTGTGTCCACTCGCGAGAGAACTCTCTGCGCGCTCGAGAAGAATGCGCCGGTCGGCGGTCGGCGGTCGTGCCTTGGCGGCCGAGCCGGGGCTAGCCAACAGCTCTCGAGCACGACCGCGTGGGCCTGCAACGCGTGCAGTCCTTTGCTTCGCTCCTCCACCCACTCAGCCACTTGCTCCATGTCCGCCCCGACCGAGAACGCCGCCTTCGAGGCGGCAACGCCCGATGAACTCGCCGTGTTCCAAGCGCTCTCTGAGCGCGAGAAGATGGTCCAGGGCCTTGCGTGCGTCTCACAACCTCTCGTGTGGCATCTCTCGAGGGCCCAAACTGACCCTTTGCGCTCCACAGATACCTGGCGCTCGAGGACAAGGTGCGCCGCCGCGCAGCCGGTCGGAGGAGCTTCGTCTCGCAGGACCGCGGCACTGACACCGTCGTTCCACCTCGCAGGGCCTCACGAAGGACCGACTTAGGGCCCGTACGCTGTGCCAGGTGCGCTCCCGGTGGGAGCGAGCGTCGAGAATTCGAGCGAGGCGCTGACCTCCTCGTCCTTCACGTCACGCAGCAATACAACGTGCGTCGGCTCTCTTTCTCTATCCCGGCAGGCGTGAGCATGCCCTGACGCTTCCCCGCAGACGCACCCGTTCACCGAGTGGCGCGACGACCTCCAACTCGCGGAATTCTACGGCCCCGACTCTCGCCTGCAGAACCTCGCCGACCTCTTTCGACTGCCGCTCGCCGAGGTCGGCAGGATCGGCATCGAGCCGCCGCTGTACGTCGACTACGGGTACAACATCGAGTTCAAGGGAGAGTGCGTCTTCCTTTCTCCCTCGGGGAGGGTTCTTGGCCGGAATCCGCCGACTCTGCCTCGCCCACACATGCTCACCCTCTGCTCGCCTGCGACAGCTTCTACGCCAACTTTGGCTGCGTCTTCCTCGACTGCGCCAAGATCTCGTTCGGCAAGGGCGTCCTCCTCGGTCCGGCCGTCCACATCTACTGCGCGACGCACTCGATCCTCGTCGACGAGCGGGTCGCAGGCTACGAGCGGGCCTACCCTGTCGAGGTGAGCTGGAACCCTTCCTCTCCTTCGCGCCTGGCCGTGCGAGGGCCCTCGAGCGACGTTGGGAGATGCAGGGCTCGAGCGCTGACCTTGCCGGCGCCTTTCCTCCTCCTCTTCCTCTCTCCCTATCTCGCGCGACGCAGATTGGCGACAACACCTGGATCGGTGGCGGCGTCAAGATCATCGGCCCTGCCAAAATCGGTGCCAGTGCGTCCTCGAGCCTCCTCTCCTGAGCCCGACTCGCGCCAACCCTCTCCTCGCGCAGACTGCACCATCGCCGCCGGCAGCGTCGTCAAGGGCGACTTTCCCGACAACGTCGTCATCGGCGGCATGCCTGCTCGCGTCCTCAAGTACCTCGACGAGCCGACGGGCCCGATTGATCCGACCAACCGCCGCCTCGTGGTCCCTCTTCCTGGCGCCAAAAGCGCAGCCAAGAACGACAAGGTCGGGTTCTAGCTGTAGCAGGAGCTCTGAGGGAGTGCAATAGACACTGTGAGCCGGTCGAGACGCAGCTGGGCGACTTGTGCGCCGCGCCGTGCGAGAGTTGGCGCAAGCAGCGCGCTCGAGCGAGCGCGCGAGGAGGAGCAACGTGGAGCAAGCGTGTGCTACACGCGCAGCTTGGGGCAGCAGTGACGTGCAGGACGAGCTAGGCGCGCTCGACGCAGCTTCGCAGCCTGCACAGTTGCCGTCGGTGGACGACAAGCTGAGGCAGAGCCACTTGAGGATTGCTGAGGAGGCTCGCAGCTGCGCGCCCGGCGGGCGAAGGGGGAGAGACGTGAGGGCCGGCAGGTCGCGCACAGAGCCGGAGCAGCACAGCATGGCCGCGTCGAGAGCGAGGAGCGAGAGATGGAGGTCCGAAACCGCGAGACGAGGAGGAGGAGGAGCACGGCACCCTCGCTCTCGTCCATCCCAAGCTCCCGCCAGGTCGAGCCAGCCCGGCGTGCATCCAGCCCGCCAGGAGCACACACGCGCACCCGCCCACCAAGCCGCCCTCGCCTTGCCGCGGCCCGTCACGCTCCCCTCCCCCGCCCCGCGACCTCACCTCCAGCTCGACCTCGCCCACGCGCCGCCATGTCGGACAAGACGCCCTGCTTCACCCTCGTGGCCGACGAGGGTGACCTCGGCTACCAGACCCAGGACCTGCGCGCTGCCCTCGAGAAGGGCTCGGACGACCTCAAGCTCGACACGTTGCGCCGCATCATCGTCTCGACCCTCAATGGCCAGCCGCAGGTGCGTGTCGTGCTCTCTTGGACTGGGTCTACTCGCCGAGCGCGCCCTTGTGGCCCCTAGAGCCGTGGGAGACGAGCGACTGACGCGACTTGGCTCTGCTCCCCCTCCTCGCCCCACCGGCCGTGCCACAGCCTGCGCTCCTCATGCCCATCATCCAGTTCGTCCTCCCGAGCAAGAGCAAGCAGATCAAGAAGCTCCTCCAGTGCGTCTACTCGCCTCTCTCCTCTCCTCAGTCGCCCCGACCTGACTTCCCTCCTCCCCGCCGTGCAGGTTCTACTGGGAGATCTGCCCCAAGCATGACGAGAACGGCAAGCTCAAGCAGGAGATGATCCTCGTCTGGTGCGTCCCGCCTCTCTCAAGCCTGCACCATGCGAGCATCGCGCTGACCCGCTCCCCTTGCAGCAACGCCATCCGCAACGACCTCGTCCGTCCACCTCTTTCGCCCCGCCCGCGAGCCTGCCCTGACCTTGCCCCTCTTCCCTGCAGCAACACCCGAACGAGTACATTCGCGGCGCAACCCTGCGCTTCCTCCAGAAGATCCGCGAGCCCGAGCTCCTCGAGCCCTTGATCCCGACCTGCCGCTCGTGCCTCGAGCACCGCCACAGCTACGTCCGCAAGAACGCCGTCATGGCCATCTTCCAGATCTACAAGAACTTCGAGTTCCTCATCCCCGACGCGCCAGAGCTCATCCAGACGTTCATGGCCGCCGTGCGTCCCTCCCCCTCCCTTCCTCCCTTGCCGTCCTCGCCCGCCGAGGGTGCGCCCACTCACCTCGCCCTTGTGTCCGCAACAGGAGTCCGACACGACCTCGCTGCGCAACGCGTTCACGATGCTGCAGGCCGTCGCGCCCAGTCGCGCCGTCGAGTACTTCCTCAGCGTCTACGACCAGGTGCCGCAGCTCGACGAGATGATGCAGCTCAGCGTCATCGAGCTCATCCGCAAGGAGAGCAAGGCCGGCGGCAGCGGTGCGACCGAGGGTGCCCTCAAGGTGCGTCCCATCTCTCCACGTCTCGCCCCGCTCAGCGGCCACCTCACTGACCCTCCCGACTCGCGCGCGCAGGCCCGGTACATCAAGTGCATCTTCGAGCTCCTCAACTCGGGCAGCCACTCGGTCAAGTACGAGGCGGCAGCGACCCTCACGACGCTCACGCAGAACCCGGCCGCCGTCAAGGGTGCGTCCTCGCCGTCTTTCTCCGGCCCGAACCTTTGCCCCGACCTGACCCTTTTCCTCCCACGCACACAGCCGCAGCCGCCTGCCTGATCTCGCTCGTCGTGTCGGAGCCGTCGAACAACGTCAAGATGATCGTCCTCACCCGTGTCGCCGCCTTGCACGCCAAGCACGAGCACGTCCTCGACGAGCTCGTCATGGACATCCTGCGCGTCGTCACCTCGCCCGACATGGACGTGCGCAAGAAGGCGCTCGACATCGCAATGGACATGGTCAGCGGCCGCAACGTCGACGACGTCGTCACGTTCCTCAAGAAGGAGCTCACGCGCACGCTCGACCCGTCGTTCGAGAAGGCGGCCGAGTATCGCGCCCTCCTCATCCAGACGATCCACACGTGCGCCATCCGCCACAGCGAGGTCGCATCCTCGGTCGTGCACGTCCTCATGGACTTCCTCGGCGACGCGACCAACACGAACGCCGTCGACGTGATTGCGTTCGTGCGCGAGGTCGTCGAGAAGTTCCCCGAGCTGCGCAGCGGCATCGTCGGCAAGCTCCTCGACACGTTCCCCGACATCAAGAGCGGCAAGGTGTTCCGGGGCGCCATGTGGATCATCGGCGAGTACGCCGCGAGCGCCGACGAGGTGCACGCCGCGCTGCGCCAAGTGCGCGCCGTCGTCGGCGAGGTGCCCATCCTCGCGAGCGAGCAGCGCCTGCTCGACCGCGCCGAGCAGGAGGCGGCCGGCGCCGAGCCCGACCTCGTCAACGGCGACTCGGCCCTCGTGCACAAGCCCGTCGCGACCAGCTCGACCCGGGTCCTCGCCGACGGCACGTACGCGACCGAGACCGTCTTCAGCTCGTCGAGCACGACGGCCGCCGCGAGCCTCGAGGCCGTCAAGGCGGCGGCCAAGCCGCCTCTGCGCGCCCTCATCCTCGGCGGCGACTTTTACACGGCGACGGTCCTCGCGGCGACCCTGACCAAGCTCGTCATGCGGTTCAAGGAGCTCGTGTCGCACGAGGGTGGGGCGGCGAGGAGTGTCAACGAGTTGCGGGCTGAGGTGCGTCTCTCTCTCTCCTTTCGTCCTCGCCAGGCGAAAGGCGGATCCTGACTCTGCCTCTCTCTCTCCCTTCCTCTCGCAGTGCATGCTCATCATGACGTCGATCATCCGGGTCGGCCAGTCGCACTTTGCGACCGTGCCCATCGACGAGGACGCGTCCGAGCGCATCATGGCGTGCCTGCAGTCGCTCGCCGAGCTCGACTCGGCAACGGGCTCGTCCGAGCGCGCTCGCGCCGTCGAGGCCATCTTCCTCCACGACACGCAGGCGGCGTACGCGTCCATGGTCGCGCACGAGGAGAGCAAGGCGCTCGAGAAGAAGCGGCGCGCCGACAAGGCGAGCGCCGTCCAGGCCGACGACCTCATCTCGTTCCGCCAGCTCGCCAAGAAGCCCGCCGGCGCCGACACGGACGAGTACGAGGTCGACCTCGTCGCGGCGACGGGCGCCGAGGCGGCCGCAAAGGACGACTTTGTCAGCAAGCTGCAGCGCGTCGTCCAGCTCACCGGCTTCAGCGACCCGGTCTACGCCGAGGCGTACGTGCACGTGCAAGGGTTCGACATCCTCCTCGACGTCCTCATCGTCAACCAGACGGCCGAGACGCTCCAGAACCTCACGTGCGAGTTTGCGACCCTGGGCGACCTGCGCCTCCTCGAGCGACCTGTGCCCTACACGCTCGGCCCGCAGAGCTTCCAGAGCGTCAAGGCGACCATCAAGGTGCGCCCTCTTTCCTCTATATCGTCGTCGTCGGCCTGAGCCCTGACCCTCCTTTCCTCGCGCAGGTGTCGTCGACCGAGACGGGCGTCATCTTTGGCAACATCTTCTACGACAGCGAGCGGGCGACCGACAGCCACTGCGTCGTCCTCAACGACATCCACATCGACATCCTCGACTATATCACGCCCGGCCACTGCAACGAGGCGCAGGTGCGTCCTCGTCTCGCGCTCGGACCTCCTCCCTCTCGACGACACTGACCGCTCTCTCCTGCCCTCGATGCAGTTCCGAAGCATGTGGACCGAGTTCGAGTGGGAGAACAAGGTCAACGTCAACACCAACATCGACAGCCTGCGAGCTTGTTCGTCATCCTTTCGCTCGTCGTCGTCGTCGTCGCCTTGTCCTCCCCGCCCGGCCCTGACCTCGCCCTCTTTGCGCGTCTCGCAGACCTCCAGCACATCATGTCGTCGACCAACATGGCTTGCCTCACGCCCGACGCCGCCCTCGAGGGCGACTGCGGCTTCCTCAGCGCCAACCTGTACGCGCGGTCCCTCTTCGGCGAGGACGCGCTCGCCAACCTGTCGATCGAGAAGCTCGCCGACGGCACGCTCCAGGGCCACGTGCGCATCCGCAGCAAGACGCAGGGCATCGCGTTGAGCTTGGGCGACAGGATCACCGTCAGCCAGAAGCAGGCGGCCTGAGCGGCTCGGGAGTGGCGGGTAGATGGAGCGGTGGTGGGGTCGTCCGTGTATACCTCTCGTTGCAGTACTCTCTTTGGCATCACCGGCAGCGACGCACGTCGGCGAGAGCGAGAGCGAGAGCGTGCGACAGTATCGACTTGGTCTCGCTGGCGCGTGCGCCGACCGCCTTCTCGGACCTGTCCGGCTCACCGTATGCGCCCTCGCCTCGCGGGCTCGCCCTGCGCGACGCTGTGCGGTCACGTCGTCGGCCCTTTCGAGCGCGACGTGCTCGGCCGTCAGGTCAGGCGCGAGGCGGACCAAGACGATCGTGCGCCAGAGGCTCGAACGCTTGAGCGGAAGTTGCCAGCTCCGTTCGAAAGTGAGCCCTCGCGCGCTCTATAGGACAGCGGACTAGGCCTTTGCGCACGAGCAGAGGCTCGCAGAGAGGCTGCATCAGACGGGCTCGAGCTGTCGAGCGCAGCTGAATTTGCCTGCCGTTGTCGTCCTCGGCGGCGCGAGGCGTCGCTACCTCCTCGCATCGTCGAGCCCGCTCGGCAGCTTGATCTTGCCTTCTCATCATGGAAGACGTCTGCAGCGAGCGTCGTTTTGCTCTGGCCCTTCTGCGCGAAGCGCTCTGACCCCGAGTCGACCTTCTCAGTCGACCTTCTCAAGTCGAGTCGAGCGGTCGCCTCGTCGCTAGTGGTCTTCTCGCTTGTCGTGCACGCCTGCACTTACTCCAGAGTGCTTCAGCAGGCTACCAGAGCCAGGTTACAGCGACTTGCGCGGTCGCGCAGGCGTGCTCCCTTGTCAAGTCTCGGTCCGGTCGGAGAGCCTCGTAGCCGCTTCACCTCGTTTCCCGGGCGCCGGTCAGGGGCAAAAAGCTGCCGTTCGCGCATCGGAGAGTGCCTCGTACGCGTCCGCGGCAAAAGAACGTCCTCGGACAGGTTTGAACTGTCGACCTCCCGATGGGCGACTGAAGTAGAGCTAACAGTCGGACGCTCTGACCAACTGAGCTACGAAGACTTGCTTAGACAGCCGCGCGGCTTGTGCATAGATCACTATTGCAGCAAGAAAGCTCCTCGTTCGTCGAAACGACTGTCTCCCTGCGCGCCTCGGCTTTCACTTGGCTTCCTGGCTATGTTCGCTGTGGCCTCTCTCAGCTCTCTCGAACGGCCCCTGGCAATCCACAGAGAACGAGCCTCGCGGTCCGCGCCTCAAGCTCGCTCAGTGCACGCGCCCTCGCACGGAATCTTGATTCAAACTGGCGGCGCCAACTACGTCGGCCCTCCTCTGATTGGCTCCCGCCCCAGCCTCGTTCCAAGCTTGCGTCCGCTCGTCCTCAACGAAGCGCAGCTGTGCCCTCAGTCGTGCCGGCGTGACGCTAGCTGGCATGCGTTTCGGGCATGCGCCTGTGCGAGAAGCCGAGCGCGGCCGAAGCGCGTCGTCTCCCCCAAGCTTCTCTCGCTCAACAGCTGCAGCATCGACGTTCGCTCGACCCGTCGCACTCTCCCTCTCTCACAGACCATTGTAGACACAGAGAGAAAGCTTGCATGACACTACGACGGCTGCGACGCGTCAAAGTCGACCCACTCGGCCCACTGCCCAAAGTCCTCGTCGGCCGCCGTTTCCTCCTCGAGCGCGCCGAGCTGAGAGATCGAGACGGTCGGGGCATCGATAAACCCGCTCGACGAGCCAGGCGACATGGGGAGAAAGCCCTGGAACGTCGAGACGGACGCGGACATGCGGTTCTGCGGCGAGGAAAAGTGCGAGTCAGGACCAGTTTCCGACGAGGCGTGATGACGAGCGAGACTGGACGCACGACGCGGTCCTCGCCAAGTATGCGCGCAAAGACGGCCTGGCGGTCCTCGCTCGAGAGGGCGTAGAAGTCGCCGGCCGAGCAGACGGCGAGGATGGCGCAGGCGGCAAGCTCGTTGACGTCGGCGAGGTTGAGGAGCGAGACCTCGTCCTGTGACAGGAGGGGCCGCATGAGTTCTCGGATGTCGAGGAGAAGGAAAGGAGGCAGGACGCACAGGCGCCGGGTCGTCCGAGAGCCATGCTCGCCCGCCCCACAGCTCGAGCACTGGCAGTCCCTCCTCCGCCATCGCCGCCTCGTCCTTCTCGCGCAGGTAGTCGGCCCACCGCCTGACGAGCATCGCCGAGTGCCCTGCTACCTTCGACAGCGCGACCTCGACACCGTGTCGCCCGCCTGCGAGCTTGACCAACCCGCTCGCGAGCTGCTGCAGCGCGGCGAGCACCGGCGGCGTGAAGCTGTACCGCTTGACGCCGCCGACGCGCTGAACGGCCTCCTCGAGGACGACGAGGAGCCGGTCGAAGCGTGCGGCGAGGCGCCCGACCGTCGTCATGACCGACTCGAGCCGCGTCAGCGGGCCGACCATGGGCTCGTCGGCCCGGTCGACGTTGCTGACGAGGGCGTCGAGGCCGAGGAAGAGGATGGCAGAGCGAGGGTCGACGATGAGGTGGGGCTCGAGGATGCGGTGCGGGTCGGACGGGAAGCGCGAGGCGCGGTGGACGGGGAGGAAGGATTGGCGCTGAAGGGCGGCGAGGTGCGGGCGCATCTGGAGAAGGGTATCGAAGGCGACGACGCGCAGCGGCTCGTGCCTCGGTGATGTAGGGGGCCCGACAGGCTCGGAGAGGAAGGGCGGCAGGGTGAAAGGGATGCCGCCGGGAGGAGGCGACGAGTGCGCGCTTGGCGGTGCAGGCTTGTCGACGATCGTCGCCGCCGCATGAGCCGCAGGAAGCTCGCGCTCGACTGGCGCGACGACGGGCCGGCCCCGCATCGTGAGGAAGCGGTCGAGGGCGGCTGCGCTCGACCAGGCCGGGCCGCTCGACTCGGCCTTCTCAAGTCGAGCGACGGGCTCTTCCTCGCTCGTCGCCGTCGCCGACGCCGCCAGGGCGTGCTCGAGAGGCATGTCGACCGCCTCGACGTCGACGAGCTCGACGACGCGCTCGTCAGGCGACGACCCGGCGCTCAGGCGCTGTCCGGGCGGCGACGATGGTGACGAGGCGGGCGGAAAGATGAAGCCAAAGTCGCTCGAGCTGCTGTCGGGTGGCGCCGGGATAGAGCTCGACTGGATGGGCGAGCGGCGGTGAGCCGAGATGGCGGCGGCGGGACCGGGTGGCGAGGCTGACGGGAGGTCGTCGATGACGGGTGGCGGTGCCGCGTAGCCGAGCTCGACGAGGGCGCCGCTCTGGAGCGCGTGATCGTCTGTCGGGAGCGGGTTGGCCGAGTAGCTCGTCTCGGGGGCGTCGCGGTTGTCGAGACTTGCGGCGCTGGGCGGGCTGACGACCTTGGACACCGGCTGCTCGACCTCGACGGGAACACGCGGGACGAGCTCCTCATCGTCACCGTCCTCGACGTCCTTGAGGAGGGCGAGGATGGCCGTGATGCTCTCCTGCTCGTCCTCCTCGCCGACAGCGGCCGTCTCGTCCCGCATCTCGGTCTCCCTCGCCTCTGTCGCGCCCTCGAGCTCGGCGTCGTCGTCGTCGACCTCGACGTCGTCGTCGCCGCCGATCAGGACGTCTTTGAGCGTCTCGCCCGCCGGGAGCGTCCAGGCTCGCCAGCTCAGGTCGAGCGTGAGCGCACGCAGGCCGGGCAAGGGCGCGAGCGCCCAGGATGACGAGGACGCGTTGGCTGCGGCGAAGGACGACAGGGTGGGCGCGATCGAGGCGAGGAGGCAGTCGTGTGGCGAGGAAAGCTTGGGCGCTGCGGGAGAGAGGCGTCAGTCACCGCCTGAGTGATGATCATGAGGTGGGGACGCACGCTTGATGCGCCTTGCGACCGACGCGCCGTGAACTTGCTCGTCGAGGTCGCCAAAGGTGTCGTCCGACGGGAAGATTGGGAAGGTCGTCGACGCCGGGCGAGCAGGTTGGGCGAACGGGCCGTCCTCGAGGTCGCTCGGCTCGAGCTGGTCGGTCTCGGGGTCGTCGTCCTGGAGGAGCTGTACGAGTCGCGAGCTGCAGAAAGGAGGACTGTCAATTCCCTCGTCACAGGCCGAGTCGAGGGAGAAAAAGAAGGCGTACACGTCGAGTTGAGGTGCCGCAGGGAGCGCCGCTTGCGAAAGTCGGTGGAAAAGCGGTGGATCTGCAAGCTCTGGGACTATTCAGGGGCGCTCGTTCCGAGAGACAGTGAAAGAGAGGACGCACCAAGTTCGAGAGCACGTCGTGCGTCAAGCTTGCCCGGCGAGCTGGACCAGATTGGCGGCGGCGGACCCAAGTGAACGGGCTCGAGCGACGATACCGGCGGCGACGAGAGGCCCTCTGCGTCACGAGTCGGGACGTCAGGACGAGTCTTGAGGGGCGACAGGTGGATCGAGAGAAAGGTGGGGCGCACCCTCCTTGTTCCACTGCTCCTGCGAAATGCCGGCGCCGCGAGGCGACGACGGGTAGTCGCTGCGCTCCGAGGGCAACAGCCCGCCGAACGGGTCCTTGACGAGCGCTTCAGGGTCGAGTGCAGGGAGGGAGGAACGAGGAAAGATTGGCGGAGAGCCGAGACGAGGAATCTGGTCGAGAAAAGAGTGAGCGCGCGTTTGACGAGGGGGAAAGGTGGACCACGGACGCACCGAGGATGCAGGAACACGCGCAAGCTCCTCGAGCCAGGCTTGCTCGTCCTCGCACAGGTACTCTTCGAGCTGGGCCCGGCTCGTGTACGCCGAGCGGATGCGCTTGACGTCGGCGAACTGGTCGGCCGTGACGGACAGCTTGAGGTCGCTGCGGGCAAGGCCGAGTGTTAGCTCGGACGGTCTAGGAAGAGGCGACAGAGGACGTACAACGCGTCGTCGAGGTCGGGAACAGTCTCGATGGCGGTGAGCGCCTCGTCGGGCTCGGGAAGAAGGTTGGTCGGCGGCGAGCCGAAGAGCGAGGCGACGGTCGAGCGCGGGTGAAAGGCGGTCGTGCGGTCGGTCCATGCGCGTTGGCGCACACGGGGCAGGATGATGTCGTCGCCGAGGCGGGCAGGGAAGGTGTACGGCGCTGGGAAGAGAGCGAGTGAGTCGTCGGCTCGAGGACGACACGGGGAGCCAGGCGAGCTGAGGCGCACCTGGTAGACCCTCGACGCCCTCGCCCTCCTCCTTGACGTGCTTGACCGCCTCGACCCAGTCCTTGCGCGACCGCTTGAGCTCGTCGGCCTGCGCCCGCGTCATCTCCCACAGCTCGTCGCGCCGACGCTCGTCGTCCCACTCCTTGACGCGCCGCGCGTCCCAGAAGTCGATTTTGCGCTCGTCGTGGCCGATGACGAAGGGCGTGAGCGGTCGTGAGGGCGAGGGGAGGAGCAGGGCTGGGAGCGAGGCGAGGATGGGCGAGGAGGGCGGGACGAGCTGGACGGCGAGGGAGCGGACGTGGGTGCGGATGGCGTGCTGCTGCGTGGCGTCCATGGCGCGTCGAGTGCAAGACCGGTGCGCTCGAGCGAGGCGGCGAGACGAGGTTGGTGGCGAGAGGGGAAGAAGGCGACGAGGTTGAGAAGGTCGAGTCGAGGTGGGCCTCTCTCGGGGCTGCGTGCCAGCTAGCTGCACTGCAACGTCCTCGAGCTATCTACAGGAGTGTCCACCTCGGTCAGGGGCCCGTCACCATCTCGTCCCGCTCGTCCTCTCCCGCTGTGCTCGCCTCCGGATCCAGCGGCGCCTCGACCCTCGGACTGCTCGCCCTCACGAACCGCTCCCGCAAGCTCGCCCCCTTCTCAGGCCCGTCCTCCCCTCCTGCTCCCTCGGCCTCGGCCACCTCGGCCGGCGGCGCGAGCGTCGTCGCGCTGCTCAACGCGACAGGCTCCATCGTCTCGGACCCGCCGCTGCCCGGATCCACCTCGTCGACGAGCCCGCCCGTCGGCGTCGCCGTCGCCGGCCCTTGACCCTGCAGAGGTTTTGGCGGCGAGCTCTGCGGATTGGGCGCCGACGCGAGCGCGGCCGCGTTGGTCGAGGGGAGCGAGACGGTCGGCGGTCGAGGCGAGGTGGCCGGTGGAGGCGAGCCGAGGTGGAACGATTCGACGTCGCCGTTCTCGGACATGGCCTTGGACGATGACGACGAGGCAGGTGCGTTTGAGTCGCCTTTTCGCAGCCACGGGATGGGGCTGAGGAGGGGGACGACCTGCGGCGACGAGCGCGGGCTGGGCGAGGAGGGTGACGGGGTCGGGCGGCGAGTGGCGATAGGTGACAGGGATGAGGTATGCGCAGGAGGGTGGATGACGCCCTGGCGGATGACGCCGAGCGACGTGTCGAGCGTGACGGCCGAGGTCGACGCAAAATGGTCGGCGCCGTCGTCCTCGTCGAACGCTGTCCGCTCGGACGTGACGCTCAGGACGCGGCTCACGGCTCGCAGGTACTTGGGCAGCGAGGTGTACTGCCGCCGAGGGTAGAGGGCGAGCTCGCACAGGCGCTGGATCGTGAAGGGAGGGCTGCGAGGGGGCAGAGAGGTCAGGGTCGGCGAGCCTTGCTCGAGCGAGACGTGGGGCGCACCTGCTGAACGAGTCGAGGGTGTCGTAGGCTCGTGCTCGTGCGTGCATGGCGTCGTCTGGCGGCAAGGGCCAGGGTGGGCCCATGGCGAGGAAGCTCGAGATGGCCTGGGTGCGCGGACGAGGTCAGCGACGACCTTGGGGCAGGAATGAAGGGAGAGCGGTGCGCACCTCGGCGAGCTTGTACTTGATCATCTCCTTGAGGATGGACCAGTCGGCACTGCGGCGCGCGGGCGAGGGAGGGTCAGGTCGCTTGATCGGGTGCGGCGAGGCGAGGTGAGGCGAGAGGGACGCACTCGACGACGTTGGTGGACGCGGTCTGCTCGAGGAGCTCCTCGAATACGCTCTGCCACTCGAAGCCGCTGGCGAGCTGTGGCTTTGGGACGGCATCTGCTGTCGAGGCGAGAGTGAGATCGGGTTGCTCGTCGGGGCGCGAGAGGAGGACGAGGACGACGACGCACAGCCGTTGGACGCCTTGTGGGGCATGACAGGGCAGTGTGCTGCTCTACTGGACGCGTCCTTGCTGCGCCTGGTCGCTGTCGAGGTCGTGTGCGTGGACAAGGAGCTCGCCGGCGGTTGTTGTCCTTGACCTCGACAAGTCGACGAGCTGCACCGCCCTGTGCTGGTCCAGTGCCTCGCTCGAAGTGCTCTAGCTGGACGTACGCGCTGTGCCGAGCGCGTCCACCGCCGCGCTCGCTGCTGCTGCCTCTCCTCCTCGTTCTCCGGCCCAGCTCGTCATCGGCCTCTCTACCTCACCACGGGGCGAGAGCTGTGCTCCTCGTGAAGGCGCAGGACGGGTGCGCACACCCACGGCGGCCGCTGCAGCCTCAAAAACCTGAGATGCGCCTCGTCTCGGCGCACGCCTCCAGCCCGCTCGCCGACGTCCGCCTCGGCGACGGCGCGCCTCGCTCATCTCGAGCTCCTCGTCTGCTTCTCGCATCTGCTTGCCGGCTGCTCGAGCTACGAGGCCAGCGAGTGTGCACGTTCGCCTCCAACCGAGACCGCCTGGTGCGTCACCCTTCTCCTCTTCTCGTCGAGCGCTCGTCGGCGCGCGTCATCAGCCTCCTCGCCTGCAGGCTACTGACTGTCTCGTCTCCACAGCTTCAGCAGACTCGCTGCTGCGCCCTGTCCGAGCGAGCGACCACCGTCGAGCCAGGCCCGACCTCTCGTTCCCCTTCCCCCTCCCACCTCGTGTTCGCTCCGCCTCTCGCCAAATGTCCCACCTCTACGACCTCGACGGCGACGGCTACTACGACACGGCCACCTATGACGGCAGCACCGGCTATTACGAGGACCCGTACGCCTACTCGGACGTCGGCGGACTCGGCGGCGGCATCTACGACGACTACGGCAGGCACTCGAGCGGGTACGAGGGCGTGGGCGAGATGTGGGGCTACGGCGACGCGTACCCGGACCTGTACGACTACACGTCGTTCGTCGACGAAACGATGGGCCTGTACGACGCGTGGGGCGACGACAGCTGGGACCAGGGCCAGTACGCGCTCGCCGACCTCATGGTGCGTCCTCCTCCTTCTCTCTCTCTCTAGCACACGAAAGCGGCTGACTCACTCGTCTTCCGTCTGCAGCACTTTCAGCACCAGCTCGAGCTCGACTACGCCCTCGACGAGTCGGAGCGCCTGCGCCGGTGGGAGGAGCGCCTCGCGTGGGAGCAGTTGAGCGACGCCGAGCGCGGCCTGCGCTACAGCGAATACGCGTCGATGGGCGCGCTCGGGACGCTCGGGCTCGCGAGCGGGTGGTGGGGGAGGAGGTACGGCGGCGTGAGCCATGACCTGAGCTACCTGCGCCAGGTGCCGGTCCAGCGAGGACTGTTCGCGCCGCAGTACCGCTCGTCCTTCTCTCGCTTCCCTTGTGCGTCCCGCCTCTCGTCTCGTCTCGTCTCCTGCGTCCTGTCACGTCTGCTGCGTCCTGTCGACGCGCGACACTGACCTGATCGTCGACCCGCAGCTCTCGCCCGCCAGTACTCGCCCTACTTCTCGCCGCAGCGCCTGCGCGCGTTCGGCGGCGCCGCCGGCAGCAGGATGGCGCTCGGCGGCGTCGGAGGCATGCCCATTAACCCGAGGTCGAGCGCGCCGTACCACTCGCAGCGGCTGTCGCTGTCGAGCGGGCCCGGGCTGAGCTTGCGCGAGCAGGAGCTCAGGAGCCGGCTCCGAGTCGCCGAGATGAGGGGTGCGTCCTCGATCACCTTTCCCTTCCCGACTCAGCCTGTGACTGACTTTAGCTTCTTGTCCTCCTCGAGCAACAGCGTCCCTTACCGGTCTCGCGCCCGCCCAACGCGCGAGAGCGCTCGACGACGCCCGCCAGCTTCGCGCCCAGCTCAACGCCGAGTCGCGCGCCGCACGCTCTATCGACCGTGCCGAGCGACGCTCAGACGCCGTACTTGCGGCGCAGGAAGTCGAGGCGGAGCGGGCCGCGCTGCGCGACGAGGTCGAGGAGCAGAGGGGGATCGCAAGACTCGAGCGGGCAGCGGGCGACCTCATCAGGCCCATGCTCGGCGGCTACGGCGCGGGTCCGTCCCTCCTCTCTCTTCGTCTCTCTCTCCCCTGAGCGTACGAGCACTGACGAGCCGCATCCTCCAGGCGCAGGATACGGTCAGGGCGGAGGAGGCGCGTTCTACTGAGGTGGACGGCCGACTGTAGCGGCGCGACGCTTGCAGAATGCAGAGAACGAGTGAACGACAGGATAAACCGGCTTCTCGAGCAACGAGAGCCTGACTGCAACTCGACAAAGGGAGAGCCTCAACTTGGGAAGGTCAAATTTGAGCAGCTCTTTCCTCCTTCCTCTCCTGCTGCTCGGCGTTGCGGAGAGCGCGAGATACACCTTGCACCGAGACCGAAAGACAAAGAGAGAGAGGCGCTACAGAGCTGAACAACGGCACGGACCCGACCACCGCTCCTCCTCGAGGCTCGATCTCACTTCTCCGACTTCGAGTCCCAGTCGACGATGTCCTCCTCCGTGTGATACCTCGGCAGGGACTCGCCCATCTGCTGCCCCGCCGAGCGCTGCGCCTCGTCCTCGGCCTCTGCCTCTGCCTCGCCCTCCCTCTCGGCGAGCGCCGCTGCCGCCCTGAGCGCGCGCTGCAGCTCGTCGACGTGCAGCTCGAGCCGATGGATCTCGGCCGGCGCGAGGCTCTGCCGACGAGACGGCTCCTCGCTCACGCGCGAGAGGCGCCGCTCGCCGCCGTCGCTGCCGTAGCGCGCACGGGCCTCGGCGAGCGGCTGCGGCAGCGGCTGCAGCGGCGGCTCGGGCGGCGCGCGAGCGGGCTGGCTCTGCGGCGGCATCGGCTGCGCCATCTTCTCGTCGAAGCTGCTGCTGCGCGTGTCGGTGCTGCGCATCGAGTCGCTGCGAGCGTAGCTCGTCGTGCGCGCGACGCCCTTGGCGGCGAGGCGGGCGAGGCTGCGCGCGTGAGCGGCCGGGCAGCAGAACCGGCGCATGAGGCGGTACAGGCGGGCGAGGACCCAGAAGAGGGCGAGGACGAGGGGGACGGCGAGGATGGCGAAGACGATGATGAGGCCCGCCGTGACGCTCGTCATGCCGCTGCTGCTGCGTGAGCCAGAGTAGTAGGCCCTACAGAGAGACGACAATCAGGCCGAGTTTCGAAAGAGAAGGACTGGAAGAGAAGAGAGAGAGAGAGAGAGGACGCACGTGCATCCGGAAAGCTCCCTTTGAGGAACGGCGATGAGGCTCGAGTTGGTGTCGCTCGTCTTGCCCTCAGAATCTTCGAGGCGCACAAAGTAGCGCTCGCCCTCGGGAAGCGTCGGCGCCCACGAGACGTTGCCGCTCGTCGCGTAGAACGAGCCGATGACGGTGAGGAGGGACGAGTCGTTGGCGCGGTGTGCGGTGAGGCTGAGCGGCGGGCGGGACCCGGCGTAGCTGAACGACAGGGCGTCGCACGAGTAGTTGAGCGTCGAGCGGTAGGTGACGCCTTGGCCGGTCGGCGAGAAAGTCGAGGCGTCGTAGACGAGGGAGAGGGAGGGAAGTTGTCGGTGGACGAGCAAGGTCGGGAGGGCGGTCGCCGACGCGACGCCGAGCGCGAACGGCACGAGTAGGTGCATCGAGGTCGAGGTCGTGCTGTGCGCGTAGACGAGAGGAAGGAGGGGGACGCCGAACGGCGAGAGAGGTCACCTTGCCAGCCTCCTCGTCGTCCCGTCCCGGCCAGTCGAGAACGGGATGGGCCGGGAGAGGGGGAGCGACTCGCCTCCCTGCGGACGGGTCGCTGACGAGGCGACGTCCCGACCATGGATTGGCGGCGAGAAGACGCGGTAGCGAGACGAGGGCCGCATCGAGACGAGGAGCGCGAGGAGGAAGGGAGGGAAGGCATCTCGAGGCGCTGCGGCGAGGTCGCCATCGAGTCCCGCGATGAACGATGTCCGCGTTGCGACTCGACTGTACAAACCCTCCACCAGCCCCGCCCGTCTATTCCTGCGCAGTCGCGACGAGCTTCTTCTTGAGCTCCTCGACCTGCTCGAGCACGGCGCGACGACTCGTGCCGCCCTTGGCGTCGCGGCGCTCGACGCTCGTCTCGAAGTTGAACACGTCGTGCACGTCGTCGCCAAAGTGCGGCGAGACCGACTTGAACTGCTCGAGCGTGAGCTCCGAGAGAGGGACGCCGGCCTCCTCCGAAAGGCGGATGCACGAGCCCGAGATGTGGTGCGTCTCGCGGAAGGGAATCTGCATGCAGAAGAGAGTGTCAATGACGACTCTTATCATGGGGCGACGAGTCGTCCCTGGCGCTCGAGGGAAAAGAGGCGAAGTGGGCGAGGGAGGAAGAGGACGCACCCCACGGCGGACGAGGTACTCGGCCAGGTCGGTCGCGAGCATGTCGGGCGTCAAGCTCTTCTTCATGTTCTCGGGGAAGACCTGCAGGAGAGGCGACGCGTCAGGTACGGCAGCTAGAAGAAGGATGGCGACGCCGGCGAGCGCACGAGCCGCTCGAGGGAAAGGGCTCGTCGACGCACCTTGAGGGTCGAGATGACACCCTGGAGGATGCGCAGGCTCTTGCCGACCGTCTCGGCGGCGTCGAACATGGGCTCCTGCGACTCCTGGAGGTCCTTGTTGTAGGTCGCCGGGAGGCCCTTGAGCGTCGTGAGGAAGCCGGCGAGCTGCATCAAGGATACTGAGAGTCAGTGAGACGCACCAAGAGTATGGGAGGGACGATGAGGAGAGCCCGAGGCCGAAATAGGGAGAGGTTGAGGAGAGGCACGAAGAGGGAAGAGAAAGTCGAGGCGCACCTGGCCGACCGTGCGCCCGCTCTTGCCACGAAGAAGCTCGCACGCGTCCGGGTTCTTCTTCTGCGGCATGATCGACGAGCCGGTGCTGCACGAGAGGGCGCAACCGGCATGAGCGCCGTCTCTCGCGGACCGCGCCGGCCGTAAGAGGAAGAGGGAGGAGGGCGCACCTGTAAGCATCGCCGCAGACGACCCAGCTGAACTCGCTCGACGAGTAGATGATGAGGTCCTCGGCGAGGCGCGAGATGTGGACCATGAGGAGGGAGCACGCAAAGAGGTACTCGGCGACAAAGTCGCGGTCGGCGACCGACTGTGGGCGAGAGGTCGTGCGTGAGTCGCGACGACCCGGGTGCCCGGCTCGATCCTCACGAGATAGAGAGAGGTATAGGGCGGCGAGGAGGAAGCGCGGACGCACCTGCATCGAGTTGCCGCCGATCGAGTTGAAGCCAAGCTCGGAGCGGAGGAGCTCGCGGTCGACGCAAAAGGGGTTGCCGGCGAGGGCGCCCGAGCCGAGAGGAAGGGTCGAGACACGACTGCGACGGGTGCGAGGCTTCAGTTGATGGACGCTGGCGGTCGCGCGAGGCGAGAGAGGACGACTCACGGAAGGAGGTCACGGAAACGGTCGAGGTCGCCGGCGAACGAGTGAGCGTGGGCGAGAAGGAAGTGCGAGAAGCGGATAGGTTGCGCGCGCTGTCGGTCTCGAGCGTCAGTGACAAGGCGAGCGCACGAGGAGGAGACGGGAGAGAAGGCTGGGCGCACCTGAAGGTGGGTGAACCCGGCGGCGAGGTGGTCGATCCACTCCTCGGCCTTGACCGACAGGATACCGACGACGCCCTGGATCCACTCAATGTCCTTCTTGACCTCCTGCATGAGCCACAGGCGCATGTCGGTCGCGACCTGGTCGTTCCGGCTGCGGCCCGTGTGCAGCTTGCCGCCGATCTCCTTGCCGATGACCTCGCTCAGGCGACGCTCGTTGGCCGTGTGGATGTCCTCGTCGTCCTGCTTGATCTCGAACGAGCCGTTCTCCCACTCGTGCTGGACCTGGTCGAGGCCGCGGTGGATCTCGGACAGCTCGTGCGCCGTGAGGATGGGCGGCTCGGTCTTGGACAGGGCGAGCGCGTACGCCTTGGACCCTGCGACGTCGACGGCGTAGAGCGCCTTGTCGTACGAGAGGCACTGGTTGAACTCCCACATCCTGGGCGAGGCAAACGACGGCGAGGAGGAAGCGGAGGATGGGGGAGGGAGAGACGGCATCACGGCGGTCAGCTCGGTTCGGGACTCGAGGAGTATCAAGGACCGGCGCAGACGTACAAAGGGTCGGTGCCCGTGGTGAAGCGGCCGCCCCAGAGCTTCTTGGCCTGCGAGGTTGGCGACGAGGGAAGAGGGTCAGTCCTTGGTCGACAGGGGCAGGACAGAGGCTTGTGGGACGCACCATCTGCTCAGCCATAGTGTACGAGTCTGTCGGTCGAAAGGGAAGGAGAAAGAAGGTCAGTTCGAGGTGTTCTGGCGCTTCGGAGTGAGGGCGCGGCGGGAGGAGTCAAGGACCCCGTCCTTGCCAGCGGCTGTGCCCGCCGCTGTGCCAGCCCTGCACAAAGTCCCACCAGACTGTGTGCACCATCACAGGCTTGTCCAGAGGGGCGCAGGTGAGGTGACGAGCTAACGGAGGACGGGCAGCTGGGGCGGCGATAGGAGATGGGGGAGAGGGGAGGCGAGACCGAGAGCTCGCGCGACAGCCTGCGCTGGCTTCCATGGCCCATCGGGAGCTCGTTGAGCTGGAACGAGAGCTCACCTGGTCGATAGGTGTCGTGGACGAGGAGGAGAGTTCTCTCGTCCGGCGGCCGCCGCCGTCCGCTCGCTCGCTCGGGGTAATCGAGCCGGTGCAGGAACAGCGTGTTTAGGTGCTTCCAGGTCTCTCAGATCGGCTCTGCGCTCGCTCAGAGCTGCGCGCGAGGTGCGACTTGGAGACGAGACACAGGAAAAAGGACGGCGTCTCGTCCACAGCTCTCTGGGCTTTGTGCGCTCGGCAGTTGCTCTTGCAGTACGTGGAGCACACTCTAGAGTGGACTCAAGCGCGCATTGAGAGAGTGCGAGAGGTTCGAGGAAGACGGTCGCGGCCGGCGCGAGGCGGTTCGTCTCCCTCGACAAGCTCCCGCCTCTCGTCGCTGGCCGCCAGACTGCAGAGCGAGTCTACCGCCAGAGCCTGCAGGCCTCTCCCTCCACCCCGACGCGCAGGTCGCGCCCCCCCACCTCGTCGTCCGCCTCGCCCGCCATGCTCGACAGCTACGTCCCCGACACGCGCTGCTTCTTCCCCGACAAGGACCTCGGCTGGATCGCCGCGCGCCTCACCGCCAAGTCGGTCGACGGCGACACCGTCAAGCTCGACTTTGTCGACGACAACGCCAAGGTGAGCCCGCCGTCCGCTCCTCCAACGACGAGGCGACGCGGCGCGAGCACTGCCCCTCGTCCGCACGGCCACCGGTGGGGTTGGGCAGCAGTGCGCAGGGTCTGGTCGGTACTGTGACGGTGGATGGGCCGCCGACCCGACGCGTCGAGCGTGTTGTCCGCCGGCGGCGTTGGTCCTCCCAGCCCCACGACGAGCAGTTGGAGCCGCCCGGCTCGCCTCACTTCGCCTGCGCCTGAAGGGCAGCATGGCGGCAGCAGAGGTGTCTGTGGCACAGTTTGGTCCTTCCTGGTCCCGGTTCACACTCGGCGCCGTCCAGGCGTCTTTCCGCAACCCGCACTGCCCCACCCTCTTGCACACGCACGAGCGCTGAACCTCCTTTCGCGTTCGCGCGTCCCTTGCTCCCGCAGGAGCGCACCGTCACCACGACCCTGAGCGCCTTGTCGTCGTCCTCGCCGCCAGATGTGCTCCCGCCGTTGCGCAACCCGCCCGTCCTCGAGGGCACCGAGGACCTCACCAACCTCTCCTACCTCAACGAGCCTTCCGGTGCGCTCCTGCTCCCTCCTACGTCCTGTCTCGAGAGGGCGAACCTGACCCGCTCGCCGAGACCCACAGTCCTGCACACGATCCTCCACCGCTACTCGCTCCGGTCCATCTACACCTACTCGGGCATCGTCCTCGTCGCCGTCAACCCGTTCACGTCCCTGTCGGGCGTCTATGAGCACTCGGTCGTCCAGGCGTACGCCTCGCGCCGCAAGGGCGAGCTCGAGCCCCACCTGTTCGCCATCGCCGAGGAGGCCTACCGCTGCATGGTCGGCACGGCGGGCGAGCCCGGCGGCAACCAGACCATCATCGTCAGCGGCGAGTCGGGTGCCGGCAAGACCGTGTCGGCCAAGTACATCATGCGCTACTTCGCCACGGTCGACGACCCGCACAAGCCCGGCAAGAAGAAGGTGCGCCCAAGTTCACCTCTTCCCCGTCCCCCTCGAGCTCTCTCTCAGTATCGGACACTGATGGGTCGTCTGGCTCGTCCACACAGTCGACGTCGAGCGGCATGAGCGAGGTCGAGGAGCAGATTCTCGCGACCAACCCGATCATGGAGGCGTTCGGCAACGCCAAAACGACCCGCAACGACAACTCGTCGCGCTTCGGCAAGTACATCGAGGTCCGTCCTCTCACTCTTTCTCTTGTCGTCCCACGAGCGCTGTGATTGACGAGCGCTTGCCTCCCTCCAGATCCTGTTCGACGGCTCGCAGACCATCGTCGGCGCCCGCATCCGCACCTACCTCCTCGAGCGGTCACGCCTCGTGTACCAGCCCGAGACGGAGCGCAACTACCACATCTTCTACCAGCTCCTCGCCGGCGCGCCCTCATCGGAGCGCAAGGCGCTCGGCCTCGACTCGGCGTCGACGTTCACGTTCGTCAACCAGGGCGGCGCGCCCCAGATCGCCGGCGTCGACGACGCAGAAGAGTTTGCCGTCACGCAGAAGGCCCTGTCGACGGTCGGTATCCCTGTCGAGCGCCAGTGGCACATCTTCAAGCTCCTCGCGGCCCTGCTCCACCTCGGCAACATGGAGATCCGCTCGACCCGCACCGACGCGCTCCTCGACGACGACGACAAGGGCCTCACGATGGCGACTCAGCTCCTCGGCATCGACAAGTCCGAGTTCAAGAAGTGGATCCTCAAGAAGCAGATCGTGACCCGCACCGACAAGATCGTCACGAGCCTCAACGCGGCGCAGGCCAACGTCGTCAAGGACTCGGTCGCCAAGCACATCTACGCTTCCCTGTTCGACTGGCTCGTCGCGGTCGTCAACGAGAGCCTGACCAACGACCAGGTCGAGGGCTCGGTCAAGAACTTTATCGGCGTCCTCGTGCGTCCCCTCGTCCTCTCCTTGCCTCGTCATGACGACGTGCGGCAGCTCACCCCCGATGGCCCGACCTGCAGGACATCTACGGCTTCGAGCACTTCAAGAGGAACAGCTTTGAGCAGTTCTGCATCAACTACGCCAACGAGAAGCTGCAGCAGGAGGTGCGTCCTGTCCCCCTCCCTCTTCTCCTCGGCCTTGCCGCAGAAGGACGCCGCTCATTCGTGCACATGCGCCCCTTTCGCAGTTCAACGCGCACGTGTTCAAGCTCGAGCAGGAGGAGTACGTGCGCGAGCAGATCGACTGGACCTTCATCGACTACGCCGACAACCAGCCGACGATCGACCTGATCGAGGGCAAGCTCGGCATCCTGTCGCTCCTCGACGAGGAGTCGCGCCTCCCGTCGGGCTCGGACGCCAACTTCCTCCAGAAGCTCCACTCGACCGTCGGCGCCAAGCCCGAGAACGCCAAGGTGTTCAAGAAGCCGCGGTTCGGCAACAACGCGTTCACGGTCGCGCACTACGCGCTCGACGTCACGTACGAGGCCGAGGGCTTCCTCGAGAAGAACCGCGACGCCGTCCCGGACGAGCACGTCGCCCTCCTCGCGTCGACGAGCAACGCGTTCCTCAAGGAGGTCCTCGACCGCGCCGACGCGACCAAGGCCGCCGTCGCCGAGGCCGAGGCGGCGACGGCCGCCGCAAAGCGCGCGAGCACGATCGGCGGGCCCGGCGGCGCAGCAGGCGCAGGCGGGCCCAAGCGTCTCGGCGGCGTCGGCGGCATCGGCGGCGTTGGCGGCGGGTCGGCGCGCAAGCCGACGCTCGGCAGCATCTTCAAGGGCTCGCTCATCAGCCTCATGGACACGATCGACTCGACCAACGCCCACTACATCCGCTGCATCAAGCCCAACGAGGCCAAGCAGGCGTGGGAGTACGACCCGCCCATGGTCCTCGGCCAGCTGCGAGCGTGCGGCGTCCTCGAGACGATCAAGATCTCGTGCGCCGGTTACCCGACGAGGTGGAAGTTCGACGAGTTTGCCGACCGGTGCGTCCCAGCTTGATCCCTCCCTCGTCCCTGTCGTCCGATCCGCCCGTCGTCGCAGCCTGTCCTGACTCTCGCCGCCTCTCCTCTCGCCTACCCGCAGCTACTACATGCTCGTCCCGTCGTCCCAGTGGCAGCAGACGTCGGACATGCGCGCCCTGTGCTCGTCGATCCTGTCGTCGGCCGTCTCGGAGCCCGACAAGTACCAGGTCGGCCTCACCAAGATCTTCTTTCGCGCCGGCCTCCTCGCCCGGTTCGAGCAGCTGCGTCACGCCCGCCTCGGCGAGCTCACGACCCTCATCCAGAAGCACGTCCGCCGCTTCCTCGCCGAGCGCGACTACGGCCGCGTGCGCCGCATGATCACGGGCGTCCAGTGCATCGCTCGGGCCAACGCCGCCAAGCGCCTCGCCCAGGACGCTCGTCGCGAGCGAGCCGCCGTCATGATCCAGAAGGCGGCACGAGGGTTCCTCGAGCGCGTCAAGTACGAGCGGGCGAGGAAGGCCGTCGTCGCCGTGCAGGCTCGTGCGTCCCCCTCCCTCTCGCTCTTCCTTCTCGGGCCATACCTCTCTCTCTCGGCCTGTCGCTCACTCTTTCTCTCTCACGCAGTTGCTCGAGGGCTGCACATCCGGGCCACGTTCAAGGAGGAGCTGCGCGTGCAGGCGGCGGTCCGGCTCCAGTCGTTGCTGCGGGGCGCGTGCGTCCTCTTCTCTCTCTTCCTCTCCCTCCTCCCTCCTCCCCGAGCCGACCCTGACGAGCAGCATTCGCGCCCACAGCATCGCTCGACAGCTGTACACGCGCGACCGGCGGCGAGTCGTCCTCCTCCAGTCGTGCGTCCGCCGGCGGCAGGCCAAGCAGCAGCTCAAGACGCTCAAGACCGAGGCGCGCTCGGCGACGCACTTCAAGGAGGTCACGTACAAGCTCGAGAACAAGGTCGTCGAGCTCACGCAGACGCTCCAGACCCGCACGGCCGACAACCGCTCGCTCCAGGGCAAGCTGCGCGCTCTCGAGCAGCAGGTCCAGAGCTGGCAGGCCAAGCACGACGACGCCGACAGCCGAGCACGCTCCCTGCAAGCCGAGGTCAACAAGCCGACCGTCGCCCTGCCCGAGTTCGAGGCGTTGTCGCAGCAGAAGAAGGACCTCGACGCGCGCCTCGACGAGTCGCTCAAGAAACTCGCCGAGCAGGACGCCGAGATCGACCGCCTCCACGCCGAGTTCCTCAAGGAGAAGGCCGAGCTCGAGAAGCAGCACGAGTCGCTCAAGGCGTCGCTCGCCGCAGCCAGCGACGACTCGGCGACCGTCTCGACCCTCCGCCAGGAGATCGCCTCGCTCCGCGAGCAGCTCTCGCGCCAGGTCGCCATCAACAACGCCGCCGCCAAGGTGCCGAGGCCCGACGCCGGCAACTTCCAGATGGCGACGGGCCAGCGCGGTCCCGCCGTCGTCGCCAACGGCGCCACCCCTGTCGAGAACGGTCACGCGGCCCTGCCCGCCGTCCCGGCAGGTGTCGCCGCCGCCGCCGCCGCCCTTTCGGCGCCGCAGGGCGGCGCCAAGCGCCGCGTGCGCCGGTACAGCGACGAGGGCGGCGCGACGAGCACCAACGCGCCGTCGTCGGTCAGCCCGATCCCGGAGCACGACCGGTGGGAGACGTCGCCTCGGCCCGTCTCGATGGCGTTCCCGCAAGAGCCCGGCACGAGGCGGCTCGCAGGCGGGCCCGGCGGCAAGGGCTACCTGCCCGACGTGTACGACGACCCGGCCGAGGAGATCATGCGCCTGCTCGAGGAGGAGCAGCCGCTCGACGAGGACGTCCTGTTCAGCATCATCCGCCACCTCAAGATCCCTGCGCCCAACCTGTCGAGCCCGCCGTCGCCCAAGGAGGTCCTGTTCCCGGCCCACCTCATCTCGCTCGTCACGAACGAGATGTGGAAGTACGGCATGATGCGCGAGAGCGAGCGCTTCCTCGCCAACGTCATGCAGACGGTCCAGCAGCACGTCATGGTGCGTCCCTTCTTCCTCCATGCCCTCTCTTTCGCGCGTCGTCCGATCCTCGAGGACTAACCCTCTCTCGTCGTGCGCGCAGGGCTACACTGGCGACGAGGTCATCGTGCCGGGCATCTTCTGGCTCTCGAACGTGCACGAGATCCTGTCGTTCGTGTGCATCGCCGAGAGCGACATCCTGCAGGGCATCGGCCCCGGCGGCGAGGGCATCGGCCGCGACTACGACTGGGACGACTACGAGCGCCTCGTCACGATCGTCAAGCACGACCTCGACAGCCTCGAGTACAACATCTACCACACGTGGATGCAGGAGACCAAGAAGCGCCTGCACAAGATGGTCATCCCGGCCCTCATCGAGTCGCAGTCGCTGCCGGGCTTCGTCACGTCCGACTCGGGCGGCGGCCGGCTGTTCAACCGGCTCGTCGGCGGCAGCAACCAGGCGCCCGCCTTCAGCATGGACGACATCCTCAACCTCCTCAACAAGGTGTGGAAGAGCCTCAAGTCGTACTATGTCGAGCACTCGGTCGTGCAGCAGGCCATCACCGAGCTCCTCAAACTCATCGGCGTCACGAGCTTCAACGACCTCCTCATGCGGCGCAATTTCTCGTCGTGGAAGCGCGCCATGCAGATCCAGTAGTGCGTCGCGCTCTCGTCTCTCTATCGGCGTTCGTCTAGACGGGCGCGAGACCTGACCCGCACCTTCCCCTCGCCCTCTCTTCTCCCTCCTCCTCGCCTCTCTCCCCCTCCTCTCGTCCGGCCCTCTCTCTCTCGTGCGCTCGCAGCAACATCACTCGCCTCGAGGAGTGGTGCAAGGCGCACGACATGCCCGAGGGCACGCTCCAGCTCGAGCACCTCATGCAGGCGACCAAGCTCCTCCAGCTCAAGAAGGCGTCCCTCGCCGACATCGAGATCATCTTTGACGGTGCGCCTGCTCGTCCTCATTCCCATCCTCCTCTCGATCGCCTACTGACGTTCCTCGTCGACCGCAGTGTGCTGGATGCTCACGCCGACCCAGATCCAGAAGCTCGTCGCCAACTGTGCGTCGAGCAGCCTCTCGCCCTTCCTCGACCGACTCGACCGACTCTGACTCTCTCGACTGCCTACAGACTACGTCGCCGACTACGAGAACCCGATCTCGCCCGAGATCCTGCGCGCCGTCAACGGTCGTGTCGTCGCCGGCGACAAGAACGACCACCTGCTCCTCCCACCCGAGGTCCGTCTCGCGCCGCGCCCGCCCAATCCTGTATCGTCACTGAAGCTCTCTCACCCATGCAGGTTGAGGAGGCCGGTGGCTACGAGACGCCGCTGCCGCGCGAGGTGACCGGCATCGAGACGGTCCGTCCTTTTTCTCTCTCTTGAGCGTTTCCTCTCTCTCCGAGCGCAACCTGACTCTGCTCGCCATCTCGCTGCAGTACATCCCGGCGTGGTTGAGCGCGCCGCACCTGCGACAGCTCGTGCAGCTCGTCGCGTCCCTCTAGAAGTAGTCGTCCCCCCTCGTCCCTTCGTCTTTATCCGGCGCCTCGCTCCATCAGTTCCTTGGCATCGTCCCCTTTCGCGAGGCATGCCTCAGTGCGCTCCTGTGTGTACCCCCCGCAATGTCACTCGTCGTTCTCGTCTCGTCGTCGTCGTCGTCGTCACCGTCGGGCGACTCGGTGGACCTTGCGGCGAGAGTGGAGGCGAGAGGCTCGAGGTCGGGACGAGCGGCGGCAGAGAGGGATCGGCAGCACTGGTGTGCGGGCGTGAGAGCTTTAAATGTTCGGCTTTCGCGCTTGCGTGAGCGCATTCGACGGCGAGCGGAGGTCGAGTGGAGGCCCGAGGCGACTTCATCAGAAGCTCGGCTTTCCCCTCATTCTGTCCCCCTCGTTTCGCACCAGACGAGCTCTGCTTTGCTTCCCTACGCTCTCCACCCTGGTATCCACGCCCACCGTCCACCGCCAGCACCCCTCAGCCAGTCCTCGTCCTTTCTCGCCAACCGCCATGTCGCCCTCGATTGTCCCGCCTGCCGGCATCGCGACGGGCTTGATGCGCCTCACGTGGGCTCCTGAGCAGGTGCGCACCGACTTCTCTGCCTCTTTCCGCGCCAGTAGGACCTGCTGCCACCCAGAGCTGACCTTGCGCCCTCTCTCTCTGTCTCCGCTCCCCGCCCTCTCGCAGACGCCCGACGACCAGGCCTTCGAGCTCATGCGCACGGCCATCCAGGCTGGATCCACTTCGTTCAACAGCGGCTACTTCTACGGCAACGCGCCCGCCGTCACCGCCAACTTGAAGCTCCTGTCGCGCTTCTTCGACGCGCACCCGGACCTCGTCGACAAGGTCTACATCTCGGTCAAAGGCGGCCTCGGCGAGGGCATGACGCCCAACGCCGACGTCGACTTCCTGCGCAATCAGGTCAAGGAGGTCAACTCGATCCTCAAGCACCGCAAGATGGACCTGTTCGAGATGGCGAGGGTCGACAAGGCGACCGGCATCGAGCAGGTGCGTCCTGTCGTCAAGGTCACGTAAAGCCTCGAGGACTGTCATTGACTCTTCTCGATGTTGCGCGCAGACCATGAAGAACCTCCTCATCTTGCGCGACGAGGGCCTGTTCCGCGACATCGGCCTCTCCGAGTGCGTCCACAGCCTCTCGTCACATTCACGAGCGGCATCTCTAACCCTTTAGCCTTACACAGGGTGTCCGCCGAGACGATTCGCAAGGCCGCCGCTGTCGGGCCTGTCGCCGCCGTCGAGGTCGAGTACTCGCCTTTCGCGCTCGAGATCGAGGAGAACGGCGTTCTCGCGACCTGCAAAGAGCTCGGCGTCCCCATCATCGCGTACAGGTGCGCCTAGACTGTCCTCCCTTCACCCTACTCCTCCAGGAAACGGCCCTGACGGCCTCGATTGTCGACGCAGCCCTCTCGGCGCCGGCTTCCTCGGCGCCAACTGGAAGAGCAAGGACGACCTGCCCGAGGGCGACATGCGCCGTCACTTCGACAAGTTCTCGGACGAGCACTTTGAGCACAACATGCAGCTCGTGCGCAAGCTCACGTCAATCGCCGAGAAGAAGGGCGTCACGCCGGCGCAGCTCTCGATCGCCTGGGTCCGTGCACAAGGCGCCGTGCCTCTGCCTGGCTCGGTACGTCTTCTCGTTCTTCCTCGTCATTCACCCCGTTCTCTTCTGACCTGTCTCGCCCCCCTTCCCCTACCTCTCCTCCCGCCTCTCTCTTCCCCTCTCTTCTTCTTCTTCCCTTCTCTCTCTTCCCCCTTCTCTCTTCTACCTCTTTCGTCCTATCCAGACCAACCCGGAGCGCGTCAAGCAGGCCATCGAGGCGGGCAAGATCGAGCTGTCCAAGGACGAGCTTGACGAGATCCGCAAGGTCATCGACAGCGTCGAGGTCAAGGGCGTTCGTTACGCCAAGAACCCGCACATGCAGGCGATGCTCTTTGGCTAGACGCTCTCGGGCGAGTGTAGCAGTGTGTCCTGCAGTCGAATCGAGCAGTTTCAGTTCTCTAGGCCGATGTCGACCTTCTCAAGTTGCTCCGCTCGGACCTCTCTTTCTGCGGCTTCTTCTCGCTTCGCTTTCGGCGTCGCCGCACGTTCCGAGTGCTCGCGGCCGGGCGCAGACGCCTACGGCGTGCTTGCGCTCCCCTGTCCGGCGAAAGCCTCTTTGCCGGTTCGTGCGTCGTCCTCGTACGGACTCTCCGGCCCTTTGCCGCTCGGGGCGGTTGCCCTCTCCCGCTCTGCCTTCTGCGCTTCTGCCCTGCGTCCTCTTGCTGCCGCTGCCTCTCCAGCGTGTCTCGAGACAACGTCGTCGGAAACTCGGTGCGCTCGCCTTCCTCCGTCCTCGGCCTCGTCCCTTTCGCCGTGCGGCTCTCGGCCTTCCCGCACTGACTTTGAGCTCTCCTCAGGACGCTGGGGGAACCTGGGAGGAACATGTGCTCGCCGCCGTCGCTGCAGGGGTCGCGCGCAACCCCGAGCAAGAAGCCCAAATCGTCAAGAACGGCGAGACGCTGCGCAGGTCGCACGCTGTCGCACGCTTCAACGCCCTGGACGAGCTCCAACAAGAGCATGCCTTGCGCAACCTCAAAAAATGGCGCGATGGACTCGTCGCCGGAACGGTCAAGCAGGTGCGTGCGCCTTTTTCGCTCTCTCTCCTTTCCTCGCATGATGTATTGACCCATTCCGAGCTCGTCCTGCAGGGTCGGTGGGACAAAATGATGCCGAGCGACGAGAGGGCCAGGGAGCTGGCCCGTTTGAGGGGCGTGCGCTGCAGGGAGAGGAAGGTTCGTCCGTCTCTTCCTTTCGTCCTACCTCCGTTACTGACGACGCCCGGTCCATTGCGTTCAACAGAGAGCTGCCGCGGCGGCCGGTGTCGCTCAAGCTCCCCACGCCGCTCACTCGACCAACGCTCACCCGCAACGCGACCAACCTCGTCGGCCTCGCCTCATCCTGCCCAAACGACCTGCCAGTAGCGTGCCGTCGCCCGACTACGACGTCGACTGGGACTCTTGGCTCCGTCCGCCGCCCTCGACGTCCGCGCACGAGCCCCTCCTCCCCGACACCGCGCAGGGTTTCGCCGGCCCCCCTCCCCCTACCCAGTACCCTCCCTACCACTCGACCACGATGCACTCGACCGCGATGCACTCGTACCCGCACGCCGCCGACGACTACTGCACCGGGTGCAACATCTGGCCCACCGCCCTCCCCTCGTTCGGCAACGTCGCCCCGTCGCCGGCGCCTTTTCACCCCGGCGCTCGCGAGTACGGCGCGCCTGGGCCGCACGTGTTCGACCCGCAGCCGCAGTACCCGGGGTCTGGGCACGAGTGGAGGTGAAACGGTCGAGGCGACCGACGTCGCAGCGATGCGGCGAGGGTCTGTGCGTCTCGACACGCGCTTTGTTTAGCTCTCTGTGTCTCTCAGCAACACTCCTCTCGTGCCTGCCCGATAGTGAGAGCCTTGAAAGAAGTGCAGTCCTGCTCGAGCACTCTCGTCGAGAGAGCCTGCCACGTCCTTCGTCGGCAACTCGGCCTTCTCAAGTTGCCACTCCTCGTCCCCTCTCGCGCGAGAAGGCCAGACGCAGCCGCCCTGACATGCCCTCTTGCACGTGCACTCTCTTTCTCGACGAGTCTAGGCGTACAGAGCGTCGGACAAGCTCTGTGGCGAACTCTCGAGAACTCTCGCGACTCGAAAGACAGTGGCCGGGAGGGGTGAGGAGGCGAAGCGGAATAGCTGGCGCGTTGCAAGTAAAACTAGTACGGACAGAGTGCGAGGGAAGGCAATGACGATGGGTACAAGCCGATGGGAGGGGAGGGGAGAGGAGAGAAGGAGAGAGGAAGTGCAAGGGGGACAAGCGGGAGAGGTACAAAAGCGCTGAGCGGGACGCCGACCGCCACAGCCCTGGACGACGGCGAGAGGGCACGACGACGCTCCTCACGCCGCACCGACGACGCGCTGCTGCTGCTGCGCCCGGCTCGACGACGAGCGCAGCCCTGCGCCGGGGCGACGGCCGGCGACGGGCACGGGGACCTGCTGCTGCGTGCGGGCGTAGCGCGCCTGCTGGGCGTACGGCATGTACGAGGGCGCGCTGTAGGACGGGGCGCGAGTCGAGGCCGGGGCAGGGCGAGCGCGGTCGAGGTCGAGGTCGAGGTCGAGGTCGTCCTCCTCCTCCGAGCCATCGTCCTCCTCGCTGTAGGGCTCGACCTCCTCCTTGTCCGCTCCCGGTCCGCCTCCTGCGAGAGCCGCAGCCGCACTCGGCGCGCTCGTGATCCTCCTGTGGTTCCTCCCCTTGTCGAGCGCGCCCCCTCCTCCACCTGCGCCCGCCGACGACGCCGCCGCCGCCGCCTCAGCGTCGCCCTCCCACCCGAGCGCCTTGACGGCGCCCTTGGCCGTGCCCTTGACGGCCCACCCGACGAGCGCGCGCGGGACCGTGACGGGCCACAGCGCGTACCACGCGACGCCGTGCCGCTCGCGCTCGTCGTCGCGGCGGTGCGCGTACGCCGGCGTCGCGAGGTACACGACGAGGTGCTTGACGACGCTGCCGAGGACGGCGGCTGCGTTGCCGAGGGCGGGCGAGCGCTTGGCGGCGGCGGTCGAACGCGAGGCGACGACGTCGCGCAGGGCGACGAGCTCTTGGTCCTGCGCCTGGAACGCGAGGCACAGCTCGTCGACGGCGCCGGCGAGGGCGCTCAGGCGCTCGGTCGACGAGAGCTGGGCGTGCTGCGTCTCGAGCGTCTGGCGGCGCAGCTGGCGCTGGAGCGGCGTCAAGGTCGACGACAGGGACGACGAGAGCGACTCGAACGTCGACAGCGGGACCGAGGTGCGCGAAAGCTGCGAGCGCGGTCGAGAAGACTGTGAGCCGGACTGGAAGGGCTCTAAAGAGAAAGCGCGAGGTGACGCACCTGCGAGAGCTCCTTTTCGAGGCGGTCGACACGTTGCTGAAGCTGGTGGACGCGCGACGACGGGTAGTGCACGACCTCCTGGTGGTACAGCGAGTCTGTGTACGTGCAACGAGTCAGTCACCGGACCTCAAGGATAAAGAGGGGCGAGGAACGCGGACGCACTGTGCTTGACGAGCTTGACAAAGTGCAGAACGGGCTTGACCGAGCTCGCGATGGCGAAGAGGCCGATCAGGAACCGGTTGATGAAGCGGTCCGGGTCGCTCAGGAGGCCCCGGGCGTAATGGAGGAGCGAGGCGCCGACGACGGGCACGAGGAAGGTCGACCACAGGGCCATGAGCTCGTTGCGGCGCAGGGCTTGGGCCGACTCGGCGCGGCGGGCGACGACTTGCGGGTCCTCGTCCGAGTCGGGCGCACCGGGCTCGATGCCGACGGGGAGGACGGAGCGCGCGTACGAGGCGTAGTAGAGCTCCCACGGCACTGCGAGGGCGGGGGAACGAGACGTGAGTGAGTGCTCTCTCGGCGCACGAGACGAGAGGACGAGGGCGACGGACCCTTGATGAGCTGGTAAAGGTAGAATACGACGAGGGCGAGGATGATGGCGTCGCTCCAGTGCTCTGCGCGGCCGTGCACGACGGCGCCGAGCGAGGGGAGGCCGACGAGGAAGAGCGGGAGGTGGTGCCACCCGGAGGCGCGCTCGGCGTCGGCGTAAGCCTGGAAGGCGTCGTCCGTGTCGAACAGGTCGTCGTCCTTGGGCGGCTGCACGCCCGTGGCCCGGTGCGCTGCGCCACCTCGCCTGGCCGTGGTGCCCCGCCGCGAGGTCGAGCGGGCGTCGTCGCTGTCGAGGCTGTCGTCCGGGTCGTCGCCGCGGGCGCTGCGCCTGCTCGAGCGGCGGCGCATGGGCTGAGCCGAGGGCCGCTGCTGGGGTGCCGCGGGGCGCGAGTCGGCGCGAGGTGCGGCCGAGGTCGAGGTCGAGGAGGAGGGGCGAGGTGCGGTCGAGGAGGAGGCGGGAGGCGAGTGGGCGTAGCCCTTGAGCGGGTCGAACGAGGCGACCGACTCGGTGGCGGTGGCAGTAGCTGCAGTCGAGGGTGCGGCCGTGTTGGTGGCCATGTCGCGTGCCGAGGTCGTCGTCGTCGAGTGCGGGAAGTGTGGGACGAGGAGCGGGCTGGCTGAGGGCGGTAGGCGGCACAGCAGGTGTGCGCACACGTGTCCTCTGCTGCAGCTGGGCCCGCAGGTGAGCGTGAGAGAGCGACCAGACGAGACGAGCACTGCCAGCCTCGCGCGATTATGCGGGGAACCGAGACGACGTCGTCCTCGCTCGCGAGCTCTGCCTGGGTCCTGGACAGGGCCGCACAGGCGCAGTGTCTCTGCAGAAACCATGCAAGCAAGTGCCGCCCCTGTTCACGTGGCTGCGACGCCTCGGTCGTCCGACGTCGTCGTCGCGACTCAGAGCGAGTTGGACCACGACCAAGTCGCTCGCTCTCTGCTCGAGCGTGCTGTTCTCGCTTGCTTTGCTCTACACTCGTCCTCAAGATGGAAGCCGTGCTCGTGTCGCGCAACCAGGGGGGCCAGTCGACCACCGACCGCACCCTCGACCTCATCCTCGCAGGTGAGCACTTCTCGTCCTCTTGTCCTCTGAGCGCTCCAGCGATCCGCAGAAACTAACCCACGACTCCTACAGGCGACGGCAAGCGCCAGCGCCAAGCCCTCGACTCGCTGTAAGCTCCCCTCCTCTCGTCGCCTCCTCTGCCTCGAGCGCGCTTGCTCACCTCGACCTCGCGACCACAGCCCGGCATCTGAATGGTCTACGTCGAGCGCACCTCATGCTCATCCGGGAGCAGCTCAAGCAGCACAAGACCCACAAGACGCGTGCGGTCGACCTCACTCTTCCCCCTCCTCTCTCGCGACTGAGCTGACCCTCCTTGGTCCCGCCGCGACAGGTCCTACAAGCCTCATGCGCTCGGCACCTACTCCAAGTTCGGCTCGGACGAGCCCAACGAGCTCGCGACCTTCATCCAGGGCCGCGAGGCGTGGCACGGCAACGCAGAGGTGCGTTCACCGTCGTCCCTCCTCGTCGCCGCCGACAAGGCCTCGTACGCGTCGATCTGACCTTTTCACCGCTCCTTACAGCTGCGTGACGATGTCGAGGACGACCTGCGTGCCTTTGCCGAGCAGAGCGACCACACCGAGGTGCGCCTCTCCCTCTCCCTTTCGACCTCTCCTTTCCCCGCCTCGACTGACGCCGTCTCGACCGCGCACACAGGGCTTTCTCCTCACGTCGCAGCACTCGACGGGCTTCTCGGGCCTCACGAGCTCATTCCTCGAGACGCTGCGCGACGAGTTCCCAAAGAGCGCCATCTGGGTCACGGCCATCCTGAGCGACGCGCGAGGGTGGAAGCGGCCCGACTCGGATGTGAGTCACTCCTTTCACCCTCCTTCATCGTCGCTCCGTCGCGCCACGCACCGTGCACTGACGATAGATCCCCTCGGTCGGTCCACAGCGCGCCAAAGCGCAGCGGCTCCTGAACGAGGCGCTCGGACTCGTCGCCGTCGAGGACGTCGCGAGCATGGTGCTCCCCGTACAGCCCGTGCAGACGTATGACGCCTACGTCGAGGGCAAGAGCAGGGACGAGTGGCGCAGGTTCCTCCGCGACGACGTGAGTCGACGTCCTTGCGCGCGCTCGGCAAGCGGCCCTGCCGGGCTGTGCGCCTTTCTGCCGGCCTCTCATGCATCAGAAACTTACATCGTTCTCCCTTCTGCAGATCGACTCGGCCGAGGCGTACCAGCAGGTACTGACGATGCACCTTCAAAGCGCCGGCAGCGAGCTTCGGTGCGTCTCTCTCGTCCCCTCTCCAACCCACCCTCGAGCGCCTCATGATTCCTGCATCGCCGTACTGACTCCCCTCTCTGCCTCGCAGTGAGCCCGACGTCCTTACCTCGGTCATTGAGCAGCTCAACTGGCGCGGCGGCACCAAGATCGCGTCGCTCTCGGGCCACACGCCGCTCGCGCCTGCGCCGTACTACGGCTCGAGCGGGAGCGACGAGGCGAGGAGAAAAGTCAGGGCGGGCGAGAGGGACTTTAGCGCGTGGCGAGGCGACGAGGAGGACGAGGCTGAGCGGGCGAGGGACCGTCAGGTGTGCCCGCCTCTTTCTCTCTTCCCAGACTTTCCGCGTTCGTCTTTCTGATTCACTCTCACATCCAGGTCAAGGAGAAGAAGCGCGACGACGAGGTCCCGTTCGCGCAGTACAGCGTCGTGCGCGGGCTCGACTTTGAGGAGAGCCAGGAGATGGGCCCTCTGCTCGAGGAGGCGGTCAAGCCGCTCAAGGAGCCTCTCGTACGATGGTGCGTCCCCTCAATCTCTCTGTCTACCTGCACACGAGCCCGACCTGACCCTCTGCGCGTCGCGCAGGGTGTCCCTCCCCGACCCTTTCCCGATCCTCGCCACCTCGCCGCCCGTCTTTCGCGGCCTGCACCCGCACACCGGCCACCCTCTACACCTCCCTACGCCCTCGACTGCGCTCCCGCTCCTCTCGTCCGACGCACCTGCGCCCTCGGCCGCCCTCTTTGGCCTCCCCGAAGCGCGCTTCCCGCCCGCCCTCACCTTCTCGGCGCAGCAGCCGCGCGCCGTCCCGGTCCTCACGACGCTCTCGACGCGCCCGAGCACGGCGCGCTACGTGCGGCACCTCGCGCGCGGCATGCGCGAGCTGCGGCGGGTCCGAGCGGGGGTCCTGCGCGAGTACGACGAGGGCGAGTTTGCGCTCGGGCGCGAGGGCGTCGACGAGGCGAGGGAGCGGCTCGAGGCGCTGTGGGACGGGTATGGTGGCGCCGACGAGGACGACGAGCGCGAGGGGGACAAGGACGCCGACGAGGACTGGACGGCGACGGAGCAGGTCGACGACGAGTGGGACTTGTAGAGCCGGTCGTGCGACGAGTGCGCAGTGCAGCTGTACGCCTCGTTCTTCCCTGCAGAGCGAGACGGGCGAGATGCGCGAGGCGAGGCCGCTCTGCGGCGCGTTCACCACGATGCGCGAGGAGAGAGCTCAGCTTAGGAAGGTCGTCCTCTCGCTCGACTCGCAACTTGCTCGAGCTGCTCAAGGCTTTCGACGCTCTCGTGGCTCGCAGTCCGTCGAATCGGCTTTACAGAGAGTGGTTACAGCGCGAAAGGGAGAACTATTGCCAAGCCGTCACCACCCGGCCTCGTCGAAGCCGCCCTCCTCTCTCGGGCCCTCCTCGCTCGCGTCCTCGCCGACCTATTGGCCGTACGTCCAGCTGTCGAGGAGGGCGTCGAGGTCGAACTCGGGGTCGTCGAGGTCGTGGCTGTACTGGGCTGGGTCGTGCTGCCACGAGTGGTCGAAGTCGCCGAGGTCGAGCGGGTCGGGCGAGAGGGTCGGCTGGCGCGACGAGCTGGCGTGGGCGTGGTGAGCATGGGCCTCGGGGTGGACGTGCGACGGGACGGGCGGGCGAGTGGCCGAGCGCGAGCGCTGCTGAGGAACGGGCGTCAAGCTGCGCGAGCGAGCGCGAGGCTGCGACGAGGAGCACGACGTCAGGCGCCGACGCAGGAGAAGGACGAGCGGCAAGAGAAATTGGACGCACCTGGTAGGCGGTGAGGTCGCGGTTGGCGTGGGCGTTGACCGCCGGGTCGAGGCCGACCGACTGTGGGCGCAAGTGCGGTCAGTCGGGTGAGGACGGCCAGCCGCCGAGAAGATGTGAGGGGACGCACCCTCGCTTTGTCGTCGACAAAGTTACGCTGCGACGGCTGTGGCACAGAGAAAGAGTGTCAGTAAGGGCGACTCGGGGAGGGATGAGGGCGAGGCGCCGCAAACTCACGACGCGCAGGTCGCCGCCCGAGTACGAGATCAGGCTGGCTCCGACGTTGCGCAGCGACAGGATGCACTCGCTCCGCACGAGCTCGGGAAGGCGGTCGAAGAGCGTCCTGCGGTCGTAGCCCGGCTCGACGGCGTCGAGGACCCACGCCGTGATCGCGTCGTTGTGGGCGGGGACGGCGCCGATGTGGTCGTTCTCGAGCGCATCGTTGACGACGATCTCGGCCGTGCGGATGTAGTCGGCCCACGAGTGGCCGCTTGGCCAGCCCTGCAAGGCGAGGAGGAGGAAGAGGAGGGATGGCGCAAGATCCGAGTCAGTCAGGGCCCGAATTGACGATGCCGACATGAGGAAGGGCTCGACGGGCGCACCTCACTGTCGACCAGGAGGCCTTTGTACCGTCGGAGGCGAACGCGACGCGCCCGGCGCTGAACGTGGCCCCAGCCGCGACCCGGGCCGGCCGGGCGTCCCTCCCTCGCGCGGCTGACAGGTACCGAGCGCGGACCGGCACCAGCTGCTCGAGCAGCACTCGCAGGAGCGGGACTCATGCCCCGGCGTTGGCGCCTGGCAGTGTAAGCGCCGGCCTGAGCGCGGCGGACGAGGTCGGTCACGTCCTCGCCGTGGACGTGCGTGGCGAGGAAGCGGTGGGGGTTCGTCTGCGGGTCGTCCAGAGTGTCAGACTGCCGTTCAACAGGGGCAAGACTCGGCACGAGAGAGAGAGGAAGTGGAGGAGCTTACGAGCTGTTGGCGGAGCGACGGCTGGGCGGGCCAGTTGACGAGGATGTCGTGGTAGCTCCGGATCGAGTCGATCGCGTTGTGACGGTCCGACTCGTTCATGTGCGAGAACAGGTAGGCGCACGTGTTGTCGAGCAGGCCGTCGACGAAAGCGCACAGCGCGGCCCTGTTGACCTCGCCGGTGTCGCTGTCGGCGGCGATGTTGGGGTTGCGGAGGGCGTCGCTCTCAAGCTTCTCGGCGGTCCCGACCCAGTCGGCCCAGTCGTCGCCTAACGGCCAGCGCTGCGAGTCGGCGAGGAAAAGGTCAGTCGAGGACAAAGGAAGAGAGAGAGAGAGAGAGAGAGGGCGAGGTGCACGTACCTCATCTCTGAGCTGGGTGAGTTCCGTCGGCGAGTACAGGTGCGACATGGCGACCTCGAGAGGACGAAGATGCAGAAGATAGAGAGAACGAAAGAGAGAGGGAGAGAGAAGAAGGAAAGAGAAGCAAGCGCCGCCGAGGTCGACTGGGCCGAGCGAAACGACGACCGAGTATCCACGGACTCTCCGAGCCAGCCGAGAGGCACGCAGACGATCGCGTCGCGAGCAGCGGAAACTGCGACGGACGAGCGAAGAGAGGAGAGGCGACGAGGGCCGCCTCCTGCACGCGAACGAGCGCGCAAGGGCCGTGCGCGCGAGCAACCGTCGCCGCCGACGAGTGCGGCGTTGCCGACGGACGCGGCGTCGCCGACGGAGGAGCGACGAGATCGATCGATCGCCAAGGACGCTGCCGCACGGGCGGAAGCTGAGGAGCCAGCGTCGAGAAGAAGAGGCTCGAGCGCCGCCAGGCAGGGTGGTACCGCCGCTCCTTGCACATGTGCCGCCTCTCTACTCGCTCCTTGTACCGCCATCTCGCTGTACAGCTCTAGAGCGCCTTGACCTTGTTCTCGGCGCGGCGGACGGCCTGCGCCTCGGGCTGGCGCGACGACGAGCCGCGCACGAGGTGGTGGACGCCGTTGGCCGCGTGGAAGAGGCCGATGAGGACGGGGACCTGGACCAGGTAGAAGGCCGAGCGCGCGATGGGCGACATGTCGTCTGTGGAGGCGATGAGCAGGTCAGTCGGGGATTCTGAGGGAGGGAAGAGAGTGAAAGGAGGGAAGGGGGACGGACCGAAGAGCGGGTACGGGTACTGGCCGTTGCCCGCCGCGCAGTACTCCATCCAGACGCAGTACGACGCCGTCGCGATGCTGGCGATGAGGGCCGGGCGTGCGCGGCGAGGCAAGGGCGGGCTGAAGGCGAGAAAGTCGAGCCAGAGGAGGATGGCCGGGAAGGCGTGCAGGGCGAGGTCGAGCTTGAGCGGGATGCGGAAGGGCTCCTCGCCCGGTGCGACGGCCGGGTTGAGGAGGGCCGGGTCGACGGCCATGATGCTCCAGTACAGGACCGAGACGAGGCCCTCGATGGGGACGACGAGGAGGGCGAGGGTCGATTTGATGCGGGCAATGAGGGGGACGGGGACGAGGTCGTACAGGAGGGCAAACGCGAACGTGGCCCACGACACGGCGAGGCTGTGCGAGGGCGTGTAGAGGTCAATCCGAGTGCGCTGAGCGAGTCGCCGGAGGCCGAGGGGGTGGGGACGGACCTGAGGATGGTGAGGTACTGCCACCTGCCGCCGTACTGCATCTTGTGCATAAAGTCGGTCATGGGCCCTGGCAAGAAGAGCTGGTGGAAGGCCCACGAGAGGACGGCGAGGGCGACGAGGTGGAGGAGGGTGGCGGCGGGAGAGCGGGCGAGGGGCTGCTTGACGGCCATGGTTGGCGGTGCGGGCTCGAGAGTGCGCAGTCGAGGCTGAGTGCAACGGGGGCACAGAGACCTAGCTGGCCGTCGTTGTCGTTGTCGTCGTCGTCGCTGCGGTGACGAGCGTGGGCTGGCAGCTCTCACGCCCTCGCTCTTGACCCTCGACTCGAAGCCAGCACTGCTCGCACTCGAGCGACCCTAGCTCATCTACAGAGCCACCTCGAACCGTCCCCACCTCGCCCCTCGCTCTCGTCGCCATGCCAGGTCCGCCTCATCTCCCTCCCGCCCTCATTCATCGTCATCTCTCCCCCTCTCCCCCTCGCACTCCAAGCCTGACCCTGCTGCACCCACAGGTACCGCCGCAGAGCTCACCACCCCGCCCGTCACCGGCGCACCCGCCCAAGCCTCGCCAAAGGCCTCGGCGCCCATCGACCAACCCGACTCCGCAGCAAAGGCCCTCGCCGCCCGCCGCGAGAGCACCTCGATCGACAACTCGCTCAAGGCCGCACTCGAGAAGCCCTCGAACGCCGCCACCCAGGCCACGGCCGCCGCCAAGGAGGAGTCGGCAAAGCTCAAGGAGTTCGTCCAGGACGACCGTCACTTCTCGCTCGTCAGGTGCGCTCCTTCCTCCTCTCCCTCGTCTTGCTCGGCAAGAGACGGCACTGACAAGCCTCGTCAATTCGCAGGAACTTCCGCCTCGCCGACTGCGTCACCCTCGGCAACGGCTTCTGCGGCGCCCTCTCGCTCTTCTCGTCGGCCGAGTACCTGCGCACCAACGACCAGCGCTTCCTCTGGTGCGCCCCACCTCTGCCTCGTTCGCGTTGCCTCCACGATTCGGGCCCTCGCTCACCGCCCCTTCTCCCCCTCTACAGGCGCGCCCTCGCCTTCCCCCTCCTCGGCATGATCTTTGACGCGCTCGACGGCAAGGTCGCGCGCTGGCGCCGCGAGAGCAGCATGCTCGGCCAGGAGCTCGACAGTCTCGCCGACTCGGTACGTCGCTCCTCCTCCTTCTGCCTCGAGGACCGCCCGCCGTACGACGCCGAGCGGTTGTGCTCGTTCGCCGGCATGTGTCGGCCTCGCTCATCTCCTTGCGCTCGCCCGACAGATCTCGTTCGGCGTCGCACCTGCTTTCGTCGCGTGGACCCTCGGCCTGCGCACCCCGATCGACACGGCCTTCCTCACGCTCTTCATCTGCGCCGGCATTGCGCGCCTCGCGCGGTTCAACGCGACCGTCGCGCTCGTGCCCAAGGACGACACGGGCAAGAGCAAGTACTTCGAGGGCCTTCCGATCCCGTCGAGCCTGTTCATCTGCGCTGGCATGGCCGTGTGCGTGTACCAGGGCAGGTTCGACGGCCCGCAGGGGCAGGGCAACGGCCTCCCGTGGGGGCTCGTCGAGCCCCTCCGCGAGCACGTCGGCGTCGAGGTGCACTGGTTCGCCGTCCTGTTTGCCGGCTGGGCCGCCGCCATGGTCAGCAAGACGCTCAGGTCCGTCCCTCTCCCTCTCCTCGTTGTCGAGTCGCGGTCTGCTCGTCCGTTTGGCGTGCGCCGAGGACCGACCGACTCTGCGTTCAAAGTTGCCGTCCAACTGACTCTTTGGTCCCTCGCACACAGGATCCCCAAGTTCTGAGCGTGTCGAGCCCCTCCCCCCCTCCTGCGCTCAGTCCTCCTCCCTGCGGCGGCCCTCTCCTCGCCTTCCTCACCTCCCCTCCTCGGGCTCGAGCCCTCTTCCCTCTCTCTACCTGTACCATCCCTCGTCCACCCACTGCGCTTCCCTTTCACTCGGTACTGTCGTCGAGCGTTCGCAATGAGCACGTCGTGAACTTTCCCTGCCCCTCGTCGCTCGGGCCTCGAGAGGCTGCCGTTGCTCGAGAGGAGAGCGGTCCTTTCTCGAGCTCACGGTCGACGTGTGAGACGACTTGCGCGAGCGAGGCAGGCGGCGAGTGGGCCGACGCGCAGGAGAGCTCAGGGCAGAACGAGCGCGAAAGAGGGACCAGCTTCGCGTCGAGCGAGGCGCCTTCGAGAGGCGAGGGAGACGCTGCGGGATCGAGTGCTGTGCAAGGGGTTTGCTATGTCATACACGCCTCGGCCGTCTAGCTCTACTCGCCCGGTATCCGTCTCAAGCTCGCCTCGCCTCGTCCCTCCTCGCCCGTCTACCTCGGCTCCCGACCCTCGCCCTCGCCCTCGCCCGTCCGCCGCCACTCACTTCTTCCTCGTCAAGACGTCGCTCGCAATCTTCTCGAGCGCATCGCGCGCGTCCGACTCGGGGAGGCGGTGCAGCGCCTCGATGGCCGCCTGGCTGTGCGCCGCCGCGAGGTCGAATGTGCGCGTCGCGCCCGACGAGCGCAGGATGAGGTCTTTTGCCTGCACGACGAGGGCCGAGAGAGTTAGTCGCCGAGTCTCTTGATAGAGGAGAGAGGGGCGAGAGAGAGGGAAAGGCGAGAGGGAGGACGCACCCGCTCGACGTCGCCCTCGCGCTCGAACTTGCGCTCGATGAGCTCTCCCAGCTCGGGGAACTCGTCCCACGCGTACAGGGCCGGGGCCGTCGCGAGCCCGAGCTTGAGGTCGGCGCCGCCGCCGGGCTTGCCGAGCTCGGCGGCCGAGGCCGTAAAGTCGAGCATGTCGTCGATGAGCTGCGGCGAGGGGGGAGCGAGAGACGTGAGGGACTGTTCGGCTGCCGGCTCGACGCGCAGAACGAGGGTGAACGAGAGGCGGGACGCACCTGGAACGCCATGCCGAGGTTGCGCCCGTACTCGTACGCGGCGTCCTTGACGCGCTCGCCCTCCTTCCACCCCTGGAGCGCGCCGCACCCGCCGAGGACCGTCGTCGCGCGCGCGCTCTTAGCGATCAGACTCGCCGTCTTGAGGTACGTCTTGCGCATGTAGTGCTCGAAGATGGCCGGTGTCGGCCCGTTGCCGCTCAGGGACGCGGCCGCGACGGCGCTCGGGTCGGTCGCGGCGAGCGACGACGACGCGGTACGGGGCGACATTGGCGTCGCGCGGTTGGGCATGTTGCCCTTCATCTGCATGACCTCGCCCTCGACGAGGTTGGCGAGGACCGACGCGACGAGCTCGACAACCTCGTTGCTGCCGAGGCGGCTCAGGGCGAGCGACGCGCGCGCGAGGAGGAAGTCGCCGGCGAGGATCGACAGCTTGTTGCCGAACAGGGACGGCGCCGACGGGGCGCTGCGCCGCGTCTCGGCGAGGTCGATGACATCGTCGTGCAGGAGAGACGCGACGTGGATGAGCTCGGTGATCTCGGCCAGTCGTCGCTGGGTCGGGAGGAGGTTGAGAGACGAGTCGGTGGAGGAAGAGGACGAGGCGGAGGAGGAAGGAGAGGAGGAGAGGATCGAAAGCGGGTTCGACAGGAGGTCCTTTGCGCGCTGCATCATGCTCGGGTTGTCGTCGTTGAGGACGTCCTCCTGCTCGAGCGGCTCGTCGACGCCCCGGCCTTTGCCCTCGCGGCGGTCCTGCTCGCGGCCCCGCTCGCGCAGCTCGACGTCGGTCCACCGCGGGCTCAAGCCGTTGGTCGCCTGGCTCATGAGGAGGACGACCATGGGCCGCACGTGCTTGCCCTCGGCCTGGAAGTAGTACTTGGCGATCGTGTCGAGTGCCGGGTGCTTGCTGCCGAGCAGGCTCGTGATGTTGTGCCGCAGCGAGCCGAGTTCGTCCTTGAGGAGCGCGAGAGGGTCCTCGAGGCGGATCCGGGCCGAGGACCCGCCCGAGGTCGGGATCGAGGCGGTCGGCGGGGCACGGGTGCGCGGCAGGACGGCGCTGGTCCACGCGGCGACGCGGGACGAGGTCGACGCCGGGCGGCTCGGCGGAGAGACGGGGAGAGATGGGCGAGCCGAGGGGGGAGAGGGGCGGCGACGGGCGGCGGGGCGCAAGGCCCCTGTTGCTGGCCGTGCGAGGCCTCTGCTGGCGTGCACCATGAGCTTGTCGGGACGGCTCTGGCTGAGGGTGACGAGGACGAGCCAGAGCACTCCGATGCGCCGCTGCGCCTCCGAGGCGATCAAGACGCACCTTTGCCGCTCTCGCCTGTTGGTCCTTCTCGACGTGCAAGGGGCTCTCTCAGGAGCTCAAAAGCCGAGCGAGCTCGCCGGGGAGGCCCAGAGCCGGCTCGGTACTTTTCCAACTTGTCGCTCTCGCACCTCGCTCGAGACGACGCTCAACTGGTTCATTGCTTGCTCCTCACTCGCGCGCACTACTCCTTGCGCCACGTGATGTCGACGACTTGGCTGCCGTTGGCGGGGTACTCGGGCAGGTCGAGCTTGAACTCGTTGGCGACCGCGCTGCACGACGGAGCGAGGGGTCAGTTCGAGCGCTCGCGGACGAGCGGTACACGGGCAGGAGAGAGAAGGGGGCGCACTCTGGGACGAAGCGACCGCCGAGGAAGCTTTGCGGCAAAGATGGTCAATGTCGGCGAGAGATGAGGGAGGAGGAAGGAGGGACGCACTGCTTGCCGCCACTCTCGACAAACGCGCGCACGCCCTTCTTGGGCGCCGTGAGCGACAGGAGCGCATCTGCGTGCGACATCCCGGGTTTCCAGCGTCAATCCTCGCTCCTTGCGGAACGCCGAGCGGCGCAGAGCAGCGGCCGGCGCACGCACCTGGGGTGAACCCGGTCCCGTCGGCGTTGCCCGAGTCGACGTCCCACCCGCTCGGGATGTCGACCGACAGGATCGGCTTGGACGTCTTCTTGAACTCGTCGAGGACCGTGATGAAGGGTGCGCGGGCGGGCGGCTTGAAGGAAAAGCCTGCGAGGCGGGGAGGGAAGGGAAGGTGCGGCGGGTCCGTCGTCAGTGAGGCCTGTCGAGCGACAGCAAGACGAGCTGCAGAGAGACGTCGAGATACGCACCAAAGAGGCAGTCGAGGATGACGTCCGTGTTGTCCATGGCGCGGCGGAAGGCGACGTCCTGCGCGTCGGCCGCCATCGGGAACGACGACGAGCCCGAGCTCGGCGGCGCGATCAGGGGTAGGCCGAGGTTCTCGCACTGCTTCTTGAGGCGCTGTAGGACGACGAGGCGGGTCAGCGAGAGACTGAGAAACTAGAGCTGAGGGGGGAGAGAGGAGGACGCACGGGGAAGATCTCGCCCTTGGACTCCTGCGGCGGTGGGGGCAACGAGGGGTCAGTGGGGGCGCATGTACGACGTCGAGGCGGGACGCACCTTGGGGTAGAAGACGCTCGGGGCGTAGCCCATGTGGACTGCGCACAGGTCGTCGAGGGAGAGGTCAATCACTCCTCTTTGCGCAAGGCCTCGGGAGGAGCGCGAGAGACAGGGACGCACAGAGGTGCCGTGCCGCGACGAGCCCGTCGCCGCCCTGGTTACCCGGGCCGCAGCAGACGAGGACGCGCTCGTTGTCGCGCTTGCGCTTTACGCCGTTGGCGTCCTTGTCGAGCCGCGGGCCGAGCGGGTACAGCTGCGCGACGGCCTGGGCGACCGAGAGGCCGGCGAGCTCCATGAGCTGTTGTGCATGGGACGGTGAGCTTGGGTGCACACGGGCGCGCAGGGGAGAGTGAGGGAGAGGGAGCGCACCTGGTCGATCGAGAAGGCACCCTTGTCGGAGCCGCCCATGAGCCAGCCGTCGATGGCGACGGCGTCGTCGGCGCCGATGTAGCGAGGCTGGCGAGGTGCAGGCGAGCGGAATGCGCCTGCGATTGAGCTGAGGATGCCCGACATGATGACGCTGGAGGGGGAGGAGGACGAGAGGTGGGGCGGGCTGCGTCGAGCTGGGCGAAGTGGGGCGGGCGTGGGTGCGAGTTGCTGGCTGTGTCGAGCAAGGGGACACGCTGGCTGTGCAGCAACAGGTCGAGGGCTGCGAGGTTGGACGGCGACGAGGTGCCCCTCCTCCTCCTCGTCTCCCTCACCTTCCTCCACCTCCCTCGCACTCGCTGCCAGGATGAAGTACGCGCTCCTGCCTCTCACCGTCGTGTCGGCCATCGTCACCCTCGTCTCGGCAGAGTCGGCCCCGGCCTTCACCGTGCGTCGTCGTCCTCATCTCCCTCGCCGCCTTCCACGTCCTCACCCGCCTCTCGCCCCCTGCGCAACAGCCTACGAGCGTAAAGGGCATCTTTGTCGAGCAGTTCGACACCGGCCTCGACCGCTGGTCCCCGTCAAAGGCCACAAAGACCGAGCGCGACAACGAGGTGAGCCCTCTCCCCTCTCCTCCCCCGCTTTCCAGCGCGTTCCCTCCGAGCCGCGGCACCTCGTCGCCTCCTGCGCTCCAGTGGAACTGACCACCTCGTCCGCACACAGGTCTTCTCGTACGTCGGCAAGTGGAGCGTCGAGGAGCCGTCCGTCTACCCGGGCATCCCTGGCGACGAGGGCCTCGTCCTCAAGTCCAAGGCCGCCCACCACGCCATCTCGGCCCCGCTCGACGCCCCCTTTGACCCCAAGGGCAAGCCTCTCGTCCTGTCGTACGAGGTCAAGCTCCAGAACGGCCTCGACTGCGGCGGCGCCTACATCAAGCTCCTCACCGAGAGCGCCGAGGTGCGTCGCCCACCTTTCCCCTTGTCGGTGGCACGTCCCGCCTCGCGAGTCTGCGTACTGATAGTTCTGACGACCGTGCGCAGGGTATCCAAGCCGAGGAGTTCTCGGACAAGACCCCCTAGTGCGTCCCACCGTCCCTCCTCTCGAACCTCCTTCAGAGCCTGCCCCTCTCTCGCCCTCCTCCCTTCCGCCAGTCTCCCCCAGTGTGCAACCCCTGCTGACTTCGCTTCCGACCCACAGCACCATCATGTTTGGCCCGGACCGCTGCGGCTCGACGAGCAAGGTCCACTTCATCTTCCGCCACGTCAACCCGATCACGGGCGAGATCGAGGAGAAGCACCTCACGGCGCCGCCGTCGCCGCGCATCACCAAGACGACGGCCGTCTACACGCTCGTTGTGCGCCCCGACCAGACGTTCGAGATCTCGATCAACGGCGACAAGGCCAAGTCGGGCTCGCTCCTCGAGGACTTTACGCCCGCCGTCAACCCGCCGATCGACATTGACGACCCCAACGACAAGAAGCCGAGCGACTGGGTCGAGACGCCCAAGATCTCGGACCCGCACGCCGTCAAGCCGGCCGACTGGGACGAGGACGCGCCGGCGACCATCCCCGACCCGGACGCCGTCAAGCCCGCCGGCTGGCTCGAGGACGAGTCGCCTGTCGTGCCCGACCCGGACGCGGTCAAGCCCGACGAGTGGAGCGACGAGGACGACGGCGACTGGGTCGCGCCCCTCGTGAGCAACCCCAAGTGCGAGGCGGCGCCGGGCTGCGGCGAGTGGAAGCGTCCCGAGGTGCCCAACCGTGCGTCCCACCTTCTCTTTCCTCTGTCTAGAGCGTGACTCGCGCTCTCGCATAACGTCCAAGTCACTGACTCTGGCTCTCCTCGCCGCAGCCGACTTCAAGGGCAAGTGGTTCGCGCCGCTCGTCGACAACCCGGACTACAAGGGCCCGTGGGCTCCTCGCAAGATCGCGTGCGTCCTCGCTCTCTCTTCCCCTCGCCCGTCGCCTGCGCCTCGAGCCCGCCCTGACGTATCCTCGCCCGTCCACCGACTCGCAGCAACCCCAACTTCTTCGCCGACATGCGCCCGTCCGACTTTTCGCCGATCGGCGGCGTCGGCTTTGAGCTGTGGTCCATGACCGACTCGATCCTGTTCGACAACATCTTCCTGTCCGACTCGGAGGCCGACCTCGAGACGTTCCTCGACGAGACGTACCGCGTCAAGGCGCCGCTCGAGGCGGCGCTCGAGGCCAAGGACAAGCCCGCCGCCGACGAGCACGACCACGACCACGGCAAGAAGGCGACCGCCGAGCCCGACCTCAAGGCCGACCCGGTCGCGTGGGCCAAGTTCAAGGCGCAGCAGTTCCTCGACGAGGCGCTCGTCGACCCCAAGCGCGCGTTCGTCGACCGCCCGCTCGTCGGTGGCGCGCTCGGCCTCGCGCTCGCCATGATTGTCGGCCTCGCCGGCGTCATCCTGAGCCTCGCGCTGCCCGCCGGCGCCGCCGCCGCTCCCGCCTCGCGCGCCGTCGCCGACAAGGTGCCGTCGTCGGGCGAGGTCAAGAAGCAGGCGCAGGCGGTCAAGGACAAGGCGTCGACGGCCGTCGCCGACTTCAAGGCCAAGGGCGCCGAGGTGGCCGACGACCTCAAGAAGAGCGGCGAGCCGACGGCGGTCGGCACGGCGGGCGAGCTCAAGGTCGGCGGCGAGAAGGACCTCGACACGGTCGCCGACGCCATGGCGACCCAGGACCCGGGCGTCAGGACGAGGGCCAAGGCGCGCAAGAGCCGCGAGGGCGACGAGTCGGCGTGAGCGGGCGTAGGTCGTGCTCGCTCCGTCTCGGGCGCTTTCCCCCTCGCCGGGGCCTCTCTGGACTCGAGCTCCCTCTCTCTCTCTCCTTCTCTCCCTCCCTCGATGACCAAAACGCAGCATTCGTGGCCCCGCTTGTCCCGTTGTCCCGTTGTCCCCTCCTCTCGTCCCTCTCTCCCACTCTCTGCGTGCCCTCCTCCTCCCGATTAGTCGTTCCTCCCTCGCTCTCCCTCTGCAATTCAGTCCTCTCGCAAGTCTGCCGCACTCTCGTCGACGCTCTCGAGAGACAGAGAGAGATGCAGGGTATCGAACGGCGTTGCGGGTGCGAGAGAGAGGATCGAGACGAAGGCGAGGTGCTACAGGCTGTACAGCGAGAGGAGGAACGACTGACAGCGGCTACCGGTCGGCCGACTGGTTCTGCAGAATGTCCTTGAGCGAGCTGTGCGACACAGAATGAGTCGGGTCAGGTCCGCTCGAGTGCGAGAGAGGAAGGAGAGGAGGAGCGGACGCACTTTTGCGCCGTCATGATCTCGTTCTCGAGGTACTGCACCATCGCCACGGACATGAAACGCGCTGTCAGTATGTGCTCGTGCAGGCAGGATTCGCGGTGCGGAAGCGAGGGCGCACCTTTGCCTTCTTGTCGAGGACGGCCATGTCGTCCTGGGCGTCCTTGGCCTGAGCGCGCAGCGTGTTCTCGACGTTGTTGCGCGACTCCTGGACGAACCTGTGGTGGGCAGGAGAGGGGCAGGTCAGTTCTGGATGGGGTGGGGCGGGAGGGAGAGGGGACGGACATGCGGCCGACGCCGCGGTAGCAGGTTGCGCCGCCGGGCTCACGCGGGAGGACCTCGATCTCGCGGAGGGTGAGGGTGGTGATTTTGGCGTCGCGCTCGCGGGCGTTGAGCTGGGCGCGGACGGCCGAGAGGGAGCGCGAGGCGTCTTGGCCGCGCTGCTGGAGCTGGAGGAGGGCCTGGGTGGGGAAGAGCGGGTTTAGAAGAGAGGGCGGGGCAGGGATAGAGTGGAGGGTGTACCTGTCGGACGTCGTCTCCCATGGTGAGCTGCGGGTGATGCGGGTGTGTGTCGAGCGAGAGTTGATGAGGAGGGACGAGGAGGAGGGAGGGTTGCACCACCAACCTCGTCTCGACTGGGCTCTGCCAGGCCAGCGACTACTCAAGCACCCGCACAGTGAGTCCTGCAGCCTCTGTGACCCCATCCCTCGCCTCCCCAGGGCGCGCGCTCACCTTTTCCCTCATCTCCCTCCTCCCCTCAGATGAACTCGCTCGTGTCGTCCCTCCGCACCGCCTTGCGCCCAACTGCCACCAGGGCCATCATCTCGCGCGCACCCTACTCGACCCACCCGTCCCCCTCTGCCGACTCGGGCCCCGTCGCCTCGACCTCGTCCGCCTCCCCCTCCTCCTCCTCCTCCTCCTCCTCCAAGTCGGGCATCAACGCCCTCGACAGCGTCATCGCCGGCATCAAGAACTCGAAGAAGAAGGCCACATCGTCCTCCTCGAGAGCCTCTCCACCCCGTCCCTCGGCCGCCGACCTCTTCGCGTCGCACCGCGGCTCGGCCCACGCCGCCGCCTCGCGCTTCCTGTTCGACTCGACCCCGTCGGCAAAGTCGCAGACGCCCCGCCCGGCCACCCCGGAAGAGACGTGGCGCCACACGCCGGCCGTCCCGTACTCGCTCCCCGTCACGACCACCTCGGCGCGCTCGTTCGCCGTGCGCGACGGCAACGTCGCCCGCGCGTACCGCACCCTCAACCGCGTCCTCAACGACAACAACGTCCGCCGCGAGCTCAAGCGCCAGGAGCGCTTCGAGACCCCGAGCAACAAGCGCGTCCGCCTCAACTCGGAGCGCCACCGCCGCAGGTTCAAGGTCGCCGTCGGCAAGTCGGTCTCGCTCGCGCTCCGCACAAAGGACCTGTAGAAGGGCGGCGCGAGCGTCGGCACGGCGTGTAACGAGTTGGCTTTCGAAAGATCCCGCACGAGTTGTCGAGCTCTCCTGTCGCGCTTTCCGCTCGCCTCTTTGCGTGCGGCGGGTTCTCTCCTCGCCGTCGACTTTCCTCGACGGGATCCTCCTTCTGTCGCTCTCGAGACTCGTCTACCTCGTTCGAGATAGCGTTATTGACTCATTCCGCCCCAGCAACAGCTACGAATCGACTCATACAGCGACAACTCGACGATCGGCCTCCCCTCCTCGACCACCATTCCTCCTTCCCTTCCTCCCGGCTCAGGAACCGCCGCCCCTCGCACCGCCGATCGGCCACACGCTCCCTCGCACTCGTCGACCGCCGCATTGTGCGCCGCAAGAGCGCCAGGCCGTCAACGACGTGGTCGGCGCCGTCGTCGTGGACGAGCGGGCCGTGCGGCCGCGAGTGCGAGTACAGCTGCGGGTCGCGCACGAGCTGCTGCGGGTCGATCTGCTGCTGGGACGGGCGCAGCCGGCGCGCGAACGGTGTTGAGGAGAGGAGAAGGACGAGGCGGGCAGGTGGCCGGGAGGAGGGGGACGGGGCAGCGGCGGCTGGGTCGCTCGGCGCGGGCAGCGGACGGTAGTGGGAGAGCTTGGCGCGGCGAGGACCTGTGCGAGCGGGCGAGGGCGTGGGGAGGGAGAGTCAGGGCGGGTCGCGAGGACGGGCGAGCAGGGGAAAGGAGATGCGAAAGGGTCGGGCGGCGAGTGTATGGCGGCGTGGTCGAGGCTGTTACTCGACAGGTGCCTGCAACGAGGTGTGTCAGACTCGTGCGGCACGACGAGAGGATTCGCAGCGTAGAGAGTGCGAGAGCTCGCGCACGCACCTGCTCGACGTTGCTCGTCGCTCGCTTCCTGCGGGTGCGGACAGGGCTCTTGGTCGTGGCCGGCGGACTCGCCGACAAGTGTGCATGCCATCGAGGGTGCGAGTATCGCTCAAGTCGAGCTGCCGTGCGACGAGGCAGGGAAAGCAGAAAGGTCGTTCAAGACGCACAATCGTCCGAGCGACGGCACCTTTTCGAGCAGGCCGCCCAGCTGTCGGAGGTTCTCGAAAACCTCGAGACGACCCGCGTCGTCAGAAGAGTTGTAGTGGCGCACGAGAGCCGAGTGCGCCGGCGCCGAGGTGCTCAAGTGCGTCCGCGCGCTCGGGATGAAGCTCCGTAGCAGGAGCGACGAGGTCCCGCACGGCCTCCACGAACGTCTTACAGGAAATGTGGACTTGTCGAGCGCGCCCGAGTCAGGACCGGCCGACAGATCGCAAGAGGAAACGAGCTGTCAAAACGTACCGGCTCGAGGAGCGTACGAGGTTGCCGAGAGCTGAACGACCCAGGGCGTCGAGCCCCGGATACGAGAGCGACTTGAATCGCTTGGAGAGAGCCGGGAGCGAACACAGAGCGTGCCGTCACAAGAAGGAGAGGGCGAGGGGAAGCGAAATCCGAGTTGCGAGACCGGCAAGCTCTGTGCGGAGACAGGCTTCGGAAAGTCCGCCGGGCGGACGCGTGGCTCGTCAACGGCATGAAGCCCAGAGCAGGCTGGCGCAGTAGCTCCAGGCGGTCGCTTCGAGGCGCGGCGAGCGAACGCGAGAGGACCGGCGAGGCCGTCGAACGCAGTGAGCTTGCCGTCGGCCGACTTGAGAAGGCCGATTTGGCGCCGACGCTTGGACCTCTCGCCGTCGCTTTTGAGCCAGCTCTCTCGCACACTCTCAAAAGGTTGCAAGCAAGAGACGAAGAGAAAAGGAGAGAAACGCGATCCAGACCCGGCAGCTACCAAGCTCCGCTCCCCGTACCGCCTTGGCGGCCCTCGAGCACCCTCACGGTCGATCCAGCGCGGCGCCCGAGCGCGTGGTACGGGCTCGAGCCGTCGCGCGACTGCTCATCGCGACGACGAGGAGGCGTGGGAACGAAGTAAGGCGAGCTGTGGCCCTGACCGTAAGGCGGGACGGGCGGATACTTGGTGTCCGAGCCCGACGACGAGTAGCCGCTCGTGTCGTCGTGCGAGTCCGAGTCTGGCGAGGCGGGACGGACGGCGTGGCCGTCGTGATGGAACGAGGAGCTGGGCTGCGCAGGAGGCGAAGCGAGTGTCAGGCCGTCGTCCTCGCGTGCCCATGCAGAAGAAGGAAAAGCCGAGCGCACATGCGTGATCTGCACACCCGAAAGGCGAGGCACGCTGTCAGGCCCACGAGTAGACGTGCGGGCCGACGATGGCTCGCCAGCATGACGGCGCTCGGCGGTCGCCGCCAAGGCGGCTCGCTCCTCCCTGAGCTGCCGCCTTCTCTCGGCTTGGCGTCGCCTGGCTTCCGGCTCCTTAGGCCAGATACTCGTCCAGTGTCTCTGCAGGACGAAAGGGTCAGAAAAAACGCTCGAGTGACGGGAAGTCACGTTCGAGGAACAAAGGACGAGGAAGAGGAGGACGGACGGTTTCGGCGTCGTGGTTCTCGAGGCGCTCGCGCCACCTCTCGAGCTTCGCCCGAACGTAGCCCCGCGTCTCCTCGTTCGCAGCGTCCCACCGCTTGATGAGGTAGTTGGCGCAGAGGTCGCGTCCCTCCTTGCGGATGGCGGCCGCGTGCCCTGGGTTCGCTCGGACGCCCTTCTCGACGACATCTCGCACGGCGGCGACGTAGTCGCCTTCACGATTCTGCGAGACACGCAGCGAGAATGAGTCAGGACGAGAGCCTGGGAGGCGACCATGACGCAGAAGGTGGGCGTACGAGGTTGTCCATGAGGTCCGTGCGGCGGTGCGCGAGTGGGGAGGTGACGGCGACGAGGATGCTTTCGCGTGCGAAGCGAAGAAAGAGGAGGACGAGGGCACAGAGGCGAGAGAGGGAGAGGGCTACTGTGGGTGACGGTCGACGGAGAGCCTAAAGCCGGTCGACGAGCGCGGACGAGAGGAAAGACCCGGCGCAAGGACCGCGCTCGAGCCAAAGCCGCGCCGAGCCGGACAGGAGGTGAGCTCGACGATCGAGATACGAACGTCGTTGCAGACAAATCGCGTTCGCCGCCCTGCACGAGGCCGACCTCGACTCGGCTACTCGTCCTCGTCCTCGCTGACCGGCGGCGCCACCTTCTTCTTCTTGCTCGCTCCTCCTCGGGACGACCTGCGAGTTGCGGCGGGCGACGACTCGGCGCGAGAAGCGGCGGCGTCCGAGTCTGCGAGGGGGAAGCAGGGGAGGGAAAGCCGCCGAGTTAGTTTGTGGGCGAGTGACGGGAGAGGCCGCTCTCGCCGCAATCGACGGACGAGGCAGAGGCAGGAGAGAAAGAGGATGCCGCCACGCACCGTCGTCGTCCTCGTCCTCGTCCTCGTCGTCCTCGTCCGCCCGACCGCGCTTCTGCCCCTTGCCCGTGCCGCTCCCCTCCTTGCCCTTGCCCTTCTTCCCCCTCTGCGCCGGTGTCGCCGCCTCGCTCGTCGCGTGCACGCTCTCCTCCTCCTCGTCATCGCCGTCGAGCCCGAGGGCGGCGACGCCGACCGGCACGCCGTGGAACTTGCGCGTCTTGGGGTCGCGAGGCCAGGTCCTGCGAGGGGCGAGGGAGGGCCGCAAAGTGAGCATGCGCTTCATAAGGTTTCCGCGCGCGCGAGAGAGGGAGAGAGAAAGGGAGAGAGAGGGAGAGAGCTCGGGACGCACTGCTTGCACGGGTCGGGCGGGCTCGAGAAGTGGTCGGGGCACTGCCCGTTGACGCCGAGTCGGCGCGGCGCACAGAACGTGTGGAGGCGGACGCCGCAAGCGGCATTCGGGCAGGCGTAGCCCTGCACGCGACGTGAGCGGAGGAGAGGTCAGGTCGGCGGCTTGGCGGGTGACGAAAGGAAAAGGTGAGGGGACGCACGCTCGTGACGATGGAGAGGCAGTCGTTGCAGTCGACGACGACACGATGCCTCGGGTCTGGCGCGTCCTCGTCGTCGTCCTCGGCGTCTTGCGCGAACGTCTCCCGCAGGTACGGCGCAAGCTCGACCAGCGAGCGCGGCGACAGGGTGAGGCGAGCCGACGGATGGAGCGAAAGCCAGCCTGCGAAAGAGAGCGTAAGGTCCTGTGCATGTCCGGCGAAACGAGAGCGAGAGGAAGGGAGAGGGACGGACCCTTGGCGAGGAAACTCTTGACGAGCTGGATGGCGACCGTCTTGGTGACCGGCTGCTTGGCGCAGCGTACAGCGTCCGTCTGCGAGATGCTGTAGCTCAGGCGTGGCGCAAGCATGATCTTCTCGACCTGCGGGGGGTGAATGCGAGTCAGTTCGCCTATTGAGTCGAGGACGAATTCGTCCCCAAAAAGAGCGAACGAGAGGGACGCACGACGGCCTTGAAGAAGGCGATCTCCTCGGCCTTGTACTCGGTGGCGAGCTTGGCCGGCTGGTCCTGGATCGTATTGACCTGCGAGTAGGAAAGGGCTATGTGTCAGGCGGAACGTGCGAGGGGACGAGGGCGAGGACGACGCACGAGGATGTACATGCCGGTCCCAGTCTCTTGGTCGCGCGTCATCTTGATGTCGAAGCCGCACAGCGACAGACCCGGCTCGAGTTGCGCGATAAAGTTCTCGAGCGGCGGCGGCGCGTCGACTGCGACCTCGAGAGCGACCGAGAGGAGGTGGGGCAGGGGAGGAAGGGAGGAGAGGTCAGTGACGCCAGGCACCGAAGGAGACAGAGAGAGCTCAGGACGTACGACTGCACAGGGTGGCGCACTCCTTGTAGAGCTCCTTGGCCGTGTCGAGCGAGAGCGTCTTGCGGGCGATGAGGGCCTGGAGGAAGAGGTGCCGGCAGGTCTTGAGCGGCTCTTTGAGGTCGAGGGCGGCGATCTGGGCGGCGTTCTCGTCGTCGCTGTCATTGCCGGAGGCGTGCTGGCGGCCTTTGGACTGCTTGTGGGAGCGCTGTCGCCTGGACGAGGCGTCGTCGGACGAGGCGGACGGGGACCGCTGAGCGCGCGAAGTGGATGCGCGCGGGGCCATGTCGTGGGGCTTGCTGTGCTGCTGAGTGGGCTGACCGGGCAGCGAGCGGCGCAGAGGTCGCTGGCCAGGTGGGAGAGGGCCGAGAGGGAACAGCGAGCGATGAGAAACGCGCCGAGTCGCGTCCCTCGCGACGACGACGACGACCAGCTCACACGCTCGCACAGGGGCTCTCATGTGGCCCGCACAGGATACGATAGTGTCTATGGCACGGCGAGCAAATCTACAGCCGAGCAGAGCTCATTCAAAAGTCACCGACCCTCGAGCCGGCTCGCTCAGCTCCGCCAGCATCTCCTCGCCCTTGCCGCCGACCCTCTCCGACGCGTTCCCCTCGACTTCCGTCGCGCCCGTCGCCCGTGCCGCCGCCTCCTCCTCCCGCCCGAACCGCACGGCCGTCCCCCTCCTCTCGCACTCCCTGACCACCCTCGCGACCGCCCAGTCAAACTCGCCGTTGCCCTTCCAGGCGTCGACCCGCGAACGGTCCCACGTCGCCGGAAGCACGAGCTCGACGAGCCCGCCGAGGCAGGACGCGTCGCTCGGTGCCGGGACGCCAAAGAGGGACGGCGGCGCCGAGGCCGACATGGCGAGCGGCGACGGACGCCTGGTCGGCGAGGACGACGCCGACGTCGGCGCCGTGTTGGTCGTGCTCGACGTCGCGAGAGCGAGAAAGGCTGTCGACAGCGCCTGCGCCGCGACGAGGTGCGGCTCGAACGGGTCACGGGCGCCGCTCGAGCGCGCCGGGCTCGGGGCGACGATCTCGAAGCGCTGCGGTCGGGCAGTCGACCGCTCGACCGTGTCGAGGACGGGGGCCGTGAGCGCGGCGACGGGGAGGACGAGGTGCGCGAGCGCACGGCCGCACCGTTCAACCAGGTCGAACGGGTCGACGACGCCGTCTCGCCGGTGCTCCTCGTCCGAGAGCGGCCTGCTCGTGAGGCTCAGAAGGGCGAGCTGGGGCGCGAGCTCGGCCGGGCTGTGCGTGCCGAGGTCGCGCAGCGTGACCGGGTCGTCGACGAGGCGACAGTCCTCGAGCGACAACGCGCGCAGGTTGGGCAGGGTGTGCGCCGAGAGGAACTGGGCCGCGCTCGGCCCATCGATCTGGAGGTTCTCGATGACGAGCGTCTCGAGGAACGGGAGGGGCGTGAAGAAGGGCGTGAACCGAGAAGTCGTCGTGCGGTCCGACACGAGCGAGTCGACGAGGGCGAGGTGGCGGAGCTCTGCGGGGGAGGAGCTGCGTCAGTCTCAGTCACAGGGCATCGTCGAGAAGACGAGAGGATGAGAGAACGAGAGGACGCACGACGGGCGTTGGCAAAGTCGGTGAGGGAGAAGACGACGACCCGGCGCAACTCGAGCGCCTCGAGCGCGGGACACAGCTCGAGGACCTTGGCGAGCCGGGTCGTGAGCGGGCTCCTGCCGGCGTGCTCGTCGTCTGCGCGCTTGGACAGGCCGCCGTCGAGTCGCAGGCGGGTGACACGCCTCGCGAGGTCGGGCGCGCGCTTGACGGTGCGGAGGAACAGGTTGATCTGCCGCGTCGACGTGAGGGTCGGCTCGGCGTACAAGAGGTTGCGGACGCGATCGCGAGTTTGGGTGCACAGGCGGGCGACGGTCGAGGGCGAGTTGAGGAAGGTGAACTGGAGGATGAGGAGGACGACCTCGGCGGGGAGGACCGGTCGGCGTCGAGGTCGAGCAGGTCGCGCGCCAGACGGCCTGTCGGTGACGCTGCGGGGGTGCACGACGCAGTTCAGCACGGCTGTGGCTTGTCTGCGTGCCTCGGCAGGACAAGTCCGAGAGGATCCGAGGTGGGGGCCGCCGAGAGAGAGAGTGGACGCACCTGGGCCTGCGGGTGTGGCGGAACGAGCTGGTGCGCTTCTTGCGTCGGAACAGCGAGAAGAACGGCATGCTCGACGTGGCTGAGAGGCGACAGGGGGCGAAGGTGGAGGCCGCGCGCGTTCGGACGACTGCCGAGCGAGAAGGGCTCGCCAGACGACGGTGATGCGAGGCCGGGTGTGCGGGTGGCGCTCGAGGCTATGTGCTCACTGTCGCAAGCTGTGCAGCGCGCGCAGAGGCTCGACGAGGTAGTGGGAGGCAGCAGAAAGAGCAGTAGACTCGGCTTTGCCTGCACCGCCTCCGAGAGCTCGCTCTCTCTCTCTCTCGACGACACGAGGCCTGACAGAGGTCGACGGGCTATGTACAAACAGTCGCTCTATCGTATGCCTACAAATGCCCTGAAAGCCCCCTTTCCCTCAGCCTCCTCCTCCCTCGAGCCGAGTCCACCGCCGCCCGCCCTTCAATCCTTTGGCGCCCGAACCGGCCGACGACGACGATGACGATGGCGCTCAGGCGGCGGTGGGCACGACGCCCGAGTTGAGCGGCTCGTTCTCGAGGTTGACGCGGCCGCTGAGGACGTCGACGAGGCGCTGCATCGGCTCCCACCACTGCACCTTGCCGCGGCGGTTCTTGATGTCGGCCTGCTGCATCATCTCGTCGACGGCGACGAACCGAATGCCGGCGCCCTGGATCGCGATCGACGCCGCGCCCGGGTCGCCGCCGGCCTGGGCGTGCTGCTGCTCGAGCCAGTCGATGCACTTGACCGTGAGGCGCACGGCGCGAGTGCGGTCGCGCGGCGAGGGGACGCCGCCCTGAAGCGTGTGGCCGAGCGAGACGAGGCGCGAGTCGAACAGGTCCTTGCCCTCCTCGGCGAGGATGTTGGAGAGGACCTCGGTCGTGTACGTCTTCGAGGCGCGCTCGGCGCTGTGGGCGAGAAGGCAGGCTCGACGAATGTCAGTCGACGCTGACGGGCGAAGGTATACGGGCACGAGGGAGGGAGCGCAGGGACGCACCGGATGACGAGGCGGCCCTCGCTCTTGCCGTTGACGTCCTGCTGGTAGCGCTTCTTGAGGAAGTTGACGTCCGAGACGAGCGTCTTGAGGTCGAGGCCCTTCTCGGGCGTGTACACGATGTTGGCGCCCGACTGTGTGCGACGAGGAGAGCGACTGTCAGTCCTGCTCGGCTCGAGGACGACGACGAGGGGAGGGGGAGAGACGAAGGAGGGCGAGAGGACGCACCGCAAGCGCTCCGAGCATGGCGATGTAGCCGCAGCCGGCACCCTGCGTCTCGACGACAAAGACACGGTTGCGGCTCGCCGTCGCCGACTGCTTGATGGCGTCGCACGCGTCGACGAGGACGTTGATGCTCGTGTCGGACCCGATGCTCCATTCGGTGACGGGCACGTTGTTCGAGATGGTGGCCGGGAGGTGGACGAGCGGGATCTTGAGCGCCTTGTAGCGGTCGCGAGCGCGGCTCAGCTGGTTGAGCGCGACCATGCCCTCGAACCCGCCGACGATGAGGAGCGAGTCGAGCTTGTACTCGGCGAGCTTGGCGGCGATGGCCTCCATGTCCGAGTCGGGCAGGGTGCGGTTCGTGCCGAGCTCGGAGCCGCCGCGAGTGCCCCACTGGTCGACGCGCAGCCAAGTGAGCTCGGCGACGTTGCCCTCGAGGAGGCCGACGAAGCCGTTGTAGATGGCGACGGGCGTGTGGCCGTGGCACAGGCAGTAGCGGACGGCGGTACGAGTGGCGGCGTTCATGCCGCCGGCGGGCGCACCGGTGCTGCAGGAAGGGAAGGGAAGGAGGAGGAGGTCAAGAGACGCTCGAGGAGAGAAGGAGGGGGACGAGCGACGCACTGGACGATGCCGACGCGCATGCGCTGGGCCTCGGGAACGCGGTACTCGGTGTTGAGCCGGGTCGTGGCGCGGAACGCGTGCAGGCAGTCCTCGAACTCGGGGTCGCGCAGGCTGAGGGCGCGCTCAAAGTCCATCGCCTCGATCGCCTTGGCGACCTCCTGCGTCTTGGCGACGGCCTCCATGAGCGGCTGACGCGTGATCTTGTTCTCCGAGCTGCCGATGACGGGCGACGGCGTGTCGGGCGTCGACGACAGGACGGCCTCGACGGCCTCGGCACCCTGGAGCGTCGCGAGGATGCGGTCGTACGCGACCGGGTTGCCGCCGCGCTGCGTGTGGCCGAGCGTCGTGACGCGAGTGTCGAGGCCGAGGCGGTTGGTGAGGACGTCCTTGATTTCGTCGGGCGTGATCGGGTTGAGCTTGCAGTCGTGCGCGCCCTCGGCGACGATGACGATCGTCTTGCGCTTGCCCTCGTCGCGGTGCTGCGGTCGATGGGCTGCGTCAGGACGATGCGGAGCTACAAAAGAGAGAGAGAGAGAAAGGAGGACGCACACGACTGAGGACGCTGCACATCGAGCTCTGCCAGTCCTCGGCGGTCGGAGGACGCTCGGGGATGAACATGTAGTCGGCGCCGGTCGCGATCGACGCCATTAAGGCAAGCCAGCCGCAGTGACGACCCATGACCTCGACGACGAACGCGCGCGAGTGCGACGAGGCGGTCGACGAGATGCTGTCGACGGCGTCGCAGATGCGGTGGAGGGCCGTGGTCGCGCCTGGAGGAACGAGAAGGACACGAGGTCAAGGCCGGGCCTCATGCTGCCGAGGTAGGCCGGCGAGAAGAGAGAGGGACGCACCGATGGTCATGTCGGTGCCGGCCATGTCGTTGTCGATCGACCCGACGAGGCCGACAATGTTGAGGTTCTTGTGGATGTCGTACTGGTCCTGCGAGATGTCGCCTGCGTACACGATAACCGGTGTGAGTATCTGGCGCCGAGGAGGACCGGCGAAAAAGGCGAGGGGACGCACCACGCTCGAGAAGAGCCGTCATGTGCTCGGGCCACTCGGCACGGAGCTTGTCGGCGCCCGTGAGCGAGCCGTCACCGCCGCAGACGACGAGGGCGTCGATGCCGTGGCGGACGAGGTTGAGGGCGGCCGTGCGACGGCCCTCGAGCTCGCGGAAGGCGGCGCAGCGAGCCGTACCGATGAGCGTGCCGCCGATCGAGGCGAACCCGCGGACGTCGTCCCAGCCGACCTGCAGGGGGGCCACGCAGTGTCAGTCGGCTGCCCAAAACCCTCTGACGGGGCGGAGAGAGGGAGAGGGACGCACGCGAATGATGTAGCGACCCTTGAGCGTCTGCTCGCCCTCGCCCTCCTTGAGGAGCTCGCCCTCGCCGTAGGTGGCGACAAAGCCGCCGCGGCGCTTCTCGGGCGCAGCGTCGGTCGCGACGGGCGCACCGGCGAGCGGGGGCGACGACGCGTTGGTCTCGACGTGCGCCGACTCCTCGTTGCCGCGCACGAGACCCTCCCAGCCCTCGCGGACGACGAACGCCTCGCAGCCGCTGTTGCCGGGAACGAGACAAAGGTCAGTCTACGTGCTCGCGAGGGGCGCGCGAGCGCAGGAACTCTGAGTCCAGGCTGCTGAGGGAGCGACTCGAGCCGACCGCGACCGCTCCGCCGTTGAGCCGCCAAGTGGGCGACCGCTTTCTGCGCGTCGCCGCAGGCCCCATCGTCTCCAGGACCTCTTTGAGACTACGTCCTGCGCCGCTGCCGACCGTCGCGCCCTTGCGTGCCCCGCATCGCCCCTCATCAAGGTCGTCAAGACCGACCCTCGCCTCGCTCGTCTCGCTGCCCTCGTGCACCGGTGCGACCGCCGCAGAAAGTTCGAGAGAGGGCACGAGGGGGGAGGAGAAGAGAGACGCACCGAGCAATGGCCATCTTGACGACGGCGCGCACGGCCGCGTTCATGCCCGCCGAGTCGCCTCCCGAGGTGAGGACGGCGAGCCTGGTGCGGCGCTTGCCGGACGCCGGGGTGGCGGGCTCGGCGGGCGAGAGCCCACCGGTGTTGTTGCCGCCCCAGGCAAAGGGCGGAGGCGTCTCGGCGCCAGAGAGGTGAGGGGTGCTCGGGGCCGTCGAGGCGGGGAGCACCTTGCTGAGCTGCTCGGCGACGCGGTCGAGCGGGTTCTGGCTCATGGCGTGTAGGTGGCTGGTGGTCGAGTGGGTGCGCAAGAGCTCTTGCGAGCAAGGTCGAGTGGTGGAGGAAGCGAGCGAAGAGGAGCGGCCGAGCCCAAGAAGTCGACTGAGCGTCATCGATTCGTCGCTCCCTCGGGTGCAGCCGTGGCCGCTCTCTTGCTGCTCTCTGATAGCGACAGAAAGAGTCTTCGCATGAAGCCAAGCAAGGCGAAAGCGAGCAGCGAGCTAAGTGTCTCGAGCGAGCCAATCTCACTGGAGGATCTTTCTCTCGGGCGAGAGACTCGACGTTGCGCGCACTGTCCTCGTTCGCAGCGCGCCATCTAGTCGTCGACGCCGACGAGCCGCTCCTTCCACTCCTTCCACCCGAGGCTCACCGCGAGCCCCTCGGCCTCGTCGCGCTCGATCGCGCACCGCAGCTTGACGCCGTCGAGCACCTTGTCCTGGGCACTCGCGCGCGTCAACAGGCGCAGCTGGACGAGCGCCTGCACGAGCGCGAGGACGGCCGGCGTCCCGAGCGCGTACTCGAGGCGGCTGTCGAGGACGGCGTCGAACAGGGCGACGAGGCGCTCGAGCGCGAACGGCTTGCCGCCGCTCAGCGCCGCTGCGTTCTTCTGCGGGGGTGCGAGACGAGGACGAGGCGCAACCGAGTGTCAGTCTGGTCCTCTCAATGACCCGGCCACCGAGAGAGGGGAGAGCGCGGGACGCACCTTTGGGCTGCCCTTCCCACCGGCCTTGGCCCCGCCGCCCTTGCGCTTGGCCTTCTTGCCCTTGCGCGCGACCCCCTCGGTCTCGTCGACGCGCACAAACATGCGCACGTCGCTCTTGGGCGGGTTGTGCGCCGCAAAGTAGGCCGCGAGGAGCAGGTACCGCGCCGCGAGCGGGAGCGACTTGGCGAGCGTCGCCGCCGAGGCGGGCGCTGCTGCTGCTGCGGCTGCGGCGGCGGCGGCGACAGCGGGTGCTGCGGCGCCGGCGCGAGAGGACGAGCTCGCCGTACGGGCCATGCTCGGGGCGGGCCCGGCGGCGAAGAACGGGTCGACGGCGCCGGCCGACGGGCCCGGGCGCGCCGGCGAGGCAAACGCCTGAGCGGCCCGAGCGGCGAAGAAGTCGCCCGAGTCGGCGCCGTCGTTCGAGCCCGGGGCGCCGGCGTCGAGTCGTGCGGCGGACGAGGACGAGGGCGAGTCGAGGTAGGTCGGCTGCTTGGGCGGCGCCGCGATCGTGCCCGTGAAGCCGAGCGCGCTCGTCGGTGCTGCGCTCGAGGTCGAGTGGTGGGCATTGGGGCCTTGTGCGGCGGCGAGGCCGACTGGCGGGAGCGAGGCGAGGGTCGGGCGAGGGAGGAAGAGGCGCTCGAGCTCGGCGGCAAACTCGGGCCTGAGCGCGATCGAGAGACGGGCCGTGTCGGTCGGGGCGATGGGCGCTGCTCGGGCGAAGAGTCAGGACCTGTCACTGTGAGAGGAAAGGGGAGGGAAAGACAGGGACGCACGATTGCTGCGCTCGCGCACGTCCTTCCACCTCCGCCACAGTCTGGCGCACATGAACGCGAGCTCGTCCACCTCGGTGACGGCGCCGCCGAACGTCGACTTGACGACATAGGCGAGCGAGCGGAAGAGCTCGACGAGCTGGGCGTGCGACAGCGAGTCGGACGACGTCGGGTGCGAGGCGGGCGACGAGGCGAATCGCGAAGTGAGGAGGGCGACGGTTTCTGCATGGCGGCGCAAGAGTCAGGCTCGAGATCGGCGCAAGAGGAGAGCGAGAGGACGCACCTGTACTCGTCATGTCGTCGACCGAGAGCAGCTCTGGGCTCGGCAGGCCGACCATCGACTCGCGCAGCTTGTGCCACGGCAACCGCGAGATGGTGACGACCGTGATGGGCAAGCCCGTCTGCGCGCACACGCAGTTGTTTAGTACCGCGTGAGAGAGTGAGAGGGAGGAAGTAGAGAGACGCACAAGGTCGGCGAGCCGGTGCAAGGTGCTCGCGAACGTGACGCCGACACCCGTCTCCCTCGCCGCGCCGCTCGCCCCTCCTGTGCCACCCGCCAGCTCGCCGAGAAGCTCGCCGTGCTCGACGACGATGAAGCGCCGAGCGGGCGCCGCTGGGCCGTGGTCGTCTCGAGGCGCGAGGTCGGCGGCGGGGTCGAGGGCGGACGAGGCTGCGCTCGGGAGGACGGGAGGCGAGGGCGAGAGCGCAAAGATGGCGCGCAGCGAGTGGTGGAAGGCGTCGACCGTGTTGCGCAGCGGGGCGAGGGCAGGCTTGTCGACAGGGCGAACTGGCGCGTCGTCGTCCCACTCGAGGACCCAGCGCGGGCCGTCGTCGCCTTCTCGTCGCTCGCCGCCGTCGTCGCTCGAGTCGACGCTCGCTCGCCTCGCCGTCCTCGCACGCTTGGGCGGGCGCTCGCCCGAGCTGTTGCGGCGGTGCGGGTCGGCGTGGACGACCTTGAGGCGGTCGAGCGAGCCGTGCCAGGCCGGGATGCCCTTGTCGCGGTCGTCCCAGGGTGGGTGGCCGTTGCGGTGGGCAGAGGTCCAGGCCGAGAGCTGGTCGAGGATCGAGTCGAACGCGGCCTTTGTCGAGTAAGCGCGTGCGAGGTCGAGTGAGGCGACTCGAGGGAGGAGGGTGTCGACCGAGGGCCGGTCTCGCGCGGTCGCTGCTCGGTGGTCGGTCACGGCGTGCTCGAGGGTGACGGTGACGGTGCGGGCGAGGTGATCTGCGTCCCCTGGGACGTGGACGAAGAGGGACGCAGGTGGGGCGGGCGACGAGGCGACGGCGGCAAGGTGGGCCACGAACGCAGCGAGCGGGGCCATGAGCGGCGCTTTGGCGAGCTCAGAGTGGCTGTCGCAGTAGTTGCTGGACCGGCTCTGGCGGCTAGAGCGGTGAGAGGGCACAGGCGAGGTCGCTCGACTTGATCATGGCGCTCCTCCGTCCCTTCTCTCGCATCCGCTCTCGCTCGAGCTGGGCCTCGCGCAGCACCACCACCGGGCTAGACGCCTCAGCTGCCGCCACCAGGGCCACCCCCCTCGCCCCGAGCGACCTCACCTCGCTCGCTCCCTCCCCACACCTCGTCGCCTCGTCGACCATGGTCTGGGTCGTCCAGGGCACCCTCAACAGCGAGCCCCACCCAAGCACGAGCACCGAGTCCTTCCCGCAACTCTCGTCCCACTACCTCCGCCCCAACCGCTCGTACCGCCTCGGTCGCGCCGGCGGCGTCCGCGCTCCCCTCAAGCCCGGCCAGGACAAGCCCGGCCCCGCGAGCCGCCACCGCCCGTACGACTTCCGCATCGCCAACCTCGCCATCTCCAAGGACGGCCTCTTGACCCTCGACACACACGGCGCCGACTGGGACCCGCTCGACAACCACGACCGCCCCGACAACCTCGAGCCCTACTCGCTCACCTTGACCGCCACGAAGAAGCTCGAGCTCGTGCGCACCAACGGCGAGGTCGTCGACATCGCGCCCAACGAGACCGTCGTCGTGCACGACGGTGACTCGTTCCACGAGCGCAACAAGGGCTTCTCGTTCGGGTCTGTCCCTCCCTCTTTCTCTTCCTCTCGTGGCCTCGTCTCGGCCCTGACGTCTCTCTGCCTGCCGCACACAGCTTCACCTGGCGTCCCGTCAACCTGTGCTTCAGCGCCGCGTCGGCCGAGAAGAAGAAGCAGTACGCCGCTCACGCCAAGAAGCTCGGTGCGTCAACTTCGCCCTCTCAGCCCCTTCTCGCAGCGCGTGACTCACGCCTCGCCTTGCCCTTCTCAATACTGCAGGCATCAAGATCGCGTACCGCGACTTTCGCGCCCACCACACGCACCTCGTCGTCAAGACGGCCGCTCCCAACGCGACCGTGACGCTCGCCGCCATGCACCGCGCCCACATTGTCGCACCGACGTTCTGCGACGACCTCTTCCAGGCCGGCGCGCCCAAGCCGTTCCCGCCGGCCGACCACGTCCCCGTCCGGCCCGAGCCGCTCGCGCCCGACGCCGGCGCCGACGACAAGGCGGCGCACGACCGCGCCGTCGTCAAGTGGGAGCGCGACGTGCTCGAGCTCGAGCCCGACGTCGGCTTCGACACGGGCAGGTGGTGGGGCCACTGCCTGCTCGAGCAGAACTGGGCGGCCGCGTGGCCCGGCGAGGACGCGCACGTGCCGGCGAGGTGGGACGGCCAGGACCCGACGAGGTGGGCCATCCCGAGGGCCGAGAGGGCGACGCTCTTCCAGAACGTCCTGCTTGTGAACCTGAGGGGCAGTCCTGAAGCCGTATGTCCCCTCTTTCGCCGCCTCGTTCGCCTGTCGTCGTCCTTCTCAAGTACTGATACCTCTTGGTCGGCCCCTCCCACAGGATGCCATCCACGGCGCCCTCGTCACGCTCGGCGGCGGCACCTACTTCCCCTGTGCCCTCCTCCAGCACTCGCCGCTCCCGACCTCGATCGAGCCCCTCCTCGACGCCATCGAGACGTTCAAAGCGGCGCACGTGCCCGCCACCGACGCCGGCGCCGCGAGCCGCATCGCCATCTTCCCGCCCGAGGGCGTGCTCGAGCCGGTCGAGGGCGCGAGCGAGGACGAGATTGCGCTTGGCGAGCAGCAGAAGGAGCTCGTCCAGGAGTTGCAGCACGCGTGCGTCCCTCTCTTTCTCTCTCTCTTTCACCTCCGCTCCTCCCTCTCCTCTTCGCGAGTCCCGTCGTACTGACAAGCTTTGAGCCCGATGTCGACAGCCTCCAGGTGCCCAAGCTCTGCTCGCCCGACGGTCGCGACCTCGCCACGGCCATCTACGACCTCAACCTCGACGCGCTCTTCCCTGTCGATGTCGGTCAAGGCGCGTCGGCCGCTCAAGGTGACGATGTCGGTGGGCCCGACGTGGGCCGTTCGACCTGTGCGTCCTCTCGCTCCCTCGTCTGTCTCCTGCGGACTCAGAGAGCCCGACCACTGACCAGCAGCCGAGCCATCCTGCAGCGCGCCGCACGCAGACGACGCAGGCGCTCACGCAGGCGACGCCGCCTTTCCCGACGGGCGGCGTGCCCGGCACGCACCCCGACAGCGGCATGCCCGCGCCGACGGCGTCCGGGTCCGGCTCGGCGCCGGCGGCGTCGACCTCGGCGGCGGCGGCGGCGGCGGCGGCAGGAGCAGGGGCGGGAATGAGTCAGGAGGGGAGCGAGTCGGGGCAGAGCCAACCTCGCAAGGTGCGCCGCACTCGGTCCTCTCGTCCTTTCGCCGAGACGAGCTCACTAACCCGAGGATGGTCGATGGTTTTCCTCCCGCAGCTCACTCGCCGTGCTCGCACGGGCCGCACCGTCCTCGACTCGATGTTCGCCGACCTGCCCGCCGAGGAGACGGCTCGCCCGTCGAGCTCGACCGCACGCCCGCACGACCTCGCCGGCGGCACGCTCGACTCGACCTCGCTCAACGCGTCGGCCTCGGGCGGCGCCGGCATGGACGTCGACGCTGCGCCTTCGACCTCGGCCGCTCCCGCACACGGCGACCGCATGCCGCGCCGTCGCGCCGGCCGCACCGCCGTCGAGCTCCTCCTCGACACGGGCGACGACTCGCCCGACCATGACCGCGGCGGCGGGCGCTCGGCCGAGGCGGCGACGCAGAGCACGCACGACGAGCTCATGCGCACGTCCATGACGCGCGAGCAGCGGCGTGCGGCGCTCAAGGAGGAGGACGAGCGGCTCGCGAGGGAGGAGCAGGAGGGGCGGGCGCAGGACCGGGGCGCCCCGGCGGCACCGGGCAAGAAGCGCCGCTTCCGCGTGTCGCCGAGCGCGAGCGAGAGCGAGGGGGAGGAGGAGGGAGGAGGGCGGACTCGCAAGCGCGGGTGGAAGAAGGGCGGCGACGCGCCGGTCGCGACGCTCAAGAAGCGCACGAGGGCCCAGAGCCGCGACCCGACCGCCGCCGTCGCCGGCACGACGTCGAGCGACGACGACGAGGAGGGCGCACGTCGTGCCGCTCGCAAGAAGAGCAAGGCGCCGCAGGGGTCGTCGCCGCCGCCGCCGGGCCCGACCGCGGCGAGGGCGCCCAAGAACAAGAAGGAGGCCGCCGCCCTCAAGAAGGCCGAGAAGGCGGCGCAAGAAGCTGCTGCGCAGCGCCTCCTCCAGGTCAAGCCGACCAAGCGCCGCGGCGGCGAGACCGACAACCAGTTCACCGAGGAGTTCAACGCGCTCAAGATCGTGCGCCCCAAGCTCCAGGCCATGCCGCAGCAGGAGCACCGCCGCATGCGGTGGAACGACGAGGACTCGGACGTCGAGCGCGAGCGGCTCATCGTCGAGGACGAGGCGCGCGCCGAGCAGGGCGAGCGAGACGACGACGGCGACGACGACATGGACCCGGACCAGTGGCGCCGGCCGACCCAGGCCATGTTCGTGCTCCGCTCGTTCGACGTTGAGCGTAAGACGCCTCGTGCGGCGGCGGCGGCGGCGGCGGCGGCGGCGGCGGCGGACGGCGAGGTGGACGAGCGGTGGGCGGGCAAGCCCAACTTCAAGAAGTTCCGGGTGCGTCCCTCCTTCCCTCTTCGTCCCCTGTTTCGCCTTGTACACCTCTCTGACCTCGTTCTCGATCCGCAGCACAAGAACTCGAAGGCGCCTCGAGCGCCGTTCGCGCAACGAGCGCAAGTCGAGCTCACGGTCCCCGACCTCGCCGACTTTGGCCTCGGACCAGGTGCGTCCTCGAGCGCCTCTCCCTCTCGCATGTCTTCCTGCCCTTGACGTTCCTGTGTCTACAGGCTACACCGACCGCAAGGGCACCACCTTCACGCAGGTGCAGCAGGCCGACGACGAGGACGACGAGGACGAGCTCTTTGCCGACATGGCGACGACCAAGGGCCAGACCAAGCTCTCGTTCGGCAAGAAGGCCCCCACGACGAGCAAGACCAAGGGCAAAGCTCCCGTCAAACCCAAGTCGGCGCCCAAGAGCAAGGGCAAGGGGAAGCAGATCGTCGCCGACTCGGACGACGACGACGACGACGACAAGTCTCCGCGCAGCTCTCACACCTTGCGCGACGACTTTGACGAGCTCGACGACGACGAGCCCGCCCCGCCGCAACGCCAACCCGCGCCGACAAGGCGCGCCGCAGCCCGCAAGCCCGTCCCGACCGTCATGCTCGACGACAGCGACTCCGAGTCGGACTCGGGCCTCACGTTCAAGGTCCGTCTACCCTCTCGCCCTCTCGTCCTCCCTCCTCTTTTTTTTGTCTTTCGTCTCTCCATGCCTCGCTTCGAGCGGCCCGGCCGGATGAGGGAAGGCGCCGCCGGGCCAATCGACGCGAGCGTCAATGCCCTCGCCGCTCCGAGCGCTCGCTTACTCTCTCGATCGGGATTTGCTCTCCAGGGATTCGGTAAGAAGGCGGCGACCGGGCGGGCCCGGCGCTGAGCGAGGCAGGACGAGGGCGAGGGCGAGGGCGAGGAGAGAGGGCGGGCTTGTCGTCGCTCGTAGCCGGCTCTCGTGCAACTACCGCTTGCTCCGCTTCACACACGATCTTCTGGGCGATCTATTCGTGGTTGCGATGAGGTTTAAGAGAGGTTCCGCGAGCAAAGTCGGAACGCCGGTCGGAACAACGAGCCGTCGGGCGAGCGGGACAGACAAAGGGAAGAGCGAGGGGAGAGGTGGCTCCGCCGCACGGCTCAAGGGTTCGGTCGACAGCCTTTGTTCGCCGATCCGGTAAACAACGCCTCGTGTGAGCGCGCCCCCTTCTCGCGCGAGGCGCAGCTGCTCGCCGACCCTTGCTCTCCTCGACGCCCGGTTCGCTTCATCTCCCTTTGCTCGAGACGTTGTCCTCGTGGCTTCGCAGAGCTCAGGACGCCCCGCAGCCGCATCCTTGACCACCTCGGACGGCGTCCATCAGCTCTTGCACCCAAACTCGTCCCTCGCTGCGGCACCCGACCTCGCTCCCTTCCCTCATCACCTCGGCCCGACTTCTCCCCCTCTCACTCGTCCCTCCCTCCCTCGTCCGCCCCAACGACTAGCCCTTCCTCGTCAACAATGTCGACAGTCGCGGCTATCCCCATCCGCCCCTCCAACGGCGACCGACACGCCCCAGTCCTGTCCACCCTCGACCCGTCCTTCTCGCCAGCGTCGCTCCACCTCCAGCCATGGACCTCGCCTTCACCTCTCCCCTCCACGTCGCCGAGCCAAGGGTACTCTCCTTCATCCTCGCCGTCCCCTCCACCTCTCGGCCATTCGCCTCGACCTGCTTTCGCGGTTCCCATGGGCTCGCGCTGCGAGAAGGTTCCTTACGACGGTCCGGGCACCGCCATCTACGTTCGTCAGCCTACGAGGGCACAGCTTGTACGTCCTTGTCTCGCGTAGAGATAGACCGGCGCCGTCCTGACCCTTTGGCGACGTCCCGTAGCGCGACAACAACTCGCTTTTCGGATCGTCGAGCCGGCCGTACTACTTTCAGGACCCGCAGAACAAGCCTGTACGTCCTCTCATTCTCTCGTATCGTCTCTCGTCTTCCTCTTCTGTTCGCCGACGCAGCGCATCCCGCAGTTCATCGATATCGACGGCAAAGAGTGCGGCGTCCGGTGGATCTACGTCGACCCGAAGGCGCGCGAGCAGCCTTCCGAGGACATGCGCGAGGACGAGGCCGGGTGCTCCATTATGTGAGCTTAGGCTCAGCTGCCACTAAGCAGCTGGCCTTTGAGCGTGCGGTCGACCGGGCCCCGTGAACCCTTTCTCTCTTCCCTGGCCCTTTTCCCCCTTCTTTCCCCCCCTGTACTCGTTTCAGCGCCCCTCAGATGTTGCTCGTGTTAGCTCTCTCGATCTAGATGGTCTCTCTTGCACTATCTCTCGAGGGACAGTGCAGGTTGGACGTCTTTTGTACTCCTTCCCCTCTGTCGTTCCTCGCTCTCGGCTGCACTTGCATCACACTCTGTGCCTTTTCCTTCTTGCGAGAAAGCCGCATTCGAGTATTGCAGAGTCTCTGAGAGAGAGGTGACAGTGCACCGAGCCGGTTGCGCCGGCGAGGGGAGCAGTCAAGCTGGCCTTCTCAAGTTGCGAGCTTTTCGCACGGACGGCTCACGCTCTCCCTCGCGACAAGGCTCGACGACCTGATGTATTACATCGTCATGCTCTGGCGACCGTCTAATGCACGAGGAGAGGCGACAACGTAGAGAAGCAGTCGCCGCAGAAGCGCCCTCCAGCCTCGACCGAACGCGTCGTGTCGAGGAGGCAGAAGATTCCGGCGCACGCGCCGCATCGTCGTCGAGCTGTGCAAGTCAGGCGTGAGTCAGATATACGAGGCGACACGAGAGAGAAAGAGGGAGAGAGAGAGAGAGCGGGACGCACGCTCGACGAGGCTGAACTTGGTCCCGCAGCCCGAGGCCATGCACGAGGACGCCGCCGAGTCCGGGAGGTAGAACTCGGTCGGCGGCGGGTTGAACAGGTACGTCTTGCTGCTCGACGTGCCGGCGTAGAGCGCTCGAGTCGAAAATGCGAGCGCCGTGACGGCGTCCGTGCCGTCCTGCGGCGCGAGCGACCGTCGAGATTGACGAGAGGAGGGCGGATCGGGCGCCGCGACGAGGCGGTCGTCGATGCGGAACGAGCTGACGACCTCGAGGGACCAGCCTGCGGGATACAAGGCAAGTCAGAATACGTTGAGAGGAGGCTGAAAGAGAGGAACAGGGCCGGCGGAGAAGCGAAAGGGCTCACCGCTCGAGGTCGACGAGGCTTGGGATCTCTTGAGGACGACGACTTGACCGTTGCTGAGGCCCACGGCGACGACAGGCGCCGTCTCGCTCTGCGCACGTGAGGCAGGGGAAAGTAAGTGCAGGATCGGCGGACTGGCGGCGGGCGTGGGGCGCACCTTGGACCAGGCGAGCGCCGTGATGTGCTGCGTAGCGCTACCCATGCTGCGCGAGGCGAGGAGGACGCCGTTCACGCTCCAGATGCGCAAGATTGAGCCGGCGCAGGTGGCAAAGTCGCCGGTCGTCTCGCTCTGCGTTCGCGGACGAGGAGTGAGTAAACGTTCGTCGCGTGAAAGAGTGGATAACGTGAAGTTCGACGTACGATAGCGACGACGTGAACGGGGCCGCCGTGGCCATCCAGAAGGCGGACAGGCTGTGAGGCAGAAAGGCAAGTCAGTCGGGCCGGGAAGAGGAGGAGAGGAGCAAAGACGCACCTTGAGCCGGTTGAGGTCCCAGAGGACGGCGACGCCCGATGTACTGCCACTGATGATGATCGAGTAGGCCTTGCTCGCGACGAGTGACACGATCGCGCTCGAGTGCTGGCCTCGCAGCGAGGCGAGCTTGGCGAGGTGGACCGACTTGCTCGAACCGGTCACGCGGATCTCGAGCCGCCACACGACGATAGAAGAGCTGCGAGGGCGAGTGAGTGTCAGTCGGGGAGGCTTCGGCCTTAGACGCAGAGAAAGTGAGGACGCACTCGTCGGAGCCGGTGACGAGCGTCGAGTTGTCGGCGAAGGAGGCGACGACGATGCTGCCCGTGTGCCCGCCCTCCTGCAAGGTGATGGGCACGTTGACGCCCTTCTCGAAAACCCGCAGCGACCCGTCGAGGAAGCCGTGCTGGAGGGTCAAGCCGGCGACGTGCGGGACGGCGAGGACGTGCGCCTGCTCGACTCGGACCTTCTCGGGCGCCGAGGATGAGGGTGGCGGGTGGATGAACGCGATGGGCGACGCCGAGGCGAGCGAGAGGACGGGCAAGATGCACTGGACGAGGGTAGGCGCCGCCTGCTCGACGGCGAGGTCGGGCGCAAAGAGGGGGTGGGTCGCTCGAGGTTTGAGGCGAGGGCGGCGAACAGGATGGGGCTTGACGAAGAGCTGACGAGGTGTCTGGCCGAACGAGTGTATGGTGGAGCAGGCGGCCTTGCGCTCGTCGGCGTCGGTGACGGCGTCCAGATCTGCGGGCCTTGAGTCAGCGACGGCGCAGCGATGATGGAGGAGAAGAGCGAGACGGACCGATGGCGCCCTCGTACGACAGAGCCGAGAAGACGTTGACCGCTTCGACGGCAGCCTCGCCGCGCTGCTTGAAGCCAAAGACGAGGTCGATCCAGCCGTGAAGGTGCGTGCCGACAAACTCGGACTCGAGGGCCTGAGCAAAATGCGAGTGTGCGGCCCGACGTGTCAGGGGTTCGGCCTCGAGTCGTGGAGAGAAGGGAGAGAGGGGCGCACCTCGCGATGAAGCTCGACGAAGCGTCGAGGGTCGCCGTTCGCCCAGGCCGGCAGCGCAACGTCCTCGACAGGTTCGTCGTTCTCTTGCCGCCGACCGAACGACAGCTTGTTGACGTTGACGAGGAAGTCGGGCAGGTAGAAGAACTCAGGCGTGAGCCTGTACGCGACGTGAGAGAGTGAGCTCAGGCCCCTTCTCGAGGCCGACCAGGTCGCAGAGGGTCTGGGCAGACGACGCACTCGCGCACGTCACTCCGGTTCTGCCTGTAAAGGTAGGCGACGGTGTCAGGGAGACTCTCGGCGGCGTGTGACGAGGAGAAAGGCGGACGCACGCGCTCGCCGACTCCCACGCGCGCTTGACGCTCCAGAACAGGCGGTCGGCGTGGTCGAAGGAGCCGCCTTGCAGGTCGAGGTACGCCTCGGTGAACGGCGTGAGGCGCATGAGGTAGCCCGTGACCGTGATGGCCGACGAGTAGTGCGTGCCGAAGTGGAAAGGCGCCGGGCCGTTCTCGCCGAGCTCGCCGAGCTGGTCGAAGCGGCTGACGAACTCGTTCTTGCGGTCCTCGGTCTGGCAGCCCATCGGCTTGGAGAGGTCGCGAAAGGACTTGGGGTTGTCGAGGTCGAGCTGCGGGTCGAGAAGGGGTCAGTGCGCTCGACGGCTGGCAAGACCCGCAGGTGGACGGACCTCGTGGCTGTCGTAGTCGGCCAAGATCCAGGGCATGACCGGGTAGCACGTCAAGTCGTAGTACGACCTGCCGCTCGACGTGTTGAGGAACATGAGGTCTGCGTGCGGGTCGGCGTCGTGAGTGTCATGCGACGAGGAGGAACAGGACCGAGCAAGGGACGCACACTCGAAGTTGGAGATCTGACGCTGCTCCCACTGCTTGGTCATGCGCTCGAGCTTGGTGCGCTGCCCGAGGAACGCGTCGCCGAGCTTGCCGCTGAAGGACGGGTCGGAGAAGCTGAGAGATCCGCTCGCGACGGCGTGCGGGCAGTGGTCGGCCAGGTCGGCGAGAGCATCGGCTTGCCGGCCTCCCAAGAACGTGATGAAGAACCCTTGGCCGTCGACGAAGAAGAGCTCGAGGGCGCAGTTGCGGAACAGGAACCGTCGCTCGTGCACCTGGCGGAGGTCGGTCCACGTCCACCGTCGAGCAAGGTGGGCGTCTGAGCTCGGCGAGCGCGTGTTGCGGCCTGCGAGGTCGGCAAGGGTCTGAAGATGTAGATCGCGCTCCTGCAGACGGGGATCGGGCGAGAATGAGTCGGTTTCTGGCCGCAGAACGGGAAATCGGCTCGAGGACGACGCACCTCGTCCGGCGCCTCCCAGCTCGCGACGACGTCTCCTGCCGCCGTGTAGAAGTAGCCGTCGACGAGATAAAGGCTCTTGCGCCCAATGAGCAGGAGTGCCGCTGCGAGTTTGACGGACCGAGTCAGTCTCGCACGAAGGGAGGAGGACGGCGGCGACGAGGGGACGCACGGTACGAGTCGACGCCGCGGATACTCGAGACGTTGTACACGGCTTGAAACTCGTCGCCCGGCTCGAGTAGGCGCACGATCTTGCGCTGCTTGTCCTCCTCGACCTCAGGATCAGGCTCGAGTTTCGGCTCGTCTGCGGGTACAAGCGGCGTCACTTTGAGCGGTCCGACACGGTGAAAAGGACAGGGCTCGACGCACCTTGAGCATGACCGTCGCCGTCGTCGATCGCTGCTGGCGAACTTGGTCGAGCCGACGTAGCAGGCTCTGTGGAAGGTCGGGACGGAGGGAAGAGGGCGTCAGGACAACGCGCTCTGGGAGGCGAGGACGAGGGAGGGGGCGCACCTTCGACAGCTCCTTGCGAATCTTGGCGTCCTGCTCGAGATGAAGGTGATGAAGATGATGATGCTGCTGCTGCTCCTCGCGCCGAGACGATCGAGTTGGTGACCTTCTCGACCAGGAGCTTCTTGTGTTGACGATGAGGACCTGGCGGATGGAGGTTCGTCAGGGACACGGGGAAAAGAGGAAGGAGGCAGAAAGGGACGCACCCTCGGTAAAGTCGAGGGAGACGAGCCCATGCCCCGCCTCGGGTTGCCGCTCGCTCGCGTCCAGCTGGCCCGTCCACTCTGCTGCGACGCGCTCCTGCTGCTCGACGCGGTCTTGCTTGACCTGCGGACAAGGTGAGAGTCAGAGAAAGAAGAGGGACCTCGAGAGGAACGGAGGAGGACGCACATGAGCGGCCCTCGCACGGTCCTGCTCCTGCACGCTGCCCTTCCAGTCCGACACCGAGCGACGACGCTTGCGCAGGCGACGACGCTGACCGAGTCTCTTCTGCTCGAGTTGCCCTGCGAGGTCCCGCATCCGCTCGAGCTCGGCGACGACGGCTTCGCGACCCTGCGCGCTCTCCTCGACGAGGAAGTCGTACCAGGACGAGTCGGCGCGCTCGAGCTGCTCGTCGTGCATCTTGACGAGGTCGTACAGGTTCGTGTCGTCCTGCAGGAGGCAGGCATGAGCGAGGCCTGACTTGAGAGGATCAGGGAGAGCAAGCTCACCGCCTCGACGATTTGCGTGACGACCGAGACGTCCGACGAACCTGTCAACGTGGACGAGTCAGTCCGCGCTCCTCGACTCGATGCGAGAGAAAGACGAGGACGTACCATCTTGCTCGTTGCGGCAGAAGACGGCGTCGACGTCCGTCGGGCGCTGCAGCGCAAAGAGCCGAATGGCGTGCATGGCCGAGTCGGCGTGTTCGGGGATGCGGACGAGTCGGGCCAGGCGATGCAGGATGAGGCGAATCTTGGTGACGTCCTCGTTCTGGGGCGAGAAGACGACGAGCTGGTGCAGGGCGAGGAGCTTGAGGGTGGCGGTGACGCTGGCCGGGTCGAGTAGGCTGTACGCGAGGCCGTCAGGGTTTCTCGCTCTCGCGTCTCGTCCGTCTCTTAGAGATAGAGAGAGGGTGGACGCACCCGAGGAGGACGAGGCGGCCGGCGCAAGAGAAGAAGATGTCGGTGAGCCCGGCTTGGACAGGAGAGGCGACCAAGGCCGTCTCGTCCAGCAGCTTCTCGAGGTAGGCGAGGACGAAGCCGAGGACGAACGGGATGTCGGCGATCCAGCCTGCAAGGGAAAGATCGTAAGGGAGGTGGCTGCGCCTGAGGAAGGTGCAGGAGGAAAGGGCGGGCGCACCTTGTGCCGTGAACGAGGTTGCGACGTCGACGAGCGAGGACACCCGCCCGGCGACCGTCGGCGCCGTACTCGCACGAGAGAGGCGATGTAGGACCGTCTTGAACAGCGAGTTGCGGAAGGCGACCTGGCTGCGAACGTCGCTGGACGCGCCGGCGTCGAGGAGGATGCGCAACGGCTGCAGCGACGGGTCGGACGAGGCGAACTGGGCCAACGAGGGCGTGATCGACGACGTCTGTCGCACGTGACGCGTCGTGATGCCATGCGTGACCTGCTGCGCGAGGATGTCGAGGACGAGGGTCGCGGCCGAACAGGTGGTGCCCGACTGGCTCGAGGCGGTGAGCGCCGGCGGCGGCGAGTCGTCGACGCCTCGGTCGGTCGAGAGCGTTTTGTCGATGCTGAGGGCGACGTGAGGTGACGCTTGGGCCGGTGCTGAGGCCTGGTCGCCCTTGTCGTCGTCGGCCTGCTCGAGCTCGAACCCTTTGGCCGCGGCGAGGATCGGGAGCGGCGGCATCTCGGCGTCTGGAAGGCCCTCGGGTGCTGGAGGAAGGCGGATGACGGGCTGCAGGACGCGGATGAGGTCGTTGAGCGCGACGGGCGAGCTCAGGAGTGGCCAGTCCGCCTCCTCGGCGGTCGTGCGGCCCGCCTGCGCGAGGAGCTCGACGAGGACGCCGAAACCGGGCTCGAGCCCCGCTCTTGACGCATCTTGACCTGCGCCGGCCGCGTCGTCGCTCTGGCTCGTGGCGGGCTCGTCCTGCGCCCGGTCGAGCACGCTCAGGCCTTGACCGACGACGGCGATGACGATGCGGATGACCTCGGGCGCCGCAGCGATCGCCTTGCCCGACGACGAGAGTAGGGTCGACGCTGCGAAAGGGGCGTCGAGCGGGATCGTCGTGATGTCGTGGCCGTGGAGGAGGGCGAACAGGGCGAGGTGGACCTGGCCGAGGGCCCAGAAACGGGGGAGCGCGGCGCGCAGTAACGCGAAGCCGCTGTCGCTGTTGGAGAACTTGGCGACGTACGGGTGCCCCTGCGTCTGGAGGAGGCGCACGAGGATGCGCAGGACGAGGACGGCGGCGAGAGGCGGTGTCGAGCGGTCCTGGAGCAGCGCGAGCGCCCATTTGGTGCCTGTGTCCGGCGTTGAGGGTCAGAGACGTCGTATAGAGAGATGAGGGGGGGAAGGAGAGACGCACGGATATGCTTGGCCCACTTGCTCAACGCGGCGGCCCGGGTCGGGTCGAGGAGGACGTCGTGCAGGTGCCGGAGCATGAGGAGCGGTTCACGATGCGGACCTGCGTCGCTGTCGCCGACGATCAGGACAAAGTGGCTGTCGCTGTCGATGGATGTCGACGCAGGCCTCGAGGCGGTCCGAGCGTCTGTCGAGGCGGGAAAAGTCAGGGCCCGCTTTGCAAGGAGTGGTAGGGGAGCTGAGGACGCACTGGTCGTGAGGGCTGCACCCAAGTACGTGGCGAGGTACCGCACCACGTCGGTCGTAAACGCCGAGCGGACGACGAGCATCAAAAAGTCGACGACCTCGTCGGCGACCGCGCCCTCGAACGCCTTGCTGCGCACCGCCGAGACGATCTTGCGGACGACGTCTGCGACGACCAACTTCTGCGTTAGTCCTGCACTCAGGGACAAGGGGCGAGGGCGAGGTGAGGGACGCACGGAACTTGGTGAGCTTCTTGAGGTTGTACTCGGAGAGGTCGCTCGTCGTGATGAGCCGCCGCAGCTGGTCAAAGTGCGCTCGTTGGACGGACGGGTCGACCTCGCGCCAAAGCTGAAAGTCGAGGACGAGGTGCTGAAAGGCGAGCGTGTTGGTGACGACCGACCGAGCCGGCGAGTCGCGGTCGAAGCCGACGAGCCCGAGGATCGAGTCGTGGACGACGGCGGTGACGAGGCTCGCCTTGGCGCGCAGGTGCAGGGCGAGGATCTCGTACGCGTGACGTTCTTCTGCAGGCGAGGGGCAAGGTATCAGTCAGGCTCGGTACGGCTGAAGAGGAGCGAGGGGTTCGAGCGCACCGGCTTCCTCGCAGAGGCGCCAGCTGTCCTCGAGCGCCTCGACGAGCACACCGACCGACATCTCGAGCTGCTTGGCCGTCGACGCCTTCTCGATCCACCGCAGGAGGAGCGTCGTCCCGCCCGCCGCCCACAGTGCATCGTCGAGCGCGCCGCGGCGAACGACGGCGGCGTTCTCGACGAGCGCGAGCCCGTTCAGGCGCACGACAACCTCGTCGACCTGCGACGGGATGGCGGCGTTGACGATCGCCGTGCCCTTGGCCGCTGCGGCGAGCTTGACCGTCTCGCTCGCGCTTGCGGGCGACGTGAGGAGGTTCCTCGCCGACAGGGCGAAGTAGATGCGGTGCTCGGGGACGACAGCCGAGCCTCGGTGGCGCAGGGCGTACATGAGGGGCGACGAGGCGATGACCGAGCTGCCGCGAGTCGGGATCGAGTCGCGCGAGAGGGCGTCGAGGCGGATGTTGAGCGCCGAGGCGGACGAGTTGGTGCTGCTCAAAAGGTGTCAGCTGTCGTGCGCCCTGGCTGAGGTGGACACAAGGGAAAGTGGGAGACGCACAGGAAACGGCCGAGGATGTCCTGAAACGTGCCGGCGTAGCGAGGGCCGAGTCGCGAGCACACCTCGAGAAAGTCGCCCTGGAGCTCGCCGTGGACGAGCCAGCTCGGCCCGAGCCTCCACCTCGGCGCCGTAGCTCGTGCGTCTTGTCTCGAGCGTGTCGGCGCGGCGGCTCGCTCGCCCGGCGTACCGAACCAGGCCTGGACGTCCCACTCGTGCGGAGGCGAGGCGGGATAGGCGACCTTGACCGAGTCGACGAGCTCGCCGTCCACGTACAGGGAGCACATCGACTGCGCGACGAACTTGGGGCGTTGGTGGACGAGCGCGACATGGTGGAACGTGTCGGCGGGGAGGGTGAAGGCGGCGAACTCGACAGGAGGGGTACGCAGGCTCGTCTGGACGGCGAGGCGCATCGAGGGGAGAAGAGACAGCTCGAAGAAAGTGCGCGAGGACGGGTCGGTGGCGCCGAAGATTGTGAGGGGAGCCGAGGTCGGCGGCGCGTCGATGCTGATCCAGGCGACGAGGGTGTAGCCGTGAGTCGACGGCGGAAAGGCGCGACCGAGCGACCGCAGCGACAGGTCGGACGACGCCGTGTGGCCAAAGTCGAACTCGATGCATGGCGGCGCACGCGAACCGGGCAGGGCGTCGAGGATGAGCTGCACGAGCTCGTCGTCGAGGCCCGAGCGTCCTCCCGCCGCGTCGAACAGCCGGCGCGCGGCCTCGGTCGCTGCGCCGACGCTGCCGAGCAGCGCCCTCGTCATCTCGACCCAGATCTCGCGCTCCTCCCCCTCCACCCTGGCCCGCCCGCCGTCGTCGCCCTCCCACGGGCCGAGGACCCGCCCGAGCGCCGCGCGCAGCAGGCCCGCCTCGCCCAACCCGACCGCGCCCTTCTCGCCGTCTCGCCGATCGAGCAGGCTCGTGACGAGTGCGAGGGCCGTCGCGCGCAACTGGACCTCGGGGTCGACCGTCGGGTCGAGGTGCGAGTCGACGAGGTCGAGCAGGAGCGCTGCAGCGGCGGGGTGGACGGCCGCCTCGACGACACCTTGCGCTCGTCGGGCGGCGACAATCTCGCGTGCCGCCCGGAGCGCCGTCGACGGTACATGGTCGCCCTCGTCGCGACGACGGTCGAGTCGCTCGACGACCTGGGAGCGCACGACGAGGACCGCGCTCGCGCCCTCGGAAAAGTCGCCGACGAGGAACGCCCAGAGGAGCGACAGGCTACGAGCCTTCTCGTCGATCAACGCGGAGGGCGCGAGGAGGCCCGACAGGTCGAGAGCTGAGGCGAGGGCGGAGTACGACAGCGAGTCGGCGTTGGCGGGAAGGCGCAGGGCGAGATGAAGGACGTGGAGGATGAGGGTCGCGAGGTGGAAGCGGACGTCGTCGTCGTCGTTGAACTCGCGAGACGAGGCAAGAGTCGACTCGCGGACGTCGCCACCCTCCTCGCTCCGGGCTCGTGCGGCACGAGGCGCACCGTCGATGGCGGCCAGGGCGCCGACGGCGATCTCGAACCCGCCGAGCGTCGAAAAGGCGCCTTGGACGTCCTGCACGTCGTGCTCCTGCAGGACGAGCTGGATCGTCGCGAGGGCCGAGAGCCGGCTCTGGACGTCGCTCGGCGAGGCCTGCTGGAGGTCGTCGAGCGCGTGGCGGAGGTCGTCCTGGGCGTGGGCGACGCGAGTCGGCTGAGGCGATGTGACGAGGTCGTACGAGAGGGCCTCGGTCAAGGCGGCGGACGACAGGGAATGGCTCGAGTCGGAGGAAGGGAGGGGTGGTGGAGGGTCGGTCGAGGTTGGCGGGCCGCGCGAGAACAGGCTCGACGCCTCGGATAGTCGACGAAGCATGGTGCGGGCCTGTCGGGCGGTTCGAGACTGTCAGTTTGATCCGACGGCGAGCTGGCGACGTTGCTCGGCGGCAAGTGCGAGACGGCGAGGTCCGAGTGCGCTCGGTCACGCTCGCCTATGGCGCGAATTCTGCGGCTATGCCGTCCTCCTCGAGCCAACCGTGCGCCGGTAGAGTCTGACCGGGCTGCTGCCGGCTCGAAGACGAGCGAGCGTACCCCACATCTCTCGCCTGGCGCTGGCTCCTCGTCGCGCGAGAAGAGAGGGACGCGTGAGCGCACCTGGAGGCAAGCTGGTCGGCTGGCGGTGTCGCTCGAGCTGCTTGGGCGTGTGGTCGCCCTCGGCGAGGGTCGAGTCGAGTGATGCGAGCCGGGGTTGGCGGTGTCGGCGGTGAGGGTCGCCGCGAGCTGTTGCGCTGCTGCGAGAGCACGCCGGGCGGATCTAGAGTGCTGCTGTCGATGCTCTGGCGGTGCTTGGCGAGGTTGTCGAGATGCGAGCGGTCGCTCTCGTCCTCGTCGCTCCTCCTCGTCGTCAACAACTCTCCTCGGCGGCTCTGCCTCGGCATTGCCCCGCTCGACCTGGGCACACGGCTGTACCTGCGCTCCAGCTCTCGCATGCGCCGTTCCTGCAGCTAAGGGCTCGTCGCAGGCGCACAGCGAGCCGCACCGACGGTCTCTCGCTTCACCGTCGACGAGCGGCTCTCGAGTCGCGCCCTCGAGCACGCTGGCGCAGGCGTGTCAGGCCATGGTGCACGAGCTCTCTCGGCGGCAGCACGCCTCTCTCTCTCCCCTCGCCGCCATCGCTCTCGTCTCTGGTGGACAATCGTCCCAGCTCTTCCGTCGGATCGCTCGGGCGTGACGCGCTTCTGTAGCCGTCGTCTGTACCGGAGAGCGGCGGGCACGAGAAACGACACTCGGCGACGCGATAGCGAGGTCCGCGGAGCGTGCGTGCGACGCCGCGGGCTGGCCGGCCTCGCTGCTTCCTGTCGGACGACTCTTGCTCTCGCTTCCTTCACTCGCGCTCCCTTGCTCCTCTTCGTCTTCTACCGACCTGATATCCAACCCTTTCTCGAAACCAGAATGCGTGCGTCCCCTACCCTCCTCGTCTCGTTCTCGGCGACCTCGACTGACCTTTCCTTGCCGGTGTAGCTCGCGGTTCCGCCTCCTATCTTGCCGACGACTCTGGCGCCTACTCAAGCAGCGGCTACGAGCGTGGCGCGTCGTCGGGACCTCGCTACGGCCGCAGCAGCGGCCTGAACGCCGGCGCCAGTGCGTCTCCCTCTCTCCCTTTCTCCTCTCTCTTCCACGCCGGGACGCTGACACCTCGCCTCCCGCACAGGTGGTCACGGCGACGCCGACTCGTCAGGCAATGAGGGCGGCGCGGTGCCGTACGGCTCGGGCGCCAATCGTCGCGCCCGCCCGGGCCTTTCGAGCGCGAGCGCAAGTCTCGGTCTCGCCGGTGCTGGCACCGGCCCCGCCACCGCCGCCGCCGCCGCCTCAGAAGCGCATGAGCTGGCTAAGACGTCGAGCGTCGCCTCGCGCGAACTCGTCGCCGGCGCAGACCGGCACGCCGAGAAGTCGGCCAACTTGGCCCAGTCGTTCGCGGAGTTTGAGCGCGCCCACGGGCCAGAGCTCCGGTCGGAGGGTCAAGCCTCTCTCGCTCGCCTCGCCCGACTCTTCGAGAACCTCGGCGCCTCGGCCAGGCGTCACGTTGACAAAGCCGACGAGGCCGCCGACCACGCCGAGGCGACCCATCAAGCCGCCGGCGTCGCCCACTCGCTCGCCAAGAGCTCGTCGTCTCGTACCCTCGCCGCCTCTCGCGGCGGCCTGTCGTCCTCGTTCGGCGGCGGCGGGCTCGACTCGGCCGCCGGCTACTCGTCGTCGTCGCGCGCTGCGGGCGTCGCGGCGAGCCGGGCCAGGTCGGCGTACGGCGGGTACTAAGGTCATCTCGTCTTCCCTCGTCGTCCTTTGTCGTCCCTCGTCGTCCCCTCTTGTCCCCTCTTGTCCCTACTAGCGTTCCTCGTTTCCATCCTCTCTCGTCGTCCCTGATCTTTCCCGCCTTCTCAAGTTGCAAGCACTCCTCGACTTTCCCAGGTCCTCGTGCCGAGATGTAGAGAGAAAAGAGCAAGAGAGAAGTCCAACGAGGCTGCGAATATCGCGAGGCGGGAGCAAGACGACTCCTCTCGCGCTCGAGCCTCTCGTTCAAACGCTTTCTCGACCGCGCTCTCCCCGGCTCGGCTTCCTCGAGCTTGCTGTACTGGTCGGTCTCTAGCGACGTGTCTCTCGCCCTTGCTCTCACTCGCAGAAGAGGTCGCGCTGCAAAGGAGAATGACAAGGCGAAGCTACCAGTCCGCCCGACAGAAGCGCGCCGCGCCGACTCAGTCTTGCTGCATCGGCATCGCCAACGACATGGGCGGCACCGCGGGAGCCTGTGAGCGCTGTGGCGAGGACGGGGCAGAGTCGGGCCGGCAAGGGCGGGGTGGCGGTGGGTCCTCGAAGGCTGGCGGGCGAAGGAGGGTCGCAGGTGGGGAAGTTGGTGCGGGCGAGGGCGCGTTCGACACGCTCGGCGAGCCGTCGCTCGCCCACAGCGCGCCGCTGCGCCTCGCGAGCGGTGCGGCGGGAGGGACGAGACGCGACGAGCCCGTCACCGTCGACCCGGCGTCGGACGCACTGCTGCCCTGCGCCGCAGCCGACGGCGCCATGGACGACGCGACGCTGCGACGAACAGGGCTGACGGCGAGAGGCCCGTCGCGCCAGACGTCGAGCGCCGACTTGGGCAGGACGCGGCCGTCGAGGAGGACCATCGTCTCGCCGTGACGCTCGAGGCTGCGCTCCTGCACCATGGCCTCGAGCGTCGTACGGCTGTACCCGTCCTCGTCGTCGTCCTCGTCGCCGGCGACGCCGCCTCGCGGCTCAAAGTCGGCGGCGTGGAGCAGCGCAGCGTCGGGCAGGCGCTCGCCGAACGCGTAGGCGACCCGGGTTGACGCTCGGCGGGCGTTCGGGCCGTGCGAGGCCATGACGGCGTCGCGCAGGGATGCCGAGTGGAAGAAAGAGTCGGGGAGGCGCCGACGCACGAGCTGGGCCGGGTTGCGCGAGGTCGACGGGCGCAGAGGGCGGCCGGTTTCCGAGTCGTAGCCGTCCCACTCGTCTCGGCCGCCCTCCTCGCCATCGAGCTGATCGTCCTCCTGCTCCTCCGACTCGTCGTCCTCGTCCTCGTCGCCGTCGCCATCGCCGGCGCCGTACGACCTCGACGACCTTCTCCTCGCTCCTCCTGAGCGGCGCTGGATCCCGCTCTTGCCCGTCAACGCCTTCGAGATGCTCGCCCTCGCCGGCAGGCCGAGCCGCCGGCGCTCCTCGGCACGAGCTCGCTCGGCGCGCCGGTCGCGCTTCGGCCCCTTGCGCAACTCGCCCCGGATCGTGTACCGGCTCGCGTCGCCATGTCCTCCTTCCTCCTCGCCATCGTCGCTCAACAGCTCGTCCTCCTCGTCTGCGGCGGCGGCGACAACTGCAAAGCTGCGGGACGCTCGACGCGAGGAGGTGGACGCGGCAGGAGCGGTCGGCGCGCCGAACTTGATGCGGATCTTGGTGCCGCCGCCGCCGGCTTGCGAAGCGGTCGCGCTCATGGGCGTCGGCGGGCGGTGGACGGGCTCGCGGCGCGAGCGCGAGGTCGACAGCCCAGTTGCAGAGGGCGACTCGGTGCGAGTGTGCGAGTCGCGGCGAGAGAGGGGAGCGCCGGTGGTCGCGGCGGAAGGTGGGCCGGCGGTGCCGACCGAGAGGTTGAGGAAGTTGGACTTGCGGGGCTGATTAGGGAGGAGGGCGTCGTAGCTGCGCGGGAGGCTGAGGTGAGCGCTTGCGCCGAGCCGAGGAAGAGAGGCCAAGGCGCACCGTGCGAGCCGGTCCTGCATCTCCTTGATCTTGCGCTGCCGCTCCTCCTCGGCTCGTCCGCCGGCGCTGTTGCCCGCGTAGACCCACGTGCGCCCACGCAGCTCTTCGAGCTCGTTGATGAGCTTTGAGCGCTCGTGAATGAGGCGCTCGCGCTCGAGACGGGAGGCGCGCTTCTCGAGGACCTCGGGGTACCGGTGAAGGCGGAGGTAAAAGGCGTCGGACGAGTCGGCCTGCGTGTAGGAGTGGTCAGGCAAGTTCTACTGGCAGGCAGGGGAACGGGCAGGGACGCACCTCGGCTGGAAGTGCGTGTCGCGCTCCTCGCGGCGGCAGGAGCTCGAGCTCGCCGAGCAGGCGGAAGAGCGGCTGTTCGGCAGCATCGCCGACCGCGATCTGCTGAGGCGTGCCGTTGGCGACGGCGTCGGGGGAAGGCGGAACGGGATGCGGGCGAAGCGGTTCGACGCTGGACGAGGCGGACGAGGGAGGGTGGATCGTGACGTTGGCCGGTTGGCGGGTCGTGAGGAGGATGCGCGTGTCGACAGGGAGGTACAAAGCCGCTTGGGCACCTGCAGGGCGCAACAGGAGGGTGAGATTGGCTTCATCGCAACCAAACACTGAGGGAACGAGGACGCACGCTCGCTGTCGGACACGCCCGCCTCGTTGGTGCCGGCGCTCGCGCCGCCGAGCGAGCTGCGAGTTACACGACGCTCCTGCTTCTTGACTGCTGCGACAGGAGCTGCTGCTGGTCGAGTCGTCGACGCGGTTGGCGGAGGCGGCGAGTCGCCCTCCATGGCCTCGTCGAGGCGCCGCTTGCCGAGGGCTTTGGCCGAGGGTGCAGCTGAGCTGGAGCTGGGCGTGTGCGCCGACAGCAAGGTGTCTTGGCGAGGTGACGGGAGCATGTGAGCCGGTGGACCGCGAGACGGCCCCCTCTTGCTGGCGGCCGGCCTCTCGTTCGCCACCTCCTCCCTTCTAGTGGGCCCGCCAGGCTCACGACTCTCTGTGTAGCTCTCCCAGGAAGGCACAGGGCGCGAGAGAGCGCGAGCCGAGGCGACTGTCCGGCGAAGAAGCTCTCGAGTGCGCCTTGAACTCTTCGAACGGCTGGCTCGCTGGTCATGCAGTGAGAGCGCGTGGTTGCACATGCACAAGGAGAGAGCGTCTATGCCGATTGCAGAACGTGAGAGAGGACGCCCTTCTCCTCCTCGTTGAGGAACGTCTCGGCGAGTTGGCGGAACGACGTCTGGTCCGCCTCGTACGCGTGGCGGAAGAAGCCCGAGAGATGCGCCTGCGAGCAGATGCACAGCGTGAGCGACGACGACGCAGAGAGCGAGAGTAGGGGAGTGGGCGACGCAAGGACGCACCGAGAGGTCCAGCTGCCAGATCGGGTCGTCGTGCAGGTCCTGCTCATCGAGTTCGTCTTCCTCGTCGTCGTCGCCGCCCTGCATGTACCGATTCAGGCCGCCGCTCGACAACATCTCTGTGGACGGCGAGGGAGAGAGAGAGTAAGTGGGAGGTAGGGAGATGCGAGGGGCTGCGACGCACCCGAGAGGAAGTCGAGGTCGCGCTCGTTGCCCGCCGTGAACTCGGCACCCTCGTCCGCCCACTCGTCGTCCTCGTCGTCTGACACGGCATCGTCTGGAGCGTTCTTGGCCTGGCTCGACTGCGCGGCGGTCTGGGCGTCGTGCAAGAGGAGCTTGAGCACCTTGGCGGGGAACGGGATGGGCTGGAACTGGTCGGGGTCTGCAGGAACGACGAGGAACGTCAGACTGTGCCTGTCAGAGAGTTGAAGTAGGGGAAAGGGAGGGGCGGGACGCACTGGCTCTTGCTCGGGAGCGCGTCATGATGCGGTTGGCGTTGGCCTCGGTGACGACGAGGTCGCCCTTGACCTGGACGTGCTGCAGCGTCTCCCTCGCCGCCGATGCCGCGTACAGCTGCGACAGCGCGACCGAGCTGACCTTCTGGTTCCAGAAGCCCTGGAAGTCGCCGGCGTAGTCGCACCACGCCGACAGGAGGACCTCGAGCGCAGGTCGGCCGGGTTGACCGGCGCCGGACGGGACGGCGAGCGACTCGAGGAGGGACAGGACGTTCTCGAGCTGCTGGTGGATGAGGTAGGCGAACGGAAGGACGAGGCTCTGTTGCCGGAAAGGAAGAGGCGAGGGCGACCGAGGGAAAGAGAGGGAGAGGGGAGACGCATCAATTTGCGGCCCGAGTCGTGCGCGCGCATGCAGAGAACGATGGGCGCACCTGAGTGAACATTGCCGTCTGGGCCGTCGCGAGGCGGGTCACAAAGGCCTGCAGCAGATCCGGCAGGACAGGGCCGATTGACGAGCCGGCCTTGCGGACGAGGTGGATGACGAGGTCGCCGACGAACAGGCCGGCCGACTCGTTCTCCGACGGCTGCAGCAGCTTGGCGACCTGCGCCAACACGAGCTCGAGGCCGGACTGGCCCGACGACGAGCGCCTGTTTCGTCGAGGAAGGAGAGAAGGGGGCAGAAAGGTCAGTTCAAGGTGACGCTCGTCGGCGACCGAGTGAGCGTGACGCACCAGTTGAGGAGCTGGTCGACGTCCTTGCGGATGACGGTCGTGACGATGTCGAGGCCCGACTGGATGATGTCGCGGTCGTCGGTGCCGGCGAGCACTCATGTTTAACGAACTAAACCCTCATGGCTAACGTACTAAGCTCTCATGGCTAACGTACTAAGCTCTCATGTTTCACGTACTAAGCTCTCATGTTTGAACAATAAAATTAATATAAATCAGCAACTTAAATAGCCTCTAAGGTTTTAAGTTTTATAAGAAAGTCGAGGAGGGAGGACTGGACGATGGGTGAGGAAGAAGAGGAGAGGGACGCGAACACGTCCGAGATGGCGGAGCCGAGAAGAGGGTCTGCGTGCGGAGGAAAGGTCAGGAACGGCGAGGCACAGAGCGAGGCCGGCGGGGAGGAGGACGCACCTTCAGGCTTGGCGAACCAGACCTCCAGGACCGTCTTGACGAGCGCACGGGTCGTCTGCTCGTCCAGCACGGACCCGCCGGCCTTGAGCGACGACTGAATCGCGTCGAGGACGAGGACGAGCGTGTTCTCGGTCGCGCCCGACAGGAGGGGAAGCAGCTTGGACAGGGCGGTGGCGGCTTGGGCCGGCTCGACGTTCTCCTTGAGGTGGCGGAAGAAGCTGTATAGGCAGGGACGTCAGACCGAGGTGCAGGGAGAGAGGAGAGGGGGGCGCGGGAGCAAGCGAGCGCGGGCTCAAGACGCACTTGGTGAGGGCGCGCACGGCCGACACCTTGACGGGCACGCTCGCGGCGGCCAACTCGAGGACGTGGTTCGCCGCATCGATGTACTGCTTGGCGAGATGCTGCGGCAGGACCTCGGAGAACTGGCTCGCAAAGACGAAGGCACGACCCTGGAGGAAGGGCAAGTCTGCGGTCCGGGACAGAGAGTGAGTCAAAGTATCGTCGACTAGACGGCTCAAACGAGGATGTGAGAGAGGGACGCACCGGCAGCCGTGAGGTAGGTCATGACGACGCCCTGGAAGACACCCTCGAGCGCAAAGTCTGGCGCCCGGCCCTCCTCGCTCGCCTCCTGCACGTGCTCGATCAGGTCCTCCGAGATGGCGCCCACGACGGCAAGCGCGCTCTCGTAACCCTTCCACCAGTCCTCGTCGCCCTGCGCCCGCAGCCGGTCCGCGCTCGAGGCGACCGCCTGGAACGCCGACTGGAGCGCGACGAGCGAGGGGCCCGACAGCGTCTCGACGAACGACTGGACGAGGTCGAGCGACGCAGAGCGGACGTTGTACGACATCATCTCGTCGTCCTCGTCGGCGACAAAGGCGTTCGGGTCGGTCGCCCAGCTGTCCTCCTGCCGGTTGCGGATTGAGAAGGTCAGTGACGGCGTCGGTGGGCGTGGTAAGGAGAGACTAGGGACGCACGTCGTCGGTCGTCATCTTGGCGAACTCGATCGCCTTGGCGAGCATGTCGACGAGCGCCGGCGTCGGCCTGGGGCCCTCGATGAAGAGCGACCGGACCGCCTTGCGGCGGACCGCCTGGGCGAGAAAGTCGACGACGGTCGAGACGAAGGTGCCGAGGTCGCTCGAGATGTCCGAGTCCTCCTCGCCGGTCTGAGAGGTCGGGAGGGTAAAGTCGGACGAGTTGGACAGCGAGGCGGCGGTGTAAATGGGGAAGAGGGACGAGAGGTGGGCGCTCGCGAGCGAGAGGTAGGTGGCGAGGGTGCCCTTGAGCGTCGACGGGAACGAGTTGAGGATGATCTCGAGCGCCTGGAAGATGGCGGTGCGGACGGCGATGTTGTCCCAGCCGGCATCGCTCGCGAGGTCGCTCGCCACGTCCACGCCCAGGATCTGCTCGAACGCGCCGAGCCACTGCGGCAGGGTGTCGACGACGGCCGCCTTGACCGCGTCGGGGAACTCGTCCTTGACGGTGAACAGGGTCATGACCGACTGGCGGAAGATGTGGACGGCGCGCGCCCGAGTCGCCGGGCCGTACGTGTGTGCGGCGCCGAGGATCGACAGGAGGGTCGGCAGCATCTCGCGCGCGACAGGCAGGAGCTGGTCCTCCGTCAGGCTGATGCTGACAAAGTCGCTCAGGGCGCACATGCCGCCCTCGACAGCCTCAATGGACGACGAGCGGATGAGGGCGAGGAGCTGGTCGAGGAGGGTCGACCAGTCTTCTGGCCAGTCGGGTTGGGCGATGAGCGACACGATGTTGGCCTGGGTATGTCTTGTTGTCAGCTTGCCAGGTCGGGCATCAAGAGGAAAGAGTGAGAGGGACGCACACAGGCTAGGCGGATCTTGCGGACCGGGTCCGACAGGCCGACGAAGAGGACGTCTCGCACTTGCGCCTTGATCTGCCGACAGACTGTACGTGTCAGCTTCCGGCTCTCTGGGGCGGCAGGGAGGAAGAGAACAGGTGCGGCGCACCTCGGGCGTCGTCGCGGTGGGGCCCTTGAACGACGGGAAGAACGGCGACCAGAACTCCTTGACGTACTTCTTGAGGGCGAAGCAGGCAGCCTGCGCAGTCGCCAGGGACGTAGAACGCTGTCAGGAGGCTGCTCGCCCGGCTGGAGAGCCGAGAGAGGGGAGCCGACGCACCTGCCTCCAGGGCACGTCGACCTCCTGCGCGGTCGCAATACGGGCGAGGCCGAGCGCGGTCTCTGCGGTGGGTGCAAAGGCTGGTCAGTTCTGCCTGTGCGCTCACCGGCCTCCTGCTGAGGCTGGGCGGGCTCACCGGACGACTGCTGAGCTTTGGCCAGAGCTAGCTCGGCGCTGACCCTCGTGTTGACGTCTGCATCGAGCGTGGCCTGCAGCAGGTGCAGCAGCTGGTTGCTGGTCATCGTGGCGGTGCGCTCGAGCCGAGACGAGGCGCTTGTGGTCGAGAGGAGAGCGACGCGTCCTCATCAGCGCGCTCGTCGGCGGCGGGGTCGCTCGTCTCGACCAGAGCTTCGCTGAGGCCAGGAAGCTGCCGGGACGGTACTGCAGTACAGCGCACAGCTCCTGCCCGTGTCAAGCGCTCACAACAACTGCTTTCGCATCTCTCTCCCTCGCTCGCAAGTTGGACTCGGAAGTAAAGAACTGATGGTGCGGGTGCGTAATGCAGGGTGTCTAGACAGCTCGAGTAGTAGCTAAAGGGTATGTTCTATAAGGATGCGAGATGCGGAAGGGGGATGAAGAGAGGAGAGAGAGGGAGGGCCGAACGACCTTCGCAAGCTCGTGGAACGCTCACTCGCCGCGGCGGTCGACCTCGGCCGCCTTGGCCTCGTCGAGGAGGCCCTCGCGAGCGAGCTTCTCGCGCTGCTCGACGCGAGACTCGACCTGGCGCAGGTCGAGCGACGCGACCTCGGCCGCCTCGACCTCCTGCCTTGTCAACTCGCGCGACAGGCCGCCGGTCGACTCGGCGGCGGCGGTGGCGGCGGGCGCAGCCGGCTTGTGACCCGGCGCGAACGTCGAGTTGCGGCGGATGTGGGCGCCGTAGTAGAAGAAGACGAAGGGGATGGGCGCGAGCGCGAGGCTGATGAAGGCGATGAGCGTGAGCGCCCACTGCGTGCCCATGCCGTCAAACATGTCCCTCGTGAAGACTGCAGAGGTACGAGAGAGCGTCAGGACGAGTGCCGGGGACAGTAGAGAGAGAGGTGGACGCACGAGGGAAGGCAAAGCCGAAAAGGGAGCGCAGGACCGCGTTGGCGGCGAGGACCGACGCCGCGAGGAGGGTGTACGAGTCGATGAGGTAGCTCATCATGGCGAGGAAGACCGAGACCATGCCGAAGCCGAACGGGACGCCGGCGAGGACCGAGGCGATCCAGTGAACGCTCGGGAGGGTCGTCCACGCGAACCAGAAGAGGCCGACCGGGAGGACGGCGCCGCCGACGCAGCACAGGGGAAGGCGCGCCTCGGGAGGGAGGGTGCCGCCGTTGGCGATCAGGTTGCGCACGTAGCGCTTGTTGTCGAACACGTTGGCCGCCACGGCGAGGACCATGCCCACGCCGACGGCGATGAACGGCAGGCCGCCGATGCCGGGGCTCCAGCCACGCTCCTGCTGGTAGACGATGCTGTACGCGCCGAAGAAGAGGTACAGAATGCCCTGCAGAAGTGTGCGCGAGTGTCAGAAGGGTGCTGCGGACCTCGAGAGGAAAGAGCCGGGCCCGAGTCGCCGCGGTCGAGAGACCCTTCTCGTCGACCGCACCGACCAGAAAGGGGCGACGAGGGCTAAGAAACTCACGTAGATGAACGCGGCGTAGACCGAGAAGGCGAGGACGATGGCCTCCTTGAAGAGAAGGACGAACGGGCGGAGGAGGGCGGCCTTCATCTTGGTCGCCAACGGCGCCGAGAACATCGGGTGCAGGTCGTACATCGAGCGGTGGACGAGGCCCGTCTCCTTGGTGAGGTCGGCGGCGCGCTTGCGGAGGAGGACCGGCGCGTAGGTCTCGGGGCTGAGGAGGCCAAGGCCCCACATGACGAACGACTGCGACGAGGGCACAAGGTCAGCTCTGTGTGTCTCCCTGCCACCTCGAGAGTCGAGTAGGGACGTACAAAGATGGTCAAGACCCAGAACTCCCAGCGCCAGCTGACGTTCTCGCCGATGAAGCCGCCGACGATGGGTCCGAGCACGGGGCCGGCGAACGGCGCGAGGGCAAAGAGCGACATGGCCAACGCGCGGTCGGCCGGCGAGAACATGTCGCTGACGACGCCGCCCGAGATGACGAGGGGCGCCGAGCCCCAGAACCCGGCGAGGAACCGGCAGACGAGGAGCGTCTCGATGTTCTTGGCGAGCGCGCACGGGATGTTGAAAATGGCGAAAAGCAGGTAGGTGACGACGAACACGGGCTTGCGTCCCCATTGCTCGCTGAACGGGGCCTGCGCGAGATAGAGAGAGAGGGTACAAGTCAGCTCACGATTCGTGGAAGCGAGAGGAGGACGAGGCGAGGCTCACCCAGAGAAGCGGGCCGAGGGCGAATCCCTGCGGCAAGAAGGTCGTCGTCAGTTCGAGGAACACTGTGAGAGCTCGAAGGGAACGAGGGGACGCACAAGGACGAAGAGGGAGAGGCCCAAGGTGATGACGACGAGCTTGACCTGGAAGTAGGCGAGGAGCTGGCCGAGGCCGCCCGAGTAGACGGACGAGCCGAACGCGATGCAGAGTGTCGAGATGGCCGAGTTGGCGGTGATGAGCCTGCGAGGGAGGAGAGAGGGAGGTGAGCCGACGGCGCCGAAGGAACGGGCGGACCTCGTCTCCTCTCGTCCGGGTCGAGGGGAAGCCGGGTGTCGACGCACCACTTCTTGGTCGGCGCCCAGTTCTGCGGGTTCTCGACCTCGCCATCGAGCCACTTGACAATCTTGGGCGACGCCTCTGTGCCCTCGCCGTCGTACGGGCTCGCGGCGCGACCCTTCTCCGCCATGTCGGCGGCGTGGTGCTTTGCGACGACCGAGTGCGCAGAGTGGTTCTCGTGTAGGGTCGACGTCGGGCTGATGGACATGTCGGGCATGTGCAGCAGCAGTGCGTGCGTGCGCGTCGAACGCTGGGTGAGGTGAGGAGGGAGAGCGCGAGAGTGCCACCTTGAAGGGGAGCGACCGGACGCGCTTTCTCAGCCCTCTCCCCGCCCGCTCGTCCGCGCGCCGTCCGCTTCGGCAAGCTCCCCGTCCCCGCAATATTAGACACCTGACAGGTGTCAAGCCACAATTCGCTGCGTTGCACGCTTGGTTCCTCCGCGGCGGCGCCGCGCCGCCGCCCTCGCGTCCGCCTCGACTCTCCCAGGCGGTTCCTCCGAGACTGCCGTCTTCTCGCCGACTACATAGCTAGTCGCCGAGTAGCTACTACGTACTTCGACCTTCTTCTCGCGCAAAGTGCGAGGAGGACCGTGCGCCACCGAGAGCCTGTCTCAAGTTTCCGCCCAGGCTCTCGTCGCGAAACAAGCAAGTGCAGCGAGGGAAGTGCTGGGCGCAGTTACCGAGCTATTTCTAGTGCTCAACCGCGAGCGAGAGACAAGAGAGAGGCGCGCCATCGTGGGTCGCGCGCGCTCGCAGCTGGGGGAGCAACCCTCCTCGTCGAGCTCGCTACCTCACGCCAGCTTCGACCCAGTGCTGCCCTCCAGTGCAGCCAGTCACACCGTCTCGAGCCGCAGGCGAGCACCAGCCGCGCCCAACCCCGCCAGATCGAGCTTGCAAGCCGAGGACCCGGGTCGCCCCTTCCACCCTCCAACCCGCACCGCTCCCCTCGCCCAACTTGCCTCTCGAGCCCTTGCGCCGACGCACGCCCGCTCCGACAGCCACACACGGCCTCGCCAGCCCCTCGACCGTCCGCCTCGCGCGACACGACATCAGCGAACCCACTCTTCCCTCCCCCTCTCGCTCGACCTTCGCCTTGCGGAATCCCCGCCGCATCGTCAGCCCACGCGCCGCACACGATGGACCCGTCGCCGACGCCCAGCCAGTACGACCACGAGGATGCCCAGGGCATGCCTCGTCGCCCTCGCTCGCGCCTGAGCCAGCAGATCTCGGCCATGTTTGAATCGTCCGACTCGTCGCAGTCGACCCTCTCGAGCGGCAAACACGACTCGATGTCGCGCGACCAGCTCGACCCGGCCGCGTACGGTGCGTCCCTCGTCTCTCTGTGCGGCGTGTGCCTGTCAGAGAACCGAGCCCTGACCTTCGTTCGCCCGTCCCTCCTCGCTCGCAGGCGTCTTGACCGGCGCGGTCGGCGGATCGTTCGGCCCGTTCCCGCGCTCGTCGACCTTTTCGACGTCTCGCCCTGCCGCCTTTTCGCACCGCGACAGCATCGCGTCGTCGTCGATGGGCGTCGACCCGGTCATCGTCCCGCCGGGCGGGTCCGAGTCGCCCCACTACACGGACGAGGACTACTCGGTCCAGGGCTACAGCAGCCCGCGCATGACGCACAGCGGGTCGCGGCAGAGCGTCGCACGGTTGGAGGGCATCGCGGGCGGCGGAGCTGGCGCGGCGCTCCTGTGGGAGAAGGAGCCGGACGACTTCCTCCACGAGTGCGCCTCCTCGTCTCCTCGCCTCGTTCTCTCTCCCTCTCGAGCAGCAGCTGACCTCGTGCTCTCCCACAGCCCGGACCCTGCGCTCGACAAGGCGATGGACAAGCAGATGCGCAAGTGGGGCTTCGTCTCGCTGCTCAACACTGCGTCCCTCTGCATCGTCGTCATCGTCCTCGTCGGCCTCTTTGCCGGGTGGCCCATCTATCGGTGCGTCTCTCGCTTTCTGTATCACGCGAGGCCGGCGTGAGCCTAACTCTCGAGCTTGCAGGTTCGCGATCGACGGCTCGTGGGGCTCGTACGCGACCAACACGATCACCAACTCGTCGGGCCAAGTGCCGCAGATCCCGGGCCTGCCGAGCCTCGTCGACGACACGACGCCCATGTCGGCCTACACGCGCACGGGCTTTGACGGCGAGGAGTACGACCTCGTCTTCTCGGACGAGTTCAACACGGACGGCCGAACTTTCTGGCCCGGCGACGACCCGTGCGTCCCTGTCCTCTCCTCCCTCTCTCTCGCCCTCGGTCACTGACCCGATCGAGTGCCCGCAGGTTCTGGGAGGCCGTCGACCTGCACTACGTCCGTCTCGAGGCCCCTTTCTGCTCTCGACCGTCGACGACGGACGCGCTGACCTCCCTCTCGCCCTCGCCCGCAGTGGGCCACGTCCGACTACGAGTGGTACGACCCGGACGCCATCACGACCAAGGACGGCAACCTCGTCATCACCATGACGCAAGAGCCGTGGAACGACCTCAACTTCCGCTCGGGCATGCTCCAAAGCTGGAACAAGTTTTGGTGAGGGACCTTCCCCAAGCCCCCCTCTCTTTCTTCTCGCTCGAGCCGTCACTGACGCAAATCCTCGTGCGCCTGCAGCTTCACGGGCGGCTACATCGAGGTCAACCTGTCGCTCCCGGGCAAGCCGACTGCGCAGGGCTACTGGCCGGGGTGAGCTCCCTCTCTCTCGCTCTCGCGACCTGGCCATGCCGCACCGAGACTGACCGTCCTCGACTTGCAGTATCTGGACGTTCGGCAACCTCGGTCGCGCCGGGTACGGCTCGTCTGTCGGTGCGTCTCTCTCCCTCTCTCTCTCCCGAGCCCTCCCCTGTCCGCCCAACCCTGACTCTTGATCTCCCGACAGACGGTCTTTGGCCTTATACCTACGACTCGTGCGACGTCGGTACTCTCCCGAACCAGACGTGCGTCGCCTCGTCCACCGACACCCAGCTCGAGACGAGCCTGACCCTCTCTCTCTCCCAACAGCTGGCCCAACGGCACCGACCCGGTCGCCGCCAAGAGCCTCGGTGACAAGGATTACGGCGGCGAGCTTTCTTACGTGCGTCCCGTCTCCCAGGGACGCCATCGTCGTCGTCGCCGTCGACTGACTCGAGCTTGCCCGACGAACAGCTTTCCGGTCAGCGTCTTTCGGCATGCACGTGCGAGGCCGACAAGGACGACCACCCTGGCCCGACCTACAAGACTGGTCGTGGCGCTCCCGAGAGTGCGTCCCTCCTCCTTCATCGTCCTCGTCGTCGTCGCCCCTCGACTGACCCGGCTCGCGCGCACGCAGTCGACATTCTCGAGGCGCAGATCGCCCCGAACGGCAAGCAGGGCATGGCGTCGCAGTCGATCCAGATGGCGCCGATGGACGCACACTACCTGTGGCGCAACGACACGAGCGAGGCCAACCCGGGCCTAATCGTTTTCAACGAGTCGATCACGACCCAGAGTCCGTCCCCTCGTTCCTCCTGCCCCTCTCTTTTGGCGCCTCGCTGACTCTGTTCGAGTGTCCGCAGACATCTGGAAGGGCTCGATCTCGCAGGAATCGGCGTCGCTCAACACGCTCACCGACTCGACCTCGTACGAGGGCGCCGGCTACAGCACCTACGGTGCGCTCTCCTCTCGCTTACTCTCATCTCGATCGAGACCCTGACGGGCTCTCCCTCGCAGGCTACGAGTACGAGCCGGGCCCAGACGGCCGCATCACGTGGGCCATCAACGGCGACAAGACGTGGCAGCTCAACGCCAACGCGATGCCGCCTCGCGACGACGTCCAGATCGGCCAACGCCTCATCAGTGTCGAGCCCATGTACATGTGCGTCACCGTTCGCTCCTCTAGACGGGCGAGAGAGCTCGAGGGCGGCGTCACCGGCGCCGTCGTCGCTGCCTCTCCACCTCGCCTTCTTTCCCTTGCGAGATCGGGCCTGACATCTCTCCTGCACCCCTCCTACAGCATCTTCAACCTCGGTACGTCCTCGCTGTCTCGTTACGAGGTCCTGGGGGCGTCGAATCGCCGCCAGACGTCGTCTCGAACCCTCCCGGCGTCCCCAGACGGCTTCTTCGACCTCTTGGACCCTCACTGACGCTTTTATTCCTTCTACCGCTCAGCCGTGAGCAAGGCGTTCCAGCAACCCGAGTGGGGAAAGCTCGGTGCGTCCCGTTTCGCCACTCGGAGCGACTCGGCGGGCGGTAACTGACGTGCCCTACCCCTTCCCGCCTTCTTCCTCCCCTTGTCCTGCCACAGAGTTCCCGGGCCACCTCCAGATCGACTACGTGCGTGTGTATCAGCGCAAGAGCGACAAGAACGTTGGCTGCGACCCGAAGGACTATCGTGAGCCCTCTCCCCGTCGTCGTCCTTCTCGGCTCGGTCGCTCGTCCACGAGTTGTACCCGACCTTTTCCTGACCCCTTGCGTCGTCCCGCAGCCACGGCCGACTACATCAACAACCACATGGAGCTGTACACCAAGTGCGCCGAGCGCGAGTCGCCGTCTCTTCCTCTTCCGGCAACCTACTGACGGACCTGCACTCGCAGCCCGAACCTCACGACATTCCGGCAGGCCATGGACGTTACCAACTACACGCTGCCGCGCAACCGCCTCAGTGCGACCGGCTGCGACTGAGTGGAGGATTCGCTGTTGGCCTCGCACGATTCGGTTTCTGCCCCGTCCTCTCTCGCGTTTTGCGTACACACCCTTCCCCTCCCTCTTCCTCCTCCCTCCCGCACCGTACAGACACTCTGCATACCCTGACGATCTTGACGCACGTTGAGAGGGAGAGGGCGCGAGCGCGAGCCTCGAGAGCCGCGCTCCTTGCTCGCGAGGTAAGGCAGACGAGAGCGATCTCACGAGCTTTCTTTGCAAGCGTGAGGGCAGACTGTTCAGAGATTCCCCCTGGGAGCTTCTCGCCGATTCAGAACGAGCTCTCGGCCTTGTCGAGAGAGCAACGTCTGCCTCGACGAGAGAGCGAGTCGGACTCGAGCAGGTCAGGCACCGACCGGCTCCTCTGCGACTCGTGCACCTCCATCTCGACAGTACCAGTCACAAGAGCGGTCCCACAGCCCTGTGCGCCTGGCCTGCCCGTCCCCTCATGCCGACGCGAGCTGACCTCTTCCTCATCTCCCCGCGACAGCTTCCCCCCTGCCAGCTCGACCATGTCGTTCGGCCAGATCCCGTTTCTACCCCTCCTCGAAGCACCAGAAGGGCAGCTCCCAGTCGGGCTCGTCCCCGCCCTCGCCCGCATCGTTCCCCTCCTCGTCCCCTCGTCCCTCGCCGACTCGATCCTCCCGACTCTCCCTCCCACCGCCGAGTACTTCATCCTCGACGACACGAGCCTCTCGCTCGAGGCCGCCGTCAAGTACCTCGACCAGGGCGCACGGCGATTCGCGTCTCGGAATCCCGCCTTGCTCGCCCAGGTGCCGGCCGAGCGCCTCATCCTCCACCTCGACCAGGCCAAGGCCGCCGAGCTCCTGAGCAACGCCGACCTCGTCGCGAGCATCTCGGGCGTGCTCCTCGAGACGGCGTCTTTCCTCGAGGACGACCTCCAGCCGGTACGGGCGGCGCTCAAGGCGGCACCAGGTCGACCTCGCGACCTGTTTGTCCTGTCGGCGTCGCGCTCGGCCGACCAAGTGCTCGCACAACCGGCGGCGTTCAAGCTCATGTCCAAGACGGTCGGCGGCACCTGCGTCGTGCCGTCGTCGCTGCTGTCGGTCCAGCGGGGCAACCTCGAGATCCCGCACCCGGACGACGGCAAGCTCAGCGTCGCGACCCTGTTCACATCGGCCCTGCGCTCCGACCGCCCCGACGGCCTATTCGTCACGGTGCCCATGTCGCTCACGTCGGTCACGACGGCGCTCGGCGTTGTCTACTCGTCGACCGAGTCGATCGCCGAGTCGATCCTGACGGGCGACGCCGTCTACTACTCGCGGTCGCGCAACGGCCTGTGGCGCAAGGGCGCGACGTCGGGCGCGATGCAGCGCGTCGAGCGCATCCGGGTCGACTGCGACTACGACGCGCTCGAGTTTGGCGTCGTCGAGGCGGGCCCGAACGGCGAGAAGGAGGGCTTCTGCCACGTGCCGGAGCAGACGTCGTGCTTCGGCGGCGTCGCGGGACTCGCCGACCTCGAGTCGACGCTCAAGAAGCGCATGGCCGAGGCGCCGGCCGGGTCGTACACCAAGCGCCTGTTCAACGAGCCCAAGCTGCTGCGGGCCAAGATCATGGAGGAGGCGGGCGAGGTGTGCGACGCCGAGACCAAGGCCGACCTTGCAGGCGAGGTGGCCGACCTCGTGTACTTTACTCTGACGCGCGCCGTCAGCATGGGCGTGTCGCTGCAGGACGTCCAGGCCGTCCTCGACCGGCGCAGCCTCAAGGTGACGCGGCGGAAGGGCGACGCCAAACCCGAGTGGGTCGACAAGCTCGGCCTCAGCGGCGAGCAGGCAGTCGGCGTGCAGGGCGCGAAGTAGACGGGTCGGGCGCTCGAGGCGCGCCTGCTCGACGCTGCAACGAGGCACCCTCTCTCGAGCACTCGAGCGGTCGCGCTGCGGTCCTTCGATAGCGAGAGTCGCAAGCTCGCTGTCTTTCAGCTCTCGTACTCGCTCTCTCTCGAGGGGCAGCTGTGTCTGCGCGGTGCGGGCGAGAAGAACGAGCCTGAGAGGCTTTGCTCGAGGTGGCTCGAGCGAGAGAGCAGGTCGCTCTCTGGAGCGTGGTGCGCCGCTTGTCCCCAGGCATGCGAGACTGTCCAGAAGACTGTCACGCCCCTCAGACTCCAATCGGGAGGCGAGAGCCAGAGTCAACTTGAACGCGCCTGTGGCGGCCAAGTCCGTTCGCTCCTCCTCATCATCTCGCTCGCCTCCTCCTCGACCACAACCGCTCCCGATGGACGCAGCCAGCGAGTACCGGTGCCCAGTCTACTCGAGCGACACGGTCGACGCCGCCAAGCGCGCCGAGCTCCTCGTGCGCCCCGTCAAGTCGTCGGCCGACATCCTCGCCCTCGTCTCGCCCATCCTCGACTCGGTCCGCAACGGCGGCGACGAGGGCCTGCGCTCGTGTGTCGTCAAGTTTGACCGCTGCCTCGCCGCCGAGGACACGGCCTTCCCGCTCACGCTCAAGGCGCCCTTCCCCGCCGAGCTCGCCAAGATCGACCCAAAGGTCAAGCAGGCCATCGACGTCGCCTACAGCAACATCAAGGTCCGCCCTGCTCCCTCCCTCTTCCTGCGCGCCGAGCTGACCTGTCGCGCGTCCCTCGCAGGCCTTCCACTCGGCGCAGATGGAGCGCGAGTCTGAGCCCATCCGGGTCGAGACGATGCCCGGCGTCGTTTGCCAACGCTTTGCTCGCCCGATAGGCAGCGTTGGCCTCTACGTGTACGTCCTCCTTTCTCGCCCACTCCCTCCCTCCCCTCCTTGCGAGCCCATGAGCTGACCCTCCTCTCCCCTGCACAGCCCCGGCGGCACGGCCGTCCTCCCCAGGTGCGCCGCAGCGCTCTCTCCCTCTCCCGAGACTCTCTTGCTGACCCAATCTTGTCCCCTTGCAGCACCGCCCTCATGCTCGGCGTCCCTGCGCAGGTCGCCGGCTGCAAGAACATCACCCTCGCGACCCCTCCTCGACCCGACGGTTCGATCTCGCCCGAGATCATCTACATCGCCGGCCTTGTCGGTGCGCAGACGGTCGTGCGGGCAGGAGGCGCCCACGCCATCGCGGCCATGGCTTACGGGACCGAGACGGTGCCCAAGGCGGACAAGCTGTACGGCCCGGGCAACCAGTTCGTCACGGCGGCAAAGATGGTGCGTCCTCGTTCCCTTTTTGCCTTTCTCGTCCTTCGTCCACTCACCTTTTTTCCTATTCGACACAGTCGGTGGCCATGGACTCGGGCGCACGAGTCGCGATCGACGTTCCGGCAGGTCCCTCGGAGGTTCTCGTGCGTCCTCCTCTCACTTCCGTCGCGCACCCTCCTCGTCGTCCTCCCTTTCCTCGCCTGACGAAGTTTCTTCACGCAGGTCATCGCCGACAAGACGGCCGACCCAGCATTGGTCGCGTCCGACCTCCTCGGCCAGCAGGAGCACGGCCTCGACTCGCAGTCCGTCCTCATCACGATCGACTGCGACGATGCCTATGTCGAGGCCGTCAACGCGGCCGTCGCCGAGCAGGCGCAGGCGCTTCCTCGGGCCGAGATCCTGCGCAAGAGCCTGAGCCAGAGCTTCATCCTCCAGACCAAGACGGTCGACGAGGCGTTCGCCTTCTCGAACGACTACGCGCCTGAGCACCTCCTCCTGTACATCGCCGACGCGGCAAAGTCGATCGAGCTCGTCGAGAACGCCGGCTCCGTGTTCGTCGGCCCGTGGTCTCCCGTCGCGTGAGCCCTCGCTCGTTCCTCGTTTTCGGCCTTGCGCAGCCCGGGTCTGACTCGTCTCGGCCTCTCGTTGCGCAGATGCGGCGACTATGCGTCTGGCACCAACCACACCCTGCGTGCGTCCCCGTCCCCTTTTCCTTGCCCTCGCTCGTTCGCGAGCCTGACTCTCTCTCCCTTCCTCGTCCCTTTCCACGTCGCCTCGCAGCCACGGTCGGCTACGCCAAGCAGTACTCTGGCGTCTCGACCTCGTCTTTCCTCAAGCACTTTACCTCGCAGGAGCTCTCTCCCGCAGGGCTCAAGAACCTCGGGCCGTACGTCGAGATCCTCGCCGACGTCGAGCAGCTCGGCGCGCACAAGGCGAGCGTGTCGCTTCGGCTCGACAAGATTGCTCGCGAGGGCTTGTAGAACGAGACGAGCGACGACTGAAACCCAATAGAACTGTGTTGCACATTGACACGGCGCGAGGAGAGAGAGAGAGAGAGAGAGAGAGAGAGAGAGAGAGGAGCTCGAGGACTAGTGACCGTGTCCGGCGTGCTCGAGTGCGTCCGCCTCCTCCGGGTCGAGCCCTACAGGTGACGAGGAGCATACGTCGTGAGCGCGAGGATAAGAGAGGAGGAAGGGGAAGGAGTGCGCACAGTCCTCGAACCCGTCCTCGAACAGCTCCTCGAGCTTCTCGATCTTGCGCCGCATGCTCTTTTTGCTCTGCTCGATTCAGGTGTCGCTTCGTCAGAGACGTGTCGACGAACGAGAGGAGAACAGGACGAGCGGGCGCGCCTTCATGACCCTCCGCCACTGGCTCCACTCGTCGTCGTCGAGCAGGCACGCGTCGAGCTCGGCGTTCAACAGCGGCTGGATCGTCTCGAGCTCCTCGCCGATGAAGACGAGTTCTTGACGACGGTCGCCCCATGCGCCGCGAAAGTCGGCCTTCATCTTCTTGCGGATCCTGCGCGAGGGCAAAGTCGAGGGCGAGAAGGTCAGTGCGAGAAGGTCGAGAGGGGCCGGTTCGCGGCGCGAGAGACAGCCGGCGAGACCGAGGAGGACATGATGTCGAGGAGAGGAGGTAGGGGCGCAGGGAAGGAGGGAGGAGGAGAGAAAAGAGGGCGCACTCGGGGTGCTCAGGCCACGTGTTCTCGTCTTGCTCGCACAGCCACTTGTCGCCGCCGCTCAGGCTCAGCATGACGCCTGCTTGGCTCCACTCTCCAGACATGGACGGGCGCGTCGCGAGCCAGAAGAAGCCCTTCGAGCGGTGCAGCGGCCCGAACGCGCGGTCGGCCTTTTTGGCGGCGAGACGAGCGGCCGGGTCGAGCTGCGGCTGCTTGTCGAGGTCGGGCTCGTCCTCCCACGACTCGTTCGAGGCACTGCTCTGCGCGTCGTCCCCGTCGACCACCATGTTGTCGATCGCCTCCTCGTACGAGATCTGGATGACGAGGAGGCGCAGGCGGATCGTCTGCCACAGGCGCTCCGGGTCTGCGCACGAGCACGTGACAAGTCAGGTACACGATCGACGAGGGTAGTGCACGAGAGAGACGCACGAAAGGGACGGCGAGCGCGGTAGACGAACGACCTGACACGAGGAGGAGCAACTTAGGAAGGTCCCGCTGCGAAGAAGGAGAGAACGCCAGACGCACCCGATGCCGTACTCGTCCGACTCGGGCTTGAGATCCTCGCGCAAGCTCTTGAGCCACCCGGCGCTCATCATGCTGCGCTCGAACGAGAACCGGTGCGTGTCCAGGACGGCGCCCAAGTCGACCTTGCTGCGGACCGTCGCGAGGACGTTCGCCTCGGGGTTGAGGCGCTGGATGAGCGACTGGATCTTGCAAACCTGCGAGGCGTCGACGAGGTCGCATTTGTTGAGGATGATGACGTCGCTGAACTCGAGCTGGTCGACCATGAGGTCGGAAACCTGGTCGGGACGAGCGAGAGAGTCAGACTCTGCGGTGACAGGAGGGTTGAGCAGAGCGTACATTGCGCTCGTCTTGGTCGTCGACGGTACCAGGCGCCTCGCGGTCGGAGAGGAAGTCGGACGTCGAAAAGTTGTCGAAGAAGGTCAGGGCGTCGACCATCGTGACGCACGTCTGGGGGCCATGTCGACGAGGGGATGACCGAGTAGGGTCAGTGTACGTGTTGGCTCATCCCGCTGAAGGCGAACGTCCTCGAGGGCGGTGGGACGAGAAGGGAGAGGGAGGAGGGACGCACGTCGAGCCTCGCAATCTTGGGAAGGCCGCCGTTGCCGAGGATTTTCGCCAGTCCGAGCGTCGCCTCGACGTCAGGAGCCCGCTCTGCATCGTCAGAGCTCGACGCTGGGCGCTCGAGCCCCTCGCGCTTGACGCGGTCCGCCTCGGCTCGCAGATCTTTTGCGGCCTGGAGGTGCATGTCGCTGAACTCGGGCGCAAACGTCTCGGCGACTTGCTGCGGCTCGCTGATACCAGCTGTACGAAGTAAAGTAGAGCATCAGGCGACGCAGACCGAGAGAGAGTCGAGAGAACGTGACCCACACGACTCGATGAGCAGGTAGTCGAACGCTCGGGCCTCGGCGAGAGCTGCGACCTCCTCGAGGAGGTCACCGCGCAAGGTACTGCAGATGCAGCTGTGGAAGCAGGCACTCGTGAACGCCTGTAGTGCAAGGCTTGGAAAGACCTGGCGAAGAGGGCGCGCCCGTTCTGGAGCTGAACGACCGTCTCCTCCTTGCGCACCGCCTTGTGCTGCTGCAGCATCGTCGCGTCTATGTTCACTGCGCATAGTGCTTGTCGTGAGCTCGAGGTATCGACGTCGACCAAAGAGAAAGAGGGAGGGAAGGGAGAGAGAAAGTGGACGCACATTCGGCCATGTCGTTGACGATGCAGGCAATGCGCAGCCCGTGCTCCTTGCTCGTCAGGATGTACTCGAGCAGGGTACTCTTGCCGGCACCGAGGAAGCCCGACAAGATCGTGACGGGCAGGCGCTCGTCGGCGGTCTTTGCGCGGTCGAGCGAGCACGTCGAAGAAGGCGGACTGGCAGTCGGCGAGCCGTGCGAGGTCGAGACGGACGAGACGGACGACATGCTGGAACGGGGCGTCGAACAGGCGAGGATGGCGTTGAAGAGAAGGGACCCGCTGAGCGATGCAGGGACGGTGGAGCGAGGAAAGCGAGTTGAGAAGGTCGCCAGCCCCGCTCGAGCGACGACTGGCAGGGTCCTCCAGTCGCGCCTGCAAGGGTGCGCGAGCCGTCCAGTCACAGCGAGTGCGACAGTGTGGACCAGCAGCTAGAGCCGAGCCAAATCGAGCCTGAGCAGCAGGAGAAGCGAGAAGTCCGGGGCGAGGGGCCCGAGCGCCGTCCTCGACGCGCATCTCGCAATACAACAAGCACGACGCCGCTCTGCTACGTGTCCAACTCGCCCAACCTCCTCTACTCGTCCACCTGCTTGGCCTTGGCGCCCGCCTTGCCCTTGTCGGCGCGAGGGTTGAGGCCCTTCTTCTTGAACTGCCGCTTCTTCGTCTCCTCGATGAGCTTCTCGTCCTCGTCGTTGTCGAACGTCGGGCCGTCGTCTGCTGCTGCTGCCGCGGCCTCCTCCTCGTCCTCGTTGATCGGGAGCGTCTCGTACGGGAGGGTCGGCTCGAGCGCCTCGGGAGCTGCAGAGAGAGAGAGGACCGGGCACATGGGTCAGGGCGTGCGCGCGACGAGGGAAGAGGACAGTGAGAGCAGGACGCACCCTTCTTCTCCTTGGCGAGAATGGCGAACTTGGCGACGTAGAAGCCGTCGACGTTCTGGACGTGCGGGTAGAACCGGCGCGTGAGCTCGATGCCCTTGCCGAACTGCTTGCCGCGGAAGCTCTTGAAGCCCTCCTTGCCGAACGGCAGGCCGGTGTCGACGAGCTTGATGTGCGACCGCTTGCGGAGCGCGTACGAGACGACGGCCTCGTTCTCCTCGGTCGTCACCGAGCAGGTCGAGTACACGACGGTGCCGCCCGTCTTGACCGAGTCGATGGCGCACAGGAGGAGCTGCTTCTGGAGGTGCCCGAGAAGCATAAAGTCGCGCTCGGTCTGCGTGGGCGAGGCAAGGAGGAGCGTGTCAGGGAGGCGAGGCAGGAGGTGCACGACGAGGGCGAAAGAGGGGGCGCACCTTGTTGACCTTGACGCTCGGGTCCTTCGAGATGACGCCCGAGCCCGAGCACGGCGCGTCGAGGAGGACGCGGTCGAACCCGCCCATGACCTTGGGGAACTCGCGGCCGTCGACGTTGGTGATGATGACGTTGCGGCACCCGAGACGGGCGACGTTGCCGCCGAGACCCTTGATGCGACCGCGCGACGAGTCGTTGGCCCAAACCTCGCCCGTGTTGCCCATGAGCGCCGAGATGTAGGTCGTCTTGCCGCCCGGCGCGGCCGACATGTCGAGGCAGCGCTCGTGCGGCTGCGGGTCCATGGCCATGACGGGGAGGAACGACGAGGCCGCCTGGAGGATGTAGTGGCCGGCGAGGTACTCGGGCGTGGCGCCGATCGGGACCGACGAGCCAGAGAAGACCTGGAGGCCGACCTTGGACCAGCCGCCCTCGAGCGGCTCGAGGTTGACGCCGCGGTTGATGAGGGCCTGCGCGAGGTCACGACGACGGGTCTTGAGCGTGTTGACGCGGATCGTGAGCGGACGAGGCGTGTCGGACGCCGTGAAGAAGTCGAGGGCCTGGAAGAGCGAGTCAGGGTCAGGGTCGCGACGGGGAAGGGCGAGGGGGGGGGGGGGGGGG